ATTGCCGGGGGAACGACGGGGAAGCGCATGGGAAAAAGGGACCACTTGTTGTTTCCCGCCTTGCGCCAGCTTTCCTACGCATCGCCTCTCACGGCCTCTCTCGTCCCATCCCGACCCATCTGATCCCGCCCCCCCCCCCCCCCCCCCCCTAGAGTTCAGGTCGCGCCTTCCCTTTCCCCCCTCGCCCAAAAATCCACATTCTACCTCCCCGTCCATCGCCAGAGTACCCGGTCTGGCTGGTCTCTCTCTTCCTTTTCCTTCCACTTTCCCTTCCTTCTTCTTCCCACTGCCCCCTCTAACCCCCATCGGCCTTTCTCCTTCTTCCTCTTTCTTTAGAGTTGCACCTCTCTCTGCCTCTTCTGCTGTATCTCTGTCTGCTCTCTGCGATCTGCTCTGCTCTGCTCCTCTGCGTTGCTCTGCGGGTTTTGCTAAAAACGAAGCATCCTTTTCAGCGATTGTCTTGGTTGTTGCAAAGAAATCCGTGCCGCTCGAGCTGCCGTGTTTTTTTTTCCCACCTCACGTCACCACTGACTAGAGCGAGATCCACGGCCTTCACCAGCTGCGAAAAAAAAAAAAATCTCTGCGCGCAACTTCCTTGTCCGGTTCCTCCCACGTCGTTACATCCCCCCATACCAAATTACTCCCTCGACACGAAAATTACTCTGTAATTCTTCCTCCTCACCACCCTCCTTACGAGTCGCACGACGTTTCTTCCTGGTCATCCGGAAAAAGAGTCTTTTTCGTTGGCGCCCAAAAGTAAGTAGTCAACGCCATCTCACCATCTCTGTCTCCCTCTGCCCATGTTTCCCTTCCCCCCTCCTCCGTCGCATTCTCGCAGTCGCAGTCGCAACCGCAACCGCAGCCGTAGTCGCAAAAATCGTAGGCTCGTGTCCAACCACCCGGTCTTCGGCATCCTCGGCAATCCTTTGCTCAGAACCTCGACGACGACCGCCTCGAATCGACCACCCGAGCGATTCTGGAGAATGGTGGTCGGAGAAAAATTGGGATCTTGGTTTTAGGCGCATCCCTTAACCCCTCCATGCATCGTGGATCATCCCGGATCGTGGTTGAGGATCGACAACCAAGTGCCGAACCCATTCAGTCTCGACGTGTCCTGCAACGAGTCGTCACCATCAGACGCCGAAGGAAGCACACTATGCGTCGTCACCTGTCAGCAACCAGCGACGCCTTCTCTCGCTCCCCGCACCCGGCAAGCCCACAATCCTCGTCTTACCTCGTCTGCGACGCCATGTCGCGTAGCTCCTCCCAGCTTCCGGAAGAGCAACGATAGTCGCCTTCCGAGCTTTTGCAACGGCGTCTTGGTGTGTGGCATAGCTGTCTCTTGTTGAAGCCCCTTGCCTCGCCGAAATTCTGCAACACACTGAGGAGGACTGTTGGAATAAGTCCGCGCAGGGTACATACTGAGGACTGAGGAGGCGGCACCTATTTCGATTGCAAAGTGCGGCTCTGTGTTACCCGGACATACTCGGTTCCTGGCAAGATGACGTGTCTCGGCCAGAACAAATGGTCTGATCGCCTGCTTTGCCAGTGGCCTCGACAGCCCATCAATGATTGCCTACCCTCGACCTCGCTATGCATAACCATCGCATGGAGTTCTGAGCACGAAGAAAATGCAAGCTCTTCATGCACCGCCCGGCTTTCTGTGCAGGCGGATTTTTCTGCGGCGGAAGGGTACCCTTACCTTCTGGGTGTGCGTACGGCGCGACGATGACACGCAAAATTTCACGGATTAAGCTGGTACCACGCCCTCGATCAGAATCTACAATGCGAAACATCTCTGTACAGCTTCTGGACGAATAACTGCGGAGTGACTGCGACTGCGATTGCGACTAACTAAGGCGTGCTGGCGGACCGATATGTGGATGTCTGAAAGCTAACAGTGACTAGGTCCAAACATTTCGGATTCTTCCTCTGACCTTTTCTCGGACCGTTGAAAATTGACGTTGGCCACGGCGGATCAGAGACATAAAAGTCGAATTTGAAGCATTGCTCGGTTCTTTGAGTCGGCGGCTACAGCATTTTTGCACGAACATCCCGCGACACCTCGAATTTTCGTTTCCACAAAAGGGCGTGCAGGCGTCAAAGAGAATCGACTTTTCACCAAGTTCCTTTTGGAGTCCAGGTTTTGCGTCTGAATACAGGTCGTTCTGATTCGATTCTCCAAATAACCAAACACAATTTTTGAAGGCGGACAGCTACAGTTTTGAACTTTTCACTACTCACTCAATTTTCGACCAGTGCGTTTGTACGGCATCTAAAAGCATAATTAACCAAGCTGACTTGTCCGCAGCTCCCAACGCGAAAATGGACGGAATCAACCCCTACAATCCCGCTCAGGGCAACGGTGCTCCTCCTCCCAACGCCAACGGCGATGGTTTCGGTACCCCCGTCTCTGGCGGTATGCCCTTCCCCGGCAACAATGGCTCCGGAGAGATTCCGGGCGGCCAGGCCCCTATCCAGCAGGACGCGAATAAGAACACTCTCTGGTGAGTGGCCGTTGTTGATATCGCTTGCGTCATTTGCTGACACGTACAGGATGGGTGAGCTTGAGCCCTGGATGGATGAGAACTTCATTAAGGGTGTTTTCTTGACTGCCACCGGAGAGCCCGTCAACGTCAAGGTCATCCGTGACAAGACTTCGGGCAATGCCGGATACTGCTTTGTCGAGTTTACTTCGTCCGAGGCTGCCAGCAAGGCCCTTACGCTGAACGGATCCCCCGTTCCCAACTCCAACCGTGCCTTCAAGCTCAACTGGGCTTCCGGTGGCGGCATCAACGACCGTCGCGACGATCGTGGCCCCGAGTACTCGATCTTCGTTGGCGACCTTGGCCCCGAGGTCAACGAATACGTTCTCGTGTCTCTCTTCCAGGCGCGATTCCCCTCCTGCAAGTCTGCTAAGATCATGACCGATGCCATGTCGGGACAGTCGCGTGGTTACGGATTCGTCCGTTTCACCGATGAGCAGGATCAGCAGCGGGCTCTTGTGGAAATGCAGGGAGTTTACTGCGGCAACCGCCCCATGCGTATCTCCACCGCCACCCCCAAGAACAGGTGAGTTCGCATACCTTTCAATGTTGATTTAATACGACTAACAAGAATAGAAGTAACCACGGTGGCCCTTACCAGCAGCACCATGGTAACCAGATGATGGCCCCCGGCCTACCTCCTCATCAGCAGGGATTCTACGGCGTTCCCTCGCCTGCTCAGTACGGTGGTGCCTACGGAGCCCCCTACAACCCACCCGGACAGCAGATGAACCAGTTTACCGACCCCAACAACACGACCGTTTTCGTTGGTGGCTTGTCTGGCTACGTTACCGAGGATGAGCTCCGAAGCTTCTTCCAAGGATTCGGCGAGATTACCTACGTCAAGATCCCGCCTGGAAAGGGCTGTGGTTTCGTCCAATTCGTTCACCGCCACGCTGCCGAGATGGCCATCAACCAGATGCAGGGATACCCTATTGGAAACTCTCGTGTCCGTCTGAGCTGGGGCCGCAGCCAAAACAACTCTGGTGTTGGTACCCCCTACCGTCCTGCCCCTCCCCCACCTCACTACTTTGCTCCGGCTCCCGGCCCTGGCGCCTACGGACCTGCTCACTTCGGTGCTCCTGGTCCTCATGGCCCTCCGGGACCTCAGGGCCCTCCTGGTGCCCCTCCTCAGGTAAGCATCCATGGGTCATGTGGAAGAACACACCTGGGCTAACATCCTCTCTAGTAGATTGAAGGTCTTGTGGGCCACCTGGACGGCCTCTCTGCTCTTGGGCTCAAGTTGAGCACTTGAGGAAACTCGGAGCGTTCTGCTCTCAACTGTCTTATTGCTTCCTCTCTTCTCGAGCCTCTCTCATCGTTCTACGTTCGCTGCCGCCGCCTTGGACTCTTAACGCTGCACGATGGATACCTGGGCGAATGACACATATTTCTTTGGACTTGTTTGATGTTAGGCATACGGATAGCGGATACGATTGTGAGACATCACGAGAACGACGATTGCATGCTTTGCGGCCTTAGTTATCTTTCTGGACATCTGGGCTTGTCTTGGGCGTCGGGTTCGGATGGTTTCGCGACTTGGTTGCCCCCTTCTATTCGTCTTACTTCCACACGGGACTCCCCCAACAGAGATTTCCTAGCTTTTAGTTTGCTTTTCGCCACGTTGTTGACTCTTTCGTGACCATTCTGCGTGTGAACCAATCCTGTTTGTTTGCGTTGCGTTGGTCGGTCATTGGACTACAGTTGCGATACCCCTCTGTCATTTACGAATTCGCCGTGGCGGCTTGTGGCAGTAAAGGAGCTATGCGTCCTTCGCCTTGTATCATGGTCCTCTCAAACTCTTATCTGTATCCCTGGATAGGATGGGCATCCTGGCGCTATTCGATGGTGGTTTGTGCCGGATGGTTCGGCCTGGAACCAGAAGATGCCTTGTACGGTGGACAAAAAGTAGTTGGACTTGTGTGGTTTATCTAGTGGGGTCCCTTCTCGGGCGAACGGCGTTGGTGGATGAATATGGGGAATCAAACTATGGGCACAGATAGCCCCGATAGGTGAAATCAAGTTTGTCGAGACCTAAGACCTTGTTGCTATGCCTAGACAACTCTGTGAACCTTCAACCGTGGATGGCTATGCGTGCTGTCTTGTGTGTCTAGTGAACGATCCATACACCAAACATTCTTCATCCACCTGTGGCTTTCAGGTCTCTCAGGGGCAGGAATAGACCATTGAGGTGGCGATCTCGTTCGTCTAGAACCCGGACAGACTCGGTCTGATATCATTTTAGAGGAGTACCAACGTTTGCGGAAGAAATCGCATGTGACCTGCTGGGACAGCGAAACGCATTTCAAGCAGTAGACCACCAGATTGTGGAATAATAGCAGGTGCCGTTGAGGATACCCTTGCGGAGAGTACACATAGGGTTTCGTATACGATGTGTGAGTTGACGCCACTTACTCTGAGAAAACAAAAATCAACATGACCCGTGTGCCTGCTCAACCGTGGTCCAAGTTTCATCGATACATCCCTCAAGCAGATTGTACTTTGTTGCCTTGGTCGATGGGCCCTAGATCCCACAAGGGACAGCACAGCCCGTCTAGAAAACTAATCGAGCCCCCGTGTTCTTGTCCACACTCACGCCGTTCTGTTTTCTAGCAGGGTGGTCAACCCGTCCAGATGTCTAGAGAAGAATCGCGACCTTGACAGCGTAATAGGACTTTCCTCCTACCCCCCTCCACTTGAGATATTAATCTTCGGCATTCCTTTGGTCTGGGGGATAACCTTCGTGGTCTTTCATCCCTACACTCTCTCTGATACTGCCTCGTCCCGCTTCCTAGGACTTTCCGTGTGCCACTCGCACAGGTCGCTGGCCTTCGTCCATGACTTGTATAAAATCCTGCAGTGGACGTGGCTGCCCCTCACAGCTGACTTTCCTCCTTACATATTTCCTTTTCACCAACCAAGTTGCAGCACTATACCCAGTCTAGCATTAAAGGTTCGTCAAGTCTGGTCTGTCTAAAGTAGCCATTTCACGCAGATATTGATCATCAAACCGTGCAAAAAGATGATTCTCCCAGAGGTTAACACGTCGCTCACCGCCGACTTGCACGTTGCAAGAGCGCTGCCATATCACCTGATCCCGCACATGGAAGCAGTAGCCGTCATGGAGAGCAAGTTCCCCTCGCATATTGTCCTCGACTACTGGACTACCGACGTGGGCAACTTTTCCACCTGGGCGCCCAAGGATTATACCGACATTTCCATCGCACCCACCCTCCCGCAAGCCGAGGTGGACGCCGCGACCGCCGCGGGCACCACGGCCGAGCTCTGCGGCGAGAACGAGCTCGTCTGCGCAAAGAGCCACCAGGCGCTCTCCCGGATCTGCATGCGCCTCATTGAGAACCTGAAGGAGGACCGCAGCGACGACATGGTCCGCGGCACCCCGCAAGACTACTGCCTCGAGATGGAGACGGAGCACTGCTGCGTCAGCTGGAACGCCATGGTCGACAAGACGACCCGCATCGCGGAGCTCGTGCCCGCTGCCGAGATTGTCTACGATAATTGTCGGGACATGATGCGAACTTATGTCTCGGGCAAAGTGTACGGCGCTATTGTGGGCAATAAGTGCCTGAATCAATGCCTTTCTAACCGGCCGGGTGGCTGCTGATTTGCCGGTACGTTTCTGTTGTTGATTTTTCCCTTTCATCTCTTTTCTTCCGCGATTATTGATGAACACGATTGGGCTGACTGCGTACATAAGGGTAGTGAACCTAGGAGTGGGGGGTTTCTGGACAATGATTTTGATTTTTTTTCAGCAACGGGGACTCTTGCTCCGGGAAGAGGGATCTGGAGCGGTTTACACTAGCTTTCTACTTACTATACCGTATCGAATGCTTCGTACATTTTGTCGAAGCCATAGTAAATAGCCATGTCGAACCCAGCAGTGGCTTTCAGTCTTTAGAATTAAAAGCAAGTAATAGTAATCATCATCCATGAGGAATTGCTCCCTCGACGTGCCTTGAGTATCCACACCTGTTTTTTTTCGCGAGGCGCAGACAAGCCCAGACATACAAGACTTCAGGAGCAAGCAAGTAAGCCGACATGGTCATCGACAATCTACTTGGGGCAAAAAAAGAATTGTGAAATACTGCATAATGGCAAAAACATTTGCGACAACAGCAGGGTTCGAACCTGCGCATCCGAAGATAATAGATACCAGAATAATGAACAATTCAAGTCTATCGCCTTGGACCACTCGGCCATGTTGCCATATTTGAATGTGGAGATTCGGCTGGATAATGATGATTGTAGACGCAGCTGCATGCCACGTGTTGGAAAAGCTGCATGAGGCTGCAGCTCCATGCTTATTAGTAGAACGTTGAAAGCAAGTGCATGGCGGTAGTGCAAACTACTGCGAAGGGGGAACACGTTGCTGCTTGATGCTTGGCACAATTATGTCGGAGAGATTCTGAGTGTATAAAAACTTTGATGAACCATGGCGTCTGCTCGTCTAAACCGTGATAGATCCACTTTCAGGCGTAGATAATGCGCTGGATGAGGGAAGAGATATCACGAGAAGCTGAAACGTTCCTCATTTCTGCGGGGTCTTAAGGATTAGGAGAGAAGATCACAGAGGCTACTTCACTTATGCTAATCTCGCATGTTGGAATTCAGACGTACACTAGGGGCTGTTGATGGGTGGCAAATAGGTGGCTGCCATTCGGCCTGATCTTGAGAGGCTGTAGCTTGTAGGAAAGAGGCATTCTTATATCTGGGGCTTTAAAGATTTGGTCACTGAGTGCGTTACATTTATCCGTCTCTTGCCATGTTTCTGTTGGGAGAAGAACCGTTCCAAGCATCATCTTGTCAATGGACAATGGATCCATGTCTCTGGCAAAGCATCCCCGTCTCCTTGCTGAACCCTGCCGAAGATTGGCGGCGATTCGTTCGAGGCTAGAAACCCGGAACAGATCAGTGCATGGTGAAAGTAGGTGCCTTGATCCAGTTCACCCGCCGTACGGTATGTACTCCACGAAGACTAAAATGCCCTTCGAGGTCGCACTACAGCAATGGATGGGAAAGACCGGGAAAGACCGGGAAAGACCAAGTCTTGGCTTGTGACGCGTATGAAAGATTTGCTACAAATATTTAGTCTCAGTCCAAATACCATCTGGATCAAACGCAAGCTGATTGTAGTTCATCCAACCATGTGTGTTGCTGAACACTTTGGATAGTGTCGATGCTCTTAGACTGTTTACTGCTTTAATAAGGGTCATATAGAAACGTTTATGGGGCCTTCCGAGGGATAAAGCGACCAGATCTTATGGGGCAGAGGCTGAACTTGAAATTGCACTTGAAATCCTGTTGGATCCATGGAAATGGAGGAATTGAGAGTCAGCGGTTTCAACTTTGGAATACAAAGGAGCATTCCATCCTCCGTGATGGCCAGCTTAATCAGCTTATTGTTCCTTAAGTCACATGTGTGGGAAATTTGCTCTTCCGAGAGTTGTTAGAAAGACCACCTCCGACCAGCGTCCAGAAGCCCATGGGGAGCAGCAAGATTCAAGCCATTCTGACAATACATGGCGAGAATAGTTGCTGATTTAAGTAAGTCGGTTGCTTCCACACCGTCCGTGGAGAATGTCACCCCTCGTGGGAGCTCTGCGCATTTGTTTGCCAACCTCCCGCTTAATACTAAAACCAAGTGAGGACCGAGGGAATGCGAGCTGAAGCGAGCGTGTCTTTTGGAGGCCCACCCAATAGACTAAATGAACAGGCACCGAATGCGACTCTACAGAGCATTCAGCAGGTGGTACAGGATGCTTACTTTCGACGTCTCTTATAATGCTCTTGTAAAACATGTACTTCGTTGATTGGCCAAGAGACTTATTAGGTAGCTCCACAATAAACGCCCGAAAGCTTAGGAGAGGCGAAGCAGGAGATCATCCTGCGACTGGGAATGATGTCATATCGTCGTTCATTTGGCTAGTGTGCCTCCCTGCCAAAAGTAATGAGAGACAAAAAAGATCCTTCAAAAAAATCAGATGTCCACCGCTTGTTATTGATCAAACAGAGAATGAGAACTCTGCCCTATCATGGGAAGACTTGGCAGCTATTTACGGCGCAGCGATGGAAGCGCAAACGCCGCAGTGCTGCAGCTCATGCTGTCAGTGGCTTATTTTAAGTATTGATAAGCGGGATTCCACCCTGACTTCATCGAGAGGCATAAGATCAAATCTACCCGTAGGATAGAAGCTGCCGTCTGCCCCCAATTATGAGGCCTTCGTCGTCCAAAACTTCACCCTTCACAAGTCTCGATTTCTCTACGCCGAAATTTTGCAGCCACCACAACAATGTTTAAAAGCTCAGAGACATTAAAAACCAGGAAGAAACAAGAGGAGGAAAAGAAAAAGACAGAAGAGCAAGTGAAGCTTCGTGGGAAGCAGGGACAAGACACAAGCAAGGGCGAACAAGTTTGGTACTCTCGCCGTGTCGACGACGGATGTCTTTTGCACTGGGCGATCATTACGCACGGCCAAAAATACGAGCTACGCCTACCGAACGGCAACGTCACGACGGAAAAGGTGCCAGAGAGTCAGAAGACCAGTTCATTTGAGCCTGCACGGGTGTATGAGGCCAGAGTGGTCCTATGGTCCCTTAAGGAAGAGATGAACAAGCTTCGGGCACTGAAGCTTGCAACCGTGGCGAGTGGTGATCACACTCGAGACTATACTGTTTGTCAGATTGGCTGGACGACAATGAATAAGGACAAAGTCGACGCCGAGTGGGCTGCCGCGCGCTCATCCATCGTAGCGGAGGACCTCGGATACGATGATTGCCGGGAGCTGCTCAAGACATTCGGCGGCATCATCAAGAAGCCCGAAGGATGTGCACTAGACTATGACTGGTATACAACAAGTCTCGAAACACCATCTCACAGACTCACCGAAATCACTGCGGACAAGGCTGTCAAAAGATTCCAGAACTCGATGCAGAACGGGCTTTGGGGTGTTGCTGCGGCGGGAGCGGGAGCGGGAATCGTGTACGGCGCTTACGAGGCCGGTAGATCAATGGATCCCATAAGGAATGGTACTAATGCAGGCAGTGTAGTAGGTCCGGAAGTTTGTTGCGCCACTTGCTGGTGCTGTGAGGCTACCTGTTGTGATGGATCTTTTTGGGAACTTTGTGTTTGTCTGCCATGTTTGGGCGGAGGCTGTTGATCGTTCGGTTCTTCATTTTTCTCTTCTTGATTTTTTTTCGTAAAGAGGACAGTTTCAGGATAGAATGCACAGCAATTGGAGCTTTTCTTCCAACGTCTACAATTTCCATAGCCTGTCAAATCAGCAACACCTACTCTCTTGGTGGAGCATCTTGTCAGAATCCCCAGTGCCGTGCTAGGCGAATGATGCGCTTGCATTCTGCTGATTTAGAATTCCGAGAGACAGGACTCACGGAGGTGTGGAATCGCGTTGTTTCTCATTATACTCAACTCTGTTCATTGTTGAGATCGTTCATTACGGTAGATAGGCACTCTATTCTGTAGCCTCGACCACTCCCGATTGCCACGCCGAATATCTAGAAGGGAATTTTGAAGCCCGAGTGCCGCAGGGTTTGGAAAACACCAGTGGGATCGTACTTAATGGAAGCAGCCCTCAGCCTCTTAATAGAAGCCTCGCCGTAGGACGAGATGGCATCCTGCACCTTGTGAGCGTAGTTGAGGTATATCCAACCCCAGTTCAGGTCCAGAGAGGCAGCAAAAGCATCAACATCCTCAGTGTATGCCTGAATGTATGGGAAAGAAATGGTCTCATTCTCAGCTCCGTTCACAGCAAAGGTGATGAGGAACATGATGCCGTTGCCTCTTGTGATGTAGTGGTCCAGGCCCATACTGTTGCCACCCATGGCGATGCCCTTGGCAACAATGGACTTGGTGATGGGCTGGAACATGCAGAGAGTATTGAAGCCCGAGTCAGCACCGACGGCCTTCTCCAGATCCGCGTTCAGGGTGTAGAACTTTTCCACGGCGTAGTTCATGATCCGGGCGTCATTGTCGAATGCGAGCGTGAACCAGGCATTACGGAAGCCAGCAGGCTGACCGGAGCCGAGTTCATTTGCAACGACGGAGATCAAGTCAACCTTGGTAGTGTCCTGGGTGATGTTGCCAGCTGCGTAGTACGCGTCGAAAGCAGGAGGGGCAACATTGGCCAAGGTGTTTTCGATGGCGGCGTTGAGAATCATACCGCCAAGCTGGGGGAGGTAAGCCCAGTAGACGATGGAAGAGCTGTTCTCATCCTTGTAAACGTTTTCCGTAAAGTCAACGAGAGCGTCGATGACTTTCGGTCCGGATTCCAGGTCGTAGATGAGATTGCCTCCCCAGATATCAGGCTTTGATGGGTCAGGGAAGTCAATAGCGTACATGTCGAAACGAGTCACTAGACCGAGGTTGGCGCCAGTTCCCTTGAGACCTTGCCACAGATCGGGGTTGGAAGTGGCATTGGCATTGACGATAGATCCGTTGGCAAGGACGACCTCAAAGTTGGCGACTTGGTCGCAGGCGAAACCGTGAGATGCCGAGTGGAAGGAGTTGCCGCCGCCTAGTATAAAACCTGCGGTACCGACGGTACCAGCACGACCACCTGTGACGACGACGCCGTAAGGGGCTAGAGTATCGTAGACAGTCTGCCAGTGACCGCCAGGCCCGATGGAAGCGATCTTTGTGTCGGGATTATAAGTGGTGCTGTTAAAGTTGCCAAAATCGATGGTCACACCGTCATTGACACTATTCGATCCAGCAAAGGAGCCGTGACCACCGCCCCGAACGCCAAATGTGCAGTTGGAAGCAGCAAGGGTGGTGATGATGGTCGAGACATCCTCGGCGATTGATGGCTGTGCGACACACCAAGGGTCCAGGGCGGCGGTGATGGACCAGTATGAGTCCATTCGTTCTGCATACTCGGTTGAGTTGGGGAAGTAAATCTTGCCAGCTAATCCTGGGGCCTTGGTCAGTTTCAAGCACTATTGCCGAGGTTAGTTACATCATACATGAGGTTTTGACGGAAACATGCACCAAATGGCTCGTTTTGAAAGTTTGTTCGGGGAGACTTACGCAAGCTGTCGATTGTGAGAAGCAGGTCGCGGCTGAGACGATATCAAAGAAAGTTGCTGCAGTGCTCATCGCCATCACAATTGACTTCATTATGGAGGCTGAGCAGAAGCAAAGGTTCACAAGATTGGTTGACAGGACTGACGGGGGGAGATGGGTGGCGGCAAGACCGAGACACGAAGACAAGGTTTGACCTCTGAGAAGGTCCGACGGGAATGGGTTGCACTGGGCACGGAGGCAGATTCTCTCAGCTGAGTTTTCGGCTCGTCTTTATACTATCCTGTCGTGAAGCAACCCATGACTTCCATGATGGATCAGCAGGAACCCGAACGGGAATATTGGTCCTTTGGAGGGCCTGAACAATGGACTCTGGAATGAGATGAAAGCGGGAAATTGCTGCAGTGAAGCATTGCAGTAGGATACCCCCTCATACCGGCTAGCACCGTCCAGTTGTCAGAGATTTGTTGTTTATCGGTCCAGTCTTCTTCTCTTGCAGGGGTGGGTGGTATCCGAATGCATGTGGCTAACTTTGCTTCAATCCTTGCGTTGGAGACTTGGCACGCATGCTTTCTTTCCCCTGTCTGGCAAAATAAGATTATTGGTGCAATTTTTTCCTCTTGCTGCCCTTTTCCATCTTGTCCTCTCGAGTCTCCACGAAGCTGCTCTAGATGTTGTTGGGAGTAAACGAGTATCATTCCGGTCACCGAGATTCCATCGTCCCACCCAAGACCCTGGGCCTTACCATCGGGGAAGTGTTTGGACAGCTACCGGGCATGGGAAACACGATTCCGCGTAAGCGCATCCCTCTAGAATCCCTGACCACGTACAGACATCGCTAAGTTCGACTGTCAAGTCGTCAACCAACACCGTCCCAGCCAGGGTCAGATGTAAATATTCGATGACCCACGCATCGGCGGACAGGGCCGATCTCGGGAATCAGGCCGCATTGAACGATGTGGCCCCTCCCGTCATCCGGGATACGGTAGCTTACTGGAGATACGGATGTTTGGAGACACAGTGCGAGGTAAAGTAACATAAGCCAGGATAGAGGGCGGTCGTTATGCCTCAAATATATGTAAAGATGCTTTGCTCCCGCGCCGAGCCTACAGCGATTGGCAATTACTCAATGATACCTCACGATTCATATCATACCATACTGGCCAGCTTATTACTTGAAGTAGGCAATGATCGAACTTGCTTCTGACACATCTCTTTTGTGCATCGCAACCTAGAAACCGGTAAGGTTGGGTCTCTGAGAGAAAAATCCGGATCCTGTGTTTTTGGACCTTTTGCAACAGACCCCATTACTTTTGAAATTGATATGCAGCTTGTTGGAGCCTACGGCTGTAGGTGTGAGGCGCATATTATGCGCGAGGATCGACACAAATGAGCCTCGAGATGATCAAACGGCTTCCCGTTGTTACCAAATCACTGCCTAGAGTTTCCTCTAAGGAATCCGCTTAGACAGGTTGAAGGTCTCGTCTCGACTTCAAGACCCCAGTTCCGACGCAAGTCATCCTTGTCACCGTAATTGGGGAGTGGCAGACACTAAGTGGAAACGGCAGCGATTACATACTCTTTTTCGGGTCAGTGTGCCGTATGATGTTGATATTGCGCAGAATTATCTTGGCTGAGCGCTAGCACAGGTTCTTGCGGCGTTGGTTCGCAGACAAACTTTGTGACTGCAGGGCCGTTTGCACCACGCAACATGGATGGTGGGAATGTGGATTTCCCCCCTCTTTCAAACATCACGGTCCTGGCGTGAACTTGGACATACTTTCAAGGCACAATCTGAAAAATTGTGGAAAAAAGTGCCGATATGAAGCAGCAGAGTGTGTCACATCCCAAAACTGGCTGGATGCTTCCGCAGTCACTCCCGACTAGTCGTTAGTTAGATGATAATCATGGTGCCCATGAATGCGATCTATTTGAAGAATATAATCTCCTTCAAGCTCATACCCACCTCCATTCTTATCACACGGTACTCCTGGTGCTAGATCTTTGTGTTCTCCCTATGCTCCAACTTACCACAATCATCAGACCTCATTCAGAAACTCGACCATTCGGCTTCTAGTCTCCGAGTCATGCCAGTGGTGAACGGTGTTACCACTGTTCTCCAGCCTCCTCTGGGCTATGTGGTTAACTTTGATGATCCCCAGCGACAGGCTGTGCCTGAAGCTTACTATGTGGCTGGGTTCGGCACTGTTATCAGTGTTTTGCTTATGGGTCAGAGGCTGTACACCAAAGCCTTCTTGATAGGCCGGCTGCAATGGGACGATGGTATGAATACTTTGCCTGACAAACAGCCCATTAGCATTCATTGCTTGCATCTTCTCCTGCATCACCACATCTTGCCATTTCTTCTCTCTTTAAGAATATCCTGTGTGGGCTAACAGTTGATCTTGGCAGTTTTCCTTCTCCTGGCTTGGGTAAGTTCCAACACCTCAGACACCGGGTCGTGGCCTGCGGCAACGTGCAGCTTCAAGCCTATCCGTGTAGCGCTGACAGTGACCATCAAGCTGTTGGTGCTGTCTTGCTGACTGCATCACAGTTTACCTCAATCGCAACCATTGGATTGTGCGTTCGTGAGTAACTCCGTCCAGCTTTGATGACTAGCTAACCTGTTACTGACAAACCCCTGCCAGACATGTTCGCATATGGCTCCGGAGGTGTCCATGGATGGGAGATTTCGGTCGAAAAGTACAACGTTTACATGATGGTGAGTGGTATTGAGTCATACCATGTCTCTACTACATCCTCCCAGATCCGCTGCAACTATGTGACCATATTTAGTAACGTAATCATTGACACAGGATGTCTTTCTCGCGGCCGCCATCTACACCCTCTGCGGCAGTTTTGCCAAAGTATCCCTCTTGATCTTCTACTTTCGACTGTCCCCCCAGATATGGTTCAAGCAAGCGGTCTGGGTGTCCTTGGCCATCATTGCTGGTTACAGCATTGGCATCTTCTTTGCCCTCGTCTTCGCCTGTGACCCGATCGCAATGAGCTGGGATGTGACCATCTCAGATGGCAAATGCATCAACCGACCATCGCTGTACATTGCGACTGCTGCAGCAAACATCATCTCCGACTTGATCCTTTTCGCGCTCCCGATTCCGATCGTGGTGAAGCTACAAATTCCGCGCAGGCAAAAAATCGGCTTGTTCTTCATTTTCGCAGTGGGATCACTGTAAGTCAATAAACTAGGGAATTCTACGTAAAGTTCTAAAACGGCAGTCGTGCTTACACGGCGTGTAGTACAGTAGTCACCTCCATCGTCCGAGTCTCCCTTCTCCCAGCCATGCTAACGACTTTGGACCAAAGTTGGGTCATCGCCTGGGCCAGTTTGTGGATGTAAGTCAATAATTGTTTGTCTAGAGCGAAAACCAACTGTTGCTCATAAAATATTCTCATAGTATCGTCGAAGCGAATTTAGTCGTCATCTGCGCCGCTCTACCGACCATACGAAAGTTCTTCCGACACGTCGCACCCAAGATCATTGGCGAAAGCACTTATGGGAAGGGAACCAAGACAATCGGCGGCACTGGGAGCAAACCCATATCCCGATTGACAATTGGTGGTACAAACGGAACAAGGAATCGGGCCGAGTATTCGCAATTCGATCGCGAAATTACAGGCGAGGCGTTTGTGATGGCCAACATGGGGACCAACAAGCCAGTGGCTATCGCCACTGGCAATAGCGAGAACGATCCAACGGAAGATGATTCCTCAGAAAAGGCCATTGTGCAAGGGAACAATATTGTACAAACGAAGACGATCACGGTGGAATATAGTCCGAAATAGTAAGCTGTGGGACAATGCGAAACCCGATATGGAGGTGGGTTGTCAGTGTGCTGACGGTATGAAAATGACATACTTTACTTAAGTTGGCAAGACACATCTATTGAATAAGGAGAAGCGTGAAAGCCATGGTCCCATCCATATGCTCTCAAGATTGTTGTCATGCATCGCAGGCCGGATGGACATCCGATGAATCTTGCCCGAGCACGCAATATCACAGCCCTCCGTTGTGGAAATGTCAGAAATTGTAGCGGAGGAAAGCTAGGCGCCCAATCTTAAAACCACATGGTCAAGCTGATTATCAGGGTTGTCAGCCAAGAGTAGCTGGCTAACTGGACCAAATTCTTCGTATTTGTATTTATTGTTTTCCATCTTTCACGCTAATTAAGCTTTCGCGTAGTCATGGAATAAGACAAAATCAACTATTGCCGCGCCTCGAAGCGTACATCAGTGCTCTGCAGGCTCTATGCTTGCGACTCGGCCATCTTGCAAGGTAACAACTCTGTCAATCCCACGGAGGGCTTGGAGGCGATGAACCACGGAAATGATTGTATGATCAGCAAACTCGCGCTCAATGACCCTGGCCATCATGTCTTCGGTTTCTCGGTCGACGGCACTGGTAGCTTCGTCAAGAACCAGGACTTTGCTGGAATTCTTCCGGACGAGAGCTCTGGCCAGACACAGCAGCTGCTTTTGGCCTTTGGACAGGGGTATATTGGAGACGTCCGCGTCGAGACCCCCATGCAAGAAGATGGCTGGCCACAATGAAACCTTGGTTAGAGCAATTATGAGGTTAGCGTCGGATGGTACCTCATCCGCGCTCGAGATGTCGCTGAAGGGAAAGAGATTCGTACGCAGAGTTCCAGGGAAGAGAAGCGGCTCCTGGGGGATGGCGATGAGAGATCGGCGGAGTAAATCGTTGGGAACACTGCTAATATCAAGACCGTCGATTAAGATTCTGCCCGCATCGAGGCCGAGCAGCTTGAACATCGCGAGAATGAGGGTTGATTTGCCACTGCCTGTGCGTCCACATATCGCAATCTTCTCTCCCGGCCGGATAGAAAGCGAGATGCCCTTCAGTACTGGCCTCGTTTCCTCGGAGTAAGATACTGTGATGTTCTTTATTTCGACCAAACCCTGGGAAGGCCAATGGCGCGGAATATTCCCTTGCTCCCCGGCATCAGGGGTCGGATCGATTGGGGTTCGAGATACAAAGGTTCTCAAACGAAAAATAGCGCCTAGAGATGTTTCAAGCTCTGTCCAAGAGGTAATCAAAGTGGCCAGAGATTGGTTGAAGTTGAGCACATTGTACAGCGCAATGGCAATGGCTCCCGTACTGGTCGCATTCGGTATCATCATGGCCATCGAAACAAGCAATATGGCGATGGCACCAACAATAATATCGAGAACTAGAGTAAACCAGCGCTGAATGCAAAACATCAAGTAGTACGGCCTCTGTGACTGATCCAATAGATCAAGCGAAGTTTCTCGAAAGGCAGCCTGCCAGCCGAAAGCTCGGATTGTCGACAGGCCATCGATCGTCTCGATTAATTTGGTGAGGAGAGGTGCTTGCGCCTGGAGAACGAGAAATCGCATCTGGCGAGAAGTTCTCAGGTAGAAAGCCTGCAATAAGTATAGAGCGATCAGCGCGAATGGGATAGCAGCTGCAAGGTATTTAGCACCCATGAAGATGAGAATGGCCGCTGCTAGAGAATCCAGAAACACTACAATCGATTAGCTCGGTGGTTTTGGCTGATTTGTAACACAGAACTAACTCATTGAGGTCATGAATAATGCGATGGGAAGATCTTGGTCAATATGTGACAAGTCCTGGCTGAATCTATACATTGTCAGAACAGCTTTGTCTTTAGGCCTAGGTCTGTAATGAACATACCTGTTGATCAAGTCGCCGGTGTCTGTTGATCCAAAAAACGATAATGGTGCTCTATTACTTAGTAAGAAACGGTGTAATCAAGAGTTTGATGAGGTGCAAACTACCTCATGACAGACTGAAGAAGTATCCAGTGCAAGCTTTGAGATGACTTCGGAACTATCATAACAAACATAACCCTGCAAGCCTTCGTTAGCAGCGCCAAAACTAGTTTGGTAGTCCATTTCATCTCAGTCACGAACCAGACGTTGGTGCCTATGGCTAATAAACCCAAGGTACAAATAATAGCGTAGACTCCGAAATACAAGGCTGTCTTTGCCGAGCCTGCCCTCGCATCTTCTTCCGCCCAAAACTTGAGCCAAATGTCTAGTAGATGTCAGTCAACACGACCAGTTCAGAGCATCAGGAAAGAGAGACTTACGAGGGAACACTCTGAAAAAAGAACCTAACACCAAGGTTACTCCGCCTGCCAAGCCAAACAGCCAACCGATGGACTTCAAATAATACCAGTATAGAGTGGTGTCGGCCGCCTTTCTTAGGAGGTCCTGGTCGGACTCAGTCTCTACCCCCTTGCTTTGTGGCTGACTTTGCTGTCGAGATCTTGAAGAGGCTTTGGTATCAACTTCCTTTATGTCATTGGATTGCGTGTTTTCGAAAGATAAGTTTTGAAGATAGGTGCTTTCCTGAACGGTGTCAAAATCGCCCTGACTGACGATTCGCCCGTCGTCGCCAAGTATGACGATGTTATCCGCAAATTTCAGATATTTCACTGTGAAAGTAAACAAGTTAGGAGCCTTTCATATGGATCTTGTTATACACATTTGTGTTTTCACTTACGTGAGTGTGTAGTCAGGATCACGGTCGCTCCATACTGGCGGATTAGGCCTCGTGGGCTGAAAAGACAATCCCAAATATGAGTCTGAGTGGTATTGTCAAGTCCACCCAGGGCATCATCTATGATAAGAACAGGCTTCCTGGAGAATATTGCCCGCGCCAGAGACTGATAAAGTTAGTAAGTGGTAAACACAAGGTTCGGCGACATCAAAATACACAACATACAATACGTTGCTTTTGACCTCCGCTTAGTGAGTGCCCTTTGCTTCCCACCACTGTGTGATCGCTGTTTGCTAGTTGAGAAAAGTCGGGTACGAGAGCACAAGCATGTACTACTCGCTCGTACCAGTCCTCGTCCGGAGGTGTTTGTCCTATAATATTTTCCTTGACAGTCTCGGTTGTAAGCCAGGTTGTCTGAGCACAGTACGCCACAGAGCCTTCTAGACTATTGACAGATCTGTTGGACGGCAGTTCGCCTAGAAGACCACGGAGAAGGGTGGTCTTTCCAGAGCCAGTTCTGCCAATCACAATGGTCATAGTCGAAGACAGAATATGAAGGTTGATGTCATGCAGGATGGGCTCCTCGTTTGTCTTGAAACTAAACGAACCGCGCCGTATCGACACAATATTCCTCTGCCCGAAAGAGTTTTTCGACGGCAAAACGTGCATCTTTAGGCTATGATCAGTTCCAGCGTAGCCACGGTCAGACTGATTTCCAGTCCGAGAATAATCAGGATCTGTGCTGACCGTTGGCCTAGCCTGTTCGAGGAAGGTTTGGATCCTCTCAAAACTTCCCAAACATGCCACGAGATTCGGAACTGAGGCGAGGAGGTGACCGAGAGCCCTGGAAATCAGATCAATGATGGACAGCGAAGTGAAGACAGTAGCAATTGAGAGCGACAGTCCGGCATTGATCTCCTGTGCAAGTATGGCAAGGCCGAAAGTAACAACAGGGCCCATCATCGCCGGGGCATTGCCTGTGAGTTTATCTTCAGTATATGATCCAGAGCTGTTGAGCAGAAATTAAAGCTCACCTAGCATATTTATGTAGGTGGTGAGCATGCGATATTGTTTCGCTCTGCCCAACTCTGTAATTTTTAGATCTTGGATGGCGTTTTGAAGAAAGTCCACCATTCCTAACATTTTTGTCTCTTTGATCACACCAAGAACCTCTGAGGTGACTGTAATGCGCTTCTGTATCTCCTCATTCCAAATCTTGGAAGCTCGGGGCATGAGTTTGGACAATTTCATGATGCCAATCGTGCAAGCTGCCAATGTCCCTGTTAGATCAAGATTCTCAGAGCTCAGGCCAAAGAGGTAATGCTTACCAATGACGGTCACTGCCGGTCCTATGCTTCCAAGACCGAGTTGTCTTCCAAGTAGCCATGTGGCAATGACGATTTCGATCGGATTTGCCCATACTTCATGGACTTCTTCGAAGGACTTGCAAATAGTCCTCACGTCGGTGCTGACCAAGGTCAGGGGCGCTGATGGATCACTTGCCTTTGTTGTATCTAGATCGAGATTATTTGACATGATGAGGGAAACTAGAGATCCACGGATCATGGTGATGTAACGGAAGAGTGTGTGCTGGTAGAATCCAATTGACAACTAATACAAGATGAAAGCTCATTAGCATGGAGGACTTAAGTTATGCATTCAGAGTGTAACACACCGCGTTGCCCAGGTAGACTAGACCTGTTGCAGCTATAAGACTGTATCCAATAGATTTAGGATCAGATCCTCGGTCGCCGTCCACGTATCTGATGATTCGGTTGATGAGAAACGGTTGCGAGAACCTGAATCCAATCAAGACAAGTCTGGGTATTGCCGTGGACAACAATGCCATTTTCGTCATGCTGAAGAGTGAGCGTAACAAGGCAAGTTTCCCATTCTCTCTCCTTTGATTCCAAGCACTGCTCAGCTTCTGGAGTAGGTATTCAGATCGTAGCTCTTCATCAATGTCGTAGAGGGTTGAAGCAGACAAGGTCGCTTTGAAACCTTTCCCCAGCAAACTATTGAGCCACCAAAAGAAACCACGGGCGACGATGCCGCTTGTGGCTTCGGGGCTCAAGTGCCGCAGAGCAGCGAGAAGGAATCTGCGTTTACCTTGAACTTCTAGTACAAACATGGTCAGCTTTACTGCCAGTGCTGCACTAAATACGCTCGCCAGCTTGTGCAAGCCGGGGAGGAGCCATAACGTTCGGCATTGCACAGCATCAAAGATGAGCGAGAAAGCAAGATAGACGCAGATGATGGTGGATGGTCGGATAGATCGGAGGTGCTCCGCGTGGCTGAGGAGAGCGAGAGCGAAGGCATCTAGAACACCAAGAACTGCGGCAGCGATCGATACGCGGTCGGAGTGTGGCGCCTGTGCCCATAGCGTGAGCAAGGCGATCTGAAGTCCACCGAAAACAATGCACGCGGCGATTTTGGCGACATTCGAGGGATGTCGTAGGACTTTGCGACGTTGATGGAAGAGCTGTTGAAGCCGGAGAGGGAGGACCAGAAGTAGTACAGCAGACGGGCCAATATTCAGTATAGACTGTTCGAAGAGAAGGGTAAAGTCGAATTGGTTGCCGCAAAGGGTTGCGACGGGCCCGAAAGACCACTCACATTCGGCAATGGCTGTGAAGTTGGCCATTGCCGTTGCCTGTGGTTGCTAATGTTGCAAATCGAAGGTTGAAGAACGTCTTGTTGAACGAACTCGCCTAGTGTTTAACTATGCGGTGATGTCAAAGAGGTTAAGCATCCCTTGGTGCAGCCAAGCGGCACATCTGGAGTGCTATCTTAAGTTTACGCGTAGGCAAAGCTCTTGATAGCCTGAAAACGCGAAGGATCGTGCGAGTCTGCTTAATGACTCGCCATCTGCTGCGGCAGTGTAACAGTGCTGATGCTAGTGCTGGAGGGCTTCAAAGGTTCGTTTCTGGAGCACTAGGCCACTAACAAGGCATGCTCATCGACTTTCATGTTGGGAATAAGATTGCGCGTTGAATCTTTGGCAGTTGTGGAGATTTCAGGTTGGATCAGGAGGTGGAATCCGAGCTCCGATATTCAGGGGGAATGTGAGAACGGTGATCAAAGACGGAGGCCATCTGAACTGTGAAATGAAACAAATTTGCAGGAATTGATAAACCTTAACTACCAGACTTAGGTTCCGGGGGGAGTTTGCATCAAATCCCATCTCCCCACATAACCCACACAAGACGGGATATTAACCAATCGCAGTCGTAATCAAGGCGCAGTATTAGAGTATTACCCACTAATCATTAGGCTATCGGGTAAGCTAATTCCAAGACAACGGTTCTCTGAACACCCAGACGGAGCTTGAGATGCCGATCTATGCATTTCGTTTGATCAGGTCTTCTGCAACCTTCTCGGCAGCGATAACGGTACCGGTCTCCGGACCCGCAGTGAAAAAGCCATGGAGTTTTACCACGTAAACAACATGCAGCTTCTCTGGCGCTTCGAAGTCGACGACTGATTTGCTTCCGTCGAGGACACAGTCAGTCCCGAGATGAGTGGTGCCAACCCAGTGACTGCCGATGCGGTCAATATTCACCGCCTGTGAAAATGATTCTTGACAGCTTGGATTCACTCTGACGTTTGGCATTGAATGAGATGATTACGACTTTGGGCGTATACTCTTATATCTTGACCCGAAGCTGGGTTGATGATCATGGTTGCAGGAATGGAAGGAATTGCCTCGCCGACTTCACTAACAGTAAGGTAATGACAAAGGCCTCGTAATCGTTGTTTCCGCCTTCATTGGAATAGTGCGCTATTGAACTCACAGTTCACTATGTCCGGGTGCTCAAAGAGAATGTTCGTCTGGTATGGACTAGCCGAAGAGACAAAGGGAATACAACATGAAGCATTACGCTGAAATGGTTGTCTTGGTCGTCGAAGTCATATCTAACTGGAAGGTCGATCCATTGAGCAGAGTCGATGGGTGGTCAGCTTCGGCTTTCTGCACAAGCTCGAGCAGATCATTCGGACCAATTCCGCTTATCAGGACTTGTGGGTAGCAGATTCACCAATTTGAAGAAGAAAGGCCCTCACTCTGAAACATAATTTTGGCTGTACCAAAATTCCAGCAGAAAGAACAAGACGGCCGCCAGCTACAAGCTTGACAGTACCATTGAACCCGCCATCATCGGCAGACTCCATTTTGTGTGTCAGTGACAGTATCTCAGCTTCTCTACACCCTGGTGACAAGAGTATTAATGCAAAGCTTGAAGTTATTGCGAGCTGCTGATGAAACGAAAAAAATCCCCGTCAAGCCCCTCCGCTCTCTGTGCAGGAAGAAGTACTTTGATTATGACACAGTCCTGTTCTTAGTATTTGGCTCATTATAGCTATTGAGGAGAATGATCCATGAACCCTTAGTTAATTAACCCTTTCTGCTGACTTCTTGTTGATGGCACAACCATGTCAAAAATCAGCAGCAAGAACATTGGCAAGGACGGAGGACCCGATAATCATCAAAACATCAAAATGAAAGGGACGAGACTCGAACTCGCGCGGGTTGCCTCACCAGGAAACAGATGTTAAGCTGACCTTAACCTGGCGCCATAACCAACTCGGCCACCCTTCCGGTTGATGATCTCAGAGGCAGCTTTGCTTACATGAACGGAGAAGCAGATGGCAACGAGCATCACCCGTGGCTTTGTCCTGCGTTGCGTTCCTATCTTTTCGACGCTGTTTGAATTTGAATTGTGGCTTGCCAGTACTCACTTGCGCAAGGGTGTGCGCTCTATTGAAAAGGCGTGGATAGTTGAACAAGAACGCGCTCGCATTGATGCACCCGCAAGTAGGATTTCTGTGAGTGAATAGCGATGCCTGCAATCACTCCTCTTATGATACAGGTCCAACCATAATGCCTTGTCTGAATATGTAGAATTTTTCAAACAAAAGTCAATAGGAAGTCAACCCACAAAGAGCCGGAATTGCATCCTCCCGCCCAGAGCTTCGCCATACGGTCCAGCTGCGTCAAGCAGCTCGGTTCAGCCAGCTCTATGATGACCTGCAGGATGTCGTCGCCGGCGAGTTAAAAAGTTGCCTGCACCTGCGCGGCCGCGCAGCTAGTTCTATTTCGACTAAGTATGAAGAAAAAGCTTGGTCCTAAGTCAAACAATTCTCGGTGAGCCTCTGAGTGCTAGAAACAAGATCGTACATTGAGCTGGAGATTTCAAACTTTGTTAAAGAACAAAGAAGCGTAGTAGTGGCTGAAGCTGAGACCATCAATAGGAAACATCTGATCATTGATGCACGAGGCGAGATAATACACCATTTCGATATCAACCGGAGGCAACGTCTCCTCAGACAATGATATTACATGAAGTTTCTCTGTTTGCACGGCACATTTTCCAGACTGGAGCCAGCTCGTCTGAATGATATTTGTTTCCAGTTCCGGGTGTCACTTGGTCACATCCACACATCTCTGCGGCAGCCTTAGAGGGTATGACAAATTCTTGGATATCTGGAGCGGTAGCACTAATTTCAGAGATCCGATCGCGGAAACGATAGGCATACCATTTATTTGGACTAGCCGCATAGATCAGACAGATCCGACCGAAGAATGGATTCCTTTCAGGGCAGAGCATGCAAACTGCACTAGCCACGATGATACCTCCATCCTTATTTAGGGACAAGTTCAACATGGCTAGAGTTCAACTTCTTACGCCTTTCAGCCTTGCATTTGCGTCTAAGTTGTAACAATTCCACATGCATCTCATTAACTTTGCAGGATTCACAGTACCTTGCTGAGAGGTTGAGTTCATCCCAAGGGACGGGCGAAGAACCTGTGTTTTTCGTTTGGTCTAGCATAGCTGACGCAAATAAACCTGGAGGCTAGCTGCACTTCTTCTCTTCGTTTTCTCCGGATTTTCTGTGAGTTCAAGTCTCTAAACGATTAATAATGGGTCCTCATAGCAGAAATAGTATAAACAACATATCTAGAAAGTCTAGAGCTAAGATTGCTCTCGGTCCTTAACCACTTCTTTTTTCAGAAGACGAGTTTTATATCGAGCTTTCCTCCTACTCCCATCTCATTAAGCCATAAGCAAGGTAAAAAGATGGGGAGGCGCAGTCGTAATAAAAAAGCCATGACATCTTCTTGTTGCCTCTAGGTTACCTTCGACTTGCAGTTTCATTGACTACCCAAGTATTGGACCAGGCCTCTCGTTATGACAACTAGTGAAAGTTGTTGGCGCATCGTCCATGCAGTCATGGTTGTAGTGGTTCAAGAGTCCACGTTTCCCAACGGCGCAGTAGTAATCCTCGGGCTCCCTCTCCAATCTTTGAAAAAGCAGATTTGGAGTGTGCTAGCTTGTTGAATGCTAGGTCCTCAAGGCCTATCTGATTACACTATAATCACTATGCAGTAATATTGATCCCATCCATCAAGCCACTGGCCCGCCAATCTTCCAGGAATCTCACATAGGCATGTATTCCAAGAGGGAATGGTGCTCCTCTGGCCAACTTCATTTGCGCCTCCGGCGAGACCTTTTCTCCTTCGTTATTCAAGTAGCTTGGTGTACAGACAGACATGCTGGAGAACCAGGCCGCACGCTGCATGATGAGGCCTACGTATGCCTCTTCACCCTCGGGCGTGCTCTCAATAACCACTTTATTGGTGCTGTTCCCTGCACGCTTCCTCGCTTCGGCAAGAATGTATGCGCAGTGCTGAGAGAGAATGTCCTGGACGTACGCAAAGTTGACCGTGGCGCCAATCTGTAGGGGGCCGCTCAAAAACAAGTTTGGGAATCCATGGGTGAGCACGCCGTGAAGCGTGGACGGGCCCTTGCCCGACCACTTCTCCGACATGAATTTACCGTTTCTGCCCTTGATCGCCATGTTAGATCTACCCGATGGCTCGGCCATGTCTGCTGCAGGCGCCCTGTAGCCGGTGCTCAGCACGATAACGTCGAGCGGATAGTCTGTACCACCAACCACAAGTGAGTTTTTGGTGGCGTGGTCAACCCCCTTGCCGTTCGTATCAACAAGGTGAACGTTTGGGAGGTTGAAAGCCGAAAGATAGTTATCGTGGAAGGTCGGTCGCTTGCACCATACTGGGTACCACGGCTTCAGAGCCTCAGCAACTGAATTGTCCTTTACAGTCTCCTCGACTCGGCGCCGAATTCTCTCAGACCTCGGCGCATCCAAAGCGAGTAGATTTCCAATGTGACCAGGAATCTCCTCTATCCCAACAGGATTCTCGTGCGGTGCGCCAATGAGGCCCCTGTAGGACTTCAGTCTCGTCCAACCATCATCTACCAAATTCTCTTCCGCTTCGCCACCGGTAACAAAGACATTGAAGTTGTCCATTCGACGCCTCTGCCAACCCCGGCAGTTGGCAATCTTCTTCCATTCCTCTGGATTCGTAGGTCTCTGACCTCTCTCGTCCACGGATGACGGCGTTCTCTGGAAGACATAGAGCTCCTTTGCCCATTTGGCCAGTTGCGGAACGAGTTGAATGGCAGTCGCACCCGTGCCAATGATGCCAACTCGTTTCCCCTCAAGGCCAGTGAGCTGGACGTTCTCGAGGTCCTCCGAATTTCCGCCAGTGATGTTGTAATTCCATCGTGCAGTGTGGAACATGTCACCCTCAAAAGCCTCCAGATTCTTGGCCGCTTTGGGGTGGTTCAGAACACCATTGGCGAGAACAACGAATTGCGATTGGACCGTCATCGTGATGGGCGACTCATTCGGGCCGCGGACTTCTTCAATGACCACGATCCACCGCTTCGCGTCCTCGTCCCACTCGTAACTCTTGATCTGCGAGCGGAAGACGGCCTTGTCCGTCAGGTCCCACGTTTCGGCCATCCGGTCCGCGTGAGCCCGCAACTCGTTTCCGTACGAATACCTGTGCTTCGGAACATAGCCCGTCTCCTCAAGCAGCGGCATGTAGGTGTACGACTCGACGTCGCACATGAGACCGGGGTAACGGTTCCAGTACCACGTGCCACCAAAGCCACCTGCAGCATCGACGAGGCGAATGTCATCGGGCTTGAAGCCGGCCTGAATGAACCTGATGGCAAAGAGCAGGCCTCCATAGCCTGCACCTAGGATGATGAATTTGACCTCGTCGCCGTCCCTGAGATTTGGTGTCTGGGCGTTGAGCTTCTCGTGATCGACCCATGGGTCCTGTGCCAGTTTGCTGAACTGCGCGTCCGACTCTATCTCAATATACTGCGCGTTGCCGTCAGACCGCTGGCGCTTCTCCCTCTCTTCTGTGTACTTCTTGTTGAGGGCCATGAAGTCGAGGGTGGTGGCCCCGGCCGCGGTGTCTGTTGTGATCTGTGGAGGCGCGGCCATGTTGGCGATGATTTTTCAGGTTAAAGGGAGTTGTAGTTGAGGTAGGTGAACCTGCTCTGGGGCCTAGCCTGCACCTGCGAGGAGGCGAATCGTCTAGTTTTGAGTCGACGAGACGTACGGGAACACATGCGGGGACAATCCAAGCGGTCTCCTCAAACAGCTCCAGTGACATCTTCTATGCTGGCGCTCATCATCTGATCTCTAATAGGGTCCCCCATGAGGGGGGCCAAGCATCCCCGCGTACAACGACATATCCGAGCCAGGGCGTGCTTGCGGATCTTCGTATTGAAGCTGCAACCTATGGATCAGTTGGGGACTATTATGAGCCTGTGGCGCCATTGTTCCCTCGGCCAGGAGGGTCCAATTCTTTAAGACCAACGCGGAAGTATTCGTATTCGTTTGTCGTTTGTCCAGTGCACCATGAGCGACGTCGCTTAAAGAAGTACGGTAGTCGTTGGTTGTTCTGATCCTGTGCTGGACCGAAGTGATCGTGGGATCTGCAAATGCCCGCCGATCTAAGGTCCGGCTCCTGCCCCGCCTGTCGTCCAAAGATGGCCTGATTTGACAATCTACGAGCGGCCTGTTGGTATTGGCTCAGAGATGTTGACAGAGGGTTGGCGGACGAACTAGTAACTCGTATGTACCCTCCTGGCGAGTGGCCCATATACTGCTGCACCATGGAACCAGGGTGTCTTTTTCCAACGGCATGATGCAGGTTTGTTTGCCTTGTTTGCCCCCTGCAGAGAGCTCGGCTTCGATTCACAACGCGACTGGCCCACCGCTACGAGACCGAAACCGATCAGACCACTCCGTCAATGGGTAGTTGCCGTTAGGTTGCGCGGACGCCCAGCGCCCAGGTTTGCAACTGACACAAGACTTAATCAGCATTCACTCAGTACTGGCGGGCAATGTTCTCGTTTGTGCGCCTGTCTGAAGTAAGCGAAAATGTTCCGGCGGTGTGGGTTCGAACATTGAAGCTAGGATAAAGCTAACACCAACTTTAAAGTCTATGAAGCGGAGAAGGGGACGGCTGCGCCTATCTCAAAACTATGCCGGCGACATTCCTGCGCTTGGGCTTAAGGGCCGTGTCTGAGGTACGGAACAATGAGGTGCCACGGCGCAGATCACTGTATAAAGTACTTAGGCATCGGCTTTAGACAAGAATCCCCGATTCAGTCAATGGAACTCATCTTCCTTGTAGTCACTTCCAAGTGTGATCTGAATGCCCAACCCATCCCAGCTTAAAGCTTCGTATGCTCTCAGTCGGAGGTCAATAGAAAGGGCTGCCCCAAGGTCTACTTGAACCTGCAGCTCCAGGGTTGGGCTTGGATCACCATTCTCGACTGTTAATTAACGGACTGATCATTAATGAACTTTCTATCCACTTTCATCCCCGTCCCATCCCTGGCTATCCCCTGTCCACCTGGACCCCCCACCTGGATTTAACCCCTCAAGCGTGGATTCTATTCCTCAAGCGAAGCGAAGGGTTTGCTGCCTTCAGAGAGGCTGGGTATGGTCTAGGCTCCAGCTTACCAGAACATTTTATCTGGACGCTTGGCGAATACGTCGACTGACACTTCAGCTGTTCAGCGAGAAAGACCCGGAGGTGAGATCCAAATTTCATCTCGAACTCGCTAATCGGGCTCGACTTTTGAACGCTTCGACGTCATGACTTCAGCATCAGCAATGGATTTCGACCTTCCTGACTACGATGACCTCCCGATCGTCGCAGGTATGCCCAAGGGCTGTGCCTGGGGCCTTTTCGACAAGGATGGAAAGAAAGACCTATATGGAACCTTGAACTTGCTCACTCCTGGAGTTATCAAAGCTGCCGGCGCTGAAATCCGTGATGGCGTGTCCATCTCGTTGAAGTCAGATGCCAACATGACCCAGTTTCCTTCAACGAACGTTCCATAGCTAACGCTGCACTAGCTGGCCTCTCGATAGTATGAACAAGTTGGGCATCCCAGGACGTAGGCAATCAGTGCACAAGGTACATTCCCTGCAGGCAACCGGACTAAGTCAAGGGACTGGCTGGGACGATGAACTGGAGTTCAACACCCAAGGCAGTAGCCAGTGGGACAGCCTTGTTCACTGGCAGCATCAACCGACGGGAATGGCCTATAACGGCTTCAAGCCGACAGAAGAAGAACTATCGGCGACCTCCACCGCATCCAACAAGATGCCTACCATCGACCACTGGCATGAGAGAGGTGGCGTAGTGGGCCGCGGAGTGTTGATTGACTACAAGGCGTATGCCGATGCTAAGGGGATCGACTATCACCCCATGGACGGCTACCGCATCACCATCGAGGACATTGAGGCTGTTGCCGAACACCAAGGCTTGGAGTTCAAGCAAGGCGACATTTTCTTGCTCAGAACGGGAATCACCGAGATCATAGACGAGCTGACACCGGAGGATTTCGCCAAGTTGGGGCAGTACAAGTTGTCCGGCGTGCATGGCACGGAGGAGACGGCTAAATGGTTCTGGAACAAGCATTTTGCTGCTGTTGCTGGCGATTCCAATGCTTTTGAGGCATTCCCCCCTCTCAAACCTGACGGAACTCTGGCGGAGATCACTGGCCTTGGTATGTTTTTGTTATTGTTGCAATATCCTGGGAGAACACATGTACCAATGAAGGACGACTTTAGCTAACTCTGATCGCAGTTCTCCATCCCTACTTTTTGAGCCTCTTCGGCATGCCCATTGGCGAGCTGTGGGATCTCAGCCGTCTGTCGGCGTACTGCAAGAAGACGGGGAGGTATTCATTCTTTTTGACTTCTGCGCCGATGAACGTCTCCTGCCTTGTAGGATCGCCGCCCAACGCTCTGGCCATTTTCTAGAATCTGGGTCAACGGGAACTTGAAGCATGGAAATGATTTTAGATGAACGAAGTCTATGTGAGCTCAAAAGGCAAGAACAGCATTTCAGAGCTCAATGGAATTGAATTAAAACCTGAGGTCAAGCCTCTTTAAAAGTGTATGAGGCTCGGCTGAGTCTTCGTCACGTGCAACTACAAGTACCTAATGTGTTGCTACATGTAAGGTAGTATTCTCGCACCTTACTTCACTCAATCTACGTCGTGGATGACTACGCACACGAAAAAAGGCTGGGCTTCATGAGGCTTATAGAATTTCTGTGACATTGTGTCTTGCACCGAAATGTTTGACATAGCTTCAAAATTGCCACGAAGTTGACTTATTGCTTTCACACATGGGAACGTATCGAACTCGATGAATGCAAACACGCGTTATCATTGACAGCTAAATTGGTATCAAACGTTCTTTTCCCACCAAAGAGTTCAAGGCTTCCGTCCATGCAACACAACACCTGACATCGCAAGCTATCTATCCTGATCCTATACAGAATAAAAGCGGTAAAGAACTCGCAGACATCAAAGCCATGAAAACGCCCACCAAAAGTATCATACCCTCCTCATTGCATGGCAGCAAAGACGAAGCCGGCAGCAGCGACAGCGGCAACAGCAATACCAGTTTCCTTTGGTCCGGCGTTCTGGCTAGCGGTAGTAGCGGCACCGGTAGCAGCGGCACCGGTCGCCTTGGCCTCGGTCGCCTCAGCACCGGTTGCCTCGCTAGTGAGCGCAGCCAGCCTGCTGCTGCAGTAGCCGCCAGAAGCCAGAAGGCCCTTGACCTCGGCCGAGATGATGGGGATATCGGTACACTCGTGCCACGCGTTCCGCATCTCCGACATGTGGGCGGTCTGCCACGACATCAAGGCGTTGGACCAGGAAGTATACACGGCGCTCATGGAGTCGGTGACGGAGACGGTGCTGCAGGGGTCTACCGCGGAATTGGCAATGGCTGCGGTGGCGGCCCACTCCTCGAGGTCGGCGGGTGGCGTGGGTAGGGGGTCGGAGCCGGTGACGGCGTCAACGAAGGCCTTGAGAGCGTTCGTGCACTCGGGCGTGCCGCGGGCTTCAAGGACTTGGATGATCTTGGTAGGCTCGATTCTCTTGTTGAGCTTGAGGTGGACGTCGCCCGCGGCGGCGGCGGTTGCGGCGAGAGCGCCGAGGATGACGGTAGCAACGCGCATGGTTATCAGAAGACAAGGGTCGAGTAAGAGGATGCTTTGACTGCTTCGAGACACAAGGGGTCTTTGGAAATTGACAGAGTCTGTGGAAAGCTAGTCGTGATATTTAACTGACGGAACGACGGAACCGAAACGTCCGCCTTCAACACTGGAATAGTGTCAGAATTTATACTTGGTTCTTCTCAATCTATCATGGGCTGATGCCTACGAGCAACCAAAGATACCCTTGCTCGATGACTCCAGCGAGGAAATGAATTTTTGAGGTCCAAGCCGACGACTTTCCATTCCAGGTTAACCCAATGGCACCCAACAACATTATTTCCGCCAAGCTTCGCGCTGTGCCGCCCGGCTGCCTACGAAGCGCATGTTGGCGCTGATTGGGGGTCCAGATGCAGGCTGATTGATGGGGCGGAAGGGGGCGGTTGGCCAGAGTCTGACCCCGTAATGAATTTCTGAGTGCTCAACCCTGGTTCTGATCAGCCAAGGAAGAAAGCTGTCTTGCTCGGCGTTTGGGCGGTGAAGAGCATCACGAGGGGAGGCTCAGGGGTTGGATACCTGTGGCATCTTTCTGTCATATCGAGCGATGGTAGTTTTGTCACACAGCCATTCCCTGAATGCTGTGCCGTTCGTGTTGTTCTCCCACGTGAAAGACTCGATGAGTGTCACACAATGTACAAACCGAATGAGCTGGGTTGGCTGCTACTTTTGGGTTAGATCATCCGGATTGGCCTCAAATTTTATGTCAGGGGTTCGAGTTTAAGCGGAGCTGTTTCCGTACCTGCATGGAACGGTGTCCGTACCGAGACCCTTGAGCCAAATCCGCCGTTTGCTGACATGGGTTACCAAAGTCCCAATCTTTAAGCAAGACCGGTTTCTAATTCGCGCCAATCACACCGAATGGTTGTCACAACTGAGAGATTATTAGGTTCGAAGAACGAATTTATTGACGTGGTGAGCGCCGACTCCGGTCAAGATAGGAGCGCAATAAGGCTGATTTAGGCGGACCCTGCACGATGTTACGTACGACTGGTAGCTTGGGCTGGTCAGATTCAAGTACATTATCGAATACTATTATCGAATACCATGGAGACAACACAATCCCGCATGGATTTATTACAAGTTAATTGAAAGAAAGTTGGAAGAGATCGTCTCTCATCAGAAATCTTTAGATAGCTCTTTAAGAACGAGGTAAGCAAGGTTTCTCCATCAGATTGACACTCCAATCATCATACGCAACACAGATATCAAGACCCTTCAGCTCAAAGACCTGTTAAATTACAGCGAGGGAGTTTGGTTCCTTCTGATGTTTACCAATAATCTCGTCGGCTTACCGACTTTATGTTATAGCCATAACACCACTGTCAATGGCAATGTCCTCAGAGTTTTGACGGAATATGACAGCTTGTTAATATTGACGAATAAAAAGAGCCTGTAGACCCGAACTATTATAGACAAAATGATATGTGTGATTGGCGAATGGTAGCCGAAGATTGATGAAGTGGACGGTCGCGTTACAATCACCGAGATACTTGCAAACACTGTTCATACGAGGTTCGGGAATAGAAGACATTCTTCGACAGGGAGGACGATGGGGCGAATAATATCAATAGCATAACTCAGATCACAATTGTCATAAATCTGAATAAAGAGATGAATAAACCAGGAATTAATTTGATGATGTTAGCTGAATTAATAATTTTTTGCTCGAGATTATGAGCTAGATCGCATCTGTTACTACAGTAGTGTCTTTATAAAGACATGGAATGGTAAACACACGGGAATTGGATTTGACACCACACTCCGAATCGAATGCAAGTTCAAATCTTGAACTACATGACGATGAGACGCATCTTATATCCGTGACTAAAGCAGCTGAAAGCTTGTCGTTATCAATTAATCGACATTTAACCCGGAGCGTTCACTAAATCGTCCTTGGCGTCAGGTTGAATGATTTCGACTCTTTACTGAGCACCTGAAAGCTTGTATTAATATTGGATCAAGGCGGAAAGACGGGATGACCTTCCAATCAGACCTTGAAAGAGTGTCTGCAGTAACGAGTCTAGGCACCCGCATCCCTAGTCTAGAAACGGGACGCAGCATGATCACTACTCGCATCCAGCGATGGATCTCTTAAGAGAGCATTGCAACGTAATTGGATCGGATTCAGTCCAGAATCCATACAAAAGAAGCAATATGGCAATCACTGAATCAGGACTACTACACTTATCAGGTTCTGCTATACCCTTCTTTATGGCTCAATCTACTAAATAACCCTGCTAAGTAGTCATTTAGGTGAGGAAGGCCTCTGCGATCGATGAACGCATGTACGTATCACTCGCCTTGTGCATCTTTCATCATCTTACTGATCAACAGCTCGAACTGTATCGCTCCGCTAATTTCGAGCGTCGTTGGTTACACCAGTGAATACGGCCGGCGATATCACGCCTTCAGTCCAGGTAGTGAGGCAAATAGCCATCCGAAGCACCTTTCGAAATGACTCTACGCCCTCTGCTAGCATATTCCATACCGAACGATGACGTGTGGGCTTCATTATCCTTACCGCGATATAGCTGACCGATCACTAATGCTTCTTGACTACAGGCCAAGACGGAACGTATTGACATGTGCCATGCATTGATGGTGAAGGCGATCGGATCAAAGCTTTACTTGGCGCCTCTCGAAGAGCCCAAAGTGCACAGGATCTTTGATATCGGGACTGGAACTAAGTTAAGTGGGTAGGGATCATCTGCTGCGGCGCACTCGGTGGCTGACCAGATAACTCACAGGGGCTCTTGAGATCAGCGATGTTTTAACGGACGCCGAGGTTATTAGAAACGACCTCAGCGCCATGCAGCCGAGTGGGTGAGTCTTATGAAGAGCCATGTGCTCAGTCACTCCAATTCCAGATCTCAAAGTCAAGACGGGATTGTCGTGATGAATACTATCTCAAGGGCCCCATCCAACGTCCGATTTGAATTTGACGACGTTGAAAACCCTTTGGGTGAGCAAGCCTACGACTACATCATATGCTGATACATGGCCAGCTCAGTCCCAGATTGGCCGACGTTCGTGAAGAATATCGATAAGTGAGCACAAATTCTCCACCAAACCTTGCGCTCCAATTCAGAGAAGGAATGAGGTTCATGTGTTATATCCTGCGAGTGCGATGAATGCAGTGCGGAGGGGATGAAGAAGTTGAAATGGGAACCGGAGAACAGCATGACGTCTAAGCACAACGTTGCGCTTGGTGCATGTTCTTACACATCACTCTGATATCAACAAGAAAGCAATTAACGGGGTGCCGTCTCTCTGCCGTCCAACCTCTGTCATCATCATTCAGGACATCCCAGTGATGGCGTTGAGAGTGGTGGGGTTTGAGTGGGCGGCAAGATGCGGGAGAAGTTTGTGAAAATACCAAACCATTGGGCGAACGGACCAGTTTCTGAGTTTTTTGGTGGGAACACCTGCGGAGGCGACATGCGTAAATTTCGTCACGCAGATCGAACCCTAAGGCTTTGCTCGGAACAACTGCACACACAGAACTTGACCGTGGTTCGCGATCCTGTTGGTTCCGGCATTCCTAGTTATTCCGTCCATATGCAGCAAACAGCAGGCCGGCCTTTTTTTCAACTTCGACCATACGGGGGCTGGTTCAGATATACATCGGTTGGCAGTCATTTCGAACTGTTCTGGCCCGATACTTTGAACAATCACATCAACGCTGATTGTGTGACGCTAGCATCATTCATCTAAAATGGCGCACCAGAACGGCGGAAATACGGTCTTGCTGACTGAAGAAGAATCCCAGCGTATTCGAACCACCGTACAAGAAACACAAAAGAAATGTTCAACGCAAAAGGGCAACGCCAGAGAGTTTCGGGATGCCCACGCTACCGTTAGCCAGGCGACGGGCACCTCTCTCATGATGGACATGGGCCAGATGACTGGACAGAGTCAGGACACAATACCAGCTCTCGGCGTTGGTCAGGCTTACCCTCCAAGCACCGCATCTCTAGAGGACTTGAAGCCCATGGCATTTTCCGAACTCACAATAGACACACATCACCGTGGTCGTTCTTTGACCGTGAAACGTGCTAGCCGCTGCCCGGTGGTGGCCCTTGCTGCCCGATCCTGGACCGTAGTCCAAGATGAGGAAGAAAAGGAGACGGAGCGTTTGGAGATGGTCCTGCATAAGACAACAGACGGCGAAGACACCCTCGAGTCGGCACGGCGTTTCGTCATCAAGGAGCCGTACTTCACCCTGACTGAAGAGGGTGAGGCCACATTACGGATCGATCACCCTTCGGACCTTGTCATTATCAGGGAGGAGATTGTGAAAGGCAGTTTGACCGAGCTCGAAGACGGAGCCAAAGGGGAGGAAATTGCAAAGAAGTGCAAGGACAAGGGTAATGCGGCGCTGCAGAAAAAGGATCTCCCGCTCACTCGGACAAGCTACTCCCAGGGACTCAAGGTTGCCAGGCAAGAGCCTGTCCAGAAGACGAACCCGGACATCGCACGAGACATTGCGCGAAACCGGGCTCACGCGCATCTGCTGATGGACCGACAAGACGAAGCCATCGCCGACGCAAAGGCCTCTCTCATCGGCGCTGACGACCAAAAGTCCAAGGAACTCGACAGCAAGGCCTACTTCCGCGCCGGCAGCGGTGCTTACAACCTCGGCCAGTTCGAGGAGGCCAAGAAGTATTTTGAAGAGGCCCACAGACTCGCCCCCGCAGAGAGGGGCGCGGCTGTCTACCTGCGCAAGGTCGAGATGCGGCTTCGCGAACAGGAAAAGGGATCGTATGACCTGCAGAAGATCAGGGCCAACCTCTCCCGAGTCTCTCCACGAGCTGATGCAGCAACCTTCACAGCCAAGACTGAGGTGAAGGAGAGCAAGGGCCGAGGCCGTGGCTTGTATGCGACCTGCGATATTGCAGTTGGGGAGATAGTCATGGCCGAGAAGGCTTTTTGTGTAGTCTGGGGTCACGAAAGCGAGGTTTTGACCGCCATGACCTATGATGTCCGCGACGACAAGATTAGGGTGGCGCCCGTCGGCTTGACCAAGGCCATCTCGCAAAAACTCCTGCGCAACCCTTCCCAGATCGCGAGGGTGCTTGATCTCTACGGAGACTACCAAGGCGAAGGTAAAACGGTGTCCGAGACGCCAGAGGGCCCGGTAGTCGACGTCTTCCGAATCCACGACATTGTCTCTCGCAACGCCTTTGGTCCCGGCGGCCAGTACGGCGAAGAAGGCGCCAGGAACGCGAGCACCGGTCTCTGGGTCTGGGCAGCCTACATCAACCACTCTTGCATCGCCAACGCCAAGAAGGACTACATCGGTGACCTCATGGTCCTCCGCGCGCTTCGACCGATTGCAAAGGGAGAGGAAATCTTCCACAGCTACGATGAGTTGAGCAACTACGAGGCTAGACAAAAGGCTCTCATGACGACGTGGGGCTTCGAGTGTAACTGTGCGCTCTGCTCCGGCGAGAGGACCGACGACGCCAAGTTGCGCCAGAAGCGGCACATGCTGGTCAATGACGCGGATGACTTTGTTTCGACGACGCACTGGACCAACGCGAAGAGGATCACCATTGCCAAGGCTCAGCGTCTGGCGAGAGAAATCGATGCGACGTATGAAGACAAGAAGTACGAGGGCGTGCCTCGCCTGGCATCGGAGAGAGTTCGGGAATGGCTCACAAAGGCATCTCCTCGCAAGTGAAGGCATTCCTTGTTCTTTTTTGCATCATTGTTGATCGATTGGCCCGTATGATATTGGGTATAGATATCCGGAGATGAGAGGTCATATCGGGAAAAACTCCTAGTATATGTCGGGTGAGTGTTCGCGTTACATGTAGCCATAACGTTGTTACGCCTCGTCCATGATGCTTGTGAGTGAGTCTTAGTCTTTAAAGTTCTCACAACTAATACCAAATCGACCATGAACCACTCATACGAATGAAGTGCTTTGGTTTTTGTTGTTTACTACATGCATGGAGAGGCTGCGAAGATCTCGTCTGCCTCAAAAAGAGATTGGAGTGTTCCTCTCATTCACCGAAAAGAGGAGAGTCTGGGAAGCCCCGCAAGAGCTGCCTAGCCATATTCGCCAAAACTTCCATCTAGATTGGAGGAATGAAGCAAAACCACATGAGCACTTCGTTCTTGAAATTCTGTTGTCTTCAATATTTGTTTCTGTTCTTTCTACAGTTGTAGACGGGATTTTCTGTCATATGACCTAACAACTCGAGCAAGAGGAGGATGCAACCAAAGAAGCAGCGATTGAATGTGAACTCTGCGTCACAAGCAGCCGTGATAACTCTTTGCAAGACGGCTCGGTGAGTCGTCGTATTAAAGCCTACAATCTGGGGCGATCATAAGGCGATCCGGAAACGTGGTACGCTAGTCATGTCACGAGATACCGTGAGGGGGATGGCGGGAGTTTGTGGACAATAAGGGAATGACATGTTGAGAGCGGAACCGCATGGGTAAAGCGGAACCGCATCTCCTCATGTTGCACCGTGCCACCAACGCAATCCCAGGGAGATCGTCCCCCATGATCAATGAAAAGGTTCAGTCAGCCAATTGCGGAGGAAAGGTTTGGCATTCTACAGGCTTTCTGCGAACTTAGTCCTGGTTCCGGTGAATGCCGCGGCGAACCACAGACTCACAATCAGGTGCTTCCCCTCTTCTGCAGGCAATATCCCCACATTGTCCCCAGACGTCACGGAACGTCAGCACATCAGCTCACAGCCTGCTCGTCACTGATATGATCTGACAGTCTTCATCCAGAGACTCGGGACTGTTGGCTGCAGGATACATACCAAGCAATTTCCCAACTTCGCCATTGATGTGGTCACACGAAGTTTGCAAACTTTTTGACCTTGAATCCTATTCTGAAGTTAAATTAGCCCAGTAACTCTTACAAGTAGTCAAAGAACATCGTTCACCATGGCGGCTACTTCACGAGCTGCCAAAGCTTTCATGCTCCGAACCTCAAAATCAACACTACCTGCACTCACAGCCTCCAGCCGGGCGACGTGCTTCTCCCCAGCCTTGACTCGCACAAACTTGAGCCCTGCCGGCTCGCTATTGATGCGCCATCTCGCAACGATGAAAGCCCTCGTCTACGACGGTTCCAACTCAGTATCTTTGAAGGACAAGCCCCTTCCGTCCATTTCAAAGCCAACTGACGCCATCGTCAAAGTGACCAAAACAACTATTTGCGGCACAGATCTCCACATTCGCAAAGGCGACGTAGCGACATGCCAACCAGGCACGACATTGGGCCACGAGGGAGTGGGCATCATTCACTCGACGGGAGCTTCAGTTTCACGATTCAAAGAAGGAGATCGCGTCCTCATTTCATGCATCTCTAGCTGTGCCACGTGCGAGTACTGCCGCCGGGGTATGTACAGCCATTGCACGTCCGGCGGGTGGATCCTCGGAAACACCATTGACGGCACCCAGGCCGAGTACGTCCGCATTCCCCACGCCGAATCCAGTCTCCACCCGATCCCAGACGGCGCCGACGACGCCTCTCTGGTGATGCTGAGCGATATTTTCCCCACAGGACTGGAGTGCGGCGTGCTTAATGGCAAGGTGCAGCCGGGCGGCACTGTCGCCATTGTGGGCTCGGGCCCGATTGGTCTGGCGGCTATTATCACTGCTCAGATGTACTCTCCGTCTCAAATCATTGCCATTGATATGGACGCGAAGAGGCTTGACGTCGCACGGAAGTTTGGCGCGACGGAGACCATTGACAGCTCCAAGACAGATGCTGTCACCAAGGTGAAGGAGTTGACTGACGGCAAGGGTGCCGATTCGGTCATTGAAGCGGTGGGAATCCCAGCAACCTTTGATCTGTGCCAAAGTCTACTTGCCCCCGGAGGTGTCCTGGCCAACGTGGGAGTTCATGGAACCAAGGTGGACCTTCATCTCCAAAATCTATGGGACAAGAATATCTGTGAGTTCAAGGAAATCAGGCTATCAGGCCGATTGGAAACTTTGGTGTCTATTCTGACTCAAGCGTGCAGCAATCACAACTAGACTCGTGGACACGATAACGACGCCCATGCTTTTGAAACTCGTGCAGTCTGGCAAATTGCAGCCATCACAACTCATTACTCATCGTAAGTATATTTTCTGTTTCTGACAGAGAAAGAAACTAATGGGACTTCCAGACTTCAAACTTGGAGACATGGAGAAGGCATACGATACGTTTGGAGAAGCATCTAAGCATGGTGCTTTGAAGGTTGTGATTGATGTCGATTGAAATTTTGGGACCCATAAATTCTGGTTGGATCTCACAAGAAATAAGATGCAGCCTGACTCAAGTTGACAGTCCGGTGATTGGTGGTAGGCTTGATAGCCATTGTGGTTGGTACATGGGGAAGCATGGTCGCGTGGAGATAAGGAATGATACCATGATTGAAGTAGCTGCGGCTGTGAAACATCAAATTGTACATTAATTAATGCCTTCCACCAGTGTGATTATCAAGCTTGAAAAGGTGAAACTCGAAGTTCTGCGCTCTTTAGGTGCCGTAGTCGCAGCAAGTATCGATGAAAGCTTCGTCACAGGGAGGAGCTCGATGAAGCTGGTTATAATATCACCCGAGACTGGGTTTTGCTTACACGCCATCATTTCATACCTAGGCTATCCCGAGTGCCAAGCGCCTTTCAAAGCTGTAAAACTCTATGGAATGAAACCATCAGATACCAGAGGTATCCATCGCAATGCTTATCTAGATACATAGATTATAGATGCCGATTTTGTCCTCGCGATGTTATCTTACTTTTTTGAGCGCAGCTCCTATCCCGCGCAGAAAAAACGAGAGGTGAGGGGCTAAAGTTAGATAGGCATAGCCAAACTTGGAAACGCATCGGACCATTTCATCCACATCCATTTTTGTAACCTCATTCAAGGCACACCGATGATCTGCATCATGGATACGACTGCCGAATCGTGAAAAGAAGTCGCCCAACTACCATGTCGCCGGGTTCAGGTAGCGGCACCCCCACGTTCAAACTCCATACCAAAGTCTCCCGAACTTTGATACTACATTGATAAGAGTGTTTGGGAAGGTGGCATACTAAAGTGCTACTAACACATGCTTCGAGGGGTTGCCTAAGCAGTTCTGGACCATCTCTTTCCCACGTACGGCTTAGCGCCGGCATGGATGAGATCTTGAAGTTTGTAGAATAGGCCAATGGTCCATGTATCGGTTCGATGGTTTATCGGTCTGTCTGGTTGGCTCTCAATAGACTCGAAGAGGTAGGGAATTCTTTTGGTAGTTTGGGAGAGCAGAACTCTGGCTGGCTTGTATATCATTGTCGAGCCTGTCACTCTTGTTTCTTTGTATGGACTCAACTGTGTCCGTAGCTATCATGACAAACACGACCATTACATTCGATATTCCAGGCACGGTGCAGCTGGTCGACACACAAGGCGTTCTCGACGTGAAGCATGGCTCGGAGCACACCAACATCGTTCTAGTTCCACAACCGAGCAGCGATCCGAATGATCCGCTATCATGGTCGCAAAAACGCAAGAGATCCAACATCTCCTGGGTAATGACATGGTGCTTCTTCGGAGCCGCCATCATATCCGGCCTGTCTCCCGCCTACCTACAAATCGAAGCAGACACCGGCATTTCCGTAGCAGATCTCAGCACCGGAAATGGCCTCATGTTTCTCTTCCTCGGTTGGGGTACTCTGCTCACCCAGAACTATGCGCTTAACTACGGACGACGCCCGACGCTTGTCTTTTCCATGTTCGCAATAACCTTTATCAGTCTTTGGTCGGCCTACGTCAAGTCCCGAGCCGAATTCTTCGTGAACCGCATAATCATTGGCATCGTTTCCTCACCAATGGAAACTCTGATCGAAGTCATAATTGACGACCTTTATTTTGTCCACCAACGAGGCTTCTACATGGGTATCTACAGTTGGACATTGTGGTGTGGTGCCTTTCTCTGCCCGGTAGCCTCTGGGTTCGTCGCCGAAAACCTGGGATGGCGATGGATCCAGTACATTTTATCAATCATAGGAGGCGTGGTCACCATTTTGACCTTTGTCTTCTTCGAAGAAACCATGTTCTGCAGGAGCAGTCCGCAGACCGGGATTCAAGAAATCCCCGATCAGCAGCAAGGTCCCTTTGATAACGACAAGAGCGCGATCAGCAACGAGTTGTCGGAAGACAAAAAACTTCGAGCAGCAGATGGTTTGACCTCTGTCAACGCCGACATTGAGACACACACCTTGCCGCACCGCGTCGAAGTAGCACCTGGAAAACCTTCCTGGTCAAGACTAAGACTATGGGGTTATAAAGACAATCGAAAGCCGAAGCAGTTCAAGCGCTATCTTTTGCCCTTCTACCTCCTTCAATTTCCCTCTGTCATCTTTGCCGGCATTCTAGTCGGAGGAATTCTTTCGTGGTACAATGTCGTCGGCGGCTCCCTAGCTCTCATCCTCGGCAAACCACCATATAACTTCGGTTCCAACGTCATCGGTCTCTTTTACCTGGCGTCGGTGATTGGGGTCTCCATAGGGTGTCTCATGACCAGCTGGGCCAGTGATGCCTTGTCAGTCTGGATGGCTCGCCGACATGGGGGCGTGATGGAACCCGAGCACCGGCTTTGGCTCTGTTTCGTGGCTATTGTAGCCCATCCAGTTGGTTGCGTCTTATACGGCGTAGGGGCTTCCTATCAAATCCACTGGGTCGGTATTGCCTTTGGCCTGGTCATGATATCTGTCACTCTCCCCCTGGGAACAAGTATGGCGTTCACCTACACTCTTGATAGCTTCAAGGACCTTGCTGGCGAGGGGTTCGTGTCAGTTATCCTCATCCGGAACACGATGGGTAAGTAAATGATGCCTGATCCCTCAAGTTTGAGACTGTGGCTAACAGCTTTCAGGCTTTGCTTTCAGCTATGCTGTAGTACCCATGATCAATAGCATTGGCCTTCGTGATGCCTTCATAGTGACAGCTGTTCTTGGGGTAACGTTCTGGGCACTGTGTCTGATTATGATGTACGTAGGAAAGCCCCTACGGCGTATGGCAGGACCTCGCTACTTTGACATGGTGGAAAAGCATGGTCTTTCAGGGCACTGAGCGTCTTTGCGGAAAATCAGCCGCATTTTGCAGAGAGTTGAATGTATCTACTCTGACCTTTTCTAAGAATAACAAGCGTACTTGGCCATAACACATCCGTGGCGTGAACCTAAATGTACTCCCATCCAAGCTTAACCTTGTGCTATACATGGACTCTTCGGGTTAAATCAACGCATTGTGAATTCTCGAAGGTCCCAGTTTACACCTTGGGATTGTTTGCCCATACTACCTTATGTACCTTTCACAACTCATGCATACAGCTATGGTGACAAAAGTCTTCGGGAGGAGCTTCTCAGTCTGTAGTTTCATTGAAACATCGTATTTATGAGATAATACGACGGTATCGTCTTGAGGGCCCTTGGTTGTCATTACACATGTCATTACACAGATACGACATTAAGATCCTCGTGAAAACGGGCCTCAAGCAGCTTTCCAAGTATTCGGAGCAATAAACGAGTGCATACACTTTAACCCGTCTACATATGCCATGCAAACCGTAGATATCAGTCAGCCACGTCCACAAAGAACTTACTATTCCTGTGAATGCGGTCCATGAAGTGCTACCTGGCTGTCACGGCATCTCGGGCGATGATTGGGTGCCTCCAGAAGCTCGAGTAGGTGTGATGTAAGACAGAAATCTGGCCGTGCTCCTCGAAGAGAACAGTGCCCTCTTTCCAAGTGGAGTAACAAGGCGGACCACTTTGAGACTCACGTTTTGCTACGACCTTACAAGCCAACCCTCGGTACTGATTAGCTCGGCCCCTTTTGTCATTGGGTAAGATAGATGAACTGAATGCGGTAAGCCGAAACCCGCAATACTAAAGCAATCCAAGGAGGAAGATCGGCCACACTGAGCTTGGCATTATTTGGACACACCAATCCCCCCCGCCCTTGGCTTAAACCCCCGCACTAGCTGCATGGTAACTACTTGAGCCTCTTGGCTACTCTTCCTGACAGGTTTCCCAGTAGATAAGTAGCTGAGAAATGGTCCCGGTGCACCTCGGACAGCCCTTCCTATGAAGCCTGCTGCCAAATTTCTTTCAAACCCGATCGGCGCCTCAGATTTTGTACAATCCTGACCATGGCTTCTGCCCAATTCTTCAACTATCCTGGCACCGAGTCCAACGCGGAGCAATATCACTATTCCCAAGCCGTAAAGCTTGGAAACATTGTTCGTACATCTGGCCAGGGCGGCTGGGACGAGAAGGGCAACATCACCACCGACCTTGAAAAGCAGATAACTATTGCTTTTGACAACGTTCTCAAAGCCCTTCAAGCTGCCGACAGCCGCCTCTCCTTCAATGACATCCACGCAGTTCGTTCCTATCACCTGGACATGGACTCGAGTTTCGATGTCATGACTGCGACTTTTAAGAAACTGTTCCCAAATCACCGACCTATCTGGACATGTATCCAGATTGGAAAGCTCGGGCTCGAAGGCATGCAGGTTGAAATCGAGGTCGAGGCGTTGATTCCCGCCTAGAGACATGGCAATAGAATGCCAATAGGATTTCCCCAGCCATCGTCCAAGGATAGTAGCGCAATCATGCAGGGCTATAGTAGCTATCGATAGTCACAGTAATATCAGTCATCTAAAGTCGTCTTGGAAAACTTTCACCTTCTCATCATTTGACGATGCTGGAGTGATTGCGGAAGGCCACTCTTAGCTAGCACACGGGGAATATTACGTTTACTGCTCAAAAGGGTCAGTGATAAGCCATGGAATCCGGGCTGATATCCAAAGGTTCCAGCATTCTCACATCAAAGTTGCTTGGAATGTGATTGGAGGTTCACGGTATGAAAAATGTTGGTGTTAGTTCCCACACATTGGGCAAAAGGTCCAAGCCAAGACGCAAGCTCACCCTGATACAAAGTCGGCCACATGCGACGATGATGCAATAAGCAAATCAAGTCAATGCTGGTGGGGACTTTAAATGGCAGCAGGAAAGTAGGTTTATTTTCTTAGTTCCCTGTACAATGCAGTTTGCAATCTTTCCCATGGTAAGAATGGGTAATTACTGCGCAAGTATCCGTGAGGTGTGGTGGATGTCTTGTGATGCCTGTTTCGGCTATCTTTTTCCGACCTGGACTAGGCAAACTGTCACGGTCTTGGTAATATGTACTAATAATTAAACCAAGCAATCAAAGAGTTGAGTTTCCGCTTGCTCGCCCCCTCTCAATCATGTTGTCCAACCACTCTATGCAGCGTCCCCCGAACCCCGCGAAAATGGTCAAAAAAGTTGCCCGATTTGGACAGCGCTTGTGGGAGACCCCGCACCCCTCTCGGTGGTGTTGCGGCTGGGAAGTAAACTCGGTGGGCTCATAGGGCCGTGAGACAAAATCTTGTCCATCTTTTGCCTGCTCCAGGATCTCTGGGCCGCCATTGTGGCTCCGTCCGATAGCTAGCTGCTGATAATCTGCAGAATCTGAACGATCCGCTCCCCACTTGTCTGGGACACTTCTATGGCGGAGTCCCAGTGATCCCATTTATCGCCCAGTCTGTGCGACATGCAACCATAACCTGCGTGGATAAGAAAGCGAGCTGCCTCTGGGTTTCGACACGAGGCCAGGCGCATTACGTTGATTAGTTCATCGAGCTGCGTCTTGGTTTCTTCCCCTACCCACGGATTTTGCAGTTCCCATCAGAATGTCAGCTCCCACCTTAGACCTCACAGCGCCGAATGGCACGAAGATCTCCCTGCCTACAGGGCTCTTCATCAACAATGAGTTCATCAAATCCAGCTCAGGCTCCAAAATTACAGCAATCAATCCAAGGCACGTTGAAGATTGAACGGTTTTCATCCTTGACTTCTAAACTAATTATCTGACAGTGATGAGTCGGAGATCGGCATAGTGGAAGCGGCATCACCAGAGGATGTAGACAAGGCCGTAAAGGCAGCACGCGCAGCTCTCAGTGCCCCAGGCTGGGGTGACATCTCTGCAACAGATCGAGGCAGGCTGATTTACAAGCTCGCCGACCTCGTCGAGGCACACCAAGAGACTCTCGCCACGATCGAAACGTGGAACGGCGGCAAGCCTTATGGCGTAGCTCTTGGAGAAGACCTTGCTGAGACCATTTCCACGTTGCGCTACTACGCCGGTTGGGCCGACAAGATCCACGGCGAGACCATCCCGACGACGCCCCAGAAGTTTGCCTATACGTTGAAACAGCCGATTGGAGTTTGTGGACAAATTATTCCGTGGAACTACCCACTCATGATGGCGGCGTGGTTAGTAAATTCGCTCATGTCAGTGAGGATATCTGATTTAACGAATTTTCTAGGAAGCTCGGTCCAGCACTGGCGTGTGGCAACACTGTTGTGTTGAAGCCGGCAGAACAGACGCCTCTCTCTGTTCTGTACTTTGCGAACTTGATCAAGGAAGCCGGTTTCCCTCCAGGAGTTATCAATATCGTCAACGGCTCAGGAAGAGAGGCAGGTAATGCCCTGGTTTCTCATACCGATGTTGATAAAATTGCTTTCACCGGCTCTACCGCAACCGGAAGACAGATTATGAAGTCTGCGAGCATCAACCTCAAAAATATCACGCTCGAGACTGGCGGAAAGTCGCCTCTGGTAGTGTTCAGCGATGCAGACCTCGACCAAGCAGCAAAATGGGGCCATGTTGGTATCATGAGCAATCAGGGCCAGATCTGCACGTCCACTTCCAGGATCCTCGTTCATGAAGATGTCTATCAGGATTACGTCGCACGCTTCAAGAAGATATGCCTGGAGAACAAGGTCGGCAACCCCTTCGACGATGACACGTTCCAAGGACCCCAGATCACGAAGGTACAATATGAGAAGATCCTGGGTTACATCCAGGCCGGCAAGGATGAAGGTGCCAGCCTCGTGACCGGAGGAGTCCCGTACAAGAACGTGGGCGACGGCAAAGGGTTCTTTATTGAGCCAACAGTCTTTTCTGATGTGAGGAAGGATATGAGGATCTTCCAAGAAGAGGTGTTTGGTCCTTTTGTCGCCATCACACCCTTCAAGACGGAGGAAGAAGCAGTCGCATTGGCCAACAACACCTCTTACGGCCTCGGGGCTGCCTTGTTTTCGCGCGACATTGAGCGGTGCCACCGCATCGCCGCCCGCCTCGAGTCTGGAATGGTTTGGATCAATAGTTCCAATGACTCGGATATCCGCGTTCCTTTTGGTGGTGTCAAGCAGAGCGGTATCGGGCGCGAATTGGGAGAAGCTGGTCTGGCTGCTTACACGCAGACGAAGGCGGTACATGTGAACTTGGGACTCAAGCTTTAAGTTGGGGAAGCAGATTATTTTGCAAGTTCAGGAACACTTAATCTATTGCCAGTTCAAATCTATTCTTCAATTATAGCACAACAGCATCGGAGGCTAATTGGGAAAACATTTCTGACCAAGATACGTCCTCTCGAGTCGCCTTCCAGACGTCGCACAACACCTCGGTAACAGAATGTAACGTAGCGAACCGCATCTCATCCCTAATGACATGCAATATGCCCGACACCGCCTTCCGATGTCGTGGAGACTGGACATGCGCGCCACCAACGAGCAAAGGGAAAATGACACAGTTGAGCACCTTTGACGGCTGTTTCATATCAATGATACATTCCAAACAAGGTAATACGTGCTGTTGTACAAGGGAGTGGGAGACTGGCAGACCACAAATGGCTCGATACATGTAAATGAGAGCTGTATGCTGAAAGGCACGAATAAGAGTGAAATCGTTGTTAGCCTCCGAGTCTGGATCCGCATCTCCAGTATTATCTGAATATGTGTCTGTAATCCTGGCATACATCGGAGACAAAGCCGTCTCGAACTTTCGGATAGTTTCCATTGAGAGCTGCTCGGTGCCGTTGTTGAGAGCATCTCGGTATTCTGCTAGCCGAGATATTTGCTGAAAGACTGAGGCTAGTGATGAGCGCCCCTGGATGTCTCTTCCCCACCACACGGATCTCTTTTCTATGGTGTCCCAAATCTCGTGAGGAAACGACGGTTTCCCGCCCTTGAGCATGATTGTTGTGAGATCCGTTGACGCGAACTCTGAGAGGAGCATGTGGATCGGCTCATGACTCGTCTCCAGAACTGGAAGTATGCCCCCGAGGCTCTCGATTATGGCCTTGACGCCCCCGTGGTGACTGGACGTTGCCGCAGATGCCTGAGCGCACTCGAGGTATCCGTCGTGGAAATAGAGTAAGAGCACAGCGAGCAACAGGGTCATGAGCGAGCTCTTATCAACCATGTGAGCGCCGTCGACCTCGCCCCGTACAACTGCAAGGCACTCGAGTCGCTTCATGCAGAGGAGACTGCGGCTGTTCCTCCCGTCCTGGAGGACCCGGTGGGCATCCGCAATGACGCACGCCGCAAGGAGCACGACTCGATGCTCGAGGGCTTGCAAGATTGGCGCGGCGCATGGTTCAGGGGCCGTCGTCAGGAGGGGCCACAGGCGGTGGTGGAAGTAGTCCAGGGCGCGTCGTTCGTCTGAAGCCAGACAGGACGCGAGCTGCGCGTCTCTGGGGGCGATTTGGTACATGGCCGGAGCTTTGATCGTGGGCCGCGTGCTCCATTTCAGGCGGCGAGCGTTGAAGTCGCAATCGGCGCCAATCTTGGAGCAGCGATTGCATCGGGGCTTGGTCAGGTCGCACTTAATGCGGCGTTTCTTGCAGGGCCAACACGATCCCTCGACGATTCTGATTCTGTTCGTAACCATGTTTGAGCCTTGAGTGCTCAAGAGACGGCCAGATAGATGCTTTATAAGGCTACGCCAATGCCGATTTGGGTAGTCTCTAGATGATGTTCGCGATAGCAGATAGTGGTGAGTGGATATCCTAGCCTGATGTCATGGTTTGCTATCAGCAAGGTTCAGATTCCCGTCTGGAATCCATCCCCCCTCCCTCGATAAGGTCGGGAGTTGGGGAAGCTGTGCGGGGAAGGGGAAGGGGGAAGGGATGGGATCCGGGTTGATTTAGCTCAACGAAGCTCGAGAGTTTGCGAGATTTGGCCCATCTAGTTTCCTGAAGGGGTTTAGCGGTAGTCGAAATGACCCCGATTGCTGTTTTATGTGACTGCTGTGACTGTCGCCCGAGATCCAATCTCGTTTTGCAGGTCCAACAACGCGGCAGCATCTCGGTCATAAACCGCCTGAAACCCAATGGTTGTGACTCCCAGATAACAAATATCTGGAATTGAGGTTGGGTTTTCCACGACAGGTCAACAATGGACCTCGCAACAAACAAGACATGGGCTGAAGTCCAGATGACGCCCAATCCCCTAACTACCATGAGCACTGCCATTACGCTGGTAGCTTGCTCAATCGTAGCTCTGGTTGTGAGCATCCGGTTAGTCCGGTTTCCGCAACCAACCAGCGAGCCACTAGAAATCTCGCAAGTACAACTTGATCTTCAATATCAAAGCCGTTCATTCGACCGATTCTGATTCCAATTGGACAGCTACACATCTATCCTATCAAAGGGCTAAGGGGATGCGCACTCCAGCGAGCACATGTGGGCAAATACGGCCTGGTCGGCGATCGGACTTTTTCCTTGCAAAAAGTCCTCCGTGACGAGAATGACCCGGCGAAGAAAACATATGAAACGATGTTTATAGGCTACTACCTCCAAATGGCGCTGTTTCAAAGTTCGGTTAACCTAGGTGGAAGAGAAGAAAACGCAACCAAAGGAGAAGTGGTGGTAAAATGGCATGGCCGAGGAACGGAGCACGGCAAATCAGTCAACGAAGCAAACATCACCACCACCGACGAAATCCGATTCGCACTATCTCCAAGTACGGAAGGGCGGAAAGTTATTGAAACAACCCTTCACGCAAGCCGGGCCAAGGCTTATGACATGGGCGACGAATTAGCGGCCTGGTTCTCGGCTCGTCTCGGGTTCGAGGCGAGACTCGTCTACATCGGAGACGGCTCACGACCAGTCCTAGGGTCTATGGCACCAAACAGCAGAGCAGGCTTGAGAAAGGCCAGACTTGCTCAGCGTTTGAGGTCCTTTGTCCCCTTTTTTAGATTTCCCGAGGAGCGTCTAGTCTTCAACGACCTCGCGCACTACCTTGTCGTAACGGAAGAATCCACCGCGGAGGTTTCCTCCCGCCTCGATGGCGACCTCACCATGGATGTTTGCAAGTTCCGTCCGAATGTCGTCGTCAAAGGCGCAAGCGGCCCGTTCGTAGAGGACTTTTGGGGCGAGTTGACATTCGACGGCGGTGTCCAGATGCCTCTGACGGCCAATTGCTATCGCTGCCAAAGCATCACCGTTGACTATGAAACTGGCAAGACGTCGACTGATGACCGTGGCTTGGTATGGAAGAAGCTAAATAAGGACCGCCGAGTTGACAAGGGCGCCAAATATAGTCCTGTCTTTGGACGTTACGGGTACTGCTTTGGGTCGGCTGTAGGCGAGACATTGAGCGTGGGCCAAAGAGCGCGAATCTCTCACATCAACCCCACCAGAACGACATTCGGTAAGTTCTCGCTCTCGGTCCAAGTGTTGGAGTGGGATACGTTGCTGATAGAACTTCTTAGATTGGCCGCATCTTACAACGTTCGGTGTAAGTCAGAAGAAGAAATAGACTTGGGTGTCGCTGTAAATTATCTCTCCAAACATGACAACTTCCGACCGGGAGCAATCAGGGCAAAGTTTCAGAAACAGTCATCAGAAATAGCCATACAGAACGAAACATCAAAATTTCCACGTTCACCAAGCCAAGTGCGTGGCTCAAGGACCATACATTGCAAAGACTTGACGTGTTGAGCTCCCTATCTCTAAGGCATTAGGTCAATGTCGGTTGTTACCTGAGCGTGGAAGTAGCTGGTAGTCAGATCGGTAATAAAAAAAGTATTTCCCCTGGACCGTAGCTCTCCAACCTCCCTGAGCATGATGATGTGCACAAAGTACAACGTTGGGCCGCCATTCGGTCTGAAGTCAGCAGCATAAGGTGGCTGACTGTCCATATCAGTTATTAGCTGCGTGGGCACTCCGCAAACTCCATATCCAGGCGAGTTCGTCCGAGTATTCGACCGACCGGCTTAGCAATTGACATTATCCACCATCTTCGAGACTGATAGAAACGGGCGCATTGGAGAATTCGTCAGGCATGCCACGAGCCTAGCGACAAGTCACATGCAAAAGACTGCGGTAAACCCCGGATACCGAGACAAAGATTTCAAAGCTTCTCCAACTTACTTTAGGACTAAAATTGACGTAGGCTATTGTGCTGGTCATTACTGCAAAATAAGTACTCTAGGCTTAGACTGGAACAACGTTATGGCAGCGGTATCCACCCGCTTCGCATGCTAATCATTCGGCTAGCTATGACGTAGTAGATAGAACAGTCTGCAGGGTGTCTTCAGTATCGACTGAGGTCTAGTCAAGTACGTGGGAAATCCGCAAGTATCTCCACTAACGTATCATTCCAGCGACGCAAGCAGCCAAGGTTGAGCACACAAAGTGAATCGAGTCGTTTGCGACTTATTCACAGCCGCACGTCGACCACAGAAGTGCGTTGAGACAGAAACTTGAACCAATAGATGGATTTGTACGGAATATCTGAAGATTTAAAGTTGAACTTCAAGCATGTCCAGTGCCTACATAAAGAGAACCTATCCATTTTCCCATGCCGGGTTGCTGGTGCATCGTGGAAAGCAGGTCTGTTAGCTGATAACTCCAGTTGTATTATTCGCCCTTGTACAGACATGAGGCGCAAACTTATCAATCGGGGAAATATACTACTGATGAAAAAAAGCAACCTAGCGCCTAACATTGGGTACGCTTGCGGACTTGGCTAGTCCGCAGCTCGGACGTTTGAGACGGTCTTCCATGCTCGGGCGAAAATGACAAACCCACGTGTGCTCCGATGATATCACCGTCTGAAGTTCAAAACCGCTCGTACTTGAGAACGTTACTTGAACGTATATGAAGACTGTCGAGGACTGCGGTGTTCAGACTGAAGCTGCATCACTCACTTCCAACATCAATCTCCTCGTTGTTCAAGCGATTGACCAACAAGAACCTTCCTCTTAGCAACGCGATATTGCAAGCAACTCAAAATGTCTAGCACACCCTCTCCAGCTGAGCCGTGGTCTTTGAAGGGCAAGACTGCCATCGTCACTGGAGGATCACGCGGAATTGGCAGCGGAATCGCCGTACACTTCGCCCGCAAGGGGTTGGAAAACCTCGCCATCACGTATGTGGCGAACAAAACCGCCGCCGATACTACTCTTGCCAAGTGCCGCGAACTTGGAGTCAAAAACGCCGTTGCCATCAAAGCAGATTCAACAGATCCGACAATCGCCCCAAAGATCGTGAAGGACGTCCTGAACGCCCTCAAGGTCACGACTATTGACATTCTGGTCAACAACGCAATCCTCTCGGACATCAGTAACACCTCGGACGTCAAGAAACTTCAGGCAAAGGACTTCAATGACATGATGGTCGCAAACGTCTACACCCCAGTAAGCCTCACGACTGCCTTCATGGAGTATGCCCCAAAGTACGGCGGGCGCGTCATCAACATTTCAAGCGTTGCCGGCAGGACCGGCAACCCAAGTCCGATCATGACCTACGGTGCCACGAAAGCTGCCCTCGACAGCTTCACGAGGTCTTTTGCAGACACCTTTGCCTCCGACAAGGGAATGACTTTTAACAGCGTCGCGGTTGGGCCCACTGAGACTGATGCCCTGGCCCAGGCCAGGCAAGCTCACGCGGAATTCATCGACAAGCAGGTAGACTACATTTCTGTGGCTCCCCGCCTCGGAAATACCGACGACATTGCCTACATTGTGGGCTTCCTCGCTAGTGAGGAGGGACGTTGGGTCAATGGAGCCGCAGTTAGCGCAAACGGTGGGCATCGCCAAACTCTTGCTCTTTTTGGCTAGTTTCACGGCTTTCATCAGATCAGTCGCTTAATCAGAAGTTGGGCGACGGATGTTACATATTGATCCCTTCACTTAAACACTCATAAGATTATTCACTTGAGTTGAGTGCTTCTCTTCCATCCATGCTGTTTTTCCCAAGCTGCTGTACCAATCATCTGCTTGAACTTGCGGCCAGCATTCTACTACCGGAGATGGGAGAATATGTTCTGAATCCAAATAGTCACCGCCAATGGTAATCTAGCGTGAAGTGCCGATGTAAAGAAAAATCTGCAAATATGATGTTAAAATGTAGCTTACATTGGTTCACTCCACACTCGCAGCATACATCGCGCCAGATACGGTGACTTCCGGGCTGCCCCAGCTCGCGACATGCGAAACAGGAGCCTGATACCTCTCTCTCTTCCTACAGCGAGCTCACATCTCGTTCTTTGAGCTCGAGTGTTTCTTCATTTGAGCCTTTTCCTTGATCATTCACTGATCTACTTGTTGCTCTTGAACATGGTGCCTCAGGATGACCAGTCAACTCCTGTTGCTCAATCAGAACATTGGCCACTGGTTAGCTTGACCTCAATGGTTATGGAAAGGGACTAAAAACAGGCAAATGTTGCAGATGATGAGAGATCCGTGGTAACGAAGGCAGTGTCAGTTGATATTCTTATTTCGGGACTACTGCTATGGATCAAAAGCACCCAGGATCAGCCGTATTCCAATCGTTTTGGAGCGGCATGAACGTATCCAGGAACAGGTCAGGCTGGCATTCTCCGTAACTCGGCTCAAACCCCAGAGTCATTGAAACATTGTATGGCGCCGCACTTGGACCGAAGCCCGCTTCTGAAAATCCAAAGCCGTTTGCTGTCATATCTTGAGGCATTGGAATGTATGGGTGAGGGCCATGCTCCTTTGGCATGTGAGGCACCATGAACTGCTGAGATGCCACAGCATCTACACCACCCCCTGTTTCTTGCTCATTTGTCGGATACTCTTCCCTATCCTCTTCATTGTCTTGTTTGAACTTGAGTTTCCGAATTTCATCCGTCACGCTATACTTGGAATAGACTTCTGGCACCGAGCCTAGCGTATCTCTTCGGATACCAGGTTGCTGAGCCCCGTTCGCCTCGTTGTCGGATCCTGGCTGCTCAGCCTCCCAATTCGACCTGAGCGGACTTGAGTCCCCAGAATCGCGCTCCGCATCGTGTATGAGATCTGCGATACCACTTCGCAGAAGCTTAGTTGTGGGATAAATCTCAGCTGGCGTCTCAAGAACATCCGAGCACGCTTTTAGCTTGGCTATCAAAACGTCCTTGGGCAAGTTGGCAAATTGGCTTGAACCAAGGCGCGAAATGACACGAGCGGAATGAAAAGTGCACATCACCAAGGCTGGGTCCGTGATGAATATGTCCTTCCCCATCTCATTCACCGTAGCCATGATGTTTGCAACGCCGAGAGCGTGCTGGAGACACTTGTCTCTGCAAAAAGAGACCAAGTCCTGAGGTAGGGTTCTCAACTCTTCCTCGCGTAGGCCTTCCCTAAAGCCCGGTATTGTAAACCTGTACATGTCGCACTGGCACTGGTGCCACCAGGTATGAAACATGACAAAGGGGGTCCGTTGAGGTGTGTAAGCTCGGAGGAAGAGGTTCTTCTTGTCGAATGCAAACTGCGAAGGGAGTGATCGACGCAGAGCATCTAGCTCGTCGACAAGTCCTTTGAGAAGCGAAACGCATTCACCCAGGGGTTTCCGATGATGTGTAATTGTGTGGGATAACCTAGACACGCCGATTAGCATGGGATTTCAGTAGATCATTTGCAAGAACAGTTTGATAGTACCTTTGTATCCGATCTCGGATATCGAGAACTCGAATATTGTATGCCATCAAACCTAGCTCCAAAGAACAATGGGCTTTAGGCGGCTTCAAGGGCTCCGTCGATACAGGGATATCTAACGTGAAAGACCGCTCGTGGCAGGGAAGTTGTAAATGTATTGTTTCCTTCGGACAACCGGTAAATTCTGTCCGTCCGCTGGAGTAGAGTGTCTCCATGGTGTAGATTGCCCACATAAGACGCCTCCGACGCTCCTGAGTGAGGAAGCTCAAGCGGCCATCCTCGTAGTTCAGTCGCACCATGAAGGCCAGTCTTGCCGCGAGGCACGCAGATACCAGCATTTTACTGAATCGCCGAGCAATAATGTGGTCGAGGGTAGTGAGCATGAGTGCCTCGATATCCGACATGGAAGGCTCACTGAGCCGCATAAGGAGTTGCATCTCTGACTCTTGGATCCATCTTGTCGCCTGTTGCAGACGACCGCTATCTCCTGCTGCTATATAGCGGGCTGTGAGACCACACATCGCCTTCAGGAGACGCGGGTTGTATGTGTCCTGTGCCCAGCTTTGACAGAAAGTGGCTTTATGGATGAAGCCGTAACAGGGTATTGGATAGACAAAGTCGAAGAAAGCATCAATATGTTGCTTGATAATTGTCTTGTTCGAGTTCAACTCACTAATGAGACAAGGTTCAGCAGGCGTACAGACGGTTGCTACTAAGATTTCCAAGAGGACTTACAACCCGAGTGACGAGGGCGGAGAGTGCGCATTGGAGGAATCTCGATTGAATGACGAAGTTCTGTCATCCATGCTGTTTTCTGAGCTGCGACCCTCTGCGGTGGGTGGCTGAGGCCGGAGATCCGAAGCTGGTATTCTGGCTGACGAGGACTTAGACATATCAGGATACTGGCAGTCCACACCCCGATGTGAGCATCGCCGACACGATGGCTGCGTGCCGCAGCACTTTGTCTTCTTGTCACGACATTGTATGCAAGCAGTTCGCACGCGACGCTTCTCCAGCCTCAGATGACTCGGGTCACTACTGTGAGTGGAAGAATTTGCAGCCTCCGGTAACTGGTCCAGTGCTGCAAAAGAGCAGTGAAACTTGAGCCGACGACAATTCTCGCAACCTCCAGGTGTGCCGTCACATCGGACCTATCGGCTATGAGTTAGGGGGGACCCTCTTCCGAAGGAACCGCGATAGACAGACTCCGGGTGCAAGTTGACCGACTTACCTTGCGGTTCCGGCACTGGAAACATATCTGCAACCCCTTTCGGGGCCGGCCCGAAGCGCGATATGGGTTAGGCGTCTCCATGTTTGAGTCTTACCCGCAGTTTTATCTGTTCAAAAGAGTGAGGATGCATAAGGTCGGGTGACGGGGCGGGAAGTCGGGGGAAAGAAGATGATATGACCTGTCTCCCGCCCGAGTTCCGCGGTGATTTTGACTTTCTCACCTCCGCCCGAGTTCCGGTCCCTACCAATTCACCTTAGTCAACGCCAAATTCCAAGTGGGCGGTCACCAGGTTCCTCAGCCCGCAAAAGATTTTCGTTCTAGACTCATGCTGACTCGCGGGATCGCTCCGTTGCAGCGTAGCTTTCTCCATTCCTCCACTCACTCACCTCCAGAAGTTCATCCCTTGAGCGCAGAGAACAGCTTGCTTCCCCAGTGGGTTTCCCCAAGTTGGGGAACCGAGTTGGGGAAGCCCTCTCTGCCATGTGTTAGTTTATCTCTATTCAGTCCATCGCCAGTGAAAGGTGTGATTAGCTCAGAGCAACGGGGATTCCTGGTTCCACTCGACAGGGAATGACATACTACGCAGTAACGCAATATAGATGAGGCGTACGGATAGAGTTTGCTTCCTCCAACGCGTCGCAAATTTCGAATACTTGAAAGACCAGAAAATGTATCGCCGGCTTCAACACAAGCACCCTGTCATTTGAGGCAAGGAGCCGAGGATTCTCGATCAGTCGCATGAACGATCTCTGAGATTTCCACTCGCAATGGCGCCCAATCGGATCCTTAAACACTTCAACGGCACCCTGGCTGCGGCCTTTACCGTCATCGCCGTCTCGACCTTCAACTATGGCTTCGACAATGCCGGCTACTCGACGACCCAGGCGATGGACGCGTTCCAGCGCCAATTCGGCGACCAGAACCCCACGACTGGTAAATGGAAGTTGCCAACTGGCTGGCTCGCGCTCTTTAATAGTCTCAACTATATCGGCTTTGCGGCCGGGGTCATCATTGGTAGTCTCGTCAGCGCTCGTTTGGGTCGCCGGTGGTGCATATTCGGGATGAGCGCGTGGGCCGTGATTCCTGCGACAATTGCCGTAACCTCGAGCACCAGAGAGCAGATCATGGCCGCGCGCATTCTCAACTGTAAGTCAGATCCGGCCCTGCTTCCCACAACCTGATTCGCTGACTTGAGCGTCAAGACATCTACATTGGCATGGAACTCTCTGTGGTTCCTGTGTACCAATCTGAGATTGTTCCCGCGGAAATTCGTGGATTTGCCGTCGGGTCCTACCAGTTCAGTCTGATGGTGAATCTCTGATATCTAAGTAGCCAACCGGCAGAATGAAGCAACTAACATCATTCTGTTCAGTTTGGTACACTGATCGTCAACTCTATCTGCAGGGGAACTAGCATCTTCGAGGGCAATGCATCTTGGAGGATTCCTATGGGCTTGTTTTACGTTATTCCTGTCATTGTTATGGGTTTGATCTTCTTCATCCCAGAGGTAAGTTTAGTCCGACCACAGCTCATTTATGAGAAATATATCACGCTCACTTCTCGACAAGTCACCTCGTTGGCTGTTGACTCAGGACAGAGTCGAAGAAGCCCAGGCATCGCTGAAGAAGCTCCGAGCCGGCACCATCTCAGACGCCGAGATCGATGAGCAGTTCGCCGCCCTCCAGTATGCATTGAAACAGGAAGTCGAGCAAGGGAACTATATGGAACTCTTCAAGGGCGTGAACTTGAAGAGAACGGGAATTGTGATGGCCATGAACTTCTTCCAGCAAGCAACTGGACAGGCTTTTGCCTCTACCTACGGCGCAATCTTCATCAAGGATATCGGAACAGTCAACCCCTTTACAATGACCATCATCAACGCTGTTGTGAATCTTTGCATGGCGTTTGTCGGACTCTACCTGACCGATCGTGTGGGACGGAGGTACGTATTCAATCCACTGTAGACCTCATCGGTCGTGCCTCTTCACTCATACTCTAACCTTGTATCCCTTTAGACCTCTTCTCCTGATGGGTGCGGTCTGGCAATTCGCCGCCATTGTGACGATGGGATCACTGGGCACCGTGACAGGCCCATCATTCGCCGTCAAGACGAGCATAGTAGCCATGCTGACAATCTTTGCCGCCGGGTACGTCTTTGCATGGGCGCCTCTGAACTACGTCGTTACGACCGAGATTCCCGCCCTCCGGCTGCGTGACGCCTCTCAACGAACAGCGTCAATGGTCAACGTCCTGGCCAACTTTGTCGTAAACTTTAGCATTCCATACCTGCTCTACACCCCAGGCGCAGGATTAGGGTCAAAAGTCGGTTTCATCTTTGCGGGAATCCTGGTGCTGGCACTTGTCTTCACTTGGTTCTGTATCCCCGAATGCAAGGGCAAGTCTCTTGAACAGATCGACCGGATGTTCAATGAAGGGGTCCCGCTGCAGAAATTCGGCAAGTACAAGGCGGAAGACATGTTTCAGGCTTCGCCAGAGGACGGCGAAAAGGCCGGAGGAGTTGTCACAGCGAGGCACGCAGAGAAGGCGTAACGCGCAAGGGGGCTGATGGTGTCGTATTCAACCGTCACTAGATGATTTCATTTTCTAAATCAGGTGCCAAATTCAGGGGTTGACATATCGCACCTTGCAGTATTTCAATGTTTCTTTCAAAGCTAGACTATGCCGGCTTCTTCGTCAACCGCTGATGTGTGTACCTCAGCCCTTATGTAGTAGCTACTGTCCCTGGCTGTTCGACCAAAGCGCCTGGCCAGGATGTTAATTTAGCAAGAGGATGAGGTTGAATCTGGCTGCAGAAAGGCTAGGCTTGTTTCAGGGCTGGACTGCATATGCTTATGGCGAACCGTTTCGATCATCCCAACCTTGAAGAGAATTGGCGGACGCCAATCCAGTTGGTTCGGTCAAGACGGCGTGACCTGCCCGTTGCGGTCCAGCCCGAGACGGCCCGAGACGGCGGTAAGAACCCATGTCTATTGACTGCGTTTAAGGCGTGCTCAGCTCGTTTCGCGACCATTATCTCGGGTCTGTTGGAGTAGATAAGCGTGTGTTGGTTAACCAACTTGATTGGCTTGCTCATGGCCTTCTGATAGGCCCCTTGTCCAACCTGCTACCAACAACATGTTGTCATCAAACTTCAAACAACCCCTGCATTTGAAATCGGCCCCAGTATCTCAATGAAGGTTGATGATCCTGTCAACGTCAACTTCGATTGCACGACGCTGCCCCACAATGCCAGGGTCGCAGCCTCCAAAGCCCGCGTTCTTGCAATGAGTCTGCCTCGTCGAGGCGCATTCACAGGCAGAAGTTGCCAAGGGTGGGCGATGAAGGTTCATTTGTGGGCCGACGGAAATCTGTCCCAAAAAAGGATGTACGTCCAACTCCTCTTCCGCAATTCCTCTTTGTATAAATACCTCTTGAGTTGAATTCTCCGGGTGTGAACTCTACAGAAATCAAGCCTTCAATTCATATTGAAATACTCTCCAGGAGATCTCGCCACTCTACTATTCTTTTTCCAAATATCTCCATTCAATTCCAACTCTTCTTGGTTCATAAGTCTAGAAATCTCCCTCTGAATTCGCAAGCATATTCTTGTCTCGAGTATGGCTCAGTCCACTGCCATCCCAAGCTCATCTAGATTGATCGAGTTTGAAAGCAAGCCGTCACGCTTGGCAATGTCGCCCATCGGATCCAGCCCTGTGCCAAAGGACTACGAGTCGCAGGTCGACTCGGCCGTTGACTCTGTGGCTTATTTCTCCTGCTCTGACAAAGTTTTGGACAAACAAGACAGAGCTGGTGTCATCCCCGAGAACCCTTTCGATAGCGAGAGCAGTAGAGTTCTGTTCGATGCCATTGATAAGCTTCAATCTTGTGGTGTCAGCCAAGAGCTTGCTATTCCTCAGGTAAGTCGACCAATCCCCTAGCATTCGTGCAATTCTATTGAGCTGATACGTTTGCAACACAGTTGGTCATTGTCGGTGGTCAGTCTACAGGAAAGTCATCCCTCCTCCAGAGCTTGACCGACATTCCCTTCCCTGTTGGTTCTGGCTGTTGCACTCGTTTTGCAACAAGGATCGTGTCTCGGAGAACTGCGCCTGGAAGTCACAGTTCTATCAAAGTGACAATCGTTGAGCCTGATGTAACCGATTTGTTTGACTATCCACCGGACGACACTTACAAAAACTTTCCGCCTTATGTCACCGATCATCTGGGTGTCGAAGAGTTTACACAGCTTATGGAAACCGTACGTACTGTCAAATCATCTCTTGGCTGATGCTGTCTTTGACTAATTTTGCACTTAGATTACCAACAAGTACATGGGAATCAAGAGAGGCCAAGGACGTGATGCGAAGAATTTTGCTTCTCAAGTTCTGCGGATTGAGCTTTCGGGCCCGTCCCGATCACACTTCAGCATTCTTGACGTTCCTGGCATCTTCTCTTATGCTCACGATGTCAATGAAGACGAGGAGCACGGCGTGAGGCAGATGGTCGGGGAGTACATGAAACAACCAGCAAACATTGTGATGTAAGTAAAGCCTCAGACTGATGGCTTTGACAAGACTGATCAAAAACAGATGTGTGGCTGCTGCTACAGCAGATTTGTCGACTCAAGAGATCTTCAAGATGGCTGCCAATCTAGTCGACAAGAAGCGTCTTGTCGGAGTCTTTACGAAGTGCGATAGGCTGGAGAACCCAACCGAAGTGAGTTGCTGCTGGTTTCCATTTCGGGTGAAATACTGCTGACTTCCACCAGGTTATTGATATTGCCAGTGGATATGGCAAAGACTCGGCCAGATCTATGAAGGACGGTTGGTTTGTAGTGAGAAACCGATCTGACGCCGATGGTGACGACTTTGACGTCAAAGAAGCTGAACGCAAGCTCTTCAGCCACTCACCTTGGGACAAGATTCCAGAAAACCGAAGAGGGTCTGTTCAGCTCCAAAAGCACCTTGGCAACCTTCTTTGTGCGCAGATTCGAGGAAACTTCCCTTCGATCCAAGAGTCGGTCCGGAGACTGTTATTGGATGCCAAGGACAGCAGGAGAAGTCTAGGAGAACCGCGCCCAAGCCACCATCTTCGCCAGCAGTACATCAGGGATGTGGTTGAGAAATACCACAAAATCGCAACCAAGACTCTCAACAGCCCCGGATCCTTGTCTGATGACAACCTACGTGTAAGAGGATTGGTGCGTCAGGCGAATGAGAGCTTCACCGCAGAGATGCTGGCACATGGTCACACGCACACGTTCGAAGACCGAGGAATCGATCCCATGGTTCAGCTTGCCGACACTATAGCCTCCTTTTCCGATCATGGGCTATTGACAACTGGAAGTAGAAAAGTTGCCGACCTAGAGCATGCCACGACACCACCCAAAACACCGCCCAAAATACAAGGTCCCACGCGTCAGCAGCCAACTAAGTCTCATGTCGCCCGCGGAACACCGCTCGTTGATGAAATCCGCGAGCAGCTCCACATTTGGCAAACGACAGAACTCCCAGGGATGGTGAATACACAAGTCATTCAGGTTCTTTACAAGAAGCAATCAGAACACTGGGAACGCATTGCAGAACAACACATCGAAGCCATTGCTAATGACGTAGAGTTCGCCTCTAACTGGATTCTCGAGGACGTTTGCTCTCCCGACAGTTGCTCGAAAATCCTGTTCGAGGAACTCTCTCGAGCCCTTTCTCGCTTCCAGCAACAAGCTAAACAGAAGGCTCTTCAAGAGCTCAAGGATCACTGCCGACGAGAGAGGGAGGCTCATCTTCAGACAACAGACGCAAGGTTCCATGAAAGGTTGCAAACGTTACGGACTGTTCGACTCATCAGAGCTTTCTGCTCGGGCCCATCGCTGACGGAACATCTCGATATGAACCGCTCAAAGGCCCTTTTCCATCATTTCCATCACTCTATCGAAGGCAACATGGTGAGAGATGTGCATGATGTTGTCAAGGTCTATTACGAAGTAAGTGGAGCCCCCAATACTCTTATGGCGGTCAAAGTTTTCTAATACAGGCTCCAGCTTTCACTTGAGGCTTTCATCAGATACATCACCAACGATATTGTCGAGGATTTTGTGTCTTATCGCAAGGGACCGCTCATGGGATTGTCGACGGACTGGGTTTTCACGTTGACTGATCAAGAAGTTGAGAAGCTCGCTCGCGAGGATGATGAGACAGTACGAAGACGCTCTCACTTTGACGGGGTCATTAAAAAGCTCGAGTCTGCGCATGAAATAGCCGAGAAGGCTAGGATCCATACACGGAGTCTTGGAGATCTGTGAGCTTGTCTCACTAATCCCGCAAGAGGCTTGAACGTGTGACATTAATGTGAGATAGAAATGTTTTGATTGATGATTTAGATCGATTGAGTTTTTGCCTTTCTCCATATCCCTGCCGAAGTACCTCAAGCATTTATGCCAAATACGACTTGTTTCCAATATGCCTTAGTCACGCCGATCATCCCTTTCGTATTTCCTCGCAATAGCTGTTAGCAAGCCCAGTCTTTTGCTCGGCTATTCACGCCGGCTTGCTAAACGATTGAAATAAGTCGATCTTGCTTATTTTACTCATCATGTGTAGCACAAAATACGCCGAAACGATTGATGTCTGTCCATCCTACTAAACCCGTTCCCTTGCTATTTACGTCAGTAGATGACGGCGTGCAGGAACCCCCTAACAATTGAGACTCCCTGATTCCTAGACATGGACATTCCTCCACCTCGATAAAAAATTCAACCTCTTTTTTGGATCATATGCCTGCAACGGTTGGTCATGGGTGGGTCGACTACGTCGCAATGTTAATGGTGGTGGAGAACATGGGCAATACCATGCCCAGCCGGATAGCTTTAGCATTTTCCTATTCCGATTTTCAATGTTCTCTTGGTTTTATTAAAATTGGTCCCATACTCGTAGAATATTTAGAAGATGATACATGCCAAACTTTGTCAGTTTCTTTGATTGACTGCCCAAGATAGGAGGAGTCCGTTCCGTCACACTAAACAGGCAAGCCCAAGTACCTGGATCTACTTTTTGCCTACAATACAGTCTTTGCCTTCAGGCTCCTCATTGGGATACAGAGCAGTCCACAAGGGAATATTTGGAAGCCAATGAGTCTTCTTGTTGCGGAGCAACTTAAAGCTCTAAGACAGCCGTGTGTACGCCCTATTTAGGCCCCAGGTTTCCCCTCGGCACAGCAGAGTCGTCATGTACTTCCCAGCATCATAACCATTTACTGACGAGATATGAACTCGGTTTCCGCAACGTATTCAAGAGTTGATCAGCATCAGTTGATAATTATCGACCTGGCTTTTTAATGTGAGATAGAACCAACATATCAATCAGGCTGGACCAAGATCTTGAGGCTGAGTCCGACGTCTGATGGTCCAGGTGAAGCTCAAATTGCCAAGATGGTACATAATCAGCAAGACGGTCCTACGACAATACGCTCATCAAGCTTTTGTATGGGTACACCAAATCCAAGCTGAAGACTCCAGAAAGAGTCCTGAAGCTGGGGAGGAATTTTGAATATTTAAACAACAAGCTTCCCGCTTCAGGTTTCCCATTTTCATCTGTCATCACACCACAACACCTCTACAGCCAAAGACAGCAACCATCGGACTCTTTCCCTTATTTCCACTGCTTGGTTTCAAATTCCACAATAAAGGCCAGCGTACTTCTTCTCGCCCCGATCCTGGGATCCTGGCAAAGAGTAGCCTGGCTGCTATTGCAATTTTCGGCGATAACGACGCCGGCGCCTTCTACGAACTATGGTACTGGGACGGTCCCTCCACAGACGAAGACATTACCCCAAAAACCCCCGCTAGCTTGCAGGTGCTCATGATTCCCCATGCGAGACGTCCGGCCGCAGAGTCATCTTGCACTTCGCTGACAAGAGCGGCCGTAATCCAGCTCAACATTTCAAAAGCGGTGAATGATGGAGTAATGAGCTCCTAGTCGTCTATTATTCTTGCTAACCTTGAGTCACTATGTACTTACTTTGTTGCATGTAAGCCATCATCGAGAACTACTAGGGCAAAACCATCGAGGTCGGTCCTGAGCGTTGCCATAAATTCAGGGGCTGCAGCTTCAACTACTTAGGTACCTAAACAGGAACGCCTGGAAGTGCGACTTCTAAGAGCTCAGTTCCTAGCTTCGAGCTTGGTAGTCTGGTCCCGCTGGGCGATGTGCAGGGAAGGGGGAATTGAATTGAGGATTAGGGGTAGTCACTTTCAGATTCAATTGCTCCGGGAAAAGAAGACGTGGCTCTTGGTGACTATCTAGAGGAGCAGCTTCGACAACGACAATGAGGTAATTGATGAAGCTTTTACCACTGGATAATGTATCAAAATGAGATGCATAACCGCCAAGTTAAGTTCGAGTCCCTCCATTTCCCATGTGATCTGTATTCTTGAGGGTATGCAGATACCTCTCGTAGACATGACGAAAGGGTCGTGTACTGCTGAACATGCATCATACATATCGCCAGATTTCAAATAATCAAAATTGGGTCGAATGGGCCCCAGATATCACCGAATATTGTATAATTTCACCCGAAAGACATGAAGTAGCAGCTTGGGATGTTCATTAAATTTAAAACAACCTACCTAGGCATAGCTTTTCATGCATGGGTCTCTACCGTCCTGTGTGGATCCTAACTTGGTAGCTTATACGACCATCGGTCGCAAATCCCGTTTCTTGGTGGCCCGGGTCAACGTGGTCCCCCATGGGGTTCGTAAATATCCTTTGTGGTAACCGCTAGATAGAGTTTCCTGGTGGCGTGTTGCCCGGACCGAAAAGTCAAGTCAAGAAGTGCGGAAAATCGGCTAGAAATTGGGCCCCTGGGAGCCGCCAAGAAGCAAATAAAGGGCTCAGTCAGGGACGTGCCGCGAACATGTTGGGAAGCCGAAGCGCCGCATGAGCGGTTGCAGATTCCTGTCCGGGATTTCCGTTTAGGGCAAGCCGGCTTCAAGACCCCAAGAAACACAAAAAGAGACTCTTGTCAGCCCGGTTGGAGATGAGATGGTGTGGTTTCCGTTGGTCCAGGCTGTCCAGTTGCGTCGCAATGGTGCCTTTTTTGCATTCCGGGGGCGGGGGCGGGGGCGGCCGGCTATCCTGGGGATATGCAGGGTAACGAGTAAAGTTTATGGGGGGGCACCCATCAACACATAGGTAGTGTCTGAGGCTCACGAAGCCGCGCAATACTTCACGCTAAGAGACTGATTGATCTTTATTTGACAGTCGGATTCCTTAAGCCGGGAACACTAGTCTGTTGAGCGGGTAAAGTCCATTCTTGGCGAGTACTGGGTTGCAAGTGGACAGTCGTTTTCGCCCCCGAGTCAAACCCGAGATATTGTAAGCGCTACCTGAGCTTGCTGGCGACTCCGGGCAAAGTCCGGGAGGCAAACGAGCGTGCTCGAGTGGCGATGGGCTCCTAGTTCCCAGCCATCAACTTGCTGACGTCGGCGGCAATGGCCAATTCCGATTTCAATGTTCGATTAGTACTTGCAAATCACAGTCACTGTTGCAGGAAATGATTTCGGGATGTTTGGAAAACTGAATGATTTGTTGTGGTATCTATGCTTGAATCTAGATGAACTAGTGGTATCTCAACAACGGTCGAAGTCCTGCAGACTTCATAAAAAAAATAGGAATTAATGACACCGGATATCAACCCGGGCCCAAGTTGAGAAGGCCGGAAAATCGCCCGGCATGGGGACATAATTCGTAGAAATGGGGTATATCGCTTTTAGGCCACCCAGGGAACTAAAATGCGCAATTTTGAACGTGAGATGGAAACCGCCATCTAAGACTTCTCTTCCTTCTCAACGTTCTGCGTCTCCTCGTCCTGGCGCTGCCACAGGCCGTTGGGCTCGCCGCTGCTGGTGCTGCCCTCGCGACGGTTCTCGCGGGTGGTAACGTGCCCAGTCTCCTTGACGTCGTCATAGTTGATGAGCAGCTCGCCGTTCTTGCCATAGCGATGGGGCTCCTGGCGAGCGACGTCGACGACATCGAAGGCGCCCTTGAGCCCGGGAGACGCCTTGGCGAAGATGGAGTCCATCTCCTCTAGGGAGCGGTACGCGGTCTCAGGGAAGAAGAAGTAGGTGACGGGGACAATGATGGCGTTGATAATGGCGAAGATGGTGTAGGTGTGGTGCTTAATGGAGTCGAAGGCAACGGGAGTAATCATGACGACCTATTGTTTCCACATTAGCATCTAGTCCCGAGGCTTTGAAGATTTCAGACAAGAACTTACCATGAAGTTGAAGATCCAGTTGGCAGAGGTGGAAAGAGCGTTCGCAGGGGCGCGAATACGCAGGGGAACGATCTCGGCGGGGTAGAGCCAGGTCATGCCGAGCCAGCCAATGGCGAAGAAGGTGTTGAAGACGAAGAGGAAGACAATTCCAGTAATCTGGCAAGCGTAGTTATCCTTTTGGGAGTTCACGCCGGCGAGGATAGCCATGGTAGCAGCCTGACCGACGGCACCGAAAAGCATGAGCTTGCGGCGACCAACGCGCTCAACGAGGAAGACGGCGGGCCAAGAAGCAATGAAGTACTCGGTTCCGTTGAGAGCAGCAAGCAAGTGGGACATGAAACGGGTCATTCCGAGGTTGGAATAGATGACGGCGGCATAGTAGGTGATGAGGTTGATACCGCAAATCTGCTGGAACATCTGGTTGACGTACCCGAGGCAGGCGCGGTGGAAGTTGCGGTTCTTGTCCATGGTGAAGAGGTCGCGGAAGCTACCCTTGGACATCTCCTCAACGGTCTCCTTCATCACAATGTACTCGTTCTTGCAGTAGTCGTCGTCCTCGGGCAGATTGGCGATGGCAGCAATGACTTCCTTGGCCTCCTGGTCGCGGTTCTTGAGGATCAGCCAGCGAGGAGACTCGGGCAGGTTCCAGACAAACGCCAGGATGAAGATGCAGAAGAAGATTTGCAGAGCCAGGGGGAACCGCCATGCGACGGAGCCGGGGGCGAAAGACATGCCGAGATCGATCCAGTACGAGATCATGATACCACCGCTGATGAGGGCGCCCTCAATCATCACGAGCTTTCCGCGCTTGTGAGACGAGCAAGTCTCAGACTGCCAGGTAGGGACTGTTGATGTGTTGCCGCCGTTTCCCAGCCCAGTGATGATGCGTCCGATGATGAGGTGCTCGATGGAGAAAGCAGAGGCCTGGAGAGCAGCTCCAACAATCATGATGGCGGTACCGAGGATAATCATGCGCTTGCGACCAAGAGGGTTTCCGATGAAGATAGTGATGATAGCGCCGAGGAAGCAGCCTAGGTTGTAAGAGGCGACGGCAATACCCTGGTTGGTAGAGCGCGTGCTCTTGATGCTCGGGTCGAGGCCGACCTCATCGGGGTTGATGGTAGGGAACTGGGACTGGAAGGCAGGGAGAGTGAGAATACCACCAGTGACACCCTGGTCTGGATGAGGAAGTCAAGTCAGTCCATGTTACTTGATCGCTTTAGAGTCAATTCCTCGATGTCATGTCAGAACTAACCGTATCCGAAAAGCAAGAAGTCGCATCCTGCGATGATGCTGATGGCCCAATTAAGGCTCTTGCCTCTGAGGCCAAAGTAGTTGAGCTTGCCCATCTTGAAGACTCTTTCACAGCGGACAGTATTGGATTGACGTGTTCCAGACAATGTCGAATGCTGTAGGTCGCAGATCGGTGGGTGAAGGAAATGGGGTTGAGTCGAGTTGAGAGGTAACAACAAGAAGATCAGATGCGAATTGAGATGGCGAACGTGTCGACCTTATAGATGTAAATCCCAAACCTACCGCGGCAGGGTAAAGATCGGCAACATCAGCGCGCCGCCAGGAATTACTTCCTTCTCCTCACCTCTCACGCTCATACCACGAGACGCAAGTACATGCCCCGAACCTGCACTGACATGGTAACATGGCTACTCGTGCCAGCCTCGGACCCTGGCGTTTGGCTGTTTACACCGAACCCAGAAACCCCCCGAGTAGCCAATCCCCAGCCTTTCCCCAAAAGGCTGCCCCGATTTCCCCCAATCCCTGTGCGATCCAAGATCCCTCTGGAGGGGAATGGGGACATTCTCCGGCCTTGAGGGGGGAATAACGACTCCACATCCGGTTCCACGGGGGTGGTGGACGATGGGGACCCAAGGGAAGGACACAAGGAACGGTGGTGACATGTCGTCAGGCCCGGCCAAGACGCCGTCATGGAACGCGCGGGGCCAGTTGCAGCCAATACGGCGCCGGGAAGGGTAAGAGTTTTGCGGGCTCGTACTTCACAAGGACGTTGCAATACGGTGGCTTCACCGCTCTAGGACGCGAAAACCCTCGTGGATATTCCGTCCTATCGCGCGGCAGAATTCGGAGAGAGACCGACGCGAAGAACGGTACTTTGCACGCTCGCCAAAGGATAAGGCACCAGTTGCGAAAGCGGAGCAAAAAGTACCTAAAAGAGCCGCAATTGTGTCCATAATCGTACATTGTCGGTGGAGTTTAGATGGAGAAGTACTGGAGACTACGACGTCATACCTTGAAGACTTTGATAGGAGACTGATAAGTAATGCAGAGGAAAAGTACCCCGAGGAGCCCTTTGTGCATCCAACATCTAACTTGAGCCAATACCGTTGGTTCAGTTAGACTTGTGTTGGAACTTGACTATTCCTGTCCGAGCGGCGCCGTCTGCGAGTCAGGGAACCCTGTGCGAACCCTGCGACAACTTTGAGCCGACCGCCGCCGCCCCCCTCGAGAAGCGCCGAGGACACGGGACTTGGCTGCTTGGTAGGAACTTGGAGGGAAGGGTAGTATCGGCGCCGCTGAGAGCGCTTGCAGCTGCGGATTCTGACTCTCACACTCTTTGCTCGCCCAGGGTATATGATGTGTCTCTTTGGCTGCTTTGGCAGATTAAGTTGGACCCGCGGTCGTGGGGACAACAGGCAACAGAACCAGGTTTCAAGTTGCAAATACTCGCACGCGATTTGTCAATGTCGGCAGTTGTTGGTAGCCAGGTGCGTCGACTCTGGTGGACCACATGACGTACTGGTCGGGGCTATTTGATCTTGGGGAATAGATTTCAGATTTCTCTTTGCCTGATTGTCGAGATTCCCATGTCGAGAGTCAACCAGATGGTGGATGAGCCGAGCGCTTGGCGTCAGGATCAAAAAAAAAATATAGACTTTGAGCTAAGAGTAAGCACAACAAGCACAAGCTTTGACAACGCGATTTGCGGGAATTGGCACTCTGCCAATATTCTTGTCAGTTGCTTGTTCACTGCCTATCCCTTGGTATTGTGAATTCTCAATTCTTGTGCCCTCCAGTCTCCAAAGACAATTGCGGCTAACTGTGGAGGCTGTTGGAGCTAAAGGTGGATTCTCTATTCCGATCTATCCCTGTGCCCAAGTATCACGGGATGACGTCGCCAATGTAGGAGTTTTCTTTCTCTCGGCATTACCGCATCGGGTAATCCGAAGAGGCGCGCCAGGCGCACCAGCAGACGAGCCAAGCCCACTGCAAGACGACTGAAACTCGCACCAACACCAATGAAAGACGACGAAAAGCCTCAAGGGCCCCGGTGTAGACGACGGAACAACTCACGGGCCCTTGATTCCTCGTTGAGAGTCCGTTTTTTACCCGCATTCCCGCATGAACTGGAGAAACGGACCTGTGGTGGTGGTCGACCGTCGAACCGTGAACGCCCAGTCAAATTTCCCCCCAAACCCAAAATGAACTGACTCGGGGGCCCGCAAGCAGGCAATCTGTTGGTTGACTCTTTCGCAGAATGGGCAATGAAGCCGATGTTGTACCTCCTTGGCGCAACAATTTTCTGCATCTTATCCGTTTGCCAGGCATCTATATGTACGCTGACGTATTGGTAGACTCGGCGGATGATCACTCATCAGACTTTCTGAGACTCTCAAAACTCTTTGGAGACCGTTTCGACCTCGTTGACTCTATCAACGACATCAACGACAGGACAAGAGTGCCGCCGATCTTAGGTTACCAACAACTTGGTTGAACAAAGCTGTCAACTGTCAACTGTCAAGGGCCCCTGGCAGAACGTGGTTTCCATGTTCTGTTTCAGGCCGCTCATTTTCCTATGTTGATGTACGCGTAGCACACGCATCGTCTATCACTGCAATTTGTTTAGAGATCTTCGTCCCAGTACATGTTTTTGGGGGGCATCACATCGTTAACCCAAGAAGGCAGGACCCTGACTCTGCATTCTCTTTGGCGTCTTGGACGGATTGTCTGTACCGCCCGTCTCCACACATCAGGCGAGAAGTGCCTGGCGCATGGGAAAACCGGGGCCTAATCTGCGCGTCTGCGATGTGTCTCCAATGGCAGAAGCCTGGTTCATTGACCCCGAAAAGACAATAACCACCCATCGGTAATCTGGTGCCGGAGTCTGAGTCTCATGGATCAGGAAAACTTGTGTGTTTTGGAAGGGGGCCTAGGACTCAGAATCACAATTCCACCACAGGAAAGACCAGACATGTTTGAGATGGCAATACTCCTGGGTAATCAGGTGATTGTCTTTTTCATCGAGTAAGGTAATTCGTACTAAATGTAATCGACAAATATGTAATCGAGAAATCCGAGCCTCATCTTGCCGCTTCTGCCCGTGTTGTTGGAAAATTCGCGGGTGGCGGGAGTGCCAACCCGATAACATCGCCGATTCACCGGTCCGGAAAATTCTGCATCCTCGGCCCCACACCGAGAAACCAAGTTTCTTGTACTTGAAGTGGATCGAGATCCTGGATGTTACTGCTAAAGAAAACAGAGCCTGTCACAGTACTGAGATAGACCGTCGGAGTCGTAGTCCGGCTTGAGGCAGCCCACGGTGGACTCTCTGGCTGTCACTAAGGAAAACTGGAGATGAGGGGACGAGAGGACCTGAGGAGAAAGAAGGAGGAGGGGCGCCGGTTTGGGTCACAAAACGGTGTGACACAGTTGAACGAACCTGTGGTCCTGTGGTTCTGCCCCAAAACAATGGAGGCATCCCATTTTTTCTGCACTCTCTGGACCACTGGTAATCCAGAACACACAAGAACCATCATGTGACGCAGCAGCAAGGTGTCTAAATCGACTTCACAATTTCACGTCAGCCGCGCGGGCGCACATCGGCCCTTCGTCGCTACAAAACGTCACGCGGGATTGGACTGCAGTAGTTTCCGCATTAGGGGATCGAGACTGAGAGGCGTCGCTTAACGTGAGCCGCGAGCGCCACACCTACGGTGAACGTTCGTTCTTGGGCCCTGGTCTTTGGTAAGGGGTCTTGGCTTCGGATCTTGAAAATGACGTCGTTTCCTGGTGACTGGTCCCACACTGTCGGTTGTTCTTCTAGCCTGATGCAGATGGATTTGATATGAAACTTCTTACAGCAACGCGATAGTGGCGCCGCTAGGCCGGAAAGCTGCCGAAATGTTCCTTAACAGACTTTTTACGCCTTGGGAGCAATTGCTTGGCAAAGCATTCGTAATCCGTCATTCCTTTCGCGGGAACTCCTAGTTTCATCAAACAAGGCAATCGGTTGCCATGTGTGATGACGACAGTCCGCCCTGAGATTCGAGAATGCCTAGGTCTCGTTCCTTCACAAAATATTTTGGTTTTACAAGAGCTCAACGGTAAAACCTCCATTTTGAAGAATTGGGAAGATTCTAGACGAGGTCATTTCTATCCCTCCCCCAACCACACAGATGAGTTATTGAAACTTGGAGACAACGGCTCCATGATAAGCTTAACACTAGACTTCACACACTTTCTAGGCTAAGACCAACACCAGATCGACATGATCACCCAGCGCCCCTTTTTAAATGCTCGAAAGTCCGGTCGAGACTTCTCGTGATCCCGCAACCCGTAGTCTGCCGTTGAACTCCATGGAAGGCGAGTGCGGGTCAAGGTCCCGTTGTACAAGGCCCTTGCGGGGGCTCCACGCCGAAGCTTCCGGCGAGATACGTATTGCTCGCCCGGAGAAGGTGGGCTCATTGGTGACTTCAGGCCGAAAGGGGGGGCCGGATGACATCCCATCGGGCCAGGTTTCGTTGAGTCTTGGCGATGGACTGGTGAATGAGATCTTCCATCAATGGTAGAGCTCAGGGATGGAATTTAGGTATATCTTGTCTAGAATCACTAAGCGTACGGGTCTCATTCATCAGGTACAACTGACTCAAATGCTAACCGTAATAGATCAAAAATCGAAAGCAGACTGAATTCACACTCAGTAGCAAGTCAAATAGTTGCGGCCTTTGAAGAGTTTGAAGAGTTTACTAGAAGTATAAGGGGAACCTTTTGGTGAGACCCTTGAGATATGCTCCTTTCTCTTTCCAGTTGTTGATCGGAGTTAAAGATGGGAAGGGACTCAACTTGCTGATAACTCGGCGAAATAGATCGCAGGTCACGTATAGTAACTTCGAGTTTACATGTACTGCCGTAGTTGCAGGTCCTTTATCCATGCTTTTGAGTTTTGTCTCATGTACCTGCAAGTCAATATCTTCATCATGAATTAGATTGCCTAGATACTTTGTGCGAATGTTTTGCTTGAAGATAGGCTTTTTATACTGCGCCTCCGAAATCAGCGCTATAGAGCATCCACCTTCCTGCAGGGAGAGCGAACATCGATGCAAGATCCTTGTTTTGGGGCGGTGAATGTGAAGGAGTATGAAGTAGAAACTAGTGTATATAAAATGGGAAATGAGGACGGCCCTTCACTCAAAGCAACTCCAACAACAAATCAACCAACCAACCAAATTGATCAACTTTCAAAAAATCTCCAGCCAACCAACTACAGGGCCAAATTTGAACTAGTTGCTTTGAGAGAAGAATGAGGATGGCAAAATGGCAAAGGACGTTCGTCACGAGGCCTGGGCCCATGATTCGACTGGACATGTATGTACTGCTGACTTTCCCTCGACGAAGTTAAGATTCCAACTATGTGCCCTATTTACAGCGTTCGAAGCTGCACTGGTCATCCTGCTTGGCAGAAGTGACGGTTTTTGCACAGATACCACCAAGTTGCGATGGAAAATGATCCTGTCGTTACGGCAGGCTCGTCAACGACCCGGTTGTCGCCCACAATCGTAGTAGGAAGAGTTTTGGCCAGAACAAGGCAAAGAAGACTGAGAGATGATTTGGTCTCGGTTACCAGCTTGAAATAGACGGCCAAACATTTTCCAGAATATCAAGGTGTTCCCTGCTGTTCCATTTGAGATTTTGAAAACATACCTCATATTCCCTACTCCTGATGTTTGTCTGAGCCATGGTAAGCTTGAATTTTATCCAATGCATAAATCTTATCGCGTAAAAACTCAAGCAGTGCAGCATGCACCAATAAGGTTGGAGAATTCACGGCGTTTCCCAACGTTCCAGTCAAGCCAAGCCGCCATTGCTCAGTCAAAACCCATTTCTCGGTCCGAATCTGGTATTCAAGTGAGAATGTCTCATAGACAGTTTTCGTTACCTTTGTTACACGACTTCCATATGATTGATGAAAGTGTCAAAGCTTTGAGGACAGAACAACAGGAAAGCGCGATGTGACATGCGAGTACTTCTACTATGTGCCCCATGTATTTTTGAGTAATTTGAGTATCAGTAGCTTCATGCATTACCACCCACTTAGTGAGGCTTTCGACTTGCATCCACCTTTGACTATTACTTTTACCGGGGAACCTTAATATGAGCTTTCCGAAGTCCCAACCAATCATTCCGATATTGGTTCCGCTAACGGACACTTTAAAGGATGGAAGTGTGTCAAAACCTCAAGTGATCGTATGATTATTGATCCAGAGAAGGCCCGAAAGATCCCGACATAAGTCCCCTTGCTCGAGTAGTAGACTAGAGTTTTGACGCAGATGACAATGCCGACCGCAACTCATAGGTCTGTTTCCCTTCCCCTGTGATAAAGCATCTTGGTCTCCACTAGAGCCCTCACTAATGTGTAGGAAGTTATGATTCGAGGCACAATAACATCAACAAAATCCGCGGCGGCTATCCGTGCCAAGGACAGCAGAATCCACAAGTAGCCGTGTGCAGGACTCAATAATTCGCTCTTAGAGTCTTTGCCTTTCAGTTCCTAGACTATAAAGGTAACTGATCTGCCAAGCCACGAGATGTCTTATAAAAAGAGACGAAACTAGTCAGCGCCGCCATGCGAAGTTCTGTGGTACCAAAAGGCCCAACGCACTGGCGTCTGATATGCCAAACGTCCTCGTCCCAAGTATCGGCACAGTCTACGCTAAATGACAGCCTCAAAGACAGGCGAATACGTTGCCTCCATCTGGTATCCTCGTCGGATCAAGTTGCGAGCGTGTGTCAGTAAGGCGAGAAGGAGGATCAAGCGGCTCAAAGTCAGCCCAAAAGTCATGGACCAACTGCATGGGGTATAGACATGCATCTACCATGTTGCGGTGTTTGAAAGGTCCAGACACCTAAGTTCTGAACACTGAGAGGGTGTACCACATCAATGTACAACATCAAAAGTCACGCTGTACCAAGAGCGGTTCGACTGGGTTGAGTTTTCGCACTTGGAACCGGCTGAGAAGTCCAACCCTTTTCGAGGTTTGATGGTGCGGCAGGAGAGGCCTCCGCTACCTCGCGGATCGGGTAGCCAGTACAAAAAGAGACAGCAGCGCGGGGGCGGGGGCGGGGTCTTAACTTCAATGATGCCCGCGTAATCGGCGACGGGGGAGATTGAAGACCGGCAGGCCATCGACTAGGTAGCATAGCATCAACCAAGCGTCTCGCCCGAATACGGCGCTTCTTTCCCACGTCCTCCCAAGTCGGGCATGTTTTACGTACTCGTCGAGACGATGATGGAGTGCGCGGCACCGCAAGTGGAATTGGTAATCTACCAAAAACCGGATCAGATCGGAATTCGTCCCCCAAAACACCAACGGAGTGAAGCATGGCAACCCCAGAGCCTGGTCAGTGGCCGGGGGTTCACAGACCGATCGCCGCGTTCCTGTCTCAGGTTTATCAATCTGTTCATGGACCTTCCATGTTCCAAATCTGCAACAAGCTTATTTGACTCCTCGGTACGAATACCTATTTCTGCCAAGCGTCTCGTGAATCGATATGCCGGACCTGCCACGATTTTAGGATGGCAGCTGACAGGAGGCCCTCCTCTTCCAGTTGGCGGGAAACAACCGACTTTGTGTGTCTCTAGGCGGGCCAAGACTCATGGTGAGTATACGTAGCATGAGTTTGCACGCGCCTAAGGTGGTGGTGTTCAAACCACGGGAACTGAAACTGTGCCTATCTGTGGTTGGCGCTCGGATTCAATAAAACAGTCAATTAAGATCTTTTGTTCATCTGCTCAGTCGGTATGGTTCGGTCGTGATCTGCAGGTCAATTAACCTTTCCAGGAGATCCACGGGTGCCCAAAGCTCGATCGTCAGATTGGATTCGCGGTGATTGAAGATCAGGTGAGGTTGGATTGTGGGAAAGATTTCCACGCGCAGCAGTTTGTAAAAGACATGACAGTGGCCGTAATACCAGGTGGCTTTGGTAACTCAAGTTGATTGTGTGTATCTGCAGTTGGTTTACCATTCTGACATGAACTTCGCTTGCGACGAGGTATTGCAACAGTATGTACCATAAATATATGAATTAGTATTTTGCCCACCCGCGCGGTGTCAACTTTGACTACCTTACTTTAGCGATCGATTGTTATGATCTGCTCGCATGCGGCGATAAACTGCACATGCGGAGACAAATGCTGGGCACAACCCAGGGATGATATGCACTAGCCGTTTATGGTGACGCGGCAACCCGCGGGATGGTTTGCACACCAGGGCATCGCTGGCTCCCAAGACGCATGCACGGAAAATGTATCTCATCATCATTCCGTAGATGGACTAGGCACCATTCCAATCGTCTCAGTCTGATTCATCTGAAGTTGAAGAATTGACACTTCGCCACTTGTCACAAGACGTCAGTCGTCACAGATGGCAGATATGTCTGTGTCATCCCAGCTGCTCGCAACGTAACGTTCGATTTCGGAGCTCATCTAGGGGCAGCTTCGTCTGGCCATCCTTCCCACAATGATACTGAGCGCGGTCCCTGGACTTAGCGAACATGTTTGTTTTCCAAAGCCCCACCCCCCACCGGCCGTGGTGTGAAGACAGTTTCAACCAGAAAACTTCAGGGGAGAGGATAAGCTCATCTGAAGTTTCCATGTGAAATTGGTATCAAGGCGAGGGGGCTGAGTAACTACTTGAAGATTTACAGCGTAGACAAATACATGACTTCATGAATAAAACAAATGTCCCACCCGGGAAAGTTAGTGCCGGAGTTCGACCCATGGTTTTCACTGCCCTCAGTTCAGCCTGGTTTTGATGTTCTGGAACAGCTTGGAATCCAAACATTAGTTGCACTTAATATCGACAATGTCGGCACATTCTTAGGGTGAATGGGATGACAGTTGACACCTTCAGCTCTCAAGATTATCGACGACGGGATTTCTGTGCGCAAAATGTCCGGGACGAAACCATCGCACAGTCCTCAGGACAGCCCAGCCAACAAGGCAGTTCGGGGTGTCATGAACTGCAAGCCATGTCAAGTTCGCAAGGTATTTGCTTCTACTGCCGCAAGTAAGATCGTTTTCTGATCGACACCACGCCATGTGTGCAGATCAAATGCGACAGAGCTTTACCTGCGTGTGGAGTCTGCCAACTCTATCAGAGATCGTGTTTCTACGGTATTCCACAGCCTCCGTCTCTACCGTCACCGTGCCTCAGAACAACTAATCATTAATATAGAGGGTGTGCCCAAGAAACGAGGCCCGAAGAAGGAGTCACTGAGTGCTTTGATCAAACGAATCGACGGCCTTGAGGAGCTCCTCAAATCCGACAAGACGCTAACTCCGCCTTTCTCCGATGCCGTTCCGGCCGATTTCGACGAACTGCACGTTTACAGCAATAGCTATCCTGAGCCATGTGGCTCTGCGTCATCTGACGTTTCTCCCTATAGCGCTTTCCACGAGGGGAGTTGCGGGACCAATGCGTAGGTTTATTCTTTGTGCAACCTTGCCGAAAACCTCTCCGATTGACACAGATTCAGCGAATTTCCATTCATCATCAATGCAGAAGGCTTGGTAGATACCTACTTCACGCATTTCCACCGCAATCCGTACCGCATCCTGGATGAAGAGGTCACTAGACAGAAGCTGAGAAACAACAACATGCCAAAGTCGTTGTTGTACGCTATTTGTGCGGTGTCCACAAGGTGCTTAGTACAACTGTCGGAGCGGTAGAAAGTGGAATGGAGCAAGTCTGACAGGCAAACAGGTTTTCGGAACAACCCGGTAGAAGGCCAAGCAGCCATGTATCTGCAGAAACCTATGCGTCTTGGGCTCTCAAGGACATGGAAGTAGGAGATCTCGCGGTCGAGAATTGCCAGGCGTTACTGCTACTAGTAGCAGCTTTTGCGGCAATGGGTAACGGCCGAAAAGCCTACAGCGTGCTCTGTGAGTGAACAGAGGCTCTGGGAAATTATCGTCTCCATGAACTAACGAAAAATTTGAAGCTCAAGCTGTGGGCGTAGTCATGGCGCTCGAGTTATACCAGGGCTTAGATCAGCCTAACGACTACAACCCCACACAAAGCAAGATGAAGAGGAGACTTTTTTGGACTTGCTACCTGATGAACGTCTTTGTATCAACATGGCTTGAGAGACCTTCGTTGATCGATGATACTCTTGTCAAAAGAACCATCCAGTCGTCCAGACGAATTTCCCAGGACGGCTGGCCGTCAAATAACGACTGCCCCCTCAACGTGAATCCTGAGCCAGTAACCGAGTTTGCAGACGATCCGGATAATGGACTACAGAAACTCGTGTGGGTTGCCCACATCCTTTCAGATGCCAATAGGTATCTGCTTGTCACCGACCCCACGACAGAAGCAGCATTCGGCCATCGTCACAAGATCCGACATGACCTCGATCTCTGGGCGGCGGACATCAGCCACAACCCCGATTACCTCTACCAAGGCTCCCGAGGCCAAGAAGCAAACACCATGCTCCAATGCCAGATCATCTACCACTTGGTACACTGCCTCATCTATCGTCCACTTCTCCCTCTGCATCTAAGCGAGCCAGCTGGGGCCATGATGATACAGCACTGGGTAGCCGAGGCAACAGAAGTCGCCTTTCGGCACGCGACAGCTATCATCGAGTTGATCGATCGTACCTTGCAAACAAAGTTCCTTAAACTCCCGGCCTTCATCTCCTACTGTGTATTTACAGCCGGAACCGTCCACGTCCACGGGATGCACTACACCAACGACCGCCACGAGCAAGGAACAGGAATCGGACTCCCCTCTTTTGCTAGCTCCCCGATGGCAGCAGAGACCTTTGCATCCTCTTCGGAACTTGTCAGCAAGTGTCTGTACCAACTCTCTGCCCTTGGCAACGAGAACGAATCTTCTCGAACGTTTAGAGCGTTCCTCGAGGAGCTCACAAAAGAGCATGCAAAGTTACTCGGAAAGGGTGCAGCTGGTTACATGCCCTTGCAAACCAACAAGTTCTTCGACAGATACCCTGTCGAACTACGCCAGAGAATTCAAGGCTTCCATTTCTGTTCGGTGCCATCAGGTACGACCGCTCAGCCGTACCCACCTGAGATTCCAGACGGTAGTGTCGGAAAGACGGGACTTCCATCGACACCTTGGGGATCGAACCCAAGCCACGCCGGCACCAAGATACCAGTGATGCAGTCTAGCACAAGCATGGGCCAGCGCATAGGACACGGCCCAGGCCACTTGCGCTCGTATTCAGACAGCACTTCGCTAAGCCAGACGTATTCGTTCGCAACAGGTGCGCCGGCCTCTCAAAGACCATTGCCCGCATGGCCGGGATTCCACGACGCGACACCGAGGCAAATCACCACCCACGGCGAAACACCCATGCTGGGCCCCTCGACCCAGCTCACGTCCCCACTACCTGAAAATGAGCCAGCTTTGACCGGCGAGCAGAGTACCTGGAGCGGCGCCGAAGGTTTCGGTGGAGGGGATGAACCGCTTGCTTACGACACCGTTCCAGGCGCTGTCACTACGGCAGGTCCGATGTATCAGCCAGAAGGCACGTTTGTACAATATCAAGCCTTCTCTGTATTATAGTTTTAGGAACCAATCAACATCTTACAAACCCAGACCAAACAAAACTAAATAGGGCGCACTTTAAGGTACCTCGGCTAAATTCAAGCTCGCTGGACTCAAAGTAGTTGCTGCCCTTCGTTGTTCCCTCGACCTGCCATGTCTTTTTCTCGTTCTTCACTCATTCCCCGTTCTTCTGACACAACTGCTCCTTTTTGGCCTTCGACGCGAAAAGCGGTCCGCTTTTTCATGACGAATACGACGTGTATGGGAAGCAAACTTTTTCTCCATTACCACGACATGCTGGCATACCATGACGCTTAACTCTATACCGATTCGGTCTTGACCGTGAGCGGGGGAAACATCCATCAGGCTCGTTGTTTTACCGGCTGTGGACGGGCATGTCCCTCGAGACTCGAGATCCATCTTGAACAGGATACTATACATTCCTGCTGGAGTAGATATCTGGAGACCAGTAAGAACATGCCAGAGGATGAGTTTAGGTAGGCTATCCAAGGATCAACATGTAAGTGAAGGATCGTCACCGGCCGACATCTGGTCTCAGATGGTCAGGTCAGGCGATAGCCGAGCACGAAAACGGTTCATAGTCTCAGGCAGGTGTTGATGTGACATGACAACTCTCACAGTAGGTTCGCGACGTCGGTGTCGAGTTGTCCAAACGAGCTCTTAGACCCGACCCGACCCGACCCGGTCTTCGGGATGTCTACATATTCGGGAGGGGGTATTTCGGCAATGATACGGATATCTACGTGCTACAATCGTGTCCGAGAAACCCTCAGCTCAAAAGTCAAACTTGTCCCTCATCTGTACCAACCCCTCACAACAAACAACGTTAGATTGGTCTTTGAATTTGGGATGGCAGGTTTCGAGGATCGGCCTTGTTACACATAAGTTAGACCAGTCAATTCTTCAGCCGTGAGTGGAGAAAGCTCAGGTGTCTTTTGGGGTTGTGGGGAAAAGGTTGGAATTAGACTACGAAACCAACATGTTCCAGCGCGGCCACCGTCATCTAAATACTAACAACCAAAAACCCACAATCATCAATTCATAACTCTAAATTTCCTTGACAAATCCAACCTCGACAACCCTATCCATGGCCAACCTCAGGTTCGCAATCTTGGCCCGGGTGTTATCCCGAATCCACAAAAACGTACCCAGGGTAAACCGCCTCACGATGCTCGTCCCCGTGCGCATGTGCATCTGCCCCTTGCCGACAATGTACAGCACCTTGTGCGAAAAAGCGCGGTCCAGCTTCGCCAGCTCCGCCGCAACCTTTTCGTCCCGCAGCTCCACGGGACCCTCCGTCTCCTCCCACGAGCCGTCCGTCGTCGTCTCCTGCTCGCTCGCGGCCGCGGCCTTGGCCGTCGCCTGCCGCACGATGAACTTGCGTACGTGCTCGTAGATGAGCGCGCCGAGATCCGGGCTAACGACCTCGTCCATGAAGCCTTGGCGCACGACGAGGCGGTAGCAGCCAGGCAGGTTCGCGAAGCGCGAGACGAAGAAGCGTTCCGTGTCTGGTACGGTGGGCACCTCGACCGGGTGCAGGTGGAAGAAGACGGCGACTTCGGGGAGGGCGCCGAGCTTGGAGGCAAAGTGTGTAAAGACGCTCGGGGTCTGGACGCCCGTCTTGTCGAAAAAGATGCCGAAGCCGCTGACGGGGGAGAGGACGTCGCCGCCCCAGCGCTGGGTGAGCGCCAGCATGCCCTCCTTGTTCTTGGTGACGAGGGTTTTGGGCTGGAAGCGGTCCTCGGCCTCGGCGCGCCATTGGTTCTCCTTGCCGAAGCGCCAGAGGAGGAACATGCCGGCCATGAGGGCGGAGATGAGGAGCGTGAACCAGGCGCCGTCGGGGACCTTATTCAGGGCCGAGGAGAGGTAGAGGCCGTCGAGGGTGGCAAAGGCCAGGGCCGGGAAGGCGATGAGCCAGACAGGGAGGCGCCAGACGAGGATCGCGACGAGGGTGACCATTAGGGTGTCGAAGAAGGTGACGAAGATGACGCAGACGCCGTAGGCATGACCTAAGCTGGTCGTATTGTTATATACGGCGGTGACGAGAATCGTGCCGAGCATGAGGAGCCAGTTGAGGAGGGGCACGTAGACCTGGCCGTGAAAGGTGGAGGATGTGTGGACGACCTTCATCTGGGGGCAGTACGACAGCTTCATGATCTGACTGGAGAGCTATGCGGATGTTAGCATGTGGTTTTCTTGGCACCCGTGAAGGTCGTGAAGGGGAGGATTTACCTGGAATGTGGCCGTGATAATGGCCTGCGAAGCGACAATGGCAGCCAACACAGCGAGGATCAAGCTGGGATACAGCATGCCCGGGGGGACGGTGTTGAAAAAGGGGTTGGTGTACTTCTCCGGCATGAGTGCGAGATGCGCAGCCTGCCCGCTGTACGCGAGGATCAGGCAAGGGTACGTCCACAGCAGCCAGCTCATCTGCACGGCGCGCATGCTAAAGGCGCCCAGGTCGGCAAAGAGGGCCTCGACGCCGGTGAAGCAGAGCAGGACGCCGCCCAGCATCCTCCAGCCTTCCGTCTTCTTCTCCATGAAGAAGTGGATGGCGTAGTAGGGGCTAAATGCCTTGAGGACGGTGTAGTCGTACTTTACGAGGTTGTAGATGCCGAAGGCGCCGTTGAAGCCCAGCCAGATGATGACGATGGGCGCGAAGGTGGTGGCGAGCTTGGTGGTGCCGAGGGGCTGGATGAGGAAGAGCAGGACGAGGATGCCGCATGTCGTGCCGACGATGGTCGAGGTGCTGATATCGGGCTTGACGACGGAGAGGCCCTGGATGGCGCCCAGGACGGACTGCGCCGGGGTGAGGATGCCGTCGGCGATGACCATGGAGACGGCCAGGACGCCGATGGTCTTGAGGAAGCCTCTGGTGAACTTGCTCTTTTCGATGGCGGAGCGGATGCCGCGCGTGACGGGGCGCACGTCCTGGGTGTTGTGGCGTTCGATGCGGACCGTTGCTTCTTCACGGGGATCGAAGTTGGTGATGTTGGCCTTGATTCGGGTGTTAGCACGAATATGCTACGACGATTGGGTGGCTGGCTGGATCCATCGATCGACTTACAAATCGGGTTAATAGCGAGTAGCATGAAAAGGTACCACCCTCGCCCTCATTGTCGGCGTGCAAGACGATGAAAACATATTTGAGGGTGACCATGAGAGTGAGGGACCAGATAACAAGAGAGAGAACCTGGGTGAGATCGTTCTTGTTGGGAACATCAGAGAAGGTGGAAGAGAACACATAGAGAGGACTGGGCACTTGGCTGTTAGCAAAACTAGAAGATCCTGTAGTTGTCATCTCCTGGATAACCTACCTGGTTCCAATGTCGCCGTAGATGACACCGATGGACTGATACGCAAGCCTTCATACAACGTCAGCACATAATTGCCTCAAGGCGGACGGATGAGCGCGTCACCGCCACCACATACCACATCAGCGTCGTGCCAGTGAACACCTGCTTCTTCCTCCCATCATCGCGGCGCCAATCATCACCGCCATCCTCGACCTCGACGTTGGATTCCCGCGTGAGGGCGCGCGAGAGGCGAATCGAAGCGACGCGGTGCAGCTCACGGCTCGAGTAGATGCCGCCCGCGATGCCAGAGCTGGAGCCGACATCAGGACGCGGCCATGTCGACCACTCGTCGGTGGTCGAACCCGACTTGTGCTTCTCGAGCTTGTCTTCAATGGTGATCTTGGGAGCGCTCGGGGTCGTGGGAGTACCTTGGGCGTCCATGCCAGGCGGGGAGGATGTTTCTGAAGGTGGAAGTCTGAGATGTGAAGGAGGATGCGAAGGGGCGCCGGCTTAGAGCACAGCGTGTGGAAGATGAGACCTTACAAAATAGCAGGTTTTGGGGGCAGGAAAGTGGTAAAACGGTGTCGTCTCAACAACAACGCGAAAACAAAGTTTCCTGCTGAAGACTGGGGGGCGACCGACTTCTTTAAGTCCCGGGACTTTGGAATGGGGGTTTGTCTCTAGTTGCCCTACCCTAATCTCACGATATCTTTGTCTCCAAAAAAACAAAGAAGGGCAAGTTGGAGGGAAGGGAGTGGGGGTGTCATGAGGATCTTGGTTCATCTTGCCCATCTCGGGGTCCCTCGAAGAGCCAGGCCATCATGGCGGTCAAGGCTAGCCCTGCTAGTGTAACGGGAATTCGAGGCATCCTTGAAGGCGCCCTAGTACACACGCGGTCTCTTCCTTTTGTCTTTTTAGCCCAGGAAAGCAAAAGCAAAAGCCACCAGCCCATCTTAGGAACCACTGGGCGGTCGACGACACCAACAACGACGGCCATCCCGGGGGAGGGGAAGGGGGGGGTTCCAGCCCCTCCCATCCCACTTCAAGTTTTCTCTACAAAGTTCCCACCTCGGGGGCTACTAATGGATTCCATGTGGCATGTGGCGTGCAGCTTTCCATATGCACATCTGCACGGGCTATCTGTGAACAGACGGGGATCCCTCTCCCTCCTGTGCGTAGGAGTGACAGAACCAAGATTGTCACAAGCTTCGATTTTGGGGTCAGGTCGGAAGCGGAGCGGCTGGTGAGTTCCTCCTCCGTGGGCGGTTCGCGTTCTTGTTCACGCGAAGTGCGGCAAGGTGTGCCGGGTAGGAGGGAGGCCGGACGATGCAGTGAGGGACGAGCGCCCGCTACGGTGCCGACATGCTGTAGGCTGTACGTGGTGATGATGAACGTTTCTCTGCATGCGAGTAGAGACTGTAGCAGGGGTAGCTTGAGCAAAGTTAGGGGTAAAGCGGCTCCTTCAGTCGGGAGATGGTGGGTTGGCACGAGTTGGAGAGTCTTGTAGACTAGGAGTGCGGTGCTCGCGGGACCCGCGCATGGTTGAGATGGTGTCCATATCAGACCGAGCCTTGCCGGTACGTCGAAACACGTCGCCGAATGATGAGGCTCGAACTCTGATTCGTGGTAGAAAAGGGTCGCGAGAGTGGTCACGGCGTCTCAGTCTCTCAGAAGCATTTGGAGCTGGATGCCATGTTGTCTCTTGCTAGAATCCTTAGCGCCTTGCAGCTCTCGACTTCTACCCCCTCTCGCGATGCTGGGCTGCCTGATGACTGAGACTCTGAGCTGGTCTCGCTGCACGTGCCAGTGTGCCAGTGGCCAATTTGTCGCCAAGGTCAGACTACAAGAGAGGAGGTGGGATGACCGCTTGGCCCATTACTTTTCCCCCTCCAAACACCAGAGCCAAGGCCGTGCCCAAAAGAGCCAAGTTGCGGGCGTTGGGGGAAATGATGTTGACGACGGGATGGATGGGGGGATCCAGGGACGATCTGTTACCGGCTCTGCACTTGGAAGCTGCAACATAATGCCTCATCCATTCTGGGACTTGCCCGGATGCTTGTCGTTGCCGTAGATGGCCCGGGCTGTGCAGGGCATGACTAGACCTGACGGGTAGAATGACAGACTCGGGAGGCTGGTAAGGGAGAGGGAGATGGGGAGAGAGAGAAGGACACAGGGACAAAAAGAGAGAAAAGAGCTAGGGGCAAAACAAAATGGAGGGAAGATGGGCGTTCGGGAGGCAGCCCAGGCCAAGGTACGAAGTAACCCGTACAATCCAATGGCAAAGCATTTGATGCAAACAAAGAAGGGGCGAGGTGGGAGGATGCAAGCGACAGCCCGTAGCTACCCCTGCCATCCCCGGAGGGTTTTCTGCGGGGACATGCGAGACGGGTGGGGTCCCTAAGCTCGGAGGGCGGAGGCGCGAACGGGTATCTGGACCCACCCGGCCGTGTTTGGTTTGTTTAGAGCTGCTAAGCTTCTGCTAGCGTCCGCCAAGCCCACCACATCCATTTCCTTAACAATTTCTTCGCAGTCGGCTATCCGCCCTTAGAAAAGGCGACTTTGGTGATGACAATCTTCTCAAAAAAAAGCCTCATCTTTTTTCTTCTCGTCAAACTTTTTGGCGTGAGTGATTTTTTCGGGCACAACATGGCCCCATTGGACCGCCAAGACATTGCTCACTCTGCTGTGCCAAGACTTTTGGCTATCTCTCTGTTTTTGTCTGATTACCTATGTGCATAGCCACACTGGCACACTGGATACAGCTGCCGAATTGGCATATCCCGCAAGTCTCCCCTCCACGTCACACACTTTTCCTTCCACATGCCATTGCCAGCAACTGACAGATCCAATCTAATTTTTTCACTGGCGTGTCACGCCTAGCACGGACTCTGCCAGACTGTTGGAATCGGGCCAGGGGTGTTGTTGGCTTTGGTCAGTGTCATTGTGATGCCATGAATCCAGGGTGCAACTCTCTCTCTCGATTGACTTGACTTTTGTGACCTGGCTTGGGGCATGGCCCGATGTTACCTCTTCATGACACCGCATTTGAGGCATGGCCTTTGACATCTGTCAATTCGAAACTCAATCTGTCCTAATAAGGGACATTACCTAGTCAGTCCGTCAAGCAGCCTGCTTCTGCGTGGCGCCGAAACCACGGTACACCGCTCGAGCCAAACAATAGGGGCATCATTCCCACATGTACTCCATAGTTACATCTGGATCCAATCGTCGCTCAATTTCATGTTTGCTTTTTGCTTTTAACTACGATGACTTGCTCCACTCCAATCAAGCCTTTCCCGACATGTGTCCGCCACGGACTATACCACTCTCGGCGAGTCCAGCCGACGACCATGCACGTCTCAAAGGAAGGTCCGATCAAACATTCAAATATCCCGAGGAACAATTTCAATCCATCTGATCAACAGTCTGCGCCGACCCATTCGTCTTGGCCTCCCCCGCGACCGCCGTGCCGTCCGCCTCGCTGACGGCAAGGTTCCACTTGAACTCGTCCTTGAGCTTGCCGAGCTGGATGCCCTTGAGCGTCGACAGCAGCTTCAGGCAGATCTCGCCCGCCTCTTCCTGGCTCTCGGGGATGAACGTCACCGTCTCCTCGCTCGCCTTGGCGCTGCTGACGCGCTCGTGCGAGCCGGCGGCCGTGAGGGACTGCGGGGAGGAGGCGTCGACGCGTCGCGTGATGGAGCGGATGGGCACCAGGGCCGCCGCCGTGCCGGCTGCCATCACCTCGGAAAAGGTGGGGAGCTCGCTGTACTTGATCTGTCGGCGCCCCTTGGATTAGCATAATGACAAACTTGTTGGGTGGTGGGATGGTGGATCCTCCAGACGTACCACTCGCTTCTCAACCGTCCAGCCGAAGCTGCGTCCAATGTCCTGGATACTGGCGCTCGTCACGCTGTCAATGACGCACTTGGAATCCGGCACGACGAGCGTGACCTTGTCGCCCTCCTTCTTGGCACCAATGAAGCCGCTGGTGCTGAACTCGTCAATCTCCTCGTGCTTGACGCTGTCGAGGTGCAGCGTGATGCCGTAGCCCTCGTTTCTCGCGCGGTCGCTGAAGCGCAGCACGGGCGCGTAGTTGCCGCCCACCTTGGCGTGTCCGGTGCCGTTGGGCGCTGCGCGATCAAAGTCGTCGAGGATGAGGGCGTTGACGGGGTGACTGCCGTGGTAGACGCCGGTGGGGATGACGAAGACGGCAAAGATGTACTCCTCGGGCGGGCTGAGGCCCAGCTGAGCGGAGGAGCCGTAGAGCTGAGGGCGGATGTACATGGCGGCGCCCGTCTCGTGGGGCGGGACGTAACCGGCGTTGAGGGAGACGGCGGCCTTGACGGCAGCGATGAAGAGGTCCTCGGGGACGCGGGGCATGGAGGCGACATCGGCCGAGTGTTGCAGGCGCTTGGCGTTCTTGTCGGCGCGGAAGATGTTGATGGTATTATCGCCGGGGGCGCGGAAGGCCTTGAGGCCCTCGTAGGCTTGCTGGCCGTAGTTGAGGGCCGGGGCCATGCCGTGGATGCGCATGAAGGGGTCGGCGACGAACTTGAGGGGTGTCCATTCACCGGTCGTGACGGAGTAGGTGGACTCGATGTGGCCATTGACTGGTAAGGCGAAAGGGAAGGCCGTTAGCATGGCCTGTTTCTTGGAAATCCATGGGGGGCAGGAGAGTCTGTTGTGCGGGAGAGGGGTAGCGTTTGGTGGAAGCTCTCACCTTCGCGGATCTTGAAGCCAACGTTGGACCAGTCAATGGTGTTGACCGGAGGGGGCGGGAAGGCAGCCATTGTGAGTATCGCCTGTGATTTTATGGGGAACCGTGAGCTGGGCTACTGATGTCGTAGGTCGTGGATCGTGGATCGTGGGTAGAGTTTTGTTTTTGTTCGGTACTCGCGGAGCGGTGGATGGCGGGGAGCGACTTTTAAGTCAATTGGGTTTCGGGTACCGCAAGTCGACGTGGTTCGATGCTGACGAAAAGCCCACTTTGTGACTCGATATGGATCCTTCGTTCTCACGTAATAGCCTCGTAGAGCGAGTTTCGACACAACGGAAATGGTTCTCTCGTTAAAGCTGCGCGGAGGGGAAATTGGCAGAGTCATCCGCGGACTTGTTCAGCCTTCAAGCTTTTGGAGGGGCGCCGATCTCGGGACTGCGGGGTGACCGCCTCCGCCGTGCGTCCGCCCCTTTTCGGCTCGTTGTGATTGGCTAATGGCTTACTGAGACGGCGGGGCACCCCTGCCCAGCCTCCGTCTGCCGGAGGCCGCAGATGTCAGGGCACCGATGGCAGGCGGCAGGCGGCAGGCCACAGTTGACAGTTGGGAAATGGGGTCCAGCGATTGTGATGTCATTCCCATCGTCTTGCACGCGACAGCTGCGGAAGAAACGGCCGAGGGTAGTTGTAGATCAGATGAACTCAAGGGTCCTGGACAAGAATACCTTCGGCTCCCCAAGTGCTGTCTTTCCGTCTGAGTACCCAAGTCGGGCCATGCAATGATGCTGAACAAGTGAGCGGACGAGTTTGTTTGGCCAAGTCGGGGAGGCTGCTTAGGGTTTCTGTTTGATCGATGAGGATATCTGTCAGTCTATGCATGTGCCCAACAAGGTCCGTGGACCTCAGACTTCAAAATCAAAAGAAGCATACATCGTCATAAGCAGACGGGCCAGACACATCCATCGGGGCGGCCCGGTCGACGGCATCCACGTGGGCCCATGGCTACTAATTTTGGAGATTCCATTTTGCACCTTCTCCGCTGCTGCTGTGGATTGTTCAAGGATGGAGCAACTTGATATTGAGAGTCGGGAATCGTAGATGTGGATATAGCTAGCCTCATCATCTCGGCTTCGAAGGAAGAAGTTTGTGGATGTTATTTGCTCTCAAGGAACCCGAGTCAGGATAAACAGGTGTAGCTGTTCCTATCTTGGAGGTGTTTGCGTATCTCTCAACTTATCACCAGCATTGTGCAGTAGGACAGAGCTGAGGAAATGGGCCAGTCAGGATGGGTCTCGTGATCGGACTCTTGGCGGAGACAATCCACGAGGAACTTGGCGAAAGACTGAGAAAGGAGACTGAAAGAGGAGAAAGAAGCAGGGTACATGTACTGACGACGGTTGGCCTTATCAGGAGTGGGTCTTCCCCACGGCCGGGATGCGTCACCCGGGCCGCCTGTTTATCATTTCCCTGTACCTGTAATGTGCGGGGGCATTTCAGTCTCTGCCATCTGCCACCTGCTATCTGCGGCCTGCCCATGCCATACCTTACCTATCATGCCGATAAGACGGGGGGTATCACGGTTCACTCCTCAACCACTTATCGCTGAAGCATTAACGAGCTATCTTCTAATCCGAGAACCCCGGGCTCGTGGGATGGGCTCAATTGCGATTGTGACTGGAATTGTCCTGATGGAACATGCCTCTCGATAATAGCCTCTCGCGAAATCACGACTCATTCATCTTCAAGAAGGAGACGAGGGCGTTCGCTAGCTTCTAAATCGCGTCCCGTGTCTTTGAGCGTTCTCCTCTGCGGCGTCGGAACCCCCTCCTCCGAAGCTCACGTTATCGCAGCACCGGCCCCGGGTTTCACGACATCTCCCTTGTGATGATGGACGATGCTCGATACGCCAAACGAGCACGCCAGGCCTGTGAGCCATGTCGGTACGCACGTCCACACGGGAATTGATGTAATAAGAAGAGTCTCAGTCTGACAAACCTGACTGCAGTCGCAAAAAGTCAAAGTGCCCAGGCGAGCGTCCGACATGCTCATATTGTGAGCGACTGGGACAACAATGCGTCTACAATGCGCCTGGCGGCGAAGTTCCCGACTCTCAACTCTCTAGACACAATAGAGAGATGGTTCGTATCCCAAGTCTTGGTCTGGGCTGGGATTATGACAGGTGCTGATTCGGTATCTATGTGATTAGGAAACCCGACTCAACAGTCTCGAGGACAAGATGGACCGCTTAATCCAACACTTGAGGTTCGTTGAACAAGCTCCATCCAAGCCATAGTCACCCATCTTACGTATCTAACTCACCGTAGCCCCGTGTCCCATCATACCCAACCATCAGTAGCCTCTCGCCATGTGCTCTCCCCGAGACTAAGCGTGTCTCTTGAAGAGATAGGTCCGAAGCCCGATTCAGGTCCTCCGGTATGGAGTCCCAGGTAAGGCAATCTGAAAGAGGCAATCATTGTATACCATCACGAACGTCTACTTACACTCGACAATCCAGGAGCCCATCAAGTGCCGCTGAGGCGCAGTTGATGGACACCGGGCGTCGCTACCTATTATGGTTTCACGCCCAACCCATCACGCTCTTCGCCGAGGATACCTTCCTGCAGTCTCTCACCTCGCGAGATCCCGAGCTGATCCTGTCGCTGCAGGCCCTGGTCTTCAGATGTCCGCCGGGCGCCCTCACAAGCCAGATGAAAGAGCAATTAGATGACACCGCGAGATCTGCTCGCCGCATGGTCATGGAGAGGGTCACGGAAGGGCGGGTCGAGCTGTCGACGCTACAATCCTTATGCCTACTGAGCATTTTCGATTTCGCCAGTACGTCTGTTCCGATGGGGCCGCGGTCCCTTCATCCTCCGCCTCGCTGACATGTTCTCGTAGCTGGTAACATTACGCAGTCCGGGCTCAGCATAACCACCGCGAGCCATCTCGCCCACAGCATCCCACCGACTAACAATCCCAACAAGTCACAAGAGAGGAACTACTGCCTTCGGACAATCATAGTCCTCCAGCATCTCCAGGGTTGTATAATGCCCGCCCCGAGGCTAATGAGCTCCCTCCCGAGCTCCTCCAACAGCGGCGCCCACGTCCTCGGCCTCACAGCGTACTGCGGAATACCAGAGTACCAACTCGACGACAACCCGGACAAGAGTATCTCCACCGTCGCTTCCGATTTCTGCGTGGTCTGGAGAATGGCCCGGGCCTACGCCGCGTCCAGAGTCAGCCCCGACGCGCCGCCGCCCTGGGACTCTCGTTCCGACTACTCCATGGTCCTGCAGAGCCACCACGACATTGACTGCCGCGCACCGCAGAGGTTCCGCTTCGTGGCGAACCGGATAGACCAGCAGAGTCCTGAATCCCTGCAGGCACAGCGGAAGTATTGGATACCCTTCCTCTTCAGCCAGTTCGTCCACGAGACCATCCCCTGCCTCCTGAACCACCCGTTCCTGCTGTCCATGCGCCTGCGACATTTCCGCCACACCATCCCCGTCCATTTTATCCAGCAGTCCTTTGAGAGTATGAATCGTACCGCCGGCTGGATCATCTTTTTCCTGGATGTCATTGAGAAGAAGTCACTGCCGGTCATGGATCCGGTCATGGCACACTGCGTCGTCATCGTGGCGACTATCCACCTCCAGCACAGTTTCGTCCACGACCCAATACTCCGGAGCAGAGCAAAGTCTGGGTTCGAAAAGTGCATGAACTTTTTACTCAAAACAGGAGCCGTCTGGCCAAGTGTTGCCAACATGGTACGTCCTCCGTTCTTTACCTGCCTTAGTCTGCGGTCGTCCGTTCGTTCCCAGCACACCCAACTCTAATCTCGTCCTCACAGGCAAGTAACCTACGAAGACTTCAAGACAGCGTCGTCATGAAATCGCCACCAGACCGTGGCGACAACACCTCCCAGAACCGCTCCTTCTCCATAAACACCCAGCTCCTCTGGGACCTCCTCATCTACGACAGGGCCTGCAGGCCCGACGCCGGCTGGGACCAGTCCATGTTCGGCCCGACTCTCCGCTCCGACGCCCGCGAACTCTCCGCCGAGACAAGTGCCGCCGAGTTCGACCTCGTCGGCTCCGCCGGCATCTCGGGCCACAAGGCGGTGCCCAACGATGTGGGCATGTACGCCCCCAACGACGATATCGCGCCTGTCGCGCTGCCGGAGCACCCGACACCGAATCTGGTCGGGCAGGGTCTGGGGGGCATGGGTCCGTCATTTGAGGATATATTTTTTGAGGGCGTGGGACCATTTGGGGACCAGTCGAAGAGGTTCATTGAGGCGAATGATTATGGCAGAGCGATTGATGATTGGTTAAATCTTGAGAATTAGTAGGCATCACGGCAGAAGGTCTGGCGTAAACACAAATTACTTCATATCCATCATCTCGAGTTCAGGTTGGTGCTCATCAAATGGCACGACTGAATTTGGTGCATTTATTCCTCTCATGTTGAGATAAAAGTTGAACATGCTGCCTGTATATCACTAAAATGTAACAGACGTAGCTTTGTGGCCCGTTTTGAATGGCCTACTATATTGGCACGTGGCTCAAGCATCACCGCCGAAGGCACAAAGACGGAATGAATGGTCTTAACATGAAGTCACCATTTAGGCATCATAAGTTACTTAATGAACGTGCCAGAAAAGTCGCTAATCAATGCACCTCCTTGCAAACCCAACCCTCGATCAAGGCTTCAACCAAACTCTTGCTCAACAAACGAAACGCTGTTCTACAATTTGGCCGCTACATCTTCCCACCCGCGTCCCATCACTGACAATTACCAAGCCAACCCCTCAATCTGGCCCGAAGTAGCTCCGCAGTCGAGACTACGACAGAAAGACACGTCTTCCCCAGTCTTGTCCGAGACATCATGCTTGGGCGTCGCCGGCCATATCTCGGAGCCCTCTTTATCTTCAAGCGCCTTGTGACTCATGACCAGATTCCGAGTAATGTCCTGGAAGAACAATGGCCCTTTCTCCACGCGGGGGTGGAGCTCGCCGTTGAGGAAGACGCCCGCGTTCAAGTTCTTTTGCGCGCCGTTGCAGAGGTCCTTGTCTTCACGGAGGACTTGCTTGAAGAACTCAGAGATGAAGTTGAAGGCTTCGTCGGTAGCCGTCTTATGACGGTAGACTTCGTACTCCATCTTGGACTGTGTTGCTGAGACGGGGACGCAGCGCTGAATGTACATGAAGGCCGGCCTAGAGGGATGGAAGGACGGTTGTTAGCCCTGGTTCTGAGTGCTTTGGAGATTGCAGGATGGTTGAGGGGGAATCGGATGTGTACTTACGTGACGGTCATGGATGCATTCGGATAGAGATAGCAGCTGTGAACCCCCAAGCCAGGGACAGTCTCCTTGTCGACGTTCCAGTGCTGGATCCAATTTCCTTGCGTCTCAACCCAATACCTCGTCAGATCAGTGGAAGCAGCCACCGCAGGATGACCAGTCTGGCAATGATAGCACTAAGTTTCAAAAGCATAGTTAGCGCTCGTTATTCAAAATCACACAACATGCCTCACCATACGAAACCCTAAAATTTACCTCATTGTAGTTGTCTGCCAGTGTCTTCCAGTTGTAGTCACCAAACATCTCCCACGTGTGATCAAAGTGATAGTCATCCAAGTTGAAACCCTCCAACCGCGGCTGCGTGTCGACCTCGGCGAAGAACTCCTCCCAGGGGACCGAGGGCTTCTCCGCGCCGTCCAGATTCACCCAGATGAAGCCGAGGTTATCCACGTGGACGTGGACCTTGAAGAGACTGTTTTTGCTCTTGTCGAACGAGGGCAGCTCTTGATACTTGGGCGCCTTGGCCAGCTTCCCGTCGAAACCGTACGACCAGGCTTATGATGTATCCGCGTTAGCACAAAAGTATTATGATAAAACGACTTGTTTCTTTGCCGGCTTTCAGTGTAACGTACCGTGGTAATTGCAGGCAAGTACGCTCATGTGCCCGCTGTCCTTCTCCACCAGGGGATAGGCGCGGTGTCGGCAAATGTTGTGGTGTCCCCTGATCTCGCCCTTGCGGTCCTTGACGAGAAAGAAGTTGAAACCCGCCTCTGTGACCCGCACAAAGTCGCCGGCCTCGACGAAGCGGGCTTTGTGAGAGACGAGCATCCACCGCTTGGAGAAGATGGCTCGCCTCTCCAGCTCGTACATGGCGGGAGAATGGTACCATATCGCGGGAAGAGCACGGACAGCCTTTGGCTCTTCGGCTGCCGCCGTGGAAGAAGGTTTGCTGAGGCCGAACCAGCTCATATTTGCTGCTAGGTACTCTGGAAGACAGGATTGAGGGGTTGGGTATAAGTTTCTGCAGAACAAGTTTGTTTGAGCGTGGTAACAGATAGCTGAAGTCGAAGGGTGTTTCGTCTCTAGCTTACGGTTATAGCGGTAGTGGAAATTGTTACAATAATCCCTATTTAAAAATACAAACCATCCCTGCACTGTTCACGATAACGACTCCGCACTATTCCGGAGTCTGCTTGCTTACAATGGGCCCATGGGGTGTTCTCGACGCCGGAAACGGAACCGAGAAAGCGGAGACGGGCCGGCCTCCGGATCCATTCGATCGGGTGGATTGCCCCGATCTAGGAGATAAACGTGTTGTCCCTCCCCGTGGCGTCCTATCTCGGGCCATTGAGAAACTCTAAGCCTATCAGTTGTTATTGTCTCAGATCAATGATTGTGCTTGGTAGCTTTGATGTTGCAAAAGGAACGCCCGTCGTTGTCACTCGCCCTCTTATCTGCACTCTGCGCATCCCACGGGCCGCCTCCGACCACACTAATCACGCCAAGCAACTCTTCCCAAGCTGGCTGGTCATCTACGCACACTTTGACTTTGTGACACTACACCATTGAGATACCAAACTTATCTTTGTGTTTATTGATCCTGAGATTATCACCTTTTGGCACAAGAAATATTACATTTCCCAAAGCACCTATCAGAGGCTCACGAACTTACAATGACTGTGAATAGTACCGCAGACTTGAAATCCAATGGCAGCAAACATGCTACCGTCAACGGTGCCAACGCCAACCTGAGTGGCAGTGATTCACCGGCCGTGGCACGCTACAGCACAACTGAGACTTCATCACATGCTCACATCAACGGCGCCTCGAACGGTGCCAATGGCAGTCACATTGATCAAACCGCCAGTGAAGCACCCGAAACAAATCGTCAGAGGCTTCGTATAACCATCATAGGTGCTGGGTAAGTAAACGTACCTAGAAATTATCACAGAAAGACTTGGCTGAAAGAACTGCGATAGTGTATCTGGGATTTCGATGGGTGGGAATTCATGATCCCAATGGGCTCCTGCTGATTCCCCCGGCTGACTAGTCTGAACTATAGCCTACAAACTTCAGAAGCATCTCAAAGATTATGTCGAGATACAGATTCTTGAAAAGTCACCGGAGCTTGGCGGGACATGGTTCGAAAACAGGTACCCAGGTCGGTGTTCCTTCGATACGCCTCGCACATACTTTATGGCTCACTCTCATAACTCCTAGGCTGTGCCTGTGATGTCCCCAGTCACTGCTATCAGTTCAGCTTTGCGCCAAATCCTGACTGGTCACGGTTGTACGCATCACACGTTTCCAAGCATACATCTTTCATAGCGCTGACACTTGATCTAGTTATGCCTCATCCCAAGAGATTCAAGCATACCTCGACGGCGTGGCACGACATTTTGATCTGCACAAGTTCATAAAGTTCAATACACTAGTAACAAAAGCAGAGTGGTCAGAAGATTCCGGCACGTGGTCCGTAAACACCGCGGACGGGTCGACTCTCGTATCCGAAATTCTCGTCAACGCCAGCGGCATTCTCAACAACTTCCAAATGCCCAACATTCAAGGATTCGAGAATTTTGCCGGGCCTGTACTTCATACGGCCAATTGGGACTCGTCCGTCAACCTAAGCGGCCAAAGGGTCGGGGTCATTGGGGCGGGCGCGAGTTCCGTCCAACTCCTCCCCCAAATCCAAACAGAAGCGAGTCAGATCAGTGTCTTTATCCGGACTCCGTCGTGGATTTCTCCGCCAGTAGCCCTGTCAGAGGCCAATAAACCCGGGCATACCTATGGCACTGATGAGAAGAGGGCGTTTAGAGACGACGGAGAGGATTATCTTGAAACCAGGAAGGGTCTGGAATCGCAGTTCAATGGAATGTTTCAGGCCTTCTTCAAAGCGGATCCAGGGCAGAAAAACATGCGTCAGCGGTTCGAGACGAGAATGAGGAGTCTCATTCAAGACAAGGCCTTGCAGGAACAGCTCGTTCCCAAGTTTGAAGCAGGGTGTCGACGGATCAACCCCGGCGAGAGGTACCTACTTACACTACAGGAGCCAAACGTCGAACCGGTATTTGACGGCATCGAAAGGATTACGTCAAGCGGTATTGTCGCGGGTGGTATCGAGTACCCTGCCGATGTTTTAATCGCTGCGACTGGCTTCAACACCTCGTTCCGACCCCGTTTCCCGATTCTTGGCCGCAACGGCGTCAACATGCAAGATCTGTGGGCCGATGAGCCAGTGTCATATTTTGGGACAGCTGTTTCTGGGTTCCCGAATTATATGGTTTTCTTGGGACCCAATACACCGATATCGAACGGAAGTCTCATGGGTAAGCTTTTGAGCGCCGTAAGATCAAAGGAGTTGATCGGCAAGTTTTAACTTTGAAAATAGGTCCTATCGAAGCGACGGGTGACTACTTCATCAGAATCCTCTCAAAAGTAATCAGACAGCGCGTCAAATCCTTTGATGTGAGGCCAGAAGCGCAAAGCGACTTTGACAGGCATACCCAGGAGTTCATGAAGCACATGGTGTGGACAGGCACATGTCGCAGTTGGTGTAAGTCCCCGCCCCCAACCAACTAGGACTACCTGCAGCTACTGACAATGCGCATCACATAGTCAAAAAGGGAATCACTGGAAAAGTCAGCGCCCTTTGGCCTGGGAGCTCTCTCCACTACATGCAATGCCTGGCCGAGGATCGGTGGGAAGACTACGAGTGGCGCTACGACCGCGAGAGGTACTCGTACTGGCGCGACGGCTTCTCCTGGATCGAGCAGCCCGAAAAGGATCCCTTGGGCATCGAGCAGCGCGAGTATGCGACTTGCATGACCACCATTCCCCACAGGTCCTCTGATCTCAGCTTCTACCTGCAAAAGGCCGAGCCTCTCCCGCCAGGCGTAATTGCGTTTATCCCTCATGCTCACGAACAGAAGCAGTATGTTGAAGGGGATTTGAATGTGGCGAAAAAGGTCGAGGACTATGTCAAGAAGGAAGCATCAGAGGTTGCCAAAGACCAGACTTGTGCATCTGCTGAGAGTATCCAGAACATCGAGGCTATCAGGCCGAGTGTTATGGTTCCGGTCTAAAAGGAGGATGGACCTCGTCTCTTACTCCATAGCGACCCCAGTCGTTTTCTGATAAAAAGAGATAAACAGAGGTACTGGTCATTTATAGAAATAGATTCAATCGTGTCTGGGCACAGTCACCATGATTGTCATGGTTGCTGACAAAGTTTCGGCTGTCGAAGAAGACCGCAGGTGCCTCCTGAAAGAAGAGAGTAGCAAGGGTCAATCCGTGTTAATACAAGCATGAAAACATCCTAAATCTCTGTACAAACAAATAGTCTCAGAGAACTTCTATCATCAAGAGCCTCAATATTATTGTCACTTATTCTATTCGGCTTGGTTGTACGCAACGGTGTCTTCCGGCAGCGCCAAGCCCACATCCCAATCATCGCAAAACTACCACACGCCATTGAAATGAAAACCGGGGTGTTGACGTAGGAAAATTTGCAGTTAAAGGAGAAGACATAGATGCCAGGCGGCTATAAGCAACCCATTGCCCAAACCGCGGTTCTCCATGCTCAATGCCTAGGGCGTATACCTGTGAAGCGCGGCCGAAGGTCGGTTACTTGCCTCAACTCTGTCCAACTCCTACCGTCGTCTCAAGCGCTCGACGATGGAGTGGAGTGGTGGTAAAGCAGAGACTCCCATATACTGACAGTATACATGGCATTCAACAAAAGTTAATCATGCACGAGACCGCTGGGTTCCACGCCGGGTTCTTTACGGACGTGAAGGAAGCCGATAAGGTGGCCCCCAAGGGGCCCTTTAGGACGAGGGACTGGCGGCTCCGAAGCCAGCTATTAGATACCATTCAAATGCTGAGGGCGGGATCCAAGACACAGATGACCGAGGCGATGGGCTTGTCGCGATAGGTGGTGTAGTTGCTCAAGCCACCGAGGGCTGCGCCGTGGGCTCGATAGTAGGGGAGGAAGAGGGCGGTGTAGAGGCACCACCAGCCCGTATTTGTCAATTTGGGACAGGTGGAGGGGATCGCGTCCTGGGGACAGTCAACGGGGACGAGGAGGCCTTATTCTGCAGGTGGATGTGTAAGTCATTTCGTCGGGGCCGTTGAGAGAAGTGGCTAGGGGAACAGTGGGCAAATTATCAGAGCCGAGGCTTCAAGTACTTCATGTTGAGGTTCCCATGAAATTATGGGGAATAGGGGGTTTTGACAAACATAGTCAGCGAGGAAGCCAAAGCTGCAGGACATGGTCAGCTACCAGCGCAACTTTGCAAACCCGATGGCCTCGGTGGTCTTTTTGACGACTTTCAAGCTCTATTTAACGTCGCTGAGCCATCTTGTCTTGAACTCTGGTCGTTGAGCCGCGGGGGTTGCTCAAGATAGGGACTATGGCGTTTCCAAGGTCGTCTTGTTGACGGAATCGCCGTAAGTGGAAGAGGGGATCCGCGTGGTCGTCCACATCGGCGGATGCGTTGAAAGACAAAGTTCTCAAAGCTTTTGATGTCGAGTGTAAAGCCGTCTTTAGGAAATATGGTCAAGCCTTCGCAACAATGCCGGAACGTCGCAGAAAAGGCCTTGAGTCTCGACAGAGAAAATGTCTTGAGTAGAACTCAGACTTTTAAACCTGATGAACAGCTATAACTCTACACGGCCGGGGTAACACAACCAACTATATACCACTTAGTCCGAGGCAATACGATCTCGAAAAAACCAGCAACTCAAACGTCCTACACGCCAGTACCATCTATTTTATCGTGAGAATCCGTATTTTGCATTGCCCGCCACCCCAGACTCGCCAATCTTGCCAGTAAATCCCCCGTTTGCAGCTTCATAAAATACTACAAATGAATGGCAAAATCTCACGTAACCACCAAGTAGAGTCTCACATTTTAGTCAACTTCTCGTGGGTTTGAAACGGAACACGGCCCGGATGGGGGGTCGCGAACAGGAAGTGGGGACGGACCGGTATCTCCGCGGTCCACGGGGACGATCAACCGCCTTACTAGGTTCCCCTCCATCACCCCGCCTTTCTTCTTGACAAGTGAGACTAGCTTTGGTAACTCCTACCGATAGCGGGCAGAGGCAGAGGGGGAGCTACTTACCGAATAAGGTAATTCTTCCCTGGTCCATCGCCCCTCCCGGGGAGTTTGGATATCATCTAAACTACGGATACCTGGCCGTATAACCACTCCAAGGTAGAGCGCCCTTGTCAAGAATGAAGACTTGGTCCTCTTTCCCTCTCCCTTCCTAATTTCGAAACCCATCGTTGAAAGCCGCAAGTCGTCTCGTGCCCCTCGACTACGATCCGAAACCGAAATCACAGATCGCCAACATGGCTTCATCAATGGAAGTCGAATGCTACCTCCTCTCCCCCACCACAGACGCGCCGAATAGCCCCCTCCCCGTCATCCACTACAGAAATGTCCTCCCGGAACCCCGTGACGAGGACACGGTGACCGAGTTCCTGACCCGGAACCGGTGGGAGAAGAGGGTAAATCCATCATGACCCACAACCTCAACTCCCTCTTGCCATTTCTAAACCCCTCCCATCAACATCATCATCTACCTAAAGTTCGTTCCATATGACGTCTTGCCTTTCCAACTGACGCTTTCCGCGCGGGAACGCGGAAAAAAGGGTACCTGGGGCCACATCCCCATCCGCCATTTCCACCCAAACAGCCACGAATGTTACGGTACGTCTCGAAGTCCCATCCCCAAACGCGTTCATCTTCCCCTTCCCGCTCCTACCTACCTTGCTATACTTGATTCCAGCCCCCCGGAAAAAAACAAGGTCAAAAAGGTCAGTGGTTCATTGGGATCTGACACATCCGCAGGCATCTTCAGCGGCAACTCTACCCTCCTCATTGGCAAAATAAACGAAGGCACAGGCCAAGAGATCTCCGTCTCAACAGGCGACGTCATCGTCCTTCCCGCAGGGACAGCACACTCTTGCCTCGAGAGCTCAGAAGATTATCGATATATCGGCGTCTACCCCAAGGTCAGTTCAGTTCAGTCCATACCCCTACTTCCCCCCTCGCCTCCCGTTGCTTCCCCTCCAACCCCTCCATCGTCTACTTAAGCAAAACATTTTTCCTCTCAATAGCTGTGAAACGCAAGAATACAAGGCTTCTGGCTTACACGATACACACGATCCAGGGGTGTCCGAGGTGGGTAAACGAAATGGGCAAAAAGCCGGCCGGCACGTTTGGCTCCGTCATCAGAGACGTGGGGATGCCGGAGCAAGATCCAGTGTACGGAACAGATGGACCACTGATGAGACTCTGGCATCGAAACATCCTAGCGAAATTGTAATAACCGTCGAGGGTATCCGTAGGGGGCTACGCAGTAGTCTTTCAGAATGGTACACACGAACAACAAAGACAACATAATAAGAGGGCAATCATCCCGCTATATGCGCGCGCGCCATGCCAGTGATATGATGCTACCTATCCTAATTTATGGCTCTGCTTCCCGTCTAGTCTTGATGCGTCTTTGCCTCATCCCATCTCGTACAAATACACAGATACCCTGTTGGCACCAGAAGGTCCTCGAGCCTCACCCCCCGTTACGGACGTACGCAAGAAATAAAGCCAGCAAAAGTTTGATAATACAGGGGAGTAGGGGGTTGTGTACTCGGAAATATTGAACGCCTCAAGTCAGTCATCTGCATCGTCACAAGCTTCACGTTAAAATCCGCAGCAGCGAACATAACTAAGCGTTAACTCGTGAGGTGTGTGGTACTGAAGTGAAAAAGAGACCAGCAGAAACTGAAAAAGAAAGTCGAAAAAGAGACATTAGGAAATATTCCTTTGCGAGAGTTGCCCCCCGTATGCGTTTGATGCATGCCAATGCAGTCGTCATCGTTTCCCAAATGCCATGTTCGTGATCCTTCGCCGATAGGAAGAAAATAAAAAAGGTTAAAGAAATCCTAGCTTCCTGTTTTATACGCCTTTGCACTCCGTCCCTCCATGCTATCCCACTGTGGTATCATCTGCCCGGTGGCATTGGCCAGGTCAATAACAATCAAACGTTATGCGCTAAAACGTTGGCGCAGGTTCACAGTGCGGCGCCCTTTGCTCATCTTGGGCATAGCCATCGTAAGAGCTTGCCTTACTGAGTATTGGCAAGTTTCTGAAGGGCCAGCAAGACGCCTAGTCACAATCAGTTTTTGACACAGATCTCAAACGAAGGAATATTCAACTTACCGCTCACACCCTGTGTCAATGTCGCACCAGCCTCGGTGTTGCGGCTGTGTAAGCTGACAGTGACAACATCCTCGACAACCTTGTCTTCACCAAGAGCGTTGGCCCACTTGAACACTTTTTCATCCTCGCGCCCGTCACCGACTACCATGAGGAAGTCGACCGGGCTCTGATGTTCCGAGTCAGGGGCCATGTGGACACGGAGGTCCTCAAAGATCTTCTCTGCGGCCGTGCTCTTGGTCCAGTCAATGGGCTCGACGACGATAGAGCCGTCAAGAGGAATGGCGTGCACACGCTGTTCTTCGCATGCATCGTTGACGTGACTGGCGCAGTCTCCAGCCTGGCGAGCCGCAGACTCATAATCCTCGGCGCTCTTATAGTGGAAGATCAAGCTGCATCGTCGCTCCTCAATTTCGGCGCCGGGGGTACGCTCGAGGTAATAAGTCATGATGGACTTGACGGATTCCTTCCAGCTGGAGATTTGCTCTCTATCGGCCATTTCTTGCCAGGCGTTCTTGCCGCAATCCTTGAGGAAGCAGCCGTTCTCGGCAATGAGGCCGAGGTTGGGTACGCGGCGGAACAAACGGTCGAGCTCTTCGGGGCGGCGCCCGGACATGATGTAGACGGTGTTGCGCTCGTCAAGCAGAAGCTCGTTCAAGACATCCAAGGTACGCTGCTCCAATTAGACTTGTTAATAAAGCAGAGACCATTGAAAAGATTCTTACCTGAGGGCTGACAGGAATGATCTGGTTCATCGGGCCCCAACTAACCAAAGTGCCCTCGTAGTCGAGGATAAATAAACGTCGGTTGCTGCGCGCATATCTCTGAGCTAGGGTATTGATGTTGAGACGCGGAACGGAGGTCTGGTCGTGCTTGTGTTGCTCGTCGTACACGCGGTCCAGGCGAGACAGGAATTCACTGAACCAGTGCGAGCCGGTGTGGTGCATGACGGCCGAGTAGAGTGCCGTCCATCGACGTTCCTTTTCTTCGTCGCCCATCTCCAACGCTGTCTTGATCGCGTCGGCGCATTGCCGATAGTCCCAGGGGTTGACCGACAGCTCGTTGCCGCCAAAGAGCGACGATGTACCAGTGAATTCGGAAAGAATCAGGGAGCCGTGCTTCTTCTCGGAGAAGACCTCGCCATCTTGGCAGAAGAGATATTCGTGCGATGTCAGATTCATGCCCTCGCGCTGGCTCGTTATCATTAGCGCATCGGCCATGGTCAACAGGGCAAGGTATTGAGGGTAGTCAATATCCTGCTTCAAGTAGACGACAGGCTGGTAGGCCAAATTGGCCCAGGAAGAGTTGACGCGGGTGACGATGTCACTAACGGTCGCATCCAAATCAGACTTCTCGCTGCCAGAGAGCGCCACCTGGATGAGGACAATCTTGTCGCGCCATTCCGGGTTCTTGTTGAGGAACAGCTCGTAGGATAGGAGCTTCTGACGAACGCCGCGAACGTGGTCGAGCTTGTCGCGAGCTACAATGAGCTTCTTGCCCTGATAGCGTTCCTTCATGATCTCGACCCATTTCTTCACGTCATTGTCGCCGCGGTGTTCGCTGAGGTTGACAGGGTCAATTCCGATGGGCAAGTTGACCACATCGACAAAGCGGTCCTCCAACTGCAGGCCATCGGTGGTTGCTTCAACGCTCAGCAACCTGCTGCAGGTTTGCAAAAAGTGACGTGTGTACTCATGGATCTGGAAGCCGATCAGGTTGGCGCCTAACATGCCCTCGAGGAGCTGCTTGCGAACAGCCAAGCATCTGAAAACCTCAGAAGACGGGAACGCAACGTGCAAAAAGAAGCCAATCTTGGCGTCGGGCAGCTTCTTGCGCACCATACCGGGGACAAGCAGCAGGTGATAGTCGTGTACCCAGATGACGTCGCCGCGCTTCCAGTTCTTAACAATCTTGTCGGCAAAGGCCTGGTTGACGTTGACGTAGTACTTCCACGAGTGGTCCTCAAAGGCCTTGCTCTTGGGGTTGTCGGGAATCTGGTAGTGGAAGACGGGCCAGAGGATCTGCTTGCAAAAGTGCGAGTAGTGGCCGTCAAAGTCCTTGTCGGAGCAGAAAACGGTCAGCATGTCGTGCTCGGTGGCGAGCCTGTCCTCAATGTCCTGCTTTTGCTGTGTGCCCTCGAGGGCGTCAGTAGGCATGCCGAGGGTGCCAACCCAAGTGTACTCTCCAAGCTTGCCATCGCGAGCAGCAGCCTCTGCGGCGTTGCGCAATCCACCATTGCCCTGGTCGGCGTTCATAACGCGCCAGTTGGCGTGGGAAAAGACCCGGTCATGGCTGTCGCTTCTAACGAGAGGCCTAGGCTGGGTGATGCCCTGGCGACCGAGTTCTCTGGCCTTCTCGAGGGTACGACTGTGCTCGGCGATGAATGCAGGCGGGGGCGAGCTTGCGCGGGATTTGGGCTGGGTGGCTCGGGCACCCCACTTGGGAGAACCTTTGTCGATGGGCGCACCACGCTTGCGCTCCTCGTCGGGGAATATGCGGAAACCGTCCTCGTTCGTGAAGGGGTCTTTTGGGATGACGTCTTCGGTCGGGGTGATTGGGGGTGTAATGTCGCGGATCGGGTTGAAGAGACTGGGCTGGCTATCGGCTTCGGGTCGCTGTGACTTTTCGGTCTTCTTGGCGCGGCGCAAAGGGTCGCCACGCTGAGGCGTACCGGGGAGAGCGAAGTGGACGGTTTTGGGGAGGAATCTGGAAGTCGCCAAATTAGTTCCTGGTCTTGCATGACAAGGCGATCAAGATTGAGGCCTGGTAGCCGCTGGGAGTCTTGGCAGGTTGTATGGGAAACATGTGTGCAAGAGGTGGGTATCCCGGCGGATGCTTCATTGTCGTTGATGGTGACGGAGGGTTGGGTAAAGTACGAATCTCATATTCTGTAGATGGAGGGGGCTTACAATGATGCGATAAATACCGTCATCTTGGGCAATCTGGCTAGTGGCTAGCCGTCTGTATTTTCTGAATGGGAGCAAGTCCTCGGGGAAGCGGGTGACTGGGTGGGTTGGGTTGGAAGAGGCCGCCAGTTAAGTGCAAGGGATGTAGGGCGAGTAAAAGTTGACGGTGAGGTCGAGGCGGAGGAGATGGGGAGCTATTAGCAGCTTTTCGTATGACAGAACATATGGGAAGAGTCGAGTGGTGTGTTGTTGAGCTGAAGTTGTGTTTTGGGTTGGGAGGGATCGCCGGTGTCAAGGCGAGGGAGAGGGCGAATGCGAAGTGACGTTGTTCGTTCGTAGCTTGGTCGTGCAAAGGATGGGACGGGATAAGATGGGATGGGTGGATGAACAGACGGAGCGTGTGGCTGAGGCGAAGTTCGAGAGAGTGGCGCGAAGTGGTTGGATTTATGCTTGTCTCAGACACAGCCGGAGGTGAAATGAAATGTGAGTAATGTGAGAGAGCGAGGGAGGGTGAGGGAGGAATTAAAGAGCTTTGCAGTCTCGGGAAGCTGCTGTGGCTGCTTGGTGTGAGTTGATTTGCTGGGAGCTGCGCGCAAAATGTACCGTCAGCTTTGAGCTTTTTTATTTTCTTGGGTTAATCAGTTCCTGGTCCTTGTCCCCGGACAAGCCAGAGCCTGAGCCTTGCGTAATGTAATGGCACTGGGCTGGGCGGAGGCGCATGCGTCAGGGAAACCACAGAAAACGGTTGGGTCAGTGGTGCGAAGCGACGGAGCTGCGAGGGATCGATCGGGGGGGGAAACAGTAAGAAGTGAGGTGAGGACGGGGAGTGTTTGTGTTTACTCTATACAGAGCATCGTGATGCGTTTGTCTAGTGTATTCCTCTGTCTTCTCCGTGATGTTTCGGCAGCATTGTTTTCTCGAGAATATTCCAAAGTGGGGATGCTGTGGTCTCGGTCTTTTTGCCCTTCAAACTTTTTTTTTCTTTCACTCAACCCTGGGCGAGAGACACGATGAGGGTGGGATTGGACGGGATGGGATGGGACAGGACAGGGCGGGGATCGCACTTTAGTGTGAGTTTAAGGTGAGGGTGCAGTGGGCGCTGGAAGTAGATGTGGATGAGGTGTGGGCGTTGTGTGGATTTGGATTTGACTGGACTGTCACTGACCTGGAGAGCTTTGAGTGCGCGTGTGGATGGTGCGGCGGGATTGGCCCGGAGGGAATTGGACGGGCTTGACTGGGGGTTAGGCTGATGATGATGGGCTGTCGGATGGCCCAGGACGGGATGGGGCCGGGGGGTGGAAAGCTCTCGGGAATCGGGATGGATACAACAGCAAGAAGAGCATGGAATTCCGTGAGGATGAAATGATGGAAACCTAACGGACGCGGCACTTTGAATGTGACGCCATTCGCGGAACGGTCTAGCCCACCAACTAGATCACTCGCTCACTCACATCTCAATTGCTCTCGCTTTTACAAGCCCCGGGCTGTATGAAGCCACGGGTGAGGCCACTGAGGTGAGGGATGAGAGGTAATGAGATGAGGGTGAGATGAGAGGGGATATCTGGCCGGGAATGGAAAGAAACAAACAACAAAAGGTGGAAGGCACAAGGTAGGTAGGTGCCAGCCAGCGCCTGCGCAACGGGCGAGGAACGTCACTGACGTAATGAGAAAACCAAGCTACGTACCTTGAGGCGGCGACGGGGGGAGCCAATACAGTGCACGGAGGCGTACCGTCGACAACACGAGACTGGGCAAAACAAAGCTAATGCACGCCGTCGACAACCGTCTACTACAAGACGGAAGCGGAGAGACGCAGTCGACGAGTCCTGGACGAGAGAGGCTGCTACTGCTGCTGTTGCTGCAAGATGAGATGCAGCGAGCAAGGTAGACAGACGTAGACGGGACCTTGAGGAAGGGGAACGGGGGTTGCCGCTAGCCTGAGAAGCTACCTTGATTCGACCGTCTATTTGTTCCTTGCAACTGAGAAGGTAGCTTATACTTCTTTCGTAGCTCGTTCGTCGTTTGGTTCGATTTTGTTGGCCTTTGAGGCTTGGTTGGTGGTGCTGTGTGTTGGGATTCCCGTTGAACTTTGAACTGGTCTTGCGTATGAAAGAAATCGTGGATTGTTCACTTGGATTTAATTGAGCGAGGTACCGAAGGTCTGTTTCGTGTTTTGGCTCAGGTCATCAGCGTCTCTCGAACTTTTCCCCTCGGCGTCAAATGTCGTTTTAAGTTGGCGCCCCAGGGGAAGATGTTCCACGTCGCAACAGCGGTGCACCCTCGACACTGGAGACCGGGTGAACGGCTAGACGGGGGGCTCGAGGGGGTGGGAGGGTGCAGGGTGGCCAGCCGCAGCCCTGGCGGTCGACAGTTGAAAGCACGTGTGCAATGCGACGGACCCGACGGGCCCACGGCGGAGCAGACGTCCGGGGAGTGACGGTGATGAAGAAGACGAGAAAGAAGACGGCGATGGCAGCGGGACCGAAGGCTGGAGAATACAGGGGAAGTTGATGATTGACGGAGGTGGTGACGACGATGTTGGACGGTGGATAGGTCCAGGAGGTTTTGTTCCGCAAAGGTTCCAAGTATGTAGACTCCTGAGAGTATATGGCTGTACGGCTGTATGGCTAAGGGTGCCGTTGCTCGATGAAATTTGATCTCCAGAGGGTGACGGCGATGGGCTGGGAATGGCCCAGGGATAAATCAAGGAAGCGCCGAGAAAGCCAAAGAGCTGGTGTGGGGAAGAGAACGAGGGACGGGAAGGGGATCGAAGATCAGGATGGCAGGAGACTTTTAACCAGCCACAACCTCGGGGTGACACTGCTCGGAAGAGGAAGAACCAAAGATCAAAGGGAACTCAGTTATCGCGTCCCATCTCCCTTGTCTGTCCTGCCCGTTCCTCCTCCATATCGAGGAGGAGGTGCGAGATGCCCTCATCCACCCTAACCAACCCGAGATAGCATGCAACACCATGCCACATCATGCAACGGACATTTTCTTGGGTTCGAGAGCGAGCGGTTGAGGGGCCCAGGCCAGCCGCCGTCTCGTCTGGGGAAAGCTCAATGTGAGAAATGCAACGTCCCTCCTTCGCGGTAAGACGAGCTTACCCGTGAAAACAGAGTACAACCATGTACATTGACTCGGTGTTGCTCATCAGTGTTGCTATTGTAGGCCGACGAACTACGTAGCCAAGTACATTGTATCTTTCCCATTAGAAAGAAGAAGGCGCGGTCCGGTTTGTGTATCATCCCGAGCAACATGACGGAAAACGAATCCTACCTCATGCGGAAAGAATTGGAAGAAGCCAGCTGCCGTGATGCTGCGACCGGAACGGATTCGCGGTGCGAGCAAACGAAGTTCTACCTACTTACCCTGGGCACAACAGTACGTACATCCACACCTCGGTTTCCGTGCCGTTGTGACTTTTTTTTTTTTTTTTTTTTTTTAAAAAAAAAACTTGGGGCCTGACAGGGATGATGATGCTGCCCATCCACGCCATCTTCCTGGCCCCAAGACAACGTCAAGGATGCTTCGGGAATGACTGGACGGAAGCCACAGCGCCGCAGAAAAACTGGTCAGTTCCGACAGCATGTTCCTTAATTAACCTAGTAGGTACGTGTATCCGTGACTATCACGCGGGCTGGACTGCGATCCAAAAACTTCCTCCACCCCGAGGTTGAGACACGGGTGGTGTGCCGACGACTGAAGAACGCGAAAGATGGGGAGCGCAAAAGACAAAACGGCAAATATGATTGATGATGGACTAATGACATCTCGTCCTCCCTAGGGCCGATAGGAGCCGCCTGTGACTCTTTGGTCCATCATATCCATCGCCCGGGGGGTTCTCTCCATCGCGCTGCGAATGGTCGAATTCTCTCATTTGTGACTAAAAAAACTCTCTTCAGTCAGGCTTCCAATCTAAATTTCAATTTCAACTTGTCAGACCTGGACTGGCCGGCCCAGACATTCCTCGCTCAACATCACGAACAGCACGAGCCAGTAGATGTTGCGATTCATGACCTCCGCGGTCTGCTGATTTGCCGACGAGATCATCGTGACAAGCCCGTTTGCCTCCTTGTTACCTCCCTCCGTCCGCCTCATTCAAGCTGAAGAGGAACCAACCGAGACTCGTCTCATGGACGCAGCCCTCTTCTCGCCAGGCGTTCTTGCCTCTCTCACGCCTCACGTCGCGCCAACAAGCAACTGCTGCTTGGTGAGGTACGCTCACCCGTACGCTCACCTTGGCGCAGACGGGAGTGGGACGTGCCTCCCTTGTGGGAAAGTCTAACGGTAGCCATGGGTTGGTGGTGGCTACCCTAAGAATCATCTGGAAAGCATCGTGTCTGGCATCATTATGTGGCCTTCCGCTTCTATTGTCTCCCATCTTTGTCCATTATTCTCCATCGCGAATCTCCCTCTTCTTCGTCACCTTGACTCCTCTTTTCTCCTTTTTGGCTCGAGTGAGGGGGAAACGCAAGACAAACAATAGCACTGGAAAAGATCACCAACAAATCATCGCAGCCCGCCAACCACCACATCCTCGTCTGGGTGTGCCCGACGAGATTCAGCACGAGCATCGGCCTCCATCACCACCACCATCACCAGGTACTCCAATAGCTCGGCGATACCACCATGCCAGGACGTCCCTTTCCTGTCAGCGTTGCCGCCCACCACAATGGTTGGCGCACACGCACGTCGTCCGCCGTACGCCTGCACATCAATATCGACGCTGCATATGCAACTCGTGCGACCCCAACACAGCCCGCCATCCATCCAGAGATAACCAGCTTCGCCTTGCGACGACGAACAAGACGCTTTCGCTTGACGATACACCACCTTGGAATCCCATCCACTCGCCGCCCATCGCGTGGCCATCCTTTGGCCATACATCCGCGCACGCCTCGCTGACGAAACCCTCGGAGCTGAAATGGATGGCTTTCTGGGCGGTTGTTTGCCGCGCCTGCGGCGCCTTGGACGGACATCGTCAAAATCTTGTCATAGTCATGAAGCATTACGTTATTTTGCCGTCTGCCGTCGCAGAACCTTTTCTTGTGGTACCACTGGAAAGCTTCCACGAACTTGGTCACAGGGCTGCCTAACGAACCGATATCGCATGCTCTCCGGCCACATTGATCCCAGAGCTTGTCCCCTAGAGTCTGCCATCCACGCCGGACCTGGTTTAACGCGGGACTCCAAACTCAATCCATCATGCAACCTCTCAATTCCATCATTTTAGGCTCTCAGGCAATGCCTGGCATACAGCGTGGGGAGTGCTCAGCACCATGTTGAACAGAACCTATGGAAACAGCTTGGACGGGCGGGGTGTTTGAAGCTTGCGCGAGCGGCCAAAGCAACCTTCCAAACATCCCTCCTGCTCCCATGTCTCGACACCCCTGACAGAATCACTGGTTCTAGCCGGGTCCCCGGTCCCTGTGAGTTTGGACTCAAGTTCCACGTTTTTTTGTTTTTTTTTGTCTCCTCTCTTCTTAATTCCCCTCTCTTTCTTCGGCGGCGTTGAGGACTTGGTGTGGCCCATATTCGAGATGGAGCAGCTTGCCCATGTGACAGGAGGCCCCTCTGCACACACAGAGATTAACTTGGGAGAGTAACTACTCTGTCTCCATCAGGTAAACACTCAGTCAATCATACGGCCAGTTCGGCCCAGCTTCCTATCCTCCAAAGCGGGCGGGGTGGCTCGGCAGCGCCCACTTCGACATCGAGCTTCGGAGAGACCACGGCGCGGGGAAACTTTGCTCTGGATTTTTGGATTCCGTGAGGGTGCGTCCTATGAAGAAATTCCACAGGAACCCATGTCAGTCATCTACTGGCCCTATCACTACCCCGACTATCGCCCCATTCTCGCGGTCATCTTGGAAACATGTGCCTCCTGCAAGAGTCCCAAAAGAGCAGTTCGTCAGAAGATGTTCAAGCAAGCCATATCCTCGCCTATCCTAACCAGGCAGAGATGGAGAGGGCCTGGCAGCGAGTGACAAGAGCACCAAAAAGGCCGATTCTCTTTCCAGAACGCGCGTTGCTACGATTCTGGACTGCCAGGCATGAGACCTGGGGGCCTGGACTCGTGTGTCAACTCATCGCGCCTCCATGACTACTTGGGAGGCCTCGGGTAAAGGGAAAGGAGCGACTTTGAACCGCTCCTCGTTCCTGCTTACTATTCTTCACGATGCAGCCACGATCAGCGCAATGTTGCTGAGTTTTAGAGTAGCCCATACGACAGTGCCATTTGCATTGGGCGACTTGCCAAGGGTCGACACGCTTGCAGGCTCGTTACATGCAACGCCGATCGGCAAGTACTGCGGCAATATGAGGTCGGCTGCGTGTGTCTCCTATCGCCAACCGCCCTGCTTGATGGTTGTTGAGTTGAGTTGGGCACCATGTCTAACAAAACAAAACACCACAGAGTAAGAAATGCCTCAGCAGCGGCCGCCAGCCAAAGCGGCTGTGACTCTGAAAGTTGATGCGGCCCAATCAACCCCTGAAAGGAGGAGCTGGTCCTCGAACACGTCGTCGTTCCTCCAGTCAAAGCCTTCATGTCAACCTCGTGGCATCCAACTTCACAATCCACACGGGGGAATCCACAGTTTGGTTCACTTCAAGTCCATGTCCATGATGTCCCATCTTTCCCCACACTTTGAGACCCCAGTCTAATCATCCTCTTCTCCTCACGTCAACCGCAGCCGCGCTGTGGTGCATCCATGCACCCCATTTCTGCCCTATTCCTAAATCTATTTGATGTCAACTTTCACGAGTCTTCCTCGACACCCTCATTGATATCATATCTTCAACCACCTCGATAGCACGCCCCCGACATCTTCCGATGGTGCAGTGGACACTCGGCTCTTGTTGATTCTATAGGCTAAATGCGATATGGCAGACAGCCATCCCTCCGGCGCGCAACGCGCGTCGGAACCAGCTTGGTCAAACAAAGCGTGACTGGTAGTAGCCAGTCGGCCACGTCGTGCCTCTCCTCTCCAGGCGCCGATTGCAAACCAGCCGCTTGGCATATGTGCCCCTGTCTGGACACGGAAAGAGACTCATCATATATGATAGAATTTCCCCGCCCATCTTATTCGAAGCCGCCTTTCCAGTGCCTGGGTACGAAGTAAATCTCAACCGGATCTAGGTCACTCTGTTTCGAGTTGGCCCACTGAGGAACCTTTTGGTCCCTCTTTCAGGTTCTAGAATTCCCCGTCTGACACTCTGCGTTGATGTTGACCGTTTGAGGAGGTCAAGGTGAGGATTTGATAGTAAAACGCTAGCACAGCAACTCTTCGTTAGCGCTCGGCTGGCCGGGCGAGGTATCAAACGTCCCGGCTCGACACGGCGGTGCCCGGCCTTACTCGATACTTTTACTAGGGGCGGCCCGGTCCTGCAGTTCCGCCACAGCACTGGGTAAGGTAGTCGGTCACGTTTACACGTACTGTGCACTTCCATGCACCGCCGACGGGATGCCATCATGCTCGTGTCAGAACGGACGGGGATGGGGCAACGATGCACATCCACCAACCCACCAGCGGCACGGGATTCCTAACCCAATCTAGATGGTTGCCCTGCCCTCGATGCGGACAGAGACGCAGTATAGATACTTACTACAGTGTACATGATAAGCTCTTATTGGGGAAGAGGGGCGGCCCAAAGATGGAACGATCGGGTTCGACGGACTAATGCCAAGGATCCATTGCAGAGGTGCAAACGCATGCCGGCCGTGACGACGTGCAGCACGCGGTCTTGAGCCAGGAGTAATCTACCTTCTATCCCCTTTTGCCGTCGTACTTTTACTTTTTGAGCCTCTTCTGTCTGCGCAGACATTCAGCTCTATGCTGATTCGTTCTAACTTCGGGCCTCGGCAAATGCAATTGGTGATTGGTATAGAGACTACCGTATGAAGGACATCCAATCCCGTGGCTCGTCCCACCGCGGATACAAATAGCGAATAGTATCTCTGTCCTATTCTTGGCTTTAGGATGGACGAGGTCTATCAAGAATCGCGGTGCGGCAATAGGGCATTTTTTATCCTTGCCGTTGGGTGATAACGATGGCGCGTTTCACGGCAGCGTTTTTCTTCTTGTCAATGTTGTGAGTCTGCGGTGACTATTGGTGATGGATGGGCTTGGGATGCATGCGAAAGCCGATCTCGTGTTGCTCAACATTCGACGACAGGATACATTCCGAGTACACGACGTTTGCAGGCTACGCCTGGCAAAAGTGGCTTTCCTTGCCTTGAGTTACTGTGGACTTGGCCGTACCCATGGCGTGACCTCGGCTGCCGAAACACCTGATTCATTTGCCGGTGTGCCCGTCCTGTCCCGAGTCTCCCGACAGAATTCCGCGAGAGTCCCCGATTGCAGGCCCCCGTTGGTCCGTAAGTGGGGCCGATGACACAGAAGTTGTGGAGAGGTGAAGCCGGGCCGGTTGGGCCTCTAATCGATTCGGGCGAGTGAGGGGATGCTATCTATTTTGGCCAGGAAAATCATAGATTTGAACTCGCCAGATGTCAATTTGTAATCGTCGGCAATGTTCTGTTATGCCCTGCTACTGACTTCCCTGCCTTTGGTTCCACAAGGAAAATGTGGTACGAGGTCATGACATTCAGATGGAAGTAACTTGCCTGCGGTACAGTAAGATGTAGACGGGATACTGAGGTCAATACCAGATTTTCCAATATTAATCTGAAAGTATGAAGCAGAGGTCACTCTAGTCCAGGTTTGTGCAAGAGATTCGGTTACAATATTTCACATGTACATGTAATTTCGGCTACCTTGACCCATCCTTATACGAGGCAAACTACCTCAGAAGTTCGACATCAAGGACATTATGCACAGAGACGTCAACCTCCGGATTTTAACAAGTCGTAATCCGACCGAATTCATCGGTGTCCTCCACTGTTCCTCAGTCCTCTCTCGACCATAAACCACTGCCATCATTCGGATATCGAACGCGGTAGTCTATGGATGTGCCAGAGCCGTTCCGTCAATGTGGTTGGAGATCAGCATGAACCTGGGGGTCATGGAGTGCTCCTGCATCTCCAGGATCTTGCGGGCTGGTTTGTCGGACCGGTCGTGGGGAATGGAACGCATGAGGTATGCTTTGGCTCCTGTAGCGTTATGTGAATGGTAAGCTCGTTGCTGCTCAAAACGGAGGTTGGCCCTAGTCGGAGACTTTTCCCAGGAGTCCTACTTACCTCATATCGGCTAAGCTGTGATGAAGTCGTGGACCACTTTGTGAACTCCTTCCGGTAGAGCCACTTGATGAATGACCGAGGGGAACATCTTCAGAGTCAACTCGGGATGTTGTCTGCGGATAGACGGCGTGGAACTTAAGAATGGCCTAGCTGGTGCTCCCGCCGGTAGCCACGAGTAGAGGTATCGCAGAATCTTGTTCCTCGATCAGTCTCGGGGCTCTAGTGAGCCGACGGCTCGTCATCGGTTCGCTATTCTGGCGCTTACTATGTCTCAAAAAGCTGCAGTTTTTTTCAACATCTTCAAAGATGCACCAGAAGCAGACTGTGATATGTGTTACCACGGCGAGCTAGCTTGAAGAAAGGCAGCCGGCTATGGGTGTCCATCTCTCGCGCGTGTCATGGAGGTCCTCGCTAATGTCTCTCATGGAGATTCTAGGCATGGTATCAGGGCATGCGTTCCGAGAAGTGCTTGTAATGCGTTCGTCTTCGCTTTCGAACGAGGTTGATGTTACGTTTTGAATACTTTCGAGGAACGAGGCTGTTGTGATTTTCCCGATGTCTCCATCCTCAGACGCCGTCTTCTTCTTATCCTCCCAGTCCGTCGCGTACAGCCTTTACTTGTTTGGCTGTACCTAGATAACTTCTTGCGAGGTGCTTTAAGCGCGGTCATCAAAATCTTGAGCGGTCTCTTCCGCGTGCCTGAGATCAGTATCATTTAATTCTGGGATGGCCTTCGTACATGGCAGCCGATGAAGGGCGGCATTGGATTTGACAGTACGCAGATCAAATTAGGTAGTCTGCGGAGGGCTTCTTTCATTCCGCCTTGTTCACCAGGATGATGCTGCAAGTAGAGCCCTGTGCTCTGAGCAAAGCAGAAAGCAGGCTGGTATCGCTATTCAGCCAACATATTTTGTCTTCTGCCAAACGCTTGAAATGAACATTTGGTCCATGAGTCAACCTTGTCTAGCAAATTCCATGTCAAGAAGTTGAATAGGTAATCCCCAATGGTATACTTCGTTGACGTTGAACTACGAACTCAACCCGGAGTGCAACACCTCGCGCGACCCAAGCTCCAAGAGGGTATGGATGTGCCGATAATGTGTCAGATATTGAATAATTACAAACATCTGGCTTTTGCCAAATTAGTACTGAAGCCTGCGCATTCTTTACACACGACGAGAACACCTGGGATTTTGGGGAACAAAGGGGGTATATTCTCTTTTGTGTATCCGTATTCTAGTTACCAAAAACCCATCCGTCATAAGCGCATAACTGCGCATGGCAAAGTGTACCCGGGTCGCGCAAAACAATAACGCGCAGTACTGCTCCCTCAGTGACACCACAACCTCACAGCCTTGTCCTTTCCACCACTGCCCACGCGCTGCCCGTCCCTGGGACTCCAGTCGACCGCATACACCTCGTCCTGGTGCCCCGGCAGGTCGACGGCAAGCTTGTGCGTCGCCATGGACCACACCTTGAGCGTGGTATCCTTTGACGCCGTCACCAGCAGCCGCGAATCGGCGGAGAAGGCACACTGGTACACGGGCGCGACGTGTCCGCGCAGCGTGTTGATGAACTTGCCGTCCCGCGCGCTCCAGAGCTTGGTGTGGTTGTCCCAGCCCGCGCTGGCGATGAGCGTGCCGTCCGGGGAGAAGGTGACGTGGTTGACCTGCTTCTGGTGGCCCAGCATGCGCGCCACGGGCTTCGTGCCCTGCGACGGGTCCCAGAGGTACATTGTGAAGTCGTCGCTGGCCGACACGATCCGCTCGGCCACCTTGCCCTGAAGCTTGGCGGCCTTTTCGAAGCGTTCCTTTGCCTTTGCGCGGCGCGCCTCCTCCGTGTCCGGCGTGGGCGTGTGGTCGAAGAAGCCCGTCCTCAGGGCGAAGTCGGAGGACAAAGCGAGGTGGTTCACCCAGTGGGCATGCGAGGAGAGCGTGTGCACGAGGGTGCCCTTGACCGAGTCCCAGACCTTGACCGTCTTGTCGTGGCTGCCCGTGTAGACGAGCCCTGTGCCGCCCCATTTCACGCAGCTGACGCTGCTCTTGTGACCCGAGAGGACGTGCTCCGTCCGCCCCGTGTTCACAACCCAGATGCGCACCGTCGCGTCCTTGCTGGCGGATGCAAGGCGCGGGGTGCCATCGCGCCAGAGGTGGTAGGGTTCCCAGGCGATTCCGGTGACCCATTTCGCGTGGCCTGTCAGAGGCTGGCCGACGGCGACGCCTTTATCCGGGTCCCACAGACGGACCGTCTTGTCCATGCTGCCCGTCGCGAGGCGGCGGCCGTCAGCCGACCACGCCACGCAGAGGACCCAGCCGGTGTGGCCCGATAGTGTGAATTTCGGGGTGCCCGTCTCTGTGTCCCATATCCGCGCCGTCTTGTCGCCGCCGCCAGTTGCTAACCTCTTGCTCGTTTCGGGGGAGAATTGGGCTGAGAGGATGGCTTCGCCGTGGCCGGGGATACGATGGGCCATGCGGGTGACGGCCTGCACCTTGAACACGGCCTGGGGTTCGGCGCTGAGGGTGACTGTCGTCTCAAAGGGATTTGCGACGCCATGGCTGCGGAGGAGTTCGAGGAGATTGGTGGGGTACTGGTCGACGATGATGTCTGTGTCTGGGATGTGAATTCGGAATTTGTACGGCAGGAAGTCTTCTCTGTCCTGTCTTGGGGATTAGACAATGGGTTGTATGTGGTATCGTCAATGGGAGGATATGACTGACTTTTCCTTGCAAGGTATTGAGGAGGAGCGTGAGGTTCTTCTCAGAGGCGTCGGCGAGGGGCACCTCGATCACCTCGGCCAGTTGCTGTCCGTCGCCGTCGACGAAGCGAGCCTTGAAGGAGCCCTCGAGGCCCGGCGCCATGGCTGTGACATCTTGCTGCGTCTGCGTCTTCTCAAGCGTCTCGCGCTTTTGGCGCTTCGAGGGCGGAGGGAGTACCGTCGCCATGTTTGTTGCGCCGGTTGACCGCCTACTCGAAAATAGTCCTTTTTTTTTTTTGGCAGGATTGTCAGAAATATTTCAAAGACGGCGATGCGCGATGGTGGGGCAGAAATTTTGAAGTGCAGACGGATCAAGGATCATCGGCCAAAAATTGCCCGTGGTTGCGACGTCCCCACTCATGCCCCAAAAAAATGTCATCGCTAGCAGTCGCGGGTGGGGGTGTAATAGTTCTCTGTTAGTGAGGGCATTGATAAGATAAAATAACCCCCGGTTCAGACGATGAACAAACTCCGAGAGCCATCCTGGCAGCTCTCTCCCGGAACTGTGCTTTTTTGGCGAGAAGAAAAATAAGCATGTCCGGTCAGCTTGCTATGCTGGTATCCTTATAAACGCCTTGCCCCAGTCCTCCGTCCGGTAAGGTATCCCGTAATACCCCTCCATATTACACACTCAGCCTTTCTCAAACTCGTCACACATTCTCTCTCTCTCTCTCTCCCCCTCTCACTCTCACTCTTCCCTTCCTTCCAGCCTTCCAGTGACATGAAGCGGTCTACTACCTACCTCCCCATGTGAAGACTGGCGTCGAGGCTCTGGTCCATGGCCGTCTTCTTTGGCCGGCCACGCCTCTTTGAACCCGTGGCCGGCGAGCCACCCGCCGCTCCCTTTGGCATTGCATTGTTTGTAGGCGGCGCCGTGTATGAATGGAACACTGCCGGCTGGCCTTGCGCCGGCTGCATGCCAAACTGGGGCACGGGAATGGGCGTCTGCTGGACGGCATTCTGCTGCTGGAAAGCGTTGTTGAGGTGCTGCCCACGCATCTGCATTGTCCTTTGGTTGCGCTCCTCAATCTCTGCTTGTCGGTCTCTATATTGCGCGTGTTCGTCGTGGGTGGTCTGCTCGAACGGGTGCTTGGACATACCGGCCATGCCATCCCGGGACATTTGGTTCATCTGCTGCTGAACCCGGTTGTGGTTGTGGTTGTGGTTGTGGTTAAGATTATGATTCTGTACTTGTTGCTGCTGGTGCTGGGGATGTTGCTGATGTTGCTGATATTGCTGATGCTGCACTTGCTGATGCTGCTGTTGTTGCTGCGGCTGAGGAGGTTGTTGATGCTGTTGCTGCGGCTGCTGCTGCGGCTGTGGTTGCGGCTGTTGTTGCTGTGGTGCCTGCTGCTGTGGTTGTTGTGTGCTTTGTGATTTGCGTCGACTCTCCTCAATCTCCTGGTGTTTCTTTTCCTGCCGGGCCTGTCTTTCTTGCCGCTGCATGTCCTCGTTCTCGACAGCGTATATAGCCGCGATGCGCAGTTGCATCTGGGCTAGTATGCCCAGGCGTTCTGGTTTCGACATCTTTCGATATTCCGACTTAAAGTTGTGGAAAGTATCGCCAGTGAGGCGCATCGTGTTTGGGGAGGCACCAACTGCAGCAAGAAGGGCGGCTGTTGTGGGATCTGGGGCCGGGCCAGAGCTCTGCACGTCTGGGACTACGAAGGTTAGTATCAAGCACCGGATAACAGCAGCGTAGGAAGACGGACCAACTGATACGTCCTGAACGATGTCGGCATCTCCTTCGGCATCGGCATCCTCCTCATCGGTCGGCGGGTCAGGCGTGCGCGCCTCATGGTTGTGTTCGCTGCATATGATCGTCAAGATCCATTTCCCCAGGGTCTTGCGATTGACGGCCTTGGCCTTCCAAGGGCAATTGGTCTTCTTGGTGGACGTCTTCAGCTGTGTCGCCGTGCATTTGTAAGGCTGCCCACCGCGGTCGCAGACGAGATCGCATCTGACGACCTCGCTCCCTTTCTCGTATGTGCCGCCGACCTTGTTTCGATGCGTACGCGACTTGACGACCTTGTACCCATCCTTTTGCATACGCGTCTTCAGCGCCGCGAAGAGCTCATCAAACGAGGCATATTCCTCGGTGCCGTCGCTGCGGTCGCGGGCGCCCAAGATGCCAAACATGTTGACGGCGGGGCGGCGACTGAACACCAGTGTCGCGATGGCTTCAACGCCTGGTCCCGGATCCGTGTCGGTCGAGATGGGGGGTTTCGAGTCGTGGTGTCGCGGCGCGACGCGGTTCGGCTTCCTGTGCGGATTGCTTTTCCAAGCCTGTCGCAAACTCTTCCAGACGTATCGGGGCCGTGGGGATGACGACTTGACTCCACCTCTCGACATCGCATTACCTTAGTGGCTGTGCATTCATTGGAGACATGAGGTGGCCCGTGATTTGTGTGGCTGGTGCAAGCCCAGTGGCCAGTGGCTCCACCCATAGGCTCGGCCGGGACAACCCCGGTTCGTCCGTATAAGTCGGGCAGGAGCTGTTGTCCGTTGCTGCGATTTTGGCTTGATGCCCTCTTGTTCTCTTCAACCACATTCCATCATTCTATCGGCTTTATTCAGATGACACAGATTCGATTCATACCTGCTCAGCTTTGAAACTCTTCTCCTGCCGCTGTTGTGGACCGGACGTCTTCCCAGCCCATGCCCTGTAGACCGACCACCTCAGCCGGCTTGATGTAGCCGTAAAATGGACCCTCGATATTCACGGCCCTCGAGGCCTTCGACTGGCTTCTTGACCACGCCTTCTCAGACACCTGCACCGTATGGAAGACCATCCCCGTACTTCTCCCAAACAACATCAAGAACGGGCACTGCCTCAGCAAACCCGAGAGTGGGCGGCTCTTACACGGCAACGCCGATGCCTTCTTCGGCGGAAGACCCTGTTTCTGGTGATGCCTACACCTCTAGTTACGATTATCGCAGTGAACCTAGTGGTACGATATCAAGATCTCGCACAACCCGGCCGAGCACTTCCTACACCAGCCGCACGTCACGAACCCCATTCCTGCCCAACAGCGACAAACACACCATTGTGTGCGCGCTGAGCGAGGCTCGTGGAGTGACCCCTGCCGTTGGAATCGTGTTCTTCAACATTGATACCGGAGAGGTAATTCTAAGCCAGATCTCTGACAATAGGTTCTTCGTTCGAACCCTTCACAAGCTTCAAATCATGGAGCCAACTCATCTCCTAATCGTAAGCTCGTGCTGCCCGCCGAATCCCAAGTCGAGGCTCTATAGCCATATCGAGGAACACATGCCGGATACAACAATTAAACCTCTTGACAGAAAGTACTGGTCAGAGATAGATGGGCTCAGCCGTATTCAGACCTTCGCATTCCGAGAAGACGCAGAAGCCGTGAAGGTGGCCATTGAAGGCAGCTTCTACGCAACATGCTCATTTGCCGCGGTAACCGAATTCGACAAAATCATACCATCCAGAAGTAGTACTGACTTTTATCGAGGCCATGAGTTTCTTGGAGATTGAGTTTTCCATCAGAGTTGTTCCACACTCTCTTCGCATTCGTTACCAGCCCTCGGAAGATACCATGATGATTGACGTATCTGCCATCATGTCTCTTGAAGTTCTACAAAATCGCCGCCAAGCTACATCTAACGACAGCCTTTTCGGTGTTATCAAGCACACACTGACCCCCATGGGCGGTCGAGTGCTTCGAAGTAATCTACTGCAACCGTCTACCCTCAAAGAGTCATATCTTGAGCCCAGATATGACGCTTTGGAGGAACTTCTTGCAAACCACGACATGTTTGCAGAGGTTCGGACAGGTTTGAGCATCCCCGTTCTCTAGTTCGGCTGTTTGCTGACATGTCACAGCTCTAAAAGCGTTTCCTGATGTCGAGAGCATGCTGACCAAGGTACTGGATTGCAAAGATACCTAGCCTACACCGAGTTCTGCTGACTGATGTAGCTCGTCATTATTCCTAACAAACCGTCCGTCGAGGCATCAGAAAGAGCCATCAACCATATTCTCTTAGTCAAGACCTTCATAGACGCCGTTCCTGCAGTTTTTCAGGCCCTGGGTCCTGCCGCGTCCCCTCTTCTCAGTAAAATTAGAGACCTCTGCCGGCCGGAGTTGACTGGAGCAGTCAGAGAGCTTGTGTACCAGAGTATTCACGAGGATGTCCATTACGCCAAAAGCGCCCTCGACCTACGAAATCAAAGAACCTTTGCGGTCAAGGCAAGTAATTTCTGGCCACTGTTGCTGAAACCTGGCTAACCTTGCGGCAGCCTGGAATCAACGGGCTTCTAGATGTTGCCAGACAAGCTTACAAAGAGAATACAGATGACGTCCATAAACACGTCGAAGAGTTGAACCGTAATAGATTTCCATCACCACCATTGTTCCCTTCTGATCCTAACAAACTTGCAGGCGAGCACAGCATCGACGCCAGCTTAAGGTTCGATAATGGGCGCAAATATAGCCTCCGAATGCGGGCAGTGGATTTCGAGGACCGGGCCGTACCTGCGGTGCTTGTCAACCAGACGATGAAGGGTCGGCACATCGAATGTCTTACGATGCATCTCAAGAAATTGAATCAGAGAATCGCCGACTCCGTTGCCGAGGTGGTCATGCTGAGCGACAAAGTGATCCAGGATCTCATTGACAGTATTCGAACGCAATTACAACCCCTCTACCGCGTCTGCGATTCAATTGCGCTGCTCGACATGATTACATCGTTTGCACAGGCAAGTTCGACGTATGATTGGACACGACCTGGAATATCAGATACGCTAGCTCTCAAAGCTGCGAGACATCCAATCATGGACAAGGTTTGGCTCATCAAGTAGTCCCCTGAGCGCGGACTAATTTTGAACAGACTTTGAAGGGCGGCTTTGTACCGAACGACTATTACGCCACCGAGGAGCACCGTTTCCAGATTGTGACCGGCTGCAACATGAGTGGGAAAAGCACATACATCAAGAGTATCTCTCTGCTTCAGATCATGGCTCAAATTGGCTGCTTCGTGCCGGCTGAATACGCTAGTTTTCCAATCGTTCACAGTATCTTTGCTCGGGTGACTACTGACGACAACATCGAGTCTAACATGTCAAGTTTCTCGCTAGAGATGAGAGAAATGGCATTCATTCTCAGGTACGTGTCATTATGTCTGAGAAACTGTCCATGCTGACTTCCTTAAGCAATGTCACCCACCGAAGCATCGTCATCATCGATGAGCTAGGCCGAGCCACAAGCACGAGAGATGGGCTCGCCATCGCGATTGCCATAGCCGAGGCCCTCATACAGAGTCGTGCTATTGTGTGGTTTGCAACTCACTTCACAGAGATTGGTGGGACCCCTCACACATTCACAAATTATTGTGTTCAGAAGTTGACCAAGAGTAGCCGACGTCCTAGCCGATCGTCCTGGAGTACTGAATCTTCACCTTATCACGCAGGTCTCGACGACAGACAACAATGTACCCAAGATGACTATGATGTACAAAGTTGAGTCGGGGAAGACTGAAGAGTTGCTGTATGGCATTACCCTTGCAAAGGCAATGGCGTTTCCCAAGCGTTTTCTTGAGGTTGCGGAGCAGGTTGCCACATCGTTGCGTGAACGAAGGGAACAGAACAAACAGTCCTCACAGGCGAGAAAGATGCTCAACCGGCGTAAACTTATTCTCAATCTACACGAACAGTTGAAGCAGGTCAGTAACTCTGAGATGGACGAGTCATCAATGAGAAGCTACTTGATACGTCTCCGTGAGGAGTTCGTTTTGCGGATGGACGTCATCGAGAACGGGGGAAATCAAAGCAGCAGCACCATCAGTGAGGCTACTTTAGACGAGGAGGATGATGAGTTTGATGATGAAGACGTCTTCGATGCTGTCGATGTCGAGTCTCTCTGGAGCAGCTAGGGTGTAGTCTTGCGTGCAAATGATCTGAAGATTATTTTGGAACAATATATTACAGTGCCGAAAGTGCGCGGATGAGGGGAACTCGACAGGACACCGCCTTTGACATTGTTCAGTAGATATGGCCTTTGACAAACTTGTTCCAATATGAATTTCAAGGTTCTTCTGGATTTTCAAATCCGACTGAATTTGGTGTCGTTGTCTCCTACCAGCTTGACCTTTGCCCTGTTCTGTTCTTGTGCATAGAAAGGATGTCAAGGAATGTCAAACTCTGACTGCCCTTTATACTTCTGAGAAGGGTCTTTCAGGGCTTGTGCACGTAGGGAGAAGCTTGCCAGCATTATTTCTGAACTTACCTTACGACATCGTCTGAATTCTTCTACCTTACTTACCTAAGGGGCCTTAAGGGTCGAGTCTGGGCGAAGGCGGGAATGACCATTGCTCCTTCCTCGGAGGTGTTGTGACGGGCCCAACACAAGGTACTTTACCACAGGTACGTGGAGATTGACAAAAATGGAAGGCACCACCCTCCACAACCGGAAAGTACCCGACTGTTTCTCGGATCTGTTCCTCGCACCAGCTTCCTCGATACCTCCCCCATCCATCCATTTTGACAAGAAAAATTTTTGATTCAACAATTCTTCCAACCAATTCACATTACAACCTGTCTATTCTACGACCCTGGGCTGTATTCAGATCAACCGAAATCGTGCTCAATTCTTCATCATACCACAAGATCAATCACTTTCTGCAGCTCTTTTATTCTGACGCCAAAGGCAGAAGAAAGACGCATGGAGAATTCCGACCTTTCATCGTGAGTACACTAGGAACCCGCAATTCCCTTCATTCACTGACCGTCTCTTAGCCTTTGGGAAACCAAGAAGGATGCGGACATTCACCTCACGATGGGTGTAAACAAGTGGGAGCTCCATGACAAGGTCATTCGAGGAAAGAGCAGCCTCATTGACCACATCCTCGAGATGATTCAGATGGTAGGTATTCAAGTATTTTGTCGTCTCTCGAAGTCGATTGCTCTGCTCAGAGGTTTGCTGACTATCGACGAACGTCTCCAGCAAGAAGGCATCAGGAAAATTCCACTCAAGGAACACTTGTTTACTTTCTCTGCTCTGAATACCGTCTTGAAGTACTTCTACTTTGGAGGTGAGATACTGCGTCTGCATTCGGAAGAAGAGGTTTGCTAATTTTGAACAGAGAAGGTGGTAGACGAAAAGACTGAGTCGATCGAGCTCCTCGCGATGTACGAGGTATCCGCCACACTCATCATTCTTCCGCTGCAACAGAAGATTGCTTCGAAAACAGGCAACTTGCTTGGTGATATTCTGTCGAACAATATCGAGATGGTTGGAGACTTCTGGATGGCGGCTGAAGTTATCGTCGGCGAGCAGACAGACTCTTGGGTGTTCATGCGCCAAGAGCTACAGAGAGCAATAGGTCCCCATCTCTCGATGCTGCTCCGACAAGACACGTTTTCGAATCTTTTGAAACAGAACCCAGTCTTTTGTTGGGAACTTCTTTCCACCGCTGTTGATCACATTCAGATTCTCGAGAAAAAGACAAAGGAGACCGCCGTTATCAAGGAGACGAGAGACGCAGGTTCCCAAACCGACGCCAAACATGATACTGACGTCTCCAAACGTTTTGGTAAGACTTTGGCCGGGAAGAAGCAACTCTACTTTCACTAACAGAAAGAAGTCGAAGCAGGAACGCAATGTAATATTCCACCGCCGAATACTCTGAGGAGACACATCCTCACGGCCGCGGCAAACGATGCTCGTATTGAGGCCTCACAAGAAGAGGTGACTCCTCGGCCCAGCAAGCCCGAATACATGGTGGAATTCGACACGGAAGGCAAAGGTCGAACGGATGGAGCCAATCATTCACCGCAAACTTTCTCAAGAACAATGGCCAAGCCTGGACTTGAGCGGGTTTTCAGTTCTTCTACGGATGCCAAAAGCATGTATTCTTTTTCACTGATCTAATTCCCCTTTGCAGACCTCTGGTGGCCTGTAACCCAGGCTTCAGACTCTTCATTAGTAAAGCTCATAGGCTAACCGAATGGCAGTAGTATTCAATGTTCCACAGACCTCGAGGCGTTACCCGAGGGAGACGGACTCCGATTTGAAGAAAGGATCTGTGGCTATGGACCAAGCCTCACCGCACAAATTTTCAGGGCTGTCAAAGACGGCTACTGAGAATGTGGCCCTCCCTCTTACGATCGCCGATGCATCAACTTCAGATGCTTCCACTCAGGAATCTTGGGAATCTTGCAGCGAGGGTCGTGGTAATTTTATCCCTAACACAAGAGAGAGCGAATTCACTGTGCCATTAGCTTCTAATAAAGCTGAGACGCGCACTGTTGAAGTCTCAGAGGAGTCCAAATCTCAGTATGAGGAGAGACGTGCCGTCTCTGAGGTCATGGAACGCATGCAATCGGGAGGATCAGCATTCGATTGCTCCAGCTACATTCACGAGGAACAGACACCCATCACCGGGGTCATCGAACGAACCAGGAGAGAGTATGTGCTGAGCGGTTCACGTGTCAGTCAGACGGAGGAGACATTTGCTCCCGCCATCCCTGAGTGGTCACGTCGTTCATACGCTTTCAACAGTGCGAGCCTTCCCAGAGGCTATCAATTCACCGGCGGATCGCAGGAGGAGCAATCTGATGGACCAAAAATCAATGCTGCTGCCAGCCATGCCCAGAAGATTGCTTCGTCGTCTTTCCGTGGAAGAGCGATGCGCAACCCCTCTCCTGTGGCCAGAAGCTCGTGGAAGGCTGACAGTGCTACGGCCAAGCAAATCAAGAGAGGTCGGCTAGTAGTCGAGCCCCCTGGTGAGTCCCCAAGGGCCTTTTATTTTTGGTGGTGCGTGGTTCAGTTTTGCCACTGGTTGCTCTATTTGCCAAAGGCCTTTCTCTCACCTTCGACACAGAAAATTACAGTCCTTTGGAGTCGACAGTCAACCTCGATGGACCTCCCCTCGACTGCAACCCTTCTTGAAATCGAGTTTTCGCGGAAATCCCAACAAAAGAAACATAAGTGATGCAGCATCACTCTTATTCATGACTGGGGGGTTGCAGCCCATAAGTGTTGTCCCAGTGCTGCAGCAACACACAGAAAAGTTGCAGTGATAGAATATGTCTAAGGCTCGGGGCATATCCAACACGCGGACTTCGATACGAGGTGAGAATAAATTTCGAAACGGCCCAGAATACAGCTGATATCCTGTTAGTGCTGATTTTGTCCGCCCAAGAAACTATCATGTTGAGTATTGCGTGCCATTGCACATGACGGTCTCCGAAGTGTTTGGAATGGAGTCTGTCCAGGGACATGGTTGAGGAGGCACATAAGGAAATGTGAAGGCAGCGACTATGGGAGTTTCCAAACACAACGTCCGTTTTCAAAGTGGTTCTGCAGATTAACATAGGCCATGAAGGCTGAATTGAGTTAGATGAAAGTCTACAACTGAGCCCTCTCCGTCCGATCATCCTCCTTGTCAAACCAGATTTTGGTTCTCTTAAGCATTCACTCCCCCTACGCCGCACCAATCTTGACAGCAGCCACCGCGGAAGCCAATTTGATCGGCAAAGGTTTGTCCTCCAGTACTCTCTCCGTAAACTCAATCGCCTCCGTCGTAAAGTAGCCCTGAAACGGTCCCAGTAAGTCTGCGGCAACTACTACCGGATCTCTTCCCGTCTTGTAAATTTTGACATAGTTCTCCGCCGGTAACAGGCTCACCGGCAGCTTGCCCTTGGTACCAATAATCTCGGTCGAGTCCACCTAACCCGCAGCCATCATGCTCGAGGCATACGGGTACGCGGTGCGCCATCATAAACTCGAAGGTGCCGACAGCGTTGTAGCGGTCATTATGCCTGCGTAGGTCGGGCTCGACGGCCATGATGCCAACGGCGTGGACGGATTTCACCTGAACTTTTCCTAGTCCAAGAACCAAAGCGAGAGGTCAATATCGTGGGTGCTGCAGTTGACAAAGATGCCGCCCGAGAACTGGGCGTAGGCAGCGAAGAAGCCCGACGGGTTGAGGACGTCGCGTGTCTGGCTGTGGAGAATGGCGGGGGGCCGGTCAATGAGGCCTTGTTGCATCTTTTTGTGGGCGTCGCGGCAGGAGAAGCCGCACTTTAATTTGAGGTCTAACTATTTTGCGGCCGCGTCTACGATGGTTTGTGACTGTTGTTCCGGTGTGTGAGCTTTACTTCAATGCTTGGAAATTTCCCTTTACATGGAAAGGAACTTTTGTTCCTGGACTCTCAGAGAGAGAGAGAGGATTGAGAGGCAACTTCCAACTTCCACAGTCGTGCCCAACGGCTTCTCACACAATACGTGTTTGGCGTGGATAGAGGTCACCGAGGTCAGAAAGACGGCCTCGAGCCCCTTGTGGGCAAGCATATCGTCGTAAGACGTGTAGACGGTGACGAGGGTCGCGCGGGGCACGTTTTGGTGGAAGTTGAGGGCGTGGCGCTTGCCCATGCGGCCGAGACCCACGGCGGCTGCTTGGAACTTCTTGGTTGACATTTTTTCTGTTTTGTCTTTTTGTCTTTTTGTCTTATGGTTCGGTGTTTGGTATGGTGACGAAGAGACAGAGATGAATCCGGTGTCCGGGAGTGAGTTGTGATCGTCACGGGTAGCGTGTGGTCTACATCCATGTCTATTTCTTCTGGTATGCAATCGGATGGTTGGAGGGGTATCAACATGGATAAAGTTAGGTAGACAGCGAAAATTGAGAAGAAATTTTGATTTCATGTAGCCTTGAATAAGATGACGGTAATTAATTAGATTATTGTAGAAAAATCAAGGAGGATGCTTCTAGTGTCGGTATGAGAGAATGATTCTCTGCAACTGACTCAAGTGACGACTTCTTTGTGAATGACTAGCGTCAAAGCGAAGGTAACGAAAGAAAAGGCACCGGGTGAGAGAAATTCCAGTGGCTACAGAAAAGAGCTCAAACAATCTGAATCTCCTGGAGAAGGCGATGCTTGTTCAAAACATCCCAGTATCGATTCTTCTCCTTCTCGATAGCGTCGAACTTGTCCCCGATGTCTTTGACCTGCGAGTCAGCGGTAAACTTCTGGGCTCGTACGGTCTTGAGTTCGGCATCCTTTCTATCGATTGCTGCTTTTTTATACTCGACTTCATTGGAAAGCCTTTTGTTATCCTCTCGAAGGGGCTCTAAATCGTCTCTGAGCTGTTTATTGGCCTTCTTGAGCTGTTCAATCTCTTCTGTAAGAGTTTTGTTGAGCTTTTGCTGAATGGCAAGCTCAGACAGAGCCGCCTTCTTTGCGGCCTTCAGCCTTTGAATCTCCTCCGACAGAGTTACGACTTTAGCCCTGGCGCCAGCAAGGGCGGGCAGGGCTTGGTCCAACTCTCTCTTGAGTTGAATCCTGGCGGCCCTCAGATCCTCGATTTCTTGGTGGTCCTGGGCGTCGTGCTTTTGTCCGTCATTGAGAGCGTTCTGAAGCTTGGCCACCACCGCCTCCTGCTTCTTCGCTTCTTCCTGGGCCTTTTGAAGTCTTTCCGCAAGCGCAACAATTTTCGCCTTCTGCTCCTTGTCATCGCTAGCCAGAATATCCCTGTTCTTCGTGAGCTCCCGGATCTCGGTCTCAGCCGCGGCGAGCTGGTGATCGCGGATGTGGAGGTCGGAGTCGAGAGCCTTGAATCGCTGCGAATCATTAGTTTGCCATCTTTGACGAAGTAAACGCGGTGACAACTTACATCCTCGGCATACTTGGCAAGGTAGCCAGCTTGGTCGATGAAAGCCTGAGCGTGAGTCAGGGTGTCAACAAGTCCGCGAGGGAAAGGCATGGGCGCCAGAATGCGAGGAAGAGACGGCTGAGTTTGAGGAAGCCGGTGGTAGACTTCGGATTTGTTGGGGGTGGACTCTGGCGGGTTGAAGTCACTGTTTTGGAAAGGATTGTTAGAGATGTTTACATCGGGCGAAAGGATTATACTGACTGAGAGTGACGATCGTAATGAGCAGCCAGAGCGAATTCGCCGAGGTCCTTACTGACGTTGCTCTCAATTCCACTTCCCTTCATGTGGACAGCAAGTCTCTCGGTATTCTCCTGCCAGGTGCAGGTCAGATGATAAAAAGAGTCGTACTCAAACTTCACACTCTTCTCGGGACCAGCAAGGATGGATTGTTTAGCGACGTGGACGTTGGGATTCTTTGGCTTATTTTGACCATTCTTGGTCCACTGCCAGACTGCCAAGACGGGCTTGTCCTTGCCGAAGCCCTCGGGGACGATGAAGGTGGCCATCTCGTTGGTCGCGTAGCTGGGCCAGTTGATCTTGCCGGTCCAGATGCGAAGTGAGCCAGAAGGGACTTCGGACTCGGACTTCCAAATACGGTTCAAGGTCAAGGTGCTCTTGTCCTTGTTGGGGTTGGACATGGTAACCTTGAGTTCTCCATAGACCTTCTGGGAAGTGATCTCCCACGAGTAGTAGTGGGAGTTCTTGAGGGTGAAGACATCGTCACCGCTCTGGGTCTTGGAGACCTTATCGACGACAAGATCCAGGAACCAATTGGCCTTCTCAGTGCCGCGGGCGTCCTTGGTCCACTGTGAGAAGAGGTAGGCGGGGTCGCCTGCGCGGGCGGGACCGTTGGGCAAGGTGATGACGAAGGTCTCGTCCAAGCCATATGGCTTCCAGTCGAGCTTTCCGAGGTAGACGTACATGGCGGTGGATTTGAGCAACGGAGGACTCGGGGAGGGCTGCTCAGCTTGAGGAAGTAGTTTTCTAGTACGGGGCAATGAAGATGGTGGAGATGGAGGCAGGTATCTTCTGAATGGGATGAGAGGTAGCGAGAGGATTCGAAAGATGAGGTTGACGAACATCTTATAGTTTGTGAGGTGATGAAGCAGGGGCTTTTGTGTTGTTCTTCTTCTTGCAATTTATGTGAGTCCCCAACGCCCGGAACACAATGTGAAAGAGCCTTTGCAGGCAGCTCCTCTTCTCCAAGCTGTTGTTGTGGCTTTGTTACGCACGCTTTCGTTGATGGTGGTCCACTCAATGAGATCCAGTGGCTACATGTACCTAAAAACTGAAGCGGGCAAGACACAGCTGACAAAAGTCAATTCCTGACATTTCGTTGGGCCAAGACCGAGATGTTGCAAGAGGACTTTGTGTCTCATGGGATCTCATGGGATTGAGAAATCGCATTTGAATCTCGGATGGGGTATCCCGCTCCTAGCTGATGCTTGAGGCTTGCCTAGCGCCGGCTGAATGCTGTCCCTGCAAACGTTGAGAATGTGTAAGTCTATTGTGAATGACATTCGGAATTCCAAGGGACCATGCGATTGGCCAAAGACCGCAGATCTCCAGATCTCTATGAGTTAGTTCTCTCGCATTCATTGACCGTATGTTTGATAATGCATATGATGCGTCATGAATATACGTGACTGCTTCGAAGCTTAAGTGATCATCAGTTCCTATTCCAGGTAAGGACCTAGATTTTCCACTGCCCACCGGGTATTTCACGTAACTTATGAGAGAATCAAAGATGTGAAAAAATTTCAATAACTAACTGAGAGGGCATGGTTCTTTGACGCTTGGCGATCTCTCGTCGGTATGTCCCGACGACAGTTGCAGCCCGTCCATTCCCGCCCGTAACTGATCGATCAATTCCGGTTTCGGAGTATCGCCGAAGACAAAATGCAAGCGAGAGTTCCCAGTACTTTCAGCTTGGCGTCCAGATCAAGTGCGGGGGAACTCGCCAAGAACTTCACCGACTGAGATACTAGGGGAGACGTAAGCCACCCCCTCTCCCCGGAAGGAAAAGTGGAACATCACCATCGAGTTCTCGGTGAAGATGGGACCATCGCTGGTCTAGAATTCTCGCGCAAGCACCAACAACATGTCGATTGATCAAGTGCCGGTAGGGGGACGACATGCGACGGCTGAACTCGCCAGTGCAACCGTCAACATGGCATTTCTTGACATTGCAATTTTCGACCGCGGACCGAGACAAGGTCTCGGCTGGGCTCTCACGCTAGATGAATGCGACGAGACAGATCCTATGTCTCAAACTCATCCCCTCGAAGGGATACCTCGGAGAAGGATTGGCCACATTGCGGGGTTCCCTCATTGAGAGGGGACAGACGAGCATGGAATGACTAGAAAAAACCCACACCGCGTTGTCTGTAAAGGAAGGGAGCTCCGAGCAAGGCCTGGCATAGGAGCAGACCGAAATTCAATGGAACATGTTCGAATACGATTACAGGCACTGCAAGTAAATGGTTCATCACGTTCCTTGACGCCCGTTTGCCTGGTGAATGGTACTAAGTCGTCATTGTGATTGCAGGTCCGTTCATTTTTGATTATCCTAGATTAATCGATCAACTCATTTAGCCGCCATCTGACACTGAATGTGTGTATCAAATGGCAAAAGACTCAGGCTTTCAACCATGAGGACTGAACAGTCCGACAAGACTCCCTCAACCCCATGGGTGAGTGTGGTGTTATAGCCATCTACTCCACCACACTCCGCTTACTACACCGCTGACTCGGTTCGTACCAGAAGGCCCGCGAGGAGTGTCGATCAACTGTCTCTCTGTAGCCAGGGGGTCTTTGATACTGACATTTGGCAGCGAGTCAATGTTCTTGGCGACGAAAATATGACTTGCTCCGTACCCAAGTCGCTGGGCTTCTCCGTCAGCCTTGTCTGAAGCATTTTGTTCTCTATTCGTTGATGGCAACATCCGCGGCAGTCTCTTGCGTGCCGAATCATCGAGGATGACTACCACCAAAAGGGTAGCGGCACTATCAGCGGGGAGAATGCGATATCCATGCGGATGAATGGCAGGTCTTGCTCAATCCTACTGCCCTTCTGTCCTCGAGGTTTCGAGGTTAGACAAAGACAGCCATCTCGCTGCTAGATGAAGTGGTACCGTGGCTCAGTCGGAAGATGGTGTCGTAGTCCGTAGGACCATTGCACAACAATCGATTACCTCCCAAGTTGCTTGCGAGGGAAAGAGTTCCCATAACACAAGTGCTTCGCTCCGCCTCTGCAACACTGCGGCCCCCGGAGACTGTATGGCTATGGGTGAGTGTAATGGTGTTATAACCAAAATATGCTGCCGTTCATGAGACTTGGGACTGGCGACTCAGGACTACGCAATGATCCCGAACCTTTTGCCAAGATTACATGGCTGCGATGCGGTACTGATGGACGAAGCTGGCGTCAAGCTCGCTGAGTTTGCTGAAAGTAGCAAGCACCAATACAAAGGGGGGTTGGTTTGCCCCTGCATGGTGGAGATCAGCGGCGAAAGTGTTTGTGGATCGACTGTCAAAGACATCCACATCTTGACAACATCGCTTATACGGCCCCAGATGATGCTCTCAACGTCATTTACGATCATAATGTCGTACTTTGAAAATTTTGCGAGAGCTCTTGGGTAGGACGGCTGAAATATGCCTACTCATCGCATGGGTTGGTATGGAATAGCGAGATCAAGGACCATGCTAAGTAGTGGCCATAATCAGCATCTGAAAGGAGTCAAAATGTCAGTGATACGTATGCTGTAGGAAGGAAAGGCAATCTCACAGTTCCCAGAGGCCGTCGACGTTGGAATTGGGGAGGATGGTGACACTCTCATCGTCCCACTCAGAGGGCGACTCTGGAGTGCAGCCGTAGAGGTTGACTTTGATGGCAACGTCGCGGACGGAGACAACACGAGTAGAAGGATCAAGGCCTTGGAATTCAACCACGCGAAGGGAGTGGAACATATCGCTCGGGATTTCCTTGTGGACTGGTGAAATAGTTAGTAATGCGAGTTGACAGAAGAGAGGCCAAACTTACAAAGGGGCTCCTTCAAGAGGTCGGCCTCCAGGGAGATGACGGTGTCATCTTTGAGTTTGGGCGCGCTCCATTCTCGTTCAAGTTTGGAGAGAAGCTGGCGTAAGTTAGAAGGCGGACATTGAGGTCAGAGGAAACATTGGAGACTAAACCATACAAGTTGACATCCCTTGTCTGTGTGGGCGAGCTGTTCTCATTGTAAGCAGGGAGCCGGCGAGTTGGGGGAAAAGCTTGTGAAAATGAGCATCGCAGGGTAGCACGTACGCCTTTGCCATCCTTGAATCGAGCCTCGACGTAGGCGATGCCTTTCTTGGGCTTGGAGATGAGGATGTAGTCGTCGGTCCGACCAAAGGTCAATTGTGTTTCGCTCATCTTGAGTGTGTCGAGCATGTCCCTGCTTCTCAATGGCACTCAACGATCGTGGTCGTGGTCGTTGTCGGTGGGCAGCGGATGGTAGAGAGAGGGGCATGGAGGGGTTCGTGGATGGGGGCAGAAAAGATTGGAAATTGCCGAAATTTTCGTGGTCGATTGGCGAATCCGGGACGAGTGGAAACACCGGGGAAGTGGTTTTTGTTTGATGTACTTTGTACCGGTTGTGGGCCGACAAAAGCCGTGGGGAAAGTAAGATAGGTACCTAACGTATCCGTAGGCGAAGCGCAATTGGATGGGAAGGCAAGGGCAGATCCCAATTCCACAGCGTCGGGAAGGAGGGATGCGGTGGACTGGACGGGAATGGACGGGACTGGACTGGGGAAAGGGGAGGGCGGGAATTGGAGGGCAAGGGGCGGGAAAACGAGCGCTAATAACCACGGCAGGGGCCGGGCGACTCAAAGAATGTCTACAGTGTACGAATACAAATGTCGCCGATCGCGCTTTTTGTCACCTCAGTCTAAGAGCCAGGTATAGACAGACCCAAGTCCCAAATACAGGGAACCTCGAGACGGAGACTTTGACATGAGCCAAAGAGACGCCGGGCGAGCCAATCCAGGCCCGCCGATAACAAAGGCAATGGCCGTCGCTGCGTTCCCTCTCTGAAGTTTGCTGAAGTTTGCTGAAGTCTGGGTTATCGAAAGACGGTCGCCCAGAACAAGTACATAATGAGATGGTTCCTCTACTGTCTTTGCCTCAGAGCGCCCCCGCGCTGGACTCGTCCCCGGCCGGGCCGCATCTTGGCACTCGCGTGACCCTGCAGACTGTTTCGCCTGAGTCTCAACTATGGCAAGACGTTTTATTCATTTGGCTGCCTGCTCTTTGCCCTCTCTTCGGCGGACGACTGGTCCAAGCTGATCTATTCTTACATTGTCTCATCATTCACAGCATTCTCAGAGGACCTGCGCCATATCCAAAGTTGTTCCCTGCAGAAGCCATTTCTGGCCATGCGCAGATTAAGGTAGGATGCATCAGTCAGTCGTCTTCGCCCGCGTCGATGGGCGTGATGCTTCTCCAAAGTCTGTACTGCAAACGGCGTTACCCGAGGCGCCCAGTGGACGCCAAGCCTCTGCAGCCACTGGCGCCAATGATCTTCCTCTTGGTCGCCGACTGCAGAGGACCCGATCATACGCTCAAAGAGTCGCGCGAAGAGGAAGAGCTGCATCACGGCAGTGCACTGCCGTCCCAGCAGTGGCCAACGATGCATGATGCACGATGCTGGAACATGGTCGATGTCTGCGATGGGCACGCTGCAAACAATACGTGTCAGTGCGCGGCTTGCCCCAGATGGCACTTCACCAGGCTGGCATCGAAACCTTCAGAATCTTGAGGCGGAATTTCCCAGTCATCTCAACCCGGTTGTCCGAGCGCTTGAGAATGCTCCCCAATACTCCCACCACAGTAGGTATCCGTACGGGGTTATTCACAATCGACTGCTCCACCAAGCGGCTTCCTCGTCGGGGCTGTGCTGTCTCACGGCGAAGCTTTTCGGCATGCTCGTTCGGCGTGCAGCCACGCAGCTCAGCTGCAGCACCGGGCATCGGAAGCAGCTAGACAGAGCGCCGCGTGGCTGTGCTAGCCCTGCAGTTTCACTTTACGTGCATAGAGATCTTACCTTGCCATAATCAAATGGTATCTGCCTCGAGCTACGAGGGGTCTGGGAAGGGGCCGAAGTGGTCCGGCATGAGGCCGGTCGGGGTTCCACATCACAGCGGTGGGGGCCGGCACATGCCAAACTTGAAAAGAAGATAAACGTAAGGTTGTTCCGTTCTGTTCGCCGATGATAGTCTCGCAGACAGAAACGAGCATCGTGTGTGTGACCACGGCATAGAGTAGCTTTTGAAACCTAGAGTTGTACTGTAGGGCAGCGCAGTTCGGCACCTGCATTGCGCCTACTTTACTGAAAAGGCCGAGAGCCTACCATACATACTCCTGGTCTGCTGCACATGCTGATCCTTAGGAACGGCAGTTGCACGACAAATTACCTTAGACAGGCCATAGAGCTGCACGTATGCTGCAGAAGGATCCAGTCCCATGGGTAATTAGGTAAGATGGTGCAGCTCCGATCCCTCGTGTGGCTGGTGCAATACCAATTCTTCATCCCAGCCACCCTATTCTACTTGTGGCGCTGCTTATCTAACATCGCTACCTCTCCGTACAGCTAGCCCGACGCATCATCACGTCACAGGTTCGGATGAAAGTGGAGACCTTTCTCGCGCCTGGAGCTCTCAGCATCCCGGTTTCAAACCATTACGAGTCTCTCGTTCACATAACCAGCTACCACCCGACGACTCGCGACTCGACAGCTCTATCAGTCGCACCCAAATCGGGGTGATATGCTTCGCGCAACATGAATCCTCTAATGTTCGAAGACAACCCAAATTGCGACGGCAAACAGGCGATCAAACCCAGCGATCGTGACTTTTGGGTTCAGCTCGGGTTGTCTCTCATCCTTGGCCTCACGGCGTTCACCACATTCTGCATCTTGCGCCCACGATGGCCGACTCTATACGCCGCGCGCAAGCGCAGATTGGATCCCAAGATTGGGTTGCCTACGCTTCCTGATACCTTTCTCGGGTGGATCCCAGGACTTTACCGCGTCACTGAGGAACAGGTCCTCGCCTCTGCTGGCCTCGATGCCTTCGTCGTAAGTGCGAAGCTACTCCTCGTATCCGGATATGCTGATCTGATGGGAACAGTTCCTTGCCTTCTTCAAGATGGCCATACGCATTCTTGCTATATTGGCCTTCTTCGCGTATGCCGTTATGCTGCCTATCAACACCTCACTCGGACATTTAGAAACCTTTCCAAAGCCGAAACCAACACCCGCTGCTACTGCTACTGCCTCCATCGCCATCTCGACCCGCTCCCTTCAAGGCCAAATAGACCAGAGTGATTCTATATGGGCTGCATTAGACGACGACGAGAGTTTTGAAAGGAAAAAGAGCTATGTCTGGGCATGGTTGGTGTTCGGCTACTTCTTTACGGGGTTGACCCTCTACGTCTTGAATAAGTCGACCTTCAGAGTCATTCATGTTCGTCAGGAGTACCTTGGAACGCAGTCAACCGTTACCGACAGAACTTTCCGCCTTACTGGTATCCCTCGAAATTTACGTGACGAGGGAAAGATCAAAAAGCTCATCGAAAAGCTTCAAATCGGCGAGGTGGAGCATGTCAACATATGCTGCGACTGGCGGGAGCTTGACTCGCTCATTGCCCAAAGGGCGCAGGCTTTAGCCCAGCTTGAAGAGACCTGGAGCGTCTATCTAGGAAAACAGGCTGCGCTCCCAAAATCAGTCCAGCGCCTCCGCGATCCACAGGCCGAGCCTTCTGTCTTGGAGCCTCGAGAAGATGAAGTTGACGAAGAGGCCGGAGAGAATGGTGGGCTACTGGGGCACAATAACATCAGCCCCGAACTCGTCGAGAGACCGCGTCCGAAAGTGAGACTTTGGTATGGATTGCTCAAACTCCAAAGTCGCAAGATAGACGCCCTTGACTATTACGAGGAGAAGCTGCGACGTCTCGACGATAGAATTAACGAAGCAAGAAAGAAGGACTTCACCCCGACCGACCTGGCCTTTGTCACAATGGATTCGATCGCAGCTTGTCAAATGGCGATCCAGGCCCGCATCGACCCTCGACCTGGACAGCTTCTCACAAAGCCCGCGCCATCCCCATCGGATGTAATGTGGCCCAACACGTATGCGCCTCGTGGGATCCGTCGTCTTCGCTCTTGGATCATTACCATATTTGTTGCCGTTCTATCCGTGTTGTGGTTGGCAGTCGTTGCTTCGATTGCTAGTCTCCTAAGCGTCTGCAACTTCCAGACATGGTTTCCTGGGGTGGTTGGATTTTTCGACCAATATCCGACCTTGCGTGCCTTGATCGAAACCGGCCTGCCGACCCTGCTCGTTTCGTTGCTAAACGTGGCTGTGCCCTATCTCTACGAATACCTCTCGTATGAGCAAGGGATGATTTCCAAAGGAGACGTGGAACTCTCTATCATTTCCAAAAACTTCTTCTTCACCTTCTTCAACATCTTCGTCGTCTTTGCCACTTCCAACGCTGCCTTTAGCGTTACCAACTTGGTTCGCCAGATCCGGGATGTATGGAAGAGTCCTGCTACCCTGACGCTACAAGTTGCCGATCAGATCCAGAACCTCGGAATATTCTACACCAACTTCATCATGCTTCAAGGTATTGGTCTGTTTCCTTTCAGACTCCTCCAGGTTGGCAGCGTCTTTCTCTATCCGATATATCGCATGGGTGCCAAGACCCCTAGGGATTTTGCCGAAATCATGCAACCGACTGTATTCAGCTATGGATTCTACCTCCCGACAGCGATGCTCATCTTCATGCTATGCCTATTGTACAGCACGTTGGGATATGGTTGGCTCATTCTGACAGTGGGGCTCCTCTACTTCATCTTTGGCTACTTCACCTACAAGTATCAGCTACTCTATGCCATGGACCAGCCTCAACATGCGACCGGCGGTGCCTGGAGAATCATCAGCTACCGCGTCATTCTCGGTCTCTTGGTGTCGCAAGTCATATTATCCAGTATCATGGCATTTTTGCTTGCATTTTTCCAGTCTATTGCTGTCTTACCCCTCATCGCATTCACGGTCTGGTACAGCTTCTATTTCAGGCGTCGTTTCGAGCCCCTCACACGATACATATCTCTGCGAAGCATCCGTATTGACATCGACCCGGAGGATGCGGCTGTACTTGACGAAGACTTTGAGGGTCCGAGACCCTCGCAAGGCTTGCTGAGACGCGGAAGCACCATCGATGAGGATAAAGAAAAGGGCCTGACCTTTGCGAATCCCAGCTTGACCTCGCGGTATGTTGGCACGCCCTAATTCTTTTCTTTTACTAACCGTCTACAGTCTAGAAGAGCCGTGGATCTACCAGGATCCGCCTCCAGTCCATAACAACACGGAAGATGAAGAGAGCGGCGAGGACACAGAGATTCCAAATGCCCCTGAGAATACGGCCTCAACCGCCTCGAACAGCTCGATGAGCCTGGGCGACACACACATCTGGCGGCAGCAGGCTGACAGCAATAATCGCTAGTGCGTAGGGGCTTCAGCCAGCTGCTCGCACCTGCGTTTGTAAATATCTTCATGTGTATACGGGAACATTCATGATCAGGAGACGTGGGGTGGGTAGCGGGGGTAACAGCACTATACCACTTTGGAGTCTGGAGTAATTGAGTGTTTATCAAGATAATGAGAGTTCATGAACAGTGCAGCTGCACGGAGTTGGTTCCCGGTTTAGGTGATGAAACCGTGTCGTATAACGATTTCTCGGCCCCCATCTATGAGGTCATATCAAGACCCCGCGGCTTTCCGCCATCACCAGCCGAGGTTCAGTTGTAAGAATCGCAATACTTGTAGCGGCGCCTCAGAGCCAATGCGCAGTCTCAACGAGCTCGACTTGACATGCAGCTGCAAATGGCGACGAATGGTTGAGGAAACTAATTCTTGTTGCCCAGCAATTGGGAGCTTGAAAGATGTTGACCTTTTCTAGTGCGTAACTTGTTCCCGTGATGCCCAGGTGCAGATCTCGCAATGAGCGCGCGATGAGCGGAGGTCGAGCGGCCCATTTCATGTCAATCTGATCGCTAAATCATCGTGGGTCCGCCCTGCTTCGCGTCCGGGTGTCGGGCAGTAGGCGGAGATGAAGGCAGAAGTAGTAGATTGACTTGTATCCTAGGTCTGAACTTCTGAAGACTGGGTGCTTCCGTCTCTTTCGGTATCTGACATCGGCAATGGGTAGGCGAGTCGGCCAAGATCTATCCCTCGAGACCCGAGTGGCCGTTCACCGATAGTATATCTCTCAAAGAGTGAGTAGTCGCAAAGCCAAGCCTCACATGCGTCACCCGTCTAGGCGATCGCGAGATGGGAAACCCGCGTGCCCCCCCCAAGCTTTTCTTGAACTCCTCTTTGAGCGCTCTTGGGGTCTTGGCGGCGTGGGAACGGGGGCTAGAAACACCGACCACGAGGTGTGCCGGGGCGCGGGAGACGCAAGTCGCGAGCTCCGACTTTTTTTCTCTGTTTAAAATGGGACCCACCTTTCCTTCCCATTCTCTTCAATCTCGCCAGCCACACGCGTTGGCGCGCAACCGGTGATGGATGAACCATTCCTCAATACCCGTTTTTATAATTTACATCGAGTACACGTGAGGAGGTGAGCATGGGATCGATTTCGACAAACCCTAAGGACCTGAGTCGTTGGGCATCAATATCAAAACAAAGCAACTCTGAGACCTAGCGGCCCCTATTCCCACTCCAACGATCTCGGCGCATCTCGCAGGTTGCGTTCGGAAACCCCTTGGAAAATCGTAAGATGCTCAGTCATCGAGGGCTTTTGTTCTGCAACCCCCCTTCCCCCACCCTTGATAGAAACGCTTCAGAGTACATTATCCACCTGCAGCCTGCGCTGGAGTGTCAAAATGTGTTGATCTCTGCCCTAAAGGCGCCCGCCGTCCCCTCTAATTAACCTCTTGGCTCGCTTCGTGGTTTCCCTCGAGGGGAATGGAGGGATCGGGGGGTTACCGCCAAGTGGGAACAGTTGAATGGGACTAGGCTGGGCTGCGGAACTTCCTAGTCGCCTAGCAATGGCGATACGCCCAAATACCGAGTTGACTCCCGCAGTCTCGCTGATAACACCGCGGGGCCGTAAACGCGGTGAGTACCTCAGGTAGGCACGCGTACCGGAATTCCTCCCCTTGGCCCCCACTTGGGCCCGGCGGGAACAAGCACAGTCATGCAAGCGTAATCAAAAGCGTGCGCAAAGAGTCCAGACTCCAGAGATCATTGGATTCGAAAACGTTTTTTGCGGCGGCTCCACCTGGTCGAGTCTTTTCGGTTGGCATCGTGCGTCGAGACGGCACCGTTATCGTCCCCGTTGGCCAGGCGTTGCGCATCCGGGTACACAGGTTGACAGCGGCCACTTGATTGGCATGAGACGCTCTACAACAGCAAACAATTGTTAGACATGGTTGGGTCCTGAGAGAAGTCTGAAGAACAATTGAGGGTCTCGTGAAAATTGTAGTAAATTGTGAGGTCAGATGTTCCCAACGACAAATTCCATGGCAACGAAATCTCTTCAACAGCCGGGTACGGGCACCCATATGCGCAACTGCCTATGATCGAGCCCACACTCCGGCCGGAGACCCGCCCGCGGACCCACTCATTCCGCCGTGCTTTCACAGGGCCCGTGCGTTCCGGACGAAAGGGGGCCCAACTCGGCTCTAGAATCGCAATGCCCACGGTATCCGTACACCACCGGGCCAACCGACGGAAGCAGTGAGATCCCAGATCCCAGATTCTGGCAGCCTTTCCGCCTTGAATCTAAAGTACCGGCAAGTTAAGGAAACAGACTTTTTGAGGTTCGGACGGAGATCGCAGTCTGGTTTCCCCGCCCGGGGGGGAGGGTGAGGGTGAGGGTGGTAGAGAAACACCGCCTCGTGGGTGAGAATGTCGAGGAACCGGGGCCTCTGTTGTTTTGAAATTCATCCTCGGCTGAGGAAGCTTTTAGTATGACGACACTCCGAGCTCGTCCCGAGATTTCTCCCCTCTGTTCCTCAGCCCTGGTACACCACACCACTGCGGACTGGGACTGCCCCCTGTCACTCGTGGCCAAGACGCCCTAGTACCGCCCAAAAGTCATTCCCTCTTATTCCCAGACCCGTCCCGCTGCACGCTGGGTTTTTGCGTCACCCAGGCAGAGAGCCGCTTTTCCAGCACGGCCAGGTTGAGCCAACATACCAAAGTTTTTGTCTAGTCCGATCCGGGATTAGCTTCAATTCGATTTAGCATAGGAAAGGACAGGATGAACCCATGTCCTGCCACCGCGCCAAACAAGGAACCGCTCTCCGTAGAGCGGAAAACCAAATAAGCAACAGTCAGTCGGTGCTCGTGTCAAACGCGCCGCCGACATTTTGCTGTCTGCCCAGACCGGTCTCCCCTCCCAAACCTAAATCCTAGGCTCTCGCTTCCCCGTGTTGGCCGCCCATCTGCGAGCTTACTCGACCTTGGGTACAGATAATTTGCCGCCCACCCAAAAGCTGCAAGGAGCTTGCCATTGCATTTGCTTGGACGGGCAGCACGTTATCTCGACCTCTCACATGTCCTTGTCTCCTTATAATGTCACTCGCCAGAAAAGGAATCCTTCCGTTCTCGCAGTTCGTCATTCACACACGCCCCCCCCCCCCTTCCCCTTCCCTTCCGCGGTGGAGACCATCTCCATCCCGAATGGCGGAAAAGAGAGAGAGAGAGAGAATGATCCATAGAGAAGACGAATACTTGACGTATGTGTACGTATCACCAAGGAAAAAATGATGAAAGAAAACCTCACATGAACGACTCACGGACCAACGTCGTCACCGTTGCTGCCGGGTGTCTAGATCACCAAAACTTTCGAGAGAGAAAACAGGGGATCATGACGACAAACCAGGTTGGGCGATTCGGACGGGAAAAGCGGGTCGCCGTCCTTTCAGATAAGTGGGTACCCCGAATGCCGCGCCGAAATTTCCCACCCATTGCCCGAATTGCGACCGGTTCCCAGGCCCTTCAGCTGTTTACCTGGGGGGGGCGTGCGTGTCTCACTCGATACAAGGCCCCTTAACCAAAAGTGACCCAGTTCCTCGTGTGGCTTTCCCAAGACGGGGGGCAAGTATAAAGTAAGGGTGACGCCCTTCTTTCATATCCAGAAGCAGACCATCTAGATACCCTCCTCCTCGACAATCGTGTGTTCATACCGGGCTACCCCCTTAGCACTTTACCTTTCAGTCTTTCTACTTTCAAGCTTCCCCCCTAATTCCAGGGACCCCTTAATTCAACCAACTAGACACAAAAAAAACACACACAACCCAAAACAAAGATGGATCAACCATCACGAACATCATCTCACACCCTACCGCCAGACTCCTCAGATTCGGACGGCGCCGCAGCGTCCCAATTCGCCCCGGTGGCCTCCCACACCCGGACGCCATCGGGCAGCGCTGCCGCTCGCCCGAACCGCCGCTCCTCCATCGCCTCAAACATCCTCCGCCCCGTAAAAACAAAGGAGGAAATCGACCCGGAGCTGGACGTCAACCTCCCCTATCGAACCCTCTCTCCCAACGCCAACCTCGATGAGTACCGCGTAGAAACCCGCAATGGCGAGATCCCAGCCGGGGTAGGAGACGGCACCGCAGCGGGCCGCGGCGACTACAAGCTGGTCACTTTTCTCCCCAACGACCCCGAAAATCCAAAGAACTGGAGTAAAGCCTACAAGTGGTACTGCACAATGGTCGTCGCTATAACCTGCTTCGTCGTCGCCTTCTGCTCCTCCGTCATCACAGCCGACATTGAAGGCGTCGCCCGCCAGTTCCACTGCTCAGAGGAGGCCGCCCTCGTCTCCATCACCGTCTTCGTCATCGGCTTCGGCATCGGACCCCTGGTTTTCGCGCCCCTCTCTGAGATCTACGGCCGCCAGGTCATCTACGGCTCGACTCTGTTCCTCGCCGTAATCTTCATCATCCCCTGCGCCGTCGCGAAAAACCTCGGCACCCTCCTCGTCTGCCGTGCCATCGACGGCATCGCCTTCTCCGCGCCCATGACCCTTGTAGGCGGCACCCTCGCCGACCTCTGGCGCAACGAGGACCGTGGTGTACCCATGGCCGCCTTCTCTGCCGCCCCCTTCCTTGGACCTGCCGTCGGTCCCCTCGTCGGTGGCTTCCTCGCCGACGCTAAAGGTTGGCGCTGGCTGTACTGGATCCAGCTCATCTTGGCCTCCGTAATCTGGATCCTAATCTCTTTCACCGTCCCGGAAACCTACGCGCCCACCATTCTCGCCCGCCGCGCGAAAAAGATGCGCAAGGAAACCGGCGACGAAACCCACGTCACGGAGCAGGACATTGACATGCGGCCCTTTAGCGAGCGCCTGGGAATCTTCCTCATCCGCCCCCTCCAGCTCCTCTTCGGCGAGCTCATCGTCTTCCTCATCTCTATCTATATGTCCGTACTCTACGGCCTGCTGTATATGTTCTTCATCGCCTACCCCATCATCTACCAGAAGCATAAGGGCTGGTCGGCCGGTTCGACCGGTCTCATGTTCATTCCCCTCGCCGTCGGCGTCCTCATGTCCGCGGCCTGCGCGCCCTGGGTGAACAAGCACTACCTCACCGTGGTCGCCAAGTACAACGGCCACCCGCCCGCCGAGGCCCGCCTGATTCCCATGATGTTCAGCTGCTGGCTCGTCCCCATCGGCCTCTTCATCTTCGCCTGGACCTCTTATCCCCACATCCACTGGGCCGGCCCCGCCTTCGCTGGTTTCCCCGTTGGCTTCGGCTTCATCTTCCTGTATAACTCGGCCAACAACTACCTTGTCGACTCGTACCAGCACCAGGCCGCCTCCGCACTCGCGGCGAAGACCTGTATCCGTTCCTTCTGGGGTGCCGGAGTCGTCCTTTTCACGAACCAGATGTACGCGCGCCTTGGTGACCAGTGGGCGTCTTCTCTCCTCGCTTTCCTTGGTCTCGCGTGCTGTGCGATTCCCTTCCTGTTTTGGGTTTTCGGAGCTCGTATCCGTGCCAGAAGCAAGCACGCCTACTCTGGTGATGACGAGGAGACGTCAGGATCCGATACCGAGAAGGCCAAGCCGCCAAAGAACGCTCTGGCTCCCACCCGCACCTTCGAGCCCGCGTAAGCGATTCCGAAATCCCGACATGTATACATCTCGACACACATAGAAACCTAGCAGGTCACTGTAAATCAGCCAGTTGTTTTTTGCTCCTTGGCAATCAGCTCTGGATCCGTTGGTGATCATTGTTTATTCGGCGTAAAGAGGAGGCTAGCGTTGGATAGGGGAATCTGGGAGCAAGGGGCATTTTAGACATTAGACGCATGTGAATCTCAACGGCCGCCGCCGTTCATAATACTCAATAAAATTGATATCAAATGAGCCGAATTCGATTGCACAGGGAAAAATGGGATAGAGGGAATTGTCTATTCGTTAAGTCGTGATCCGTAACTATCTATTTGCTCAAGAATCGAAGAGGAGGGTATTCACATCAATCCACAGGTATTTGCTCCATGTCCGCCAGTCGCCAGCATTCTTCCCCGTTACCTCTCAGACAATACGGACTGGAAGGGATTCTCTACGAGACAAAACAAACTCTTCCTTGACCAGAGAGTTGTTGCACTTGCGTCCCAGCATGAAGTCCTCGAGGTTGCGGAACGTACACTCGGAGATCTCTTGCAACGCTTCCTCGGTGAAGAAGCCCTGGTGGCCGCAGATGAGGACGTTGGGGAAGGTCATCAACCGGGTAAGCAGGTCGTCGTCGATTATGTGGCCCGAGTGGTCATTATAAAAGAGGTCTCCTTCGCCTTCGTATACGTCGAGGGCCAGGCCGCCGAGATGCTTAGTCTTGAGGGCGTGAACGACAGCCTTGGTATCGACGAGACCGCCACGAGATGTATTGACGAGCATGGCGCCAGGCTTCATTTGTTTCAGGGACTTTTCGTTGATAATGTGCTTCGTCTTGTCCATCAGAGGGCAGTGCAGGCTGATGAAGTCGCACTTGGGAAGGAGCTCCTCCAGAGGCAGGTACTCTCCAAGTTCCTTGAAGGCGTCCGACTCGTAGGGGTCAAAGGCGTACAGGGTGCAGCCAAAGCCCTTCATAATGCGGGCCATGGAGACGCCAATCCTTCCGGTGCCAATGATGCCCACCGTCTTGCCATGTACAGTCTTGCCTAGAAGACCATCGAGATTAAAGTTGCCCTCGCGGGTTCGGTTGTAGGCTCGGTGGGTGCGTCGGTTGAGGGATTGGAGTAGAGCGACGGCGAACTCGGCAACGGCTTCGGGAGAGTAGGAGGGGACGTTGGCAACGAAGATGCCCAACTTCTCGGCGGTCTTAAGGTCGACGTTGTTGAAGCCTGCGCAGCGAAGAAGGATGGCCTTGCAGCCGGCCTTGTGAAGCTCCTCAACGACGTTGGCGGTGAGAGAGTCATTTACAAATACGCAGACGGCATCGACATCCTTGACAAGCGAAACGGTCTCGGTAGAAAGAGAGAAATCGTGGTAGATGATACCAAAGTCGCTATTGTCGTCGACGAGCTTCGCATTGTGCTTTTTGAACTCTTCCTTCCTGACTTCGTGGGCGGCATTGATGTATTTCTTGTCGTATGCCTTGGCACTGAAGACGGCGAGCTTCATGACGGCGGTTGGCGGCGAGTGGGGGGTAGATGACCTTATGTAGTACAATGTGGAAGCTGCCGGGTAAGGTGTTTGGTAATGTAATTGTCGTCTACGAAGGTGTGAAGGAAGAGGATGTAGAGGAGGATGAAAAGTCAATCAGGACCGGTGACACGAATTGAGGGGATTTCGTACAAGTACCTTAGAGAGAGAGAGAGAGAGAGAGAGAGAGAGAAGAGGAGGGAGAAGATGAGGAGGGTCCGGAGCCAAGCCAAGCAAAGGCGCGCGTCAGCTGCCCTCCTTCTTCTTCTTGGCTGTCCGCAGGCGAGGCATGCCTCCTTCCTCCTTCCTTCTTCCTCCCTTCTCGTCTTCATTCATCCCTCTTGCCTTCCTTACCAACCTTGAGTCTCATGCCGCATTTGGGGCGCCGAATATGGTCCTTCCTTCACCATGTCAGGGCCAACGTCAAAGTCTGTGTCAGCATTGCCCAGTGGTTGCCCAATCCGGCACTGGAGATCAATTCGCAGCTGAACTCTGCCGGATGACGTGGATGAGCGCCAGTGGGAGCTGCCGCTCTTTTTTAAGGGTGCATGGCACCTTGATGGATGCCAGTCGCCTGCGCCCAGAGCTACCCCGCCATCAATGGATGCATCTCTTTCAGGTCGGGAGCTCTGGGCAGCTCCGGGCAGCTCCGGGCAGCTCCGGGCAGCTCACTAGCCGAAAGGAGAGTGGGACTGGTTCCTACCAGAGGGAGCTGTCAGGCGAGATGTCCTGGATTTTCAGGGGAGAACAGTATTATCGTTCGGTCACATCCTGATATTTGACCGGTTCCATCAACAACGCGGCTTCCAAGATTCAAAATTCGATGAGATGAGCCCTCGTCAAATTTTTCTTCTAGAACGGCTGCGATTCATCCATCCTTCTCTAGACTTAACGTCACTAGCAATCAGTCTCTTCACCCCAGGTTGCGTCACGCTTCAAGAGCATTCATTGCCCACCTCTGTCTCGTTTAGTGAATGAGTCAGCAGCGCATGGGCCGAATTAATATCTCTTGTCAGCGAATGGGATTTCAAAAGCCAAAACAGAACGAACGTTGTTTCCTGCAGTAAGAAAGTCAGACCTACTGGGAAATGAAGGTATACGAGTAGATTTGGTTATCAAAAGCAAAAGCTTGATCAGTGGGAGGCTTGAACTCCCGGCCTTGGCATTACTTGATATTTACGATGAAATATTAGTACCACGCTCTAACCAACTGAGCTAACCGACCCATCGGATGATTTTTTGGAAATGAATGCACGCTATGAAGCAAGCTGACTTCTCAGTTCCTTGCGACACTTTCTGGTTCCCACGGCATCTAGCTTGTTGTGCTCTTTGCCCGGATTCTTGTTGGTTTGTCTCCAGACTCTCTGATTCAGAGAACTTTGGGTAAGAGCCTCCTGGCCTCCGCAACAGGCAATAACGTTCTGCAAGGCACCTTGCTGCTGATTGGCACTCGCACTTCCCCTGACTTGGTTCTCAACTGCTGCTGTCTATTCGTCTCCTGAGCTTGGGATGGACATCCCAGATTTCCTACCTAAGGTACCTACTTACCTTACACATGAATAGGCAGCATGCTCGCACTTTGAGTCTTTCCCATGTCATTGCCAAACCTCGCGTCCATACTTGGATGTTGACTCTCGCCTCGCCAACCTATTTCCTCCACTTCGCCCGATTCCCATCAACATCGACATCATCCGACGTGGACGTCTGTATCACCAGCAGTGCTAAAGACTTCGGTTTCCACCGAAGTGCGCAATTTGTTTTCATTGAGGCGTCGACTTCATCATTCTCTCTAGATATCCTTTTTTTGATGACATCCCAGTCACTCGGTTCGCCTTTGCCATGACGACCCAACCCAACAACCTCTCGCAGTTGCACGGCCATGGCTATCATGTATCGGATCAGCTGCCAGCTGCCAAGAAACTTCCAGTCGAGATCTTGCAAGACATATACTCTCTGTTGGATCCCTACGACTTCAATTCCTCACGACACACCTGCCGCTCCTGGTTCTTAGCTGGCATGAATGAGAATGTCCTTATCCGCATGTTAATGAGAGGTGGGTGGACCTCAAGCATCAATATTATCCTGGACAGCGCTCAGGGCTCCGACAATGCGTCCAAGCCGATTTCAAGTCGAGCGTCTATCATGTCCAAATGGCTCGCGAGAGAATGCACCCTCAGCTCGCGTCACAACGGGGGTGAGCCCGCCTTTGTCGAACTCAGTCAGACGCAATTCATGGATCTGGTTGATACTGGTCCGACGTCTGAGACCGACCGAGAAACCGTTGTCTACACCGCAAGTATGTGCGGCCGATACTTAATGGTCGCCTGCAGAAGCACCATATTTGTCTATGAGCTGAGCCATCGATGTGAAGACAGCGCATCATGCCTTTGGACCATATCTTCTTAGAAGGAGCTCTCGAAAGGCCGCAAAGGTCGACTTCGACCTGTCACAACTATTGTCTGCCCAGACAGTGTCCTTGCCTGTGCCATGGACACTTCGTGGGGACGCAACTCCGTCGCTGCCCTTCTCAAAGGACGCGTTGGTCTTGTCTTTGATATCTCAACATCAGGCAACTTATCCGTCAAACCCTCCACTGGTGCGCAAATCAAGTCCATCTCAGAGTCAAGCCAGCAATCCCAACCTTGCGTCTGTTGCACACGCCCAGTTTCACACCCTCCGCCGATCCAGAAGGCATAGCAATCCATCTATCGCAACTTGTGCAGGGCCGATTCGCCTCCTCGCTCCCTTGCCATTTGCCCTCATCGCTTATGCGTCGCCTTTGGCTGCGCTTCTGCTGTCGAGATACATTGGAAAGATGGTGATGCAACCCAAGATGTTGTTCGCCGCTTTCCGTTGTCCACACCTAGCGACTACCTTTACTTTCTTCCTCCGCGAGACAATCTCGATCCGTTTGGCAAACTTCGTCTAATCAGCTCCGCGTCAATCGCGGATTGTCATGCGGGTTCAATGCAAATCGTATTAGGTGCTCTAGGCCAAAACGAAAATGACTTTCCTTCCCGGGTCCCGGCTATTATCTCACGGCTTGAGACGTCTGGCCTAGAGGCAGACACCTCGAGTGTCTATACCATTACCGAGCAGCAGTTGACCGCCTCTCTTAGCCCTTTTTCCAATCGTCGGAATGGGTGGATAAAAAGCGAGAATAGGCCACCGAGGCCCAGATTAAGCACCGCTGACAACTATCGAGCCGTGCCCTTGAGCGACGGATCTCACATCCTCTTCACAGATCCCCGGACAGGGTACCTATGCCTGGGCTCTGATACACCTATCGGTTCGATGGTCAGTATACGGAGAAAGGTGAAGTTCCTGCCACCTGTGGCAGCCTGCACGAACGCTCCCTTACTTTGCGCCGTCGGAAGAAACTTGGCACATGGCGTAAGGATTGCTGCCGTTTTCCCAACGACACGGTGGGTGGAAGGAATAGGCTACCAATCAGGGGAGCAAATCCTCGCTTTCTACACACTGCCACCAGATATTTTCCAGGACATTTCACGCTTCGACAACCTGTCAGAGCTGGTTGACAGACAAGTGGAAGATCAATGGGTTCATTGGGGGCCGACACCATCGCCTACGCTTCGGGCGCTTTTCCAAGCCATGGACAGCGGATTGGACGACGCCGAAAACCCAATGGAGGCCCCAAAGTATCCAATTGATATCCACGGCCAGGTTGTTGCAGTCTGTTCCGGCATCGTCGACCTTTCGATAGGCATAGGCCCCGAGATGATGATCTGGGCATTTGACAAAGAGGGTTTGGCTCGTTGCTGGGCCTTGAACACAGGAAACACGAGACCAATGCAAAGAGATGTGATTTTGAGAGACGGAAGCATGCGAGAAGTGGACGGCGATGGAGATGTGGTGATGACACAGGCGGACTCGGATTTCCCACCGACCTAGGACGGGCCGTCGGGCAATATGGGACCGCATGTCTGGGACGCTCACATCGCAGCAAGCCAGAGCATTATCCATCTCTAGAGTCTTCTCTGCCGCATAGGGTCCATGGCCTGCCTGCAGACTGCGGGCAGAAGAGGACAAAGGGGCTGAGCTTGCTGAGCTTGCTGAGCTTGCTGAGCTTGCTGAGCTTGCTATGGTTTGCGAGTGTGGACATTGAGCTTTACTAAATCCAGCGATGCTTTAAGAGAGCGATTGATACATGAACGAAGACAATTGAGAAATAGAACCTAAAATCCATGATTAGAAGCACTAATACCTTGCCGATTCCTATAGTGGCACGAGGGGGTGCTGGTGTTGCGACCTATCATCTGTTTCGTTCAGTGGTTGCCTTAGATTGGCTTGATAGTCATCCTTGAAACGCAGGCTTCTGCTTTATTTAAGTTCCATCTTTTTATATTTCTAGCGCCTGTAGATGCCATGTATCGTGTAATCTTTCTGGGGCCCATTGACCGTGTACTTGATATTCCACTCCTTAAGGTTGACAGCCTTGAAGGCAAAATCGTACTTAACATCGTAATAGTCGTCGATGCAAAGATGGCCAGCCTTTGCCTGCCAAGGCTTCTGGTCATCTACTGGAGGGCCTTCGAACTCGATCTCGTGGAAGAGGTAGTCTGCCCGCTTCGGATCGTTGACCTTTGCAAACCATACACTTACGAGGTCCTTCTTCTCGTCGTAGCGCCAGACGTAGCGGCGGGTAGCTCTGAAGACTAGACCGTTGTCGGCGCGGAATTCCCCGTCTTCAATGTAGAGGTACTCTGTTGCCAGGGCGCCGTCGTCTGTAGATTCCTCCTCAGGGGCGGCGGAACCGGTGGTGGCGCACTTGAGGCCGTCGGCGGTCTTGTTACGGAGGAGGAACTGCGCCGTGCCGCTAAAGTGGCCGCTCGGGTGGCTGGGGAGTCTGCTTGTCAGATCACGCTCGAGGTTCCACGTGCCGAGGAGGCTGCGGAAGACGGCGCGGGGGACGAAGCGGCTCATCGTCAGGCCTGCAATGGCTGTGGCGTTTGTCTGCTCGAGGGATTTCGCGGCCTCGGCTTTCGCGGACGAGGAGGCGAGGTGGGAGAGGTAGCGTGCTGGGGTGAGGATGTCCATGGGTTTGTTGTTATGCGGGAGAATTGGGGTCAAGGGGGAGGGGGGAGGCTGGAGGGGGATGGAGAGGGCGGAAGAGAATTCTTGCATGAGGTAGGCGTAGTCGCCCATTGGGAACTGGGATGCACGGGGGTCGTCGCGGAGGGAGACGGTGCGCCAGTCGGAGGCGTCGTCGAGGAGGGCTTCAGAGAGCCGGGGCGGGACGGAGGGGTTCGTCCAGAGGCTTGCGAGGAAGCGAGCTTGCATCTCCATGACGCCCCAGTAGGGGGACCTGTAGAAGCCGACGAAGCCTAGGGTCGGGAGGTCCTTTACGTGGGTGCCGTGGAAAGATAGGGCGAGGGGCAGGTCGCGGTGCTGCGGGGAGTGGTTTAGGGTTTCGAGGACAGATGCGGGGAGGAAGGTGAGGCAGGGGGAGGGGTCGAAGCCTGTGGCGAGGACGACGGCCGCGATGTTTTCGATTTCCGGGGTAGCGGCGGCGGCGGCTGCGGTGGCGGGGCTTGTGATTTTTGCGGTGGTACCGGTGATTGAGCCGAGTTTGCCGGTGGTAACGTTGATGAGGCCGGTGCGGACGAATTCCATGTAGTTCTCCGAGACGGCGAGGTAGGCTGGGTCTGAGTGATGTTTCGGGGTCACGGCGACGGAGGGTGAGAAGTCGGATTGGTCTTGGCCTAGAGAGGTTGTGTAGATGCCGTGGGTGAGTCTTGCTGCGTCGGGGGTGATGTGGCCTTGACTGTTCTCGAGGGGGTGCGGGCGGTTGCTGAGGTTGTAGGATGGGAAGTCCAGGGGGAGGAAGGGAGCCGCCGTTGCGCCGGGCTGGGAGCTTTGGGTTAGTGGTGCGATTCTTCCGACGTTCTGAGCAACGGTTGAGGCTTACCTTGGGCGTGGTGTGAAGCGGAAACACCCATGTAGGACGCTGGGTGACATGCTCGACTGTGAGCTTATCCGCGTTCGGCACGGGGCTCGGGTCCGGCGCGTTGACGGCGGAGGAGATATGGGTGGCGATAGTGCCCGCAATCTCGACGCCTGACATCTGCCCTCCCACGACCAAGATCTTGCCGCCATTCTTCACGCCGTCCGGAAACAAGGTCTGGAGATCACGGTACTTGCTGCTGTGGACCACGGGAATCTCTGTGCCGTCAGAGACGACATCCGGCACAATGGGCTTGCCAAAGAACCCGGATGAGACGAGGAGGTAATCAAACACGCTCGTCTCCCGTCCCGCATCGCTCTCGGCGGTGACGGTCCATGACCCGTCATCGGGCGAGAGGTGAGTCTCAACGACGCGGTGGCCGAGCTTCACGTCGGCGACGGCGTCGGCGCCCTTTATGTAGCGCTCGAGATAGCGCTCGAGGTAGCGACCCACCATCCAGGCGCGCGGGATGTCCGGGTCCTCGGGCGCCCAGGCGAGATCGCTGAACTGCACAGTGTGCTTGCTCTGGTTAGCGAGCATGAGGGGATGGACGAGGCCGTCGGCGTCGTCGCGGCGTGTGGGCCAGAGGCCGCCGATACGTCGTTGGGCGTCGTAGATTGTCACGTCAAAGGCGCCCTTTGGTGCGTTGTGGAGGAGGGTTTTTGCGGCGACGAGGCCAGAGGGGCCGGCGCCTTTGGGTATAGTGTTAGCATGAGGTTTGTTCTGGGGGATTGGTGTCCTTACCGACGATGCATACGCGTTTGGCCATGGTGATGGATGTGCGAGCAAGGGGTGTGATGACAGTGAATGAGTGAGTTGCCCCTCACTGGAAGAAACAGACCCCTGTTGAATGGAGCTGGGGCGTCGGATTAAGGAAGATTTAGGTTATGGGTATAGTAAGCAAGTTCCCTCAAAGACATGAATATGTAAAGGTGAGCACCTCAGCCTCTTCTCAAGTAAGAGATGAAGTTCTCACGTCAGAAGCCACCGCCGAAAGCGCCATTGTCGCAGTCGGGGATTAGCGGGAATGGTGGGGCTTGTCGCCGATCGAGACCGGCGCTATCCATGATGACTCAGCTTCGCTTCGCCAGCCGGCGAAAGGTCACGTCGGCTGGCAGCTTCTCTTGCCCAACATTTCACAAGCTCGCGCAGCCTGGGCATCTCTGCCTTCCCGGCCGATTTATGGCAACTCGCCTACATTCCGTGCCACTTCGTCAGGAGGCAGGACACCGAAGTCGAACGTTGAGCTATCCACGAACTATCGAAGAGAACCGTCTAGTCAATGGGGTCCCAAGAGCAAGTTCCCGCCCCGAGAGTCTGGGACATGGCAACAGGGGCTCCTCGAGGCGGCCGATGGTTGGCGCGGCTCAATAACGGCCAGTCGGCTTGCGACAGAGAATTATCGACGCACTCTGCCATGTCCCGAGCGGCGGGCCCTCCTTACCGCCAGTCTGGCCCCGGACGCGGATTGCCAAGCCAGGGCGTCGGGACCCGTTGCGGCCAGTTCGGGAGCTGGCACCGCACCGACATGGATATATCTTCGGCTTCGTGCAGACAGTGGGCCTATGTTCAGATGGCACATAATGCTCGAAGTCCGTCCGCACAGCTTCAGATGAATGTTCAGCACAGATAGATTCTTGGTCCGTCCAACGGTCCAGCAGAATCAGCAGCTTTCTCATATGGAGACCAATGGAACCTTCTGCTGCAGCCATGCCGCGCCGGAACAGGACCTACCATCCCGGAGACATCAACGGCGCGAATTCACCAGGTATCATTGGCCCGGTTCACTGACGCGAATCCCAAGCAATGTCAATCCTCAAACCAGCGAGGTGCTTGAACCTTGCTCGGTCCATTGTAGTCATGGACCTGCCTATTCCAATTATCCAAACCTCATCTGCGGGGCGGCCATCCGCAGTGTATCTCAGTCGCACAGCAAAAGCAGGCCAACCGAGCAGACCGCGTCATTGGCCACCCAACCTCGCCATACGGTGGTCTCGTGCCACTCCTAAGCGTTCGTGCGACTACGGCACAGATCTCAAGCAACGGCGTCACCGTCGTCCTCACGTGGGTGTATTTGAAATTCGTGCACAAGTACCAGCCTGTTCCGTCCCACTAAGATTAGCTGGAAGGGCGGAGTGGCTGGCATCAGCTAAGGGCAGTCAACCACTTGCTAAGCACCAAAGCTTACTGCAGATCCAGCGGTGCTTTTTCCGTCAGAAATACTGGCCGTCAAATCAAGCTTGCCCAGCATCAGCCCCCAAAATACTAGATCGCCGAGGACGCAGATCAATGCTTGTTTTGGTCGAGTGACCGAACTTGCAACCGCGGGGCCTCACCGGAGATAAAGCTACTTCTCGTTTTCCCACGCGAACCTGTAACCGTTAGACTCCCCCTCTCTTCCTAGTCTCTAGATGCCCGCTCTCTCCCCAGACTCTCCGCGCGGGCAAATGGAGTCTCGGGTTGATCCCCGGCCTATACGTTGTCGTGAACCTGGCCCGCTGGCAGGTGAGCTTTCCCCTTGCTGCGAGAGACATTTGATTCACGTCAGATGCTGCCCTTTGCAGTCTGCCTCCGAATAATACCTTACGCCCGAAATCAGAATCTGTTGTAACCCAGCTTACCTAGTAAGCCACCATGGGTCTCAGAATCCTGGGCCATAGTGTATCTCCCGTGCTCCTTTCGGAGAGATGGGCCGGAGTTCGCAAGGCTAAGACATGTCAGAAGAAAGCCGATGCACGCAAGCCGCCAATGTGTTCACCTAGGCGCGCCTCGCACGCTTCGAGAAGCAAACTATGCTCCCAAGGTTCATCCCTCCATTATTCCAAGGTCTCAGTCCTACAGGTCAATATGAGCCCACGGGTCTACTTCCTTGCCAAAGACCCAACATAGTCCCATCTCTCATCCACAACGTCACTTGAAAGACGCGAGGCACAGAGGCGCCTCAACCTCAATTGACCGAGCTCTCTGTTCCACGTCAAGCGTGGACCCCCAATGGCTACTAATGATAAGCCACTGGTTCCGCTGCAGCGGTTTGGCTACCAGTAACAGGCATGTTCATTGCCGAGTGTATCCCGAAGTCGTCTGCCGGCGATAGGAGCGTTGCTCTTACGTTCCCCACCTCCCGCCGCCGCGGGCAGGTTCCTTATATTGACCCGTCTCCCGCCGATCTGGTTTGGCTTCCGTCAGGACCTGGTTACTACCCAAATTCATTCGTCCGCCACCCGTGCCAACGTTTACTCAGACTTTCCACGCCTGACTACATCTACTCGACAACCCCGCAGCGACGCATTTCTGCTTTCTTCCGAGTTCTCTCGCTTTTATTTCTATCGAGACCAAGCTTTTGAGATTGGCTCTAGATTGGCTCTAGATTGGCTCTAGATACGTGCCACCACCATGAGCGACACGGAGAAGGCCGCGGCCTCCCACACATCAGACCCAGGCGCGCAGGAGATCCCGCGTGACCCAGATGCGCTTCTTAGTGAAGAAGAGAGGCTTCAAGTGGTATATTTTGATCTTCTTAGACATCAATCATACGGCAAACTGACATTCGTATTACAGGAACGAAAGTTAGTAAGGCGACTTGACTGGATTCTAATTCCATGGGTACGTAAGTCAGCCTGCAAGTAAGTATACCTGACTGACGCCAATGCAGCTTTGCATCCTTTATCTCTTAGCATTTCTCGACAGAACCAATATTGGAAACGCAAAAATTGCCGGTCTGAACAAAGACTTGGGTTTGACCAGCTCAATGTACAACTCATCGCTCACGATTTTCTTTGTCTCATATGCGGTATTCGAGCCTTTGACAAACATTCTGCTCAAGAAGTTGCGGCCGTCTATTTTCATTCCCGTTATCATGTAAGAAGACAATGGCCCAATATGTATTCTTTACGGGTCTTAGTGTGCTGATCGCGTACAGGATACTCTGGGGTGCGTCGATGACGGGCATGGGCTTCGTACACAACTGGAGTGGGTTGATGGCCGCACGCTGGTTCTTGGGTCTTACTGAGGCCGGACTTTTCCCTGGCGTAAACTACTACTTATCGTGCTGGTACAAGCGATCAGAGTTTGGTATTCGTGCTGTATGTTCTCAAAATAATTCGAGGAGTTTCACTCAGCTAATCCCTCTAGGCCATCTTCTTCTCAGCTGCAGCCATCTCAGGGTCGTTTGGCGGCGCACTTGCAGCAGGCATTGAGCAAATGGCTGGTGTCGGCGGCCGCCCGGGATGGGCATGGATCTTTATCCTTGAAGGTCTTCTCACCGTTTTATTCGGTGTTGCATCGTTCTGGATGGTCCACGACTTCCCCGATGAGGCCAAGTTTCTCACAGAAGACGATCGAGCTCGAGTCATCCGCCGTCTCAAGATGGACCAGCAAGCCTCTGCCAACCACGAGGAGTTCAAGATGACGTTCTTCTGGCAGGCCTTCAAGGACTGGAAGATGTGGCTGGGGATGGTGATCTACATGGGTTGCGATATGCCGCTATACGCCTTCAGTCTGTTCTTGCCCACCATCGTCAACGAACTTGGGTGGAACACGAGCATTGTTCGCTCGCAGCTGATGACAGTCCCACCCTACGCCGCGGCGGCGATTTTCACCGTGTTTATCGGATATGTTGCGGACAGGACTCAGCAACGTGGTCTATGCAACATTGGAGTCAGTCTCATTGGCATCGTCGGCTTTTGCATGCTCATAGCTACCGAAAGCGCTCAGGTCAAATATGCGGGCACCTTCCTGGGAGCTCTCGGTATCTACCCTTGCATCGCCAACACAATCACCTGGGTCGCCAACAATGTCGAGGGTGTTTACAAGCGCGGCGTAGTGTTGGGATTCGTAATCGGATGGGGAAACCTAAACGGCATTGTCAGCTCCAACATTTACTTCCACGGCCCGCGATTCCCAGAAGGTCATGGTGTTGTGCTGGCGTACATGGCCATTTTCTTGTGCGGCGGCAGCGCTCTCATGACAACATTGCTTAGAATCGAAAATAAAAAGAGGAGGCAGGGCAAGAGAGATCACTGGGTCGAGAATAAGTCCGACAAGGAGATTGAGGCGCTCGGAGATAAGCGACCAGACTTCCAGTACACTTTGTAACGCTCAGACTTGGAAGTCAAGCAAGGAGCCCCCGGCCCATGGGATAGTTACTCAGGCTGGGTAACATGGAGGGCCTTTTAGCGAATGAATAATGATCTCATAGATCTCAGATGGACAGAGACCACGCTGCAGAAGAGAAGCACTCATCAAGTGGCCAGTGTGCTTCTATCGATGTAGGAGGCGGATACTTTGGTTAACTATTTATGTGGCTTCAGGTCAGTTCCGACTGATTAAGTGGGCGTCTTTCGATGATTCATTCTGAAAGAGGCGGAGGATATCCCCTGTGACAATATGGATCTCGAACTCGGCCTCACGATCACGAAGCAGGTTCAAAATCTGCTCATCCGCCCTGATGGTCTAGCGGTATGATTCTCTCTTAGGGTCTCTTCGACGCGTTTGGGAGAGGTCCCAGGTTCGAATCCTGGTTAGGGCCCAAATCCTTTTGCATTTTCTGTCCTCCGCACAAGAACATGTTGCGGCAGATTCTGTTCCTTTTTAGTTTTCTTTGCGGTTTCGATGTCCGCATTGAACGAGTTTGTTTGGCCACCACAGGCGCACAACGAGCGTTTGAGACATAACAGCACATGATCACAGAATCTCTTACACAACGGCGTGTCGTGCGTCCTATCACGATCGCTCAAACGTCCCAAATCTAGAAGTCAGCGCCTTTGGGTCTGTGATACTGCTACACATTACGTACTTCAACGGCCCGTTTCCACGGGCGCAAGCTCATAATCCATGTAGGGTCGTCCTTGAACCTTGATTGTGTGGCTGCACGACGGATCTTGTTTCCCTGGAAGAGGGGTTGGATTGGAGTTTAGGGGCAATTTGTGTGGTCTGATCGAGGTTTGGTGACAGGATATCGAGGAGTTCGTGGAGCTGTTCCGTCTCAATTCTTTGGATGACAGATCCGAGATCGAGTTCTGTGTAAGTGCTGCAGCCCACTTTTGGGGCCCACAACTTGTGGCGACCGTGGATTGTATGACGTTGACTTGTTGTTCTCAATCGTCGTAGATCTTTAGATCAAAGTGTGCCACTTGATGTGTCAAATTTTCGTATCGCTAATTGTCACTTCAAAATCGTTCGGGCCGAACTTGGGAGATGAATTCGCGGTGGGTGTCACCGCGGGCAACGGTCCATGTCAGTTTTACCTGCGAACTCCAATTAAGTACGTGTGGGCAGGTGGGCTTATATCCAGGGAAGCTTCCGGCCGTTGTGACCATACAGATTAAAGGCAGCGAAATCCACGAACAGGGCATCAAATGTGATAACACGAACGCTCTCTGTCGTGGACGAGTTTCTACTAGAAGTGCACCAACCTCGGGAACTTCTTTGCATCAATGCTGAAAAAAATCCATGGCAGAAAGAATTTGTAGTCACAGTAAGAGCAGTTGCATTGCACACCCAATACGTGATTATCGCAGTTGTAAGATTCTCAGTCTGGGGGCTTTAATTAATCGAGTGTCGCTGCCATGACTTCGTCAGGATTATAGCCGCCAGGGTCCTTGTCACTATCAAATCTAATGTTTACAACCAATTGCTAAAGTCCAAAGGGAAAATGTGGAATTGGCGGTGAAAGCAAAGGCCCGTTAGGGGCATCAACATAGAGGATTGGAACTACATGAGTTCATTGTGAGGATTGTCTGCTATTTTTGCGGGTAGTCTGTGACGGTAGTTAAAGTAAGACACGTCCTTAACAGGAAATGCATTGTCTAGGAGACGGTGGGGCGCAGTTGAGGCCAATCGGGCATCCAGTTGTCTACTTTATCTCGAGTCACTTCTGTTGGTTCGCATTTCAGCTTTTCCCCCAAACACCTCACCAGTCTATCTCCCTCTCTCAAATTTCTATCAAAATCATGGACACGTGAAAGACTCAAATCTTACATTGTGGTCGCATTGCATCTAATCTACCACTTCAATTGGCTAATGGACGTTTCGCGATGTCTTCGCCACCATCAACACCGGATTCGAAGGACCCAAGCTCTGAGGAGAGCTTCAGGTTTCATCAAACCGGCACCCCGTGCGAATGGGCCGAGTCTTATCACCCTGGAGGGTTTCATCCGGCTCATTTTGGCGATGTCTTCTGTAACCGCTATGAGGTTATTCGGAAGCTCGGAAATGGTTCGTTTGGCACGGTATGGCTGGCATTTGATTCGTCGTAAGTCGTACATATATGTTCCCGATAGTCCTATCTTCTTCGAAAGCTCGATGAAGTTGACCTTGTTTTCAGATGTGAACGCTACGTTGCCTTGAAGATCGAAGTAGCCAAAAGAAAAGAGCCAAATGAAGTGAAGATGCAACGACTCCTTGCCGAAAAGGCACCAGAAAATCAATGGTCGGAGTTTGTCGTAGGTCTTTTGGACTCCTTCTATCATCAAGGCCCGAACGGCAATCATCTTTGTCTTGTACTCGAGCCCATGGGTCCAAGCCTCTCCGCGGTTCTCAACGCCCCCGCCGAAATTTATGATCCCCGGAACCCTCCTGTACGACGCTTTGCAAAGGACAACATCAAACGCATCTTAGGACACGTTCTTTCTGGCCTACTATTTCTACACGACAACGGCGTCGTTCACGGTGACCTTCAATGCGGTAACATTCTCTTCGCTTTGGAGGACCTCGCTCGTTTTGATCGCCAGGTGCTTAGGCAAGCCGAAGATACTTCCAATATCGACATCTTGCGACGCATTGATGGCAAGCTCGACAAATGGGCTCCCAAGTATCTGGCTGTGGCTGAGCCCATGTCAGATTACGCGCTCTCAGGACAAGGTGAATTGACGAAGCTTTCGGACCTAGGCGGAGGTAGGTACATCTGCATGGCTTTAATGTCTTAAGATTAACATCGGTCTAGCTTTCTGCATCGATGATCCGCCGCTCTCGGTGGTGACTCCAGTATCCCTCCGAGCCCCGGAGGCAATTCTGAACGAAGCTCTCGGCACTGGCATCGACATGTGGAGTTTTGGTTGTCTCGTCTACGAGCTTTTCACAGGCACTGCGCTGTTCCAGCTCCCTCCCTTCGGTCTTAGCGACAATAGAATAAAGGATGAGCATCTAATTCAGCTAACAGACATCATCGGACCGCTACCAGAAACCCTGTCAGCAAAATGGCCCAATTTAACAAAATATTATGGCTCGAATGGAGAAAGGCTTGATGCGCGCCCCATGGACTTCGAGGAAGAATTTTCTAACGACGGGAACTCTCACCACACTCTGTCAGATGCTGAACCGAATGAGTTTGATGATGATATGGATGCTTTTGAATCTGAAGTAAGCGAGCGCGGACCGCCGCAAGTTTATGAGTCTCTGGAAGAGCTCATCAGAGCCCACAAGGCAAATGATATGGATGATGAAGAGGAAAAGCAGATCGTTTCACTACTCAGATCTGTTTTTCAGTACGATCCTTCACATCGCCCCTTCGCCGCAGCGTTGCTTGAGGATCCTTGGCTGGCTACTTGAATTGCACTAGGAGTAGGCTAAGAAGAAGTACATTTGTAGTGAGCAAAGCATTAGGCTATTCGAATGCATTTTCCTGAAGAATAGGTACTGTGCAATTGTCTCTGGCTTCAAGGATGCAAACCTATCTTATTCCCAGGCAGGTTGATTTGGCCCAATGATTATGTTTTGCGAATGCTGGAGCGACGTGATCATCTTATTTCTTACAAATCGGTGCACCAAGTTGGGTGATGCTGGCATGCGACCATACTGTCAGTAGGGGGTAGCCAATTGAGTATTTTGATACTGTTCGTCATCTCCTAGCTATGCAGAAAACCCATAGGATTAGCCTGATATGGTACAAAGCTGCCATCTTCTATTCTCTGCCGACCAAAAGTCATCAACATCAGACTATATCCCGGGTTTATCGACTTCACAAATCTTCCACAGGCTGGATTAATATTTACTCATCGGAAAAACTGTATTTCGTTGCGTTCTCCGGCCGGACATCAGCGAGGAAATTCCGCGGGACAGATCATGCAAGTCCGCGGAGGATGAGATGATCATTACCTCGTGAGGATCTCCAAACACGGACCGACGACTTTCCACTCGAAATCAAAGTGAAGCCCGGATGGCAATCTAATCATAACTGATTGACTCAAGCAGCCACCCCACTTCCAAGCTCACTCACCTCAACTGGTCGGTGCGCAATAGAGGGGAATGGGAGCCTGTCATTCGATCTGACAGGTTTCATCCCATCATAACGGGCACGTTTTCTGATGACTTGCTTGACATGTGGACAGCTCGGATCACGGCAGAGCACCACTATATGAGATCCACGGTCGTGAGACGAATCTTTGGCAGGGGTATACCAAGCAAGGAGGCTCAATCCACCCGGTCAAACCTGCTCAGCACTAAATTAACTCGAGACAACTTAAATCCTCGCTGGCTACTAAGAAAGACACACACGGCAACTAGTTTCCGCGGCGGAAAATTCCCAGCCCGCAACTCACATGGTTTGCGGATGAGCTGGCAAGTCGAATTGTCAACATCCATTTGTTCAGGCCTTTGGTGTAGGGAGCAACATAAGCAAGCTCGGATAAGGCTCTAGCGATGCGCCCGAATCGGGCGTCCGACAAAGAAGAGACGCGTAATAGACATCTGCTCTGGATTTGCCCATCACCTCGGATGGACCAGACTCATCGGATCCTTTACGAAATCTCTTCAGCGCAAACTCTAACTTTAGTTCGTCTCAAGTTTGCGACTGAAAGGACGCCTGTCGACAGCGCCAAATGGCCGATGTCTCAGAAAGCCCAAACAGGAATCTCACACGAGACGGCGAAATCTCGCTCCCCAGATCCCGCCGTGTGGTGTCAGAGCTAACCGGCAAAAGCCAACCGATCAAGTCTACTAGCCCAAGCCGCCTATTCCCTTCATCTCTGATCAATCAATCGCTGACGTCGGCATCCGCGGATGCTTTCCCCGCGGAGACAATGATCCGCGACGAAAGCTTCCCATCACTCAAGTTTTCCAGGGAAATGTGAAGCAATGGGGGCGGTGCTCAAGCACATCAGCCGGCACAAACCTGCCGGCGGCCCAAGCAGAAAATCAAATGCTTGTTTTTTTCTGATCTTAAGGTACGGAGACAAGCTAGCCTTGTTTTTCGGTACGTACTGAATTTCCGAGCGATGTCTTCGTCTAAACTGTTACAGGAAGATCTTCTTATAGCCGAATCCGAGTTCTGGGAATCCGTCCGTACAGGCCTCCCGAGTGAAGGGATGGCACCACTCACAAGACACCAGATGAACGCAAATCCTAGATGCCTGTGCAATATGCACACCATTTCCCACGGACATGGAGATATTATCTTGACTGTATTTACGGCTTTCGGTTCCACCGGCACGAGGGTTACGCGGTCAAGTTGACAGACCTGGCTTGTGTCAGGCCAGAACACCTAGACATTTCCTCGGTTGAACTAGACGCTCGAATATGCCCATCAATTCTAGACTGACTTATACTATAAAACCTAGAATATCCCCATCGATTAGGCGGACGTCGAAACCAGTATCACTTCATCATCAGCAGCCAGATTGCATCATTGCGCCGGACGCTTTACTTTCTCTTGCTACTTTCAGTCTTCAACAGCATCTTGTTTCCTCTTCTTGGAAACTTACCTTTCTCTGCACAATCAGATTATATCATCCTTTTTATTATCCAAGCCAAAGGCTTTCACGACCCCTTCAATTACAATGAAGCCCATTTCCGTTCTCTTCTTGGCTGGCCTTGCCGCTGCAGCTGTCACGGATGGCGGGTTAATCGCTACCCGCGACGAAATCGCTCGAGACCTGGAAGCCATCACAGACAGCCAGAATCTTGTCGACAGAGACGAACAAGATAGCTCTTTACACCCATTCTCTATTGAGGATAGGGCAGAGGAGGATGATGAGAGTGATCTCACCACTCGTGACCTTGACGAGGCTGCCTCTTTGGACGAGCTGGTAGCACGCCAGGCCAACAGCACTGGTGGTAGGAAATCTGATAGTACTCGGAAGAACCTATGCTAACTCATTTACAGGAGGTGACAAGAAAAACATTGGGGAAAAGAAGGAGAACAAGAAAGACAAATGCGAAGGTTGCACCAAAGGGAAGAAGAAGGGCAAAGATGCCAACGGCAAAGTATGCAGATGCAAGAAGAAGAGCGCCGCCAAGAACGGCGAGAAGAAGAACAATGGTACAGCCACGGACACCGGAAAGGGCAAGAATGACGACGGAAAGAAGAAGAACGGCAAGAACACCAAGGACGAGAAGAAGAATAACAGCGGCAAGGCAGATGGAAATGCTAACGCCGGCGCCAACAATAAGGACAGCAGCAAGGATGGAGAGAAGAAGGCAAAAGCAAATACCGATACGAACACGGGCAAGGAGACCGACACGGGAAACCAAGCTGGAAACAAGAACGACGGTACGGCGGCTGACGGCGGGAAAAATGAGAATGGAGCCACCGGCCAATAAGCCAATCTGTCTATGGGAGTCGGAGCTGCAGCAGCAGAAGCCGCCTAAGCGATGGCTATCTCACCATAAAGTGTTAGGACAGATGGGTACATAGCTTCGATTGGGTCTTGGGCATGAGGTGTTTGTAACATCTGTGGGGTTAGACTAGGAAGAGAGTACACGTAGACGGAACCTACGTTGTTCCTTTCCATCTCTAGCGACTCCAATGTCTAAGAGACGAGTTTTCTGAAATTGACCAAACCTGCCATTTATCCAATTGTTGTCCAATTCGAGACTAGAACTGATTGAAATGCTGCATGTAATCGCCATAATGACAAAGGAGGCAACCAACAAGAGAAGGATGGCATCCATCAACTCATTTCCTACAATAAATCATGACAGTGATGGGAATGGCTTGATAGAAGAGCGAGAGTAACATACAGTATGCCCGGACAAATCGTGCTGGACCTCGAACGATTTTTGAAGGCCACTCACAAGTTCAGATGATTGCGACGACTATTTTGGCTTGGCGCGTTTTTTGCATTAAGCTGTGAACTCAATCAGGCGCCTTTTTTGCGAGATCACTCGACGAAAAATGGCCGGATGTTGCAGCGCGAGTCGTGTTTCTCAAACACACAGAAACGTCGTCTTGAACCTTGTGCGAATCTGCAACACGGTGTTAAGGGCTTACATGCCAAATACCGAGGCCGATTATTGTAGTATAGAAGTACCATAAAGCCTTGACAGTACCGCCACTGGCTAAGAGAGAGTCGTCTATATCCAAAACAACCTGTCCCTCTCAAAATAAAACAGCAGGCATCATGAAGTTCCTTTCCGTCCTCGTCTTTGCTGTATCGCTGTTTGAAGCGAGGGCTCTCCCCGTTGAGTCAAAGTAAGCTGAACAAGCGCTCCAAATCAGATTCTGCTTATTCTAATCCTGTGCATAGCGTAGTTGAGAAGTTCAGTCGAGTCAAGAATGCAGCCAAAGTCCCACCATTCATTGGCGGAATCGCGTTCCCGAGACGACAAAGCGATAAAGACACGATAATCAGAGCAATAGGCGGAACGGTTTAAAAGCAAGCGACTAGACCACCCTTCACAGGAAGGCCTGTAATTACTAGTAGCAAGTGATTGTGAACTTTTTGGACTCATGAAAACATCCTGCTGCATTGGAGGCAGAATGGTGGTAGGATTGTTGTCTCCAACCAAGAATCACAATTCCAGTTTCAAAGCTTCCATTTGAAAGTTCCAACCACTTCACGCACCATTATGGCTTTCCTTATCTGTGTTATTGTGTTCCGAATTTCGGGTCATCGACATCACAGTATCTGAATACTCGGTTGATTGGCGTGGCTGTAGTCTCCAGTAGACTGCCCGGCCGCGCTCCTTTAGAGTTGAAGTTTTGACAATACCGCTCCAAGTTGCAACGCGAAAGATTGAATAGTTGGTTTTGAGTCGAGCTGTTTGAATTTGTACTTCTCTTGAGCGCTTTACAGTACTTGGTTTCGGCTGCTGCAAAGGTGAAGTAGTCCGCTGGGTACAGCTATTAGATATATGACTGCAGACGCCAAGCAATAACACCACCAGTAGATTGAATGACAGAAAGAAAGCGTAGCTTGGAATTTGCAGTGAAACATCTTTGTTTGATGGCCAAGTTGTCACGATATCTCGTCATCCGGCAAGACTGTGGCAATCTCTTATCAAGAGCCATGCGATTCTTGAACATGGATGCCTGCTTAGCTTCGTGAACTGTCTTACTCTTCCGAAAAGGTCATAGTGCAACTCTTCCAAAGAAAATCGGTCAGTTGTGGCCGAAAAGTATTTCTGGCAGCTCGAACATCATTTTTGCTTGAGTTTTGGAATTCGACTTGGAAGGGGATGAATTGAGACCTTGGCCCTGGAATCTAGCTTCTTCCTCATTGATCATTCGTTTAACGTTCTACAGTGATCTTCAAAATACGAGAATGAGGAAGTGAGGATTAAAAGATTCTCAGAGTAGCCCAAGCTATGTAAATAGTTTCGCTGGCAACCGAATTATCCAGAAATGAAGCATTTACCTCTGGATCTGCGTGGGAAGCAGAAACTTGAAATTTGATTGCATTACTGAGTCTCGAAGGGGAGTTTCTAGAGCAAAGATATATGAGACCCTTACAAGCCGCTGGAGCCTCCCTGTACCACGCAATAGTGTATGGAATAGATAGTACCAGTCTTTCTAAATAGATACCACCGCCCAATCTTTTTCATCTTTATTCATGGATGTCTCGCCGAGAATCTTCTTCCAATCCATCAGCTTCAAAGCAATCATCACCTCTATGGAGAGATCTCAAGTTGTGTTTTCTCATTTACTTTGATTCTCTTCTACTTCTTATCAGAGCAGGAGTGCCATACAGACCTCCAAGCCCCAAAGATGGGATGCAGAGTGATTGAGTACATTGACGCCTGCTGAGCAACCACCGCCGCATATCAAACATGCTAATGGCAATAGCAAGATTCGTGTCTTCAGCACGTCAATCATGATCTAATTTAAAAACTGTTTTGCTTAAGACTTGTTTCATATTCATACATAAGTATTAACCAAGCGATATGAATAAATTGGAGCTGATGTAATCTGGCGGAACTCATATCAAATCAACTAGAAAGGTGCGTCAGACGCGCATTGACTCTTCTGGCCAAACACAGCCACGGCCATTCCTACAGAGTCCAGGTCTTGCAATACACGTTATAATGTATCCTTGATATATTTCTTACGTTTGGTAATGGTAGGCTCAGCGATGAGGAACCAACTCTTTGTTCGGACGTCTGCCAAACCTACCTGTCCGCTTGCTGAATGCCATGCCATGCCTACAGTACGCCCAATCACCCCTCAAGATTCCAAGCTCTGAAGTCAAAAGACAGGTATATTGTCCCTCGTCTTCGTGTTGATAAGACGTTGTTGGCCTGCATTAGCTGACATAGCCCGTCCGCATGCCCTCCGGCCCCGGAAAGCGGACGAGTCTCCATCAAAGCCACGGTCCCGACCCCGCAACCCCGCTGCGCCGCAGCTGCCCGGGCCCGAACCCGAACTTCTCCGGCTCCTCACATTATCCGGATTAGGCACGTCGTAAACACCACCTCGACACAATCAAAAGATTATGATACTCAATCATACTCTACTAACAGTGTATCGCCTCCAACATGAAACTTTCCCTTCAATTATGGATATCTTTATCCTGCGCTGCCAAAGATCGAACCGGAAAGGTCATCGGACTGACCCAACAATCTCACGTCAGACTTCGCGGACCGGGCCAAGAAACCCAACGACGGCACATCACCAAAATCACTCGGACCCAGTATTTCAACACAATTTTTCGATGCATATGTCCTAGATTGGCGGGTCGTACTGCACAACACACCAAGTAAGCCATCGGCCTTGGCTGCTACACGCGTACAAAATGAGACGTACATACACGAGGAATGGCTTCCGCGTAGGAACAAAAGTACATCAGTAAACATCGCTGTCCACAATGTAATAACAAGCGGAATGGGCCCCTCTAAACCGTGATGTCTACCACCAAAACTTCCTCAACTCATTGAACCGCTCATCGCACACCTCAATAGTCGACCGCCGCCATGCCTTACTTTGCCCGCAACCCTTCCTTCAACCTCTTCTACCTAGACGAGGGCCCTGCCTCAGCCCCATACACAGTCCTCCTCATCACAGGCCTCTCCTGCGAAATGCACGACTGGAGCTGGCAGGTCCCCTTCCTCCTGTCCCACAACCTCCGCGTCATCTCCGTCGACAGCCGCGGACAGGGAAAATCCTCCGCCCCGCAGCCGACGCCGGGCATCCGCGCCTGGCCCGGGGTCGAAAACTCCGCAGACCCGGACGTCGTGGAGTACTACCCGCAGTCCACAGCCGAGGACATGCTCGCGCTACTGACCCACCTCGGCGTCACCCAGAACCTAATCGTCGCTTCCCACTCCCTAGGCGACGCGGCGGGGTACTACATCGCCACGGCCCGTCCGGATCTCGTCAAGGCCTCCATCGGCGTGGACCCCATCCACGCCTTCTCCAACGCGGTCCGCGAGCGCGACGTCCACCTCTTCGACGCGCCCGGCGCCCAGGAGGCGATCCTCCCGATACTCATTGAGCATTTCAGCACGTACTGCTACTCGCCCGAATGTCCAGCCTGGCAAAAGACGTGGCACCTCCGGCGCATGGCACAGTTTGACAAGGCCGTCATGTACGCGCTGTGCTGGGGCGGCTGGGGCGACGCGGAACACAGCCTCGGCCGCCAGGAGAACGCAGTCAAGGCCTTTGCGGGAAAGCTCAGGTGTCCGCGGCTGACGCTGGGATCGGACGATTGGTACGTGGCTACTGATCGTGAGCATCTGCCGAAGGGCGACGAGGCGCTGGACGAGGTTGTCTTGATCGAGGGCAAGGGCCATTGGTTTCATCAACTCGAGAGCGAGGAGTTTAATGGGCATCTCGAGAGGTGGTTTCAAAAGATCGGCATGCTGCCTTTGAAAGTAGCAAGCGCGTCGGCATGAAGCAACGTCTTTTTCTTGTATGGTGGTGGCTTCGGGGTCAACTGCCGGCAGCGGCGACGGTATCGGTCTGCCGGCGACACGGACGGTAAAGCCATCGCGGGATGGTGGGGGACGCACCGTGACGGGGCTGCAAGGGACTGCTGGCTCCAGTCTCGGGCTTGTGTCTCGTAATCTTAAACAACTTTGATTGCGCCTTAAAGCAGGGTACAAATAGAGGGTTCGGTTCACCGCCAGTCTCAGATTCTCGGTTCGGCATCCTGGCAAGTAGTTGACTGCTCTCCGTCTGTGAACGTGTCGAACTTCCACTTGTTCAGGTATGGTCTTCGGCAATTGGGCTTCGACAACCATGACTTGGAATAGAGGTTGCCAGCCCTTTCGGCAAAGCGGCGTCAGGGTTTCACGGAATCAAGTACAGGTCTGTTGCCGATGGGAATCACACAGCAATCGGCACTGACAGGTCGAAGCGGGATGGCTAACATCGGGAGCCCGATAGAGTTGGGCGTCTAAGAGCCGCTCATCGTGGGCAGCGCCGAGACCCCGCAGGTCCGGTCATATTGCCGTCAAACGCCGGCACGCACCCACTGTTGCGGCGTAACACAAGGACCAAGGGCGACGTGAGCGAGGTGGCTGGAGCGTTATGAAGACGGAAGACTCGCTAGCAAAGCGGCAACCCGCCGCCGCCGGCGGTGCAGTAGCCGTGGATATGGAAATGCCGTCCGTCCATTAGGTGTGTGGTTTCGCATGAACAACTTGCCGACTAAGTCCGTCGGCGATGGTTGTCGGCCTTTGGCGCTTGTCTGGGATCCCGTCGCAAAATAGATGAGTCCGCTGCCGTCCCTCCAATCAGCTGCCTAGCGAGAATCCGAGCTTTTCGCTCTTGTGATGACTGTGCTGTGACTCTCTGAGTGCTGGGGAAAGTTGGAGAAAATCGTCTTTGCAGCTTCAACCCGGGAGATCACACATGTGTACCGGTGGAAGGCAAACGATGGGTTCAACAACAGACCCAAGCTCCCACCCTGCCCCCCACCCTCCGAATGTAACGGCTTCTCCCCCTCCATAGCTAGGTTTGAGGGGTCTTTGACGTCAGACTCTGTGGCCCAAAAGAGCGGTTCAGTGACAGTGTAGAGTAGCGGTTTGCTAGCAAGTATTCCAGAGCAGGAGATATCTCCCCTCGAGTAAGTGTTACTGCTTGATCCTTGAATCCCCGTACAAGGTGCAAACGAGAATCTCGATACTGCATGTGGATGTCAGCTCAAGCTGTCAGCTGCTTTTCGCGGCAACAAATCGTTGGGTCGTACGGAATGCGCAATTCGCCAACTCTAGTAAACTTCGTACCTGAGTTTTGACATGTTGGTTCGGCTCAATACGTGAATCTTACCCCTCTGTGTCTGGCACGGTTTGACGAGCCCCAATCCATATTTAATGCCGCGGTAGGACATCCGACTTTGCCATCCATCCAACTGGAGATGGTTCGCCATGGGCGAGCAGCTTCCACGCTGAAAATAGTAGCTCCAAGTCCTGGCTCGTCGTCGCTTGTGGATCCAACGGCATCGTATGCCACAGATCATCTAGCCGTTGTCACGGTCCAATATCCTGCAGCTCGAGCGGGGCACGAGCCAACAGAATAAGACCCCTTCACGCCGGTGAATGATTCCTCAGCAGGAGCAGGCAAAGACCCTGGATGCAAGGAATCAAGGTGTCGTCTGTGCAAATTAAGCCTCATGGTCAAGTCTGAGCTCAGAGTTTTTGCGGCCCTCAACTCGGCATATCATGGGTCCTTTGATGCCTCAGCCTGCCCCTTTATTACCGCTAGAATTGCAGGTCTGGCATTGCAATCAGCATCGTCATTGCCGACGTATCTCAGCGTCGGAGTGCTTACGACAGCCCGGGACATGTCGAATCCCAATGATAAAAAAGGGCCAACGAACAAAGACAGTCAGCCACCGGAGCCCTGACCCGGGGGGTTCTTTGAGGACCTGGCGCGAGATATTTGGCGCTCTAGTACAAGCGCGGCGCGACTTGCATGCATTTAGAGTTTGACCAGTTCGGGGGGGGGGGGGGGGGGGGGGGGGGGGGGGGGGTGGGGGGGGGGCGGCGGCGTTTATCGGAGTGGGGGGCGCGGGGCGCGGGGTCGGCGCGCGGGGAGGGGGGCGGGGGTGGGGGGGGGGGGGGGGGGGGTGGGGTCAAAGTGATGTCTCACCCATGTCCGCCACCACCGGACTGGCATCAATAGGCTTTGTCCACGCCTAAATCGCCGAGGTGATTCGCCTGGGAGGCTTCTGCCCACGCCGTGTTCGCCGGCGTCGCCAAGGATGGTAGACGTCAAATACATGGGATATGCCGCTACGATTGCGAACATTCGCTACTGGGATCATCCAGATCACACATTCTCCAAGCTTCCACAGTTATCAGGGGGGAGCTTCCCCAACCGACCTGGCCTGGCTTGGTCTTACATAGCTTCAATGCCCGCAGTCTCCGACCTTGTGCGTCATCTTTGGCTATGACGACGTATTGCTCAACAAGAAGTCGCTCGAATGTCGAGCCCATATCCCCACTGGATTGACGAGACCTAGTCGCTATGGTCAGTTTGGCCAAACCGCAGGAGGGCCATTCGAGGGTCGAAGAGAGTCGCGGGAAGGTAAGCTTCGCTGCTTCAGACAACTCGGCTATTCGATAATCATAGCGATGCTGACTGGTAAATTCAGCGCGACGCCCACAAACCACGCAAGGCATTCCTCTCTACGTCTCAGAAACGACGGTCTTCCGGGTACCCAGCATCATGGACATCTAGGTGGAAACATCGTCCACACCCGCCCCCAACACGTCACCAAAGTCAATCGCAGGACAGCTCACCTGGGCCAGTGGTCCTTGGTCGAAAAGACTCTTCCCAGAAACTGCTGGATTCGGAAGAAGAGCCGGAGCTTGTACTTTCAAAGTGCATTCAGGTCGGCCCGGAAGTGTTATCGGTAAATCGGTTCCATGCCAATTACGCGGCACAGGCGAGCATATTGATATTCAGTCGGCTGCCCGAATACTATGACATCGACCTCTCCGATGCCAGCCACGCCCGGCACGCCACTCACGCCGTGGCTTTGGCAAGCGCTTCTCGATCACTTCACCAGTCAGGGCTCATGGTCGAAGCCCGAAGACACTACGGCAAAGCTATTTCGACTCTGAACCAAGCTCTGCAAGACCCAGTTGCAGTGCGGGATGATGCCAATCTGGTAACCTTGTTTTTGTTTGGTATGTTTGAGGTAGGTTTGTCGGTCCTCTCAATCCTGATGCGTGCATACCTGGGGGCGTGTCCCGGACTCCGAGGTCTAGCTAGGCCCTTGGCTAAACCTATCAGGTTATCAATGGAAAGCGAGGCACAAGCACGATCGACTTGCAAGAAAACGTATTTCCTCACGGCGCTGGAGGCTTGCAGCTTTTCAAGTTTCGGGCACATCATGGCTTGACCAACGAAGTGGACAAAGCCTGCTTCACATTCTTCTGTCATGCAGCAGTGAGTTGTGTGGTCTCTTTTTTCTTTGCGAGCAAAGGTCCTCTGGCTGACATGTCCGGGAAAAGTTGATGGAAATGTTTATACAACGGGACCACCTGACGCCTCTTTGGTCAATGCTGGAAGAGATGGAAACTCCTTGGGGCAAGGGCCCTGTTCTTGAGCCACTTGTTCGACAAGTGGTTGACTTTAAGAAGGCCTTTGACTTCAAGGTGCAAGTCCAGAGTAATTCATCCACGTTTAACGATAGCCCGCCGGAGGACTTGTTGGAATTGGTCCGAAGCGGCATCGATCTGAGCAGCGACCTCGAGGCAGCTATTGCATTTCTCGGTATCTCTGGCGCTTCAACGTGCTTTGGGCAGCAGCAAAAAGTTTTTAATGGTCTTTTCTCACTATCATCTGAGTCATCAGTTGCCATTGCGAGGAGCCACTACCGTTCTCTTCGTGTCTACCTCCTGGAAAGAACCATTGAGTTACGAAACATCCTAAAGGAGAGCTGCGAACACGTCGCCATCAGCTTGGGTCTTATGCCAAGCTGGTCGGATGGTGTCTCCGTCGTTAGAGATGTTATCGAGGACATCCGAATTGTGTTTGGGCTCGAGGGGAAGAAAGAGACACCAACCGGAGGCCTCGCATATCGAACTATGACAATGTTCTGGCCAATGGTAATGATACGAACTTCATGTTTCGCCGGTCCTCATAACGGGAGGTGGGTGGCAGAGAGAATGCTAGAGTTGACCTCGGAATCGGGCTTTGGCCTGGGTGTGGAAGCCGCGAGGGCCTGAAGCTACCATATCATCAAGGATTTTGATGTCGAAAGGGTGCTGTTGGTGGCCAAACACAAACTTCAGACCATGGCTAACGACACCAAGGGGTAGTCATCAGCTACATATACATGCAAGTAGAATATGGTCTGGACGACTGAAACTTGCACGGGACTTAGGATCAGGCAAAAAGAGAGTATTTGTTCATGGGTCACCGTTGAAAAATGGATAAGAAGTTCCCAAAGATGACGGGGAGCTGTTGAATAAGATACCATCGTCATTTTCAGAAGAATGAGAAAAAAATGGGCTGCCTCGGGTAAATGAGCATCAAAGCTTGGCAATCGTGAAAGGGCAGTGAGTATTACTGTGCGTATTATTGCTGATGATAATTAGTGCCGCGCAGTCTGAAAAATCGCCATCAGCATCTGACTCCAGGACGACACGACACGGGCAGCGCCATGTGATGGGCGGACTCGAACTACCTTGCTGAGCTTAACTCAGACAGAGAGTTTAGAGGGTTTACCAGGTGAGACAGTCAGTCTGGGCCTGGCGTTGTCACAACGAATAGTTTTTCGCCGGTTGACTGCAGCGAAGGAAGCAAACAAGCGACACGAAAGCAGAACATGGGCCGAGTGGTTTTTTGGCAAACTGATATGGGAATGACCAGAAGACTGCTCAAAATGGGAAGCCACAAGGCGCAGGGTTTGAGGGCGCGCCTCTTTTCACAGCAAACTGCAGACGCCACATCGAAGGCCTGGTGACCAGGGCGATGGAAAGGCCTGACTCTCGGTGTCAACGTAGGGATTCCTTGTTTGTGTACCGGTATCTCGATCATGAGGGGTTTGGGAAGCGTTGGACAGCAGGGCAAGTTGAGGACCTACCGCCGATACACCAAAGCGACCATGTGGGCGGTTGGAGGGCACGAAACTGTGAAGTGCCCACCCGGCACTGGTATCTATATGCGCCTGTTATAGCTTGCCCATTGGAATAGTGTGTGTCCTGTTGAAGTTTCCCGCCCCATTGAGGTTCGCAACTGGTCTTCCGTGATTGTGCTTTCGTGGACTCCATCGCACACGCAAGACTTTCTGGAGTCTTTGGAGTCAAGTGCCTGGCAATTGATGCCTCTTGCAAGTTCCCGGCATGAGCTGGTGATCTCGCTTGAATGGTCTTACGTGCGTTCTTTCTGCCTTGTTAATAGCCGCTCATTGGCCAGAAGAACCCGATGCATTTAGGCGGGATGCATTTGTCAGAGCCACAGAACGCAGTACCGATTGGATCGCTACCGAGGTCTGCAACATCTATTGAGAGTCGGCATATTGCTTCTGTCTTGGCCCGAGAAATGAGCGCAAGGGATGGGTAAGAGAAGCAGGACCAACGCAGCTATACAGAGAGTCCAGGAACTAGAATTTCCCACGACATCGTTTGCCGGATTTGTCGAGTCTGGCCTGAAAGTTGGGCACGGGTCTCCGATGGGCAGTTCTTTTGGTTCACGAAGGCTTTTACGGCAAACCATGGAATAGGTGAAGTAGCGGGCTGCGATCTGTGATTCGTGCAGACAGAGTCGGGTCCAGCCAGCGGCGGGCAGGCAAACAACAGTGCAGTGCGTAGACCTCGAAGTCTGGTTGGGCATTGGAACGAGGGGTCCGTCGTTTGCTCTTACTGCGCCGTCAGCCCTCATCTGCACCTCCACGCATCTACGCTGTATTCGTAGTCCATCACAGGAGTCGTGGGCGGCAGGTGTGGACACGATTACTGCGTCCCAGGTTATTGGCACTGCTCGATGTAGCCTAAACCGAGTGTCATGGCTGCGTTCTGCCTCTATTTTCAGCCCGTTCACTCGCCGGCTCAGCCATCAATGGTGGGACTTCCAGCTGCGGCACAGAGGGATAGACGGTGCATCTTGGGCAAACGAACGCATGCAAGGTTGGGTGCGACGACGGCAGGCTCCAGGGATTCTCCATATACCAGACTAGGTAGCTCGGCTAGTCAATCTGGTCAGTACTCAATTCAGAGAAGTCTCGAGGAGATAGAACAATGGTAAAACCCTTGGACTTGAGACTTGAAAGAGGAAGATCGGACCACGAGCCGACAGTGGATTTCTTGTCTCGATTCTTTATTTGTCTCCCATCAAAGGCGGTTTGCGTCTCGATAAGCGACCATGAGATTAAAGATTAACGGCAGCGATTCGAATCCGTCGACTCCGCCATGGAGAAAGCCGCACCGTGTGCTCGAAGATGACGCCTCGGGACTGCATGCTCGATCTGACCGACAAAACGGCGGGCTGCGTGGGGAGATGCAAGATGAAAAGACGCATGGCGAATGAAAAGTCGATGATGCGGCAGTCTGCCTTGGGAAGAGCGTGCGTCAGGAAGGGCGGTCAGAGAAGCAGAAGGTCAACACGTTGAGGCGTTGGCCATGCAGCTACCTAGTAAGGTAAAGGAAAGTATGAGGTGACCAGAATAGTCGATGCCTTTCATTTCTTCCTGTTGCATTTTCCCTTGATCGCTTGATTTGCCATGGATACCTGAGGACTGGGGTTGCCAGAGCGAGGCAAGAAGTGGGAAATGGCAGGAGGCAGGATGTGGAGGCAGGCAGAAGGTGCAAACCGGGAATCAGGCATGGCCTACCTAAGGTAGGTAGGCTCCAAACGCAACTTCAACTCTCCCTCCAAGTGGAAAGGGGTGTCGTATTCCTCTTGGTTCCTTCCATTCTCTCCGGGCTCCCTCCTGGTTCGTTTGCACTGAGGTGCCGTGGCTCTTCCCCTGTCATCTCATCAAGGACGCGACAATTGTCCAAGCCGAGAATGAGATCCAGCCAGGCAACTTTCATCCGATCTACACGTTGGAGCAAGACCTCCGAAATTTTACTGCCGCCAGTGCTACAGCGTGGAAGTAAGGCATTCCATAAGGTAGGGCAGGCAATGAGGGTGCAAGAAATTTTATCCGTCTTATTCATCTACCCTCCTCACAATGAGGCGCATCTAGGTACCTACCTTACTTGCTTCGCTCCCCACGACACCATGGTACCTTGCCTTACCTTATCCTCGGTCACCCAGCGGCTCCTGACGAAGCCGCTGACTGAGGTCATCTCATGTGGAACGTGGAAGAGATTGCTAGGTGTTGGCACTTTACTTGCCACTTAAGCTTCTCGTTCCCGGAAACATCAGTAGCAAGCATCATGTCAATCTTGCTCTTGTGCCATCGGGGCCTCGTTCCATCTGCCGAGCTCCCTCTCCCTCGTCAACGGTTTTCTTTTTGTTTGCCCGGGCTACGTCCATTTGACTGCCACCCTGCCCAGCCCTGCCCAGCCCTGTATAGAAAAGAGACTTGCGCCGACCTGCAGCTGCATGTTTGTAAGGTTGCATACATCGTGTCTGGCAAGGACCCGTTCGTTGGGCTTACAGTGTGGCAGTCGTGGAGAAACGAAACAGGTTGAGGCCTTGCATCATCTTTGCCCTACAGATACTGTGTCTGAGACGTTCTCGCCGGACCGTTGTACCGTCTTACCGTCTCGCTGTCGTACCTTTCCGCCATCCAACCCATGTAGTCCAATGCAACCCATATTCCTCCTCGCCAGTCCATATCCATACTTGCGCATTACATCGTGCGCTATCATTTCCCATAGGCAGGCGCCCCAGCACCCCGCGTGAACAAGGTTGTAAACATTCATGATTTTGAATGCCCGCCCTCAGGGTCGATGACATCAAGTACACCGGCTCCATCCACCAAAGTAAGGCCTGTTCGGTCGAGGCAGGGTACCTAGTAATTCACCCACATATGCCCGTTCGTCCTCCTCCTTCCCACCCCCCGAATCCACCTCCACCGTGCCTTCCCTCCACAGTGCTCTGTTTTGACTTCATCTCTTGGCAACCGCCTCCGGACGTATACGCTCCTCCCCTGTTCCCCTTCTCTCCTTCTCCGGTACTTCCCCTTTATCCCCGGTCCTTCATCGTGCCCAATCATTTCAACTCAACCGCGCAACCACACCATCTACTTCCTGGATATTCCTCCCTCGTGTCGACACTTCCAATTCAAGCCATAACTCTTTTGATATTGCCGCCAGTTCCAATCAGAGAAGAATCCCGTCGCACCTGGCTCGAATCGGGAACCGTGACAGCTTCCTAGCCTCTCCTCATCCTCCGCATTCAAACGTCTTTTGTATTTTCTCTCACCTGAAAACCCCTTTGACGCCTCACAGAAGATCCCCTCTCATCTCAGTTGCGGCTCGCCGTCGATATTTCAGCCCATGTCACTTCCTCTTCTCCCGTTCTCGTTCGTGTAACCTCTCCTTGCGTCGGCCCTGCTCCCCGTTCCAAGCGAGCATATCCGCAGTCGGTCATGCAGCGTCTCGACCACATGTGGCTACTAGTCTGGGCTGTCTGAGATTTATACATGATCTCGCCTTCTCTTCGTTTCTGACCTCTCGGTTGTCCCCTTCTCAACTACGCTTTAGTCTTTTCATCCTGCTTCAAACCTCGGCTTCTCCAGTGCTGCAGAGGCCAGCAGCTCGTCACACAGAGCTGCCTTCCAGCAACACGGCATACTGCTTTGGCCTTTTGGCCCTCGAGGCCTGTAATGCATGCCGACCAATACTCTCCCCTCCTTGCGTCTCTGTCGTTTCTTGTCAGCGACGAATTTTCGCTTCCTCTTTGTGCCACGCCGGCCGTTTGTGCCACCTCTGCCGTCACTTCGACCACCGCCTACGCTTCATCTTTCGGTCCTTTCAAAAATACATCAAGGTGGCCGAGTCTTTCCGCATTGCAGACTGCATTTCAGCTGCCGGGAAACGGAGGCAGGTATGCTTGCAGCTCTTGACCTAGAATGCGTTTTGCTACGCAGAACACGAATATCTTCGAAGACTGACCTTTTTATCCAGCCTGCGGTCGAATTGCTGCCTTGTTCGTCAGCTTGATCGTTTACCAAAGTCGCTGAAGCACAGCGGATCGAGCATCTTCATTCCCAACTATAACCATGGACGGACCGGAAGGACCTATCGCCGACATGGGGGGAAAGGTTCAGACTCTCAGCCAGCCTCAGGTCGACGTTATTATCGCTCTCGAAAGAATTGGAGCGTCCCTGTCGTTGTTTGGAGTCACCCTGATATTCATCACCTACTGGAAATTCAAGCGCATTCGAAGTGTTCCAAATCTTTTCATCGTCTTTGCGTCTCTTGCCAATGTCGGCGCTAGCATTGCTTGCGCCATGGGCTACGATGGCATGCGCGCTGGGGCAGAATCCGCTCTCTGTCAGGCACAGGCGTTTTTGCTAGAAATGTTCGTCTTATTCCCTCAGTCTTCCTTTTGGCAAACGGTACTGATGGATCGATCCAATAGGTTCATGCAATCTGACCCGTGGTGGTCTTTCGCCATGGCTGTGAACGTCTACCTCGTCTTCTTCGCCGGTGCCAATCCTTCTTCTTTCCGACGCTACATTGGGGTCTACTGCGCCATATGCTTTGGTTTCCCCTTGGTCCCGGCCATTGTTTGTCTCGTAGTCCGGCCTCGTGGTCCGCAAGACCTTATCTACGGAGATGCAACAGTATGTAAATTCCGCTTCACGATCACCAGAGGGAAACCCGGGACTGACTTCAACAGATATGGTGCTGGATAAACCATGATTGGTCCAAGCTTCGAATCTTCACTTACTATATTCCCATTTGGACCTGCATTGTCGGTTCGTGTGTCATTTATTTTGCCGTCGGCTACCATGTTTTCCATCACCGCAACCAACTACACAACCTCACCTTCAGCAACACTGTGAGAGACTGCAAAGATATATCTTGCTCAGATGAGCGGGACTCGGCAGAAAAGGTATGTTACCAAGCACGTGCAGATACTCGAAATGATCGGCCCTGCACTGACACGTCCCAGAATCTCACCAGTCGTACCGAATACTACGGAACCGCCGTGACGGATATTCAAATTACAACAATGACACCCAGACCTTGGACTCCTCAACAACCACCAACCGCCATAAAGAAGGGGTCGGACAGCCAAGAGCCTCGACACCAGCGATCGTGGCGTACAAGTGAAGAGGAAGGTTCGCCAAGTCCTCGCTTCGAGACCACGTGTACATCGAATCCTCCCCCGCCGAAGCCGCAGCGATCTGTTTTTCAACGAATTGGACGTGTTCGAACAAAATTTTCAGACAGATTGGAGCGCCTAGATCCTGTCAAGCTTGCATACCTGCGGACAAGTTTCATATTCGCTATCTCTGTCTTGGTGACGTGGACACCAAGCTCGATCAACAGAGTAGTCAACCTTCTTAAGCCTGAGGTAGTCAGCTTTGGCTTGAACGTCGCCAGCGCCACGGTACTCCCACTTCAAGGCGTTTGGAATGCCGTCATCTTCTTCATGACCAGTTGGACGACATTCAAAGAAGAGTGGAAGGACATGCGCGGTCGTCATCAGATCCGACTTGGAAGTTGCGACACTGAAAGTCGTCAAGGCGGAGTCAGGATCGAGGTACTCCGAAGCGATCAACACGACCGATTGAGAAACGGTCGCTTCGTTCACATGAAAGCCATTGGTAGCGACCAAACAAGTGAGCTCGAGCTGACGGTGCCATCAGGTGTCGGGAAAGTCAGAGCAATGAGAGGATCTTTTAGTATATGATACCCTGATTGTATCCATCAGATGGTTGAGTCTTCAAACGATGAGAGATTAATTTCCGAGAGACACTCTCTGGTTGTGGTTGGGGATGACTCAGGATGTCGATATGGTGAATGCCTTGGGGGCGGCAAACACTCGAGCGGGACTTTTTGACGGGAGGGATACCAACATAGTAGTACATTCACATTTTGCGGGAAGTTTTGGAATTGTTTATTATTCGGATGCGCAGCGGTCGGTCACGCGCACGATCCAAGTATTTGCACACCGCCTGACGATGTCAGCGACACACAATTTAATCAAGGCAAATGCCAGTCTGTTTTGAACCAGCAATGGTGCCGTACTACATAATCTGTAAGTATTGTCTGGCCACTTTGGGTGGCTGCTCAATGTGAAAGTCGCCTATCTAGGAAGTTTTAGTCAAGCCACCATTTGATTGTCTCCTTTTGTGTACTCTTGCCATGATCATCAGCAAAAGTCCTTAGCAGAATGAGTGATCTTTAATGTAGCTTCCTCGTGCCCTGAGCAAGACCATTAGACCAGTGGGATCAGCAGCCACCAATTTGATAGTCTTGAACGCCTCGTAAACATGTATTATTTCTACCGAGACAAACATAATGTCCAGTCGATATGGAAGATCCAAATCTGTCGCAGCTCATGCCGGTGGGGGAAGTTACTCAATATTACGAGCTCCAGGTTCATGCGTTTCTACTAAGGATTCGTGTCACGAGTTATGGCACGCAGCAATGGGCCCATCAAGTGGGTAGAGAGTGGTATATATCCACCCAAAGTGAATGAGGAAAAGATAAGACGCTGAATATCGAGTGATTGTCAGGGCCACGTGAGAATGCACGTGGTAGACAGCTTAGTATGTGCTGATACTAGTCAGGTTTCGTGACAATACACACTGTGGCGCAGTGATAGTCGTTAACAGTGAGTGGTGTCTGGTGTTCTGCAATATGGAAATTACAAAAAAGGGAAAGAAAAAAAAAGGGTTTGAGGTTATCACCACTGGTTCGATTTCATGACATGGCACCGCCCTGAACGACTTCTGCAGGGAATTTGAGGCTGATTAGAGAAGAGATGGGAGCGAATTCTAGGAAGGCGGCACAATGCACATATGGTATTGCTCCAGCCGACTTGGAATCGAGAGTAAGGAACGAGGGACGGTCTTGTGGTCGATCCAGGAAAAGGGAGAGCGCAATGGTCTGTATTGCTCTCGCAGGATGGTTAGGTGGCAGTTTGGTTCATGCTCTTCGGGTGATGTTCCACTTATTCTCGGAGTGAACCCGGAAGTGTACTTGAATTACCTGAGTGGACCGAGTAGTTAGGGCGCCCCGCGCCCCACAGTTCTACCGCCCAGCCCGGCACCGGCAGCATCAAACAACGTCGGTGTAGGTCCACCTCCCGCCTTTCACAGAGTAGCAGAAAAATAGCGGTCTGACTTGCGGAATAACATATTCATATGCTATTCAAGTCCCAAGGCTTGAAAAGGTGAACACACATGTTCATTTGAAGGAATATATGTACCTCGTCGTTAGACTGACGACAATGGGTAATATGTATACACAAGAAGAAGTGGTAGAGCGTGCCATGTACAGCCAAGGGTTTTCGATATCAACCTAGGGTCCCTTTCAACCCCCTAACATCCCCAATGCAGTTGCATGAACGTTCAACAAACGCAGCAACCTGCCAGACGGCGAATCTAGTAAACTGCAGGAACGAGCGAGTTGACGTAGATTTCGAGGTTCGTATAGCCGCCAGCGCCAATCTTCATACCATCAGTGGCGTCATTCGGGTTCAGGCCGTTGGCAGACTCGTAATCGTCGGGGATGCCGTCGCCATCGGTATCCTTCTTGGCCGTACCGGCCGCGATATCGCCGGCGCCACCCATGTCAGCCTCGTCGGAGATGAGTTTGCCGGACTTTCCGTACGAAAGGAGTTCCTTGACCAGAGCAGCGTCGACCGCATCGCGGACGATGGAGGCGCCTGCCTTTGCGGCGACGTGGGCGACGGCATCGGTGGCGGTGAGGACGTTGGCCGGGGCAGGGTAGTCGAAGGCGGTGGTCTGGATGGCCATGTTGGAGTAGCATGTCGTCGAGACGCAGAGGGCGGCGCCGTTGAGAACGCCGTCGCGGTTCGAGTCGTAAAAGTTGTCCTGTACGTAGCCGCGGAAGTTGGCGTTGCCGCGGGTGAAGGCCGTGACGGAGGTGGATGGCCCCGAGATGAAGTAGTTGTTGATAATGTTTGTGTAGCTCGCTCCCTCGGAGTCTCCGGCAATGTAGCCGCCTCCGCCGCCCCAGTTGTAGACGGCGTTGTTGATGAAGGAGTTGACGCCCTTAACCTTTGGGTTGCGCGTCTTGTTGTCAATGTAGAGGTTCCTGAAGAGGGACACGCCACCCTCGTTGGTTTGCATCAAGCCGCCACACGAGTGAGTCTCTAGGCCCTGGCCGATGATGGAGTCTGCTATGGTTACATTAGACACGTCCCCGTTGATACTGAAGGTCTCATCTCTTCCCCACGTGACGGAGACGTGGTCGAAGATCATGTTCTTGCCATCGGCAATGGTGATGGCGTCCTTGCCGGAGTCGCCTCCCTTTCCCATACGAATTCTGATGTAGCGGACAATGGCATCATTGGCATTGGACCAGGAGAAGCCGTTTCCGTAGATCGTGATACCCTGGCTGGTGTTAGTTGGTCGTCGGTCATCCCGAGTCACGGTCCCGAGATCCTCGACTTACACCTCCTGGAGCTGTCTGTCCAGCAATGTAGATATTTTTTGACACAACGATTCGGGCGTCAATCTTCACGACACCGCCTACATCAAAGACGACAATTCGGTTGGGTTGAGAAACGGCATCGCGGAGGGATCCCGTGCCAGAGTCGCTGCGGCGCACGATAAAGTCAGAGGGAGAGTCTGACCTAGAACATGAGGACCAAGTAGGCCACAGCTTACTTGAGATTGGTCACTTTGTACACATTTCCCGTACGGCCACCGATCGAGTTGCGACCGAATCCCTCGGCGCCAGGGAACGCAGAGGGAGTGGCATTGGCACGGGCAATCACCTTGGCCGGGGTGACGGCGGTACCGGTCCAGCCGGCGGCGGGCAGAGCAGCCACGCCCTGGCAGAGAATGGCAGCCATGGCCAGCAGGGTCGTGGGAGCCTTCATGGTCGGATTGTCGGCAGAGGAAACAAACGATTGGCATGCGTGGGGGTGGTAAAGAAGCGGAACGGAAGCGATGTACCAGACAGTCCGAAACCAAACAAAGGAGTTCCAGTACGGACAACTTTTGGCGAAAGAAAAAAAAAGACGGTTAGAAAGAAGCTATAACAAGGGGGGTGGATGGAAACGGCACGCGTAGCAGAATACTAAAGCAAAGCGACAAGATCCCAAGAGGAAAACCCCCGTGAGAGGGTCCCGGGTTTAGTTTTGTAGGTCGGTCTGCCATGTTGCACTCTCGATGGACAGCTTTCGCGGTGATGATCCACCGGGGAGGGTGGTGTGCGGTGGTTGATCAGGGGGCCTGCTACCACCCATGATCCTTCTTGCCCTGAAAGCAACGGGAATTGGAAAGGGGCGTGTATGCACATGGAGACGTAGGCCGGCGCCTGTTGGTCTTGCTCGGCCGTATGGCGGCCGTGGATGCTGGTTCAGGGATGCTTGGCCGGACGGTAGAGATCGTTGCACCCTTGCGTTTGATGTATTATTCCGTTTCCATTGATCTATACCCGCTGATCACCTCCTAATTTGGATTCATATACAGAGTAGCATGATTTTGGAATCCATTAAGCATTGCCAGCCTGCCTGATACGGACGGCGATTGCATCCATCCGGAGAGATGCTGGGGCGATTGGTGGGAAATGGGCAGAAAGTTTCGAGGTCGAAATTGGACGGCGGACGGTAGGCGTCCTCCGAAACGGGCAGAATTTGTGGGGAATCCCAGCCGTCTGTGCTGTTTGGGCGTTATTGAAGGGGCAGAGGACGGGGCCACTCGGAGCCGGGGTGAGGGTAGCCCACACCGTACACGGCGGGCGGCGGAGGATTTTCCTGCGGGTTGTTTTTTTCAAGTTGATGATGGTGGCCGGAGGTTTGTTTTGGAGTGACATGGTGGACACGGTATCGTTTGCGAAATACGAGGCGAGGTGCTACTACATTGTAGAGCCTGGAGGCCGAGTGAGATGGAATACCGGTAGCTCACAATGGGATGCTTTTCGGCTGGATCAAGCCGCTGGTGACTTTCCCACCCGTCAGATGTCCTTCTCGAGAGTGCCTTTGATGAGGTCTCCAAGTTTGTGACGCGACCTCGAACGCAGGCTCCCTCCAAGAATAAAAGTCGAGCATCGGGACATCTTCCTCCCATGGCCTACTCTCTGCCTTTTCGCAGTCAAGACCGAGGTGGCAGAAGATGCCAGGCGCTTGGAATTTGGGCAGGTTTCATCTTCATCTCATTGTCGCTCCTCCACGACAGAACACAAAGGACCAGCTCATGCAGTGAGCCTCGAAGCTCGCGTTCAGAAAACAGCCTTGAGCAGGTATTTACCAGGACTACCTGTGACCTGCCATCTGAACTTACTTCAGACGCTGTGGCCACTGGCCAGTGACGGTGGCTCCTGCATTCCTGTGACTGAGTTCCTCATTCCGACAAACTTCGGAATCTGGGCGGCTAGGCCTTACTTGGCTCATTGGCGCAAAATTCAATTCATGAGAGCAGAGGGTAAAGAACGCGGCGATTGGTCTCTTCGCCGAAAAAAGTGCCGGGGGATGCTTGGGGCTTTCTTGGCCCAGGCGAGTGAAACGGCAGCATGGAACTGAAGCGCTAGGAGATCTCCCAAAGCGAGCGCGCAGAGAGTTGCCTGTCTGACGGGGACTGGCGATGTCGGAGGGGGAGACGTTGCGGTCAAAGGAATACCATCCCTCCACCCCCCAGGGGGCAATGCAAACCTTTTCAACCGCTGTGTGTGTCACGCGACGTTTGCGTGAGTCACGTGGCGGAGAGACCTCTGAGCCTCGACTTCATCTGTCTTACACATTGGTCGGGCGTAGTGAGACAGCATTCCTTCGTTGTACATAGTAAGGTGAGAAGCTGGGGCACGTTGTCTTCAGACTCGGGCGCGTCGATCTTTCAGGCACGAGAAACAGCCACGTTGATCTGCTGGGCGACTCGTTGGGATTTATACGTGTTGGCCGAGGCTCATAGTTGGTGCCTTGTGGAGGGAGCTTTCACGGGGAAAGTGGTGCTTGCGAGTCAGGAAGCTAGAGCCACTAGGTATCCGTATGTGTCTGAAGGATGTTGCCCAAGGTGAGGTAGGACAACAGGTGCTGAAGAATTTCAGAGTGGATATCAGCGCATTTCGCTAGGTATTTCAACGACAGAACTCCAGCGCTCAGCGGTGTTCGTAAGTCGGAAGTTCCTGGAGCCATGAGCCAGATACTTCCCGGACAGCCTGATGGATGCGGAGGCGCAACCTGCCGCACTCATCCGAGTACCTTGTCATCTTGGAATGGGAAATCAAGAGAGCCCAAGTGATGGCGGCGTTTGCCGGTCGGCCGTCGCCTACCCCTCACTTCGGCAATGGCACTTGACGCCGTGGATTGCGTCCAAGGGTTCCAAACCTCGACTTGACGGTCATGATTCACAATGCAGATTTATGCATTTCAAGATATCGGCACGTGAGAAAGCTATAGGATAGAATGATTGAAATAAGAAGAAATTCTCATCACTGACACCGTAGAGAAGAGCCCCGAAGACGGAGACGCCGTGCAATTCCACCATGGGCCCAGTTGTCTTCCGTACAGCCCCTCCAATCACAGAGCATCCCGCAGTGGGGGGTAGCTGACTAAATCCTTTCGGCCAGCCCCGCCAACCCCTCGATGAGAAGCACCTGCAGGCTGTAGCACCACTGCGACGAACGCCGTAACGCCGTAACGCCGCAACACCCACGCACGCACTCCGAGTCTTCCATTCTACCACGGTACCACCCAGCAGCGCAGAAACTAAGGTACCTAGGTTAGACGAAACGAGATATTTTACCCCCCCCCCCCCCCCCCCCCCCAAACCCACCCCGCCCGCCCCTCCCCGCCCCCCCCCCCCCCCCCCCCCCCCCCCCCCGCCCCCCCCACGGAGGAGAAAAAAAAGGCTCCAGTGTAGACGACAACACACATTTTACCCCCCCCCCCCCCCCCTTCCCAAAAGGCAAGTCGCAGTGTCATTCTTAATCTTAGTCACGCAATCCCCGACCGGAAACTAGAACTCCAAACACACCCCTCAACAACCAGAAACGTTCTTTTCCACCGTCGTCCCAAGAAGAAAAGGTCACTGTCCGATTGCCAACGACATTTGTTCTGCGAAAAGGTACGTTTTTATCACGTTTCTTCTGCCCAAGGTCTCATCAACACATGACGTACATGGCGCAAGGCTGACCAATTTCACCTCTTTTCTTCACAGGCAGATTCCGTCATTCCCCGTCCCTCCGCCTCGCTGCTGCCTATGACCTAGGCACCGACCGAACCGATAGCCGCGTCCCGAGACACCGAACCCCTCAAGGAAGATCACGGAGCCCCCGCCGACCTTCCCTTAGCTCCTCCGTCCTCCCCATAGTCGATACCACTTCCTTCTCGCATCGGCCTACTATCCGAACAGTCCCAGGAAAAGGAAAAAGAGTTGATGAGAGCTGGTTTCCGGCTTTTCTCGCCCCCCGCGTATTACCACCGTCCGCCGACCCCTCCTCTCCGGCGTCTCAGCACGCCGCGCAACGCTCACACCACCATCGCCGCGTCCGCCGCCGCCCATCCGCGAAACCTCACGATGGTCGCCACCCCCGAAGAAATCGAGGCCATGGCCCCCCCCGGCTACTCCTTCCCAGAGCATCGCCTCCGCCTCCAGCAATCCGAGCCCGACCGCGAGCCCCTCGTCCTCGTCGCCCCGGGCTCCTACAGCCCCATCACCTTCCTCCACCTCCGCATGGCCGTCATGGCCGCAGACTACGTCCGCTACAACACAAACTTTGAGCTCATCGGCTCCTACCTGTCCCCCGTCTCCGACGCCTACAAGAAGCGTGGCCTCGCGCCCGCCTGCCACCGCCGTCGCATGTGCGAAATCGCCGCCGAGCAGACATCCCGCTTCCTCATGGTCGACCCCTGGGAGGCTGAGCAGACGGCCTACGTCCCTACCGCCGTCGTGCTCGACCACTTTGAGCACGAAATTAACGTCAAGCGCGGCGGCTGCAATGGCAAGCGTGTGCGTATCGCCGTGCTCGCCGGCGCTGACCTGATCAACACCATGAGTCAGCCGGGCGTTTGGTCGCCTTCCGATCTGAGACACATCCTCGGCGACTTTGGCGCCTTTGTGCTCGAGAGGGCTGGTGTGAATATTGATGAGGCCCTCGGTAACCTTAAGGAGTACGAGGACCAGATCTACTACATCCCGCAAGTCGTTCCCAACGATGTTTCGAGTACCAAGATTCGGTTATTGTTGAGGAGGAATATGAGCATTGACTACGTGAGTTATAAGTCCCCAATGAATAATCCCCCTTGGCTCCCGACAGCATTTGCTAATATGATTATAGCTCATTCCTGCTGAAGTCATCAAGTACATTGACGAGCACGGTTTGTACAATGAAGATGATACAGCAACAAATGAAAAGGGCAAGGAGAAGGAGGTGCAATAAGAAGGAATTTCCCGGGTTTCAAATGTTCAACCAATAGTGTTCAACTCAAACATCCTCATGGAGTTTGTAGAAAAAGAGGAGAGCGAGAGCGAGAGCGAGAGAGAGAGAGAAATGACCAGATCCAGACGAGACAGAAAGATCAAGAGTAAAGAGAAGGGGAAAGGGAACAACTGGCGTGGTTATCAGCGTTTGGGTTTTACGAGACGATGGCAAAGGGTCTAAACATTTCATTATTGTTATTTTTTTCTCATGGGTTTAATAAGGTGCATCGGGCGGGCTTCGCTATGAAGAGAGAGATATGCATATATCTTGAACTATAGGGACTTCTCCCATTGAACAATCAGAGTCCCCACCCCTCGGGACCAACGAGGGGGTTACCGCATTCGTACCAACCCTCGTCTTTTAAACTCTTTACTCGTGGCCGTTACGTGACAATCAGCGTTCAAACCGCCGGCCACAATGAGGAAGCCTGTCCGCAGGAGGGCGGAATAGCACAAGACCGCCGGACGTAGACTGCAGCGCCAATACATCCAAGCCCAAGCGACTGACGAAGGCCCCTGGTGGATGTCAACTCAGCTGTCCGGGAACACAATATGTTCTTACTATATTCTTTCCATACAAAGTCTTTTTGAATGCGCTTGTCTTTGGTTGCTTTCATGATCATTGACTGCACACCCTCACGCTTGTATGCAGTGTTTTATTCTCCAATGCTAAACCGCCGAGACTTCCTCGAAACCGTGTAATAGGGATTCAGCAGAGACATAATTGCCGTTCTTTACGGTCCAGGCGATGATCCACCAGATTGATGACCATCAAAAATACTTCGCGGAAACAGGGTTTGTTACTTTAAGAGGAGCTTCGGGGTCGGCAATGCCCATTACAGGGGGATTGAATCTTGGTCACTAGATTTGCCAGAGGATGCTTTCGTTCTCGATGTCATCGTTCTGTCTTCCTGAGCTATCTATCTGAGGTTATGATTATCTTTGTCCCGCGCAGAGAAGTCGCCATAGCCTGATATGACGCTTGTAGGCCGCAGGCGTTCGTAACTTCCTTCTGTCTCTCATGAATCGTCTTTCATCATAGCAGGTCGTCATGTAGAACTATTGGCAAGAACCTTGAAACCTCCGAAACCCCCAAAGCCTAAGTAGTTGCTTCAATTCTACTCGTCTTCCTCGGCGAGATAGCGGCGCCAAATGGAGCTTCTGATAGCGGCCAAATCATAGTCTCCAAGATGGTTGTCGTCCTCGTCGAGATAATCATGGTCCTCCTCCTCCTTCACAGGCTTCCAATCGTAGTCGTGGTCAACTTTCAGGACTCTCCTACCACTATCAATATGAACGGGAACCTTGAAGATGATCTTGTATGGAAGGCCAATCCCGTCCGGGGTGACAAGGATGGTGACAATCAGGTAGTCGCGGCCGCCCTGGGTATGCAGATACTGCATGGTGATCTGGTAGCAGGAGACGTCGGTGAAGCTGTGCTGGCCGGAGATGTTGTAAGCGCGGTCAGCGCCAAAGAGCTGGACGTTGTCGCCGTTGATGGCGTAGTAAGGCTTGCACAGCATGGCAAACTTGCAGTTTTGAGCGTTGCTGAGATTGACCATGTTGGATACGCCGTTGTGGAGGAGAATAGGCGGGGCGCGTCCCATGTTAGGTATGTCCGGCGAGGACACGGCAAAAGCGGCACCTTCATCTAGGAAGTCGCGGACAGACTTCGTGTGCGTGATGGCCAGGGCCGCGCCTCTGGCGATAGCAGTGGAACTGTAGCGTCAGGGATCAGCAAAAGTTCTCACATGGGAACAGCCATATCCCATGAAAAGGCTTGCAAGACAACATGGAGTAATTTTACTCACGGGTAGTCAGCCTGGCTGTAGCTGTGGAAGATGCTGAGCTTTGCACCCATCTCCTTGCGCTCTCGAATCTTGGAGTGGAAGGCCTTGAGGACAGCATTGTTATTGAAGCTGCCGCCGGTGACAGCAATGGCAGTCGGAAAGGCACCGACGTCAGCGAGACACTCGTCCATGAGAGACAGGGCCGTTCCATATGCCTCTCGGTAGAGCTTCTTTGCAGCAGTGGTGCTGCACTGCCAAGTGCGCCCTCCGCCACGCAGCTCGAAAGCCCTCTTGCCCATCTGCTTGGCCTTCTGCTGCTCGTCGAAGTGGGCCATCATGCCCTTCACCACAGTCTCCAGCTCGCTCTTGGACAGCTCTCCGCTGATCTCAGATCGAAGAGCCCTCTCAATGACGTGGGCGTGATAATCGACGCCCCCGAAAGCTTCTGTCAGGGGTGTCAGCCCAACATTTTCACAGTTATGGCCGCAAACACTCAACCCACCCTTGATGATGTTGACGCCGCTAAAGAAGTCAGGCTTTCCGGCAATGCCGGCTCCCGACTCATTCCATTTCAGCTGGAAGATGGCCGTGTGCTATTGTCATATCAGTCAACGGTCTGCCTGACGGTAATGGTTTGGAAGACAATGCAAATTACAAGACAATGCGCGCCAAAGTCGAAGACGAGCAGCTGAGAAGCCTTCTGACCATCAACGTTGATCCAGGGACCAGGCTCGCGCAGCAAGTAGTGGGCGAGGGCGTGAGGCTCCTCAATGAAGTGTAACTGTTCAAATAACAAGTCGGGGCAGAGGCTCAGGAGAAGACGGGTGTGAATCATTCTCACACTCTCTTCACCGTTGCTCGTGTAGGTACAGACGGCATCCTTGATGGTATATCCGCCCTGCTCGCAGAAAGAGGCAACAGCGGCTTGGATGGTGTCCATGTACTCATCCACGAGTTCGGGCAACTTTGCCGCGGCCATGCCTACAAAGCGCCCCTCACCGTAGAGGGCTTCGAGCATGTAGACGGTGTAGACACGCTCAGCGACGGTGTCGGGAATATCAACTTCGTAGCTTCCTCCGCGCTCGGCAATGTTATAGAAGAGGAACTTGACCGGCAAGCCTTTGGCATTGTTGCGCATGACATCTTGGCCAGAGAAGGTGTCGTCGAAAAGGCTAACAATCGCAGGGAATTCGCAGCTGTTACTGCCCAGGGGCGCGTCCGGGTCGCGGACATCGATGAAGACGTCATTGTCTTTATCCTTGAAGTAGAGAGTCACACGGGACGACTCAGTTCCCAGGTCAATGGCAAGAGTACTAAGTCGCCATATCAGCTTCAAATATAGTCAGACAAATGGAAGAGGATACTGACACGGGCTTATAGGTAGTCTCGGGCGTGGTATGTCTGGCAGGCTGGACGTTGACGCCAGGGGTAACACTGAAGGAGGGAATCATGGTGGTGATATACCAGACGAGCAACAGCCAGATGAGCGGTATCAAAGGCTGGAAACTTTTGGCGGTGATGGGCAATGTCGTGGATGGGCAAGGTGGTCTGCAGACTTCGGTAATGAAAGAAACTGCTGCAGAATAGAAAAAAAGAAGATTGACTCAGAAAGAGAAGATCCCCGACTTCTCTAAGGGTCAAATGTTCAAAGAGTGCCTCTTGTTGGTGGTGATGGTCTTGTTCCGTGGAAGGCTGCAAAGGAAGGAAGGAATTCAAGAGATACCTAAGAGAGGTGAAGGCCTTCTTAGGGTATTTGTTTTGAAAGGAAAAATATAGATTCCACTTTGTGGGCTTCACCCTCGAAATGAGTCGATGCCGGAAGAGTGTGATAACTAGGGCTTGTCGACTAAGCATTGGTGGCCGGTGAAGTCTTTGGTGGAATATTGGAGGAAAGCCGGAGACACAGGTCCACCAGAGCAGTGGTGATGCTCGAAGTGAATATGAACAGAACAGATTTAGAGACATCTGTGAATGGGATCTGTGTAGCAAAATTGGGTTCGGGAGGTAAAATGTCAGCTTAAACCGTACTACTAGCACACAATGAATCCTTTGGAAATCCCTGGGACCTCAATTGCCAGTTCTTTCTACTAGAACCTAGTAGAAAGAGACAGAAAAAGACCCTGGATAAGTTGCAAAAACAGTTTTTACCACGAGCGTATCAACATCTGCTGCTATCTGTCCGAATCAAAATCACGGGCTACTAGAACCTTGAGAAATCAGAGGGATGTGACTATGAATAGTGACAAGCTAGTCGATCCACTACGAAAATCATATAAATGCAATTGCTAATACTGTTTGCTTCATCTTTGGAAACATAGACAAGTACAGGTATTAGCCATATGGTCCATCTCCATCAATCTTAGTTAGATTGGCGTTTAGACCATACTTGAGTATATTCTGGGGGAACTCTTTCAAATGCTATGCTATGCTGCGTGATTTTTCCAAATTTTAGATCAGATGTTGTCTTTGTGGAAACATTACTACTATCCAAAGCTAGGTAGCTAGCATCTCACCTGTAAACTCTCGGGGTTTCTGTGATCTCAATAATCGAGGATTAGTACTATTATGCATATTTTGAAGATGATCATGGTAACTTGACATTTATTTTATAACATCCCCTAAGAAGTGAGAGGATATAGACGAAACTTTTCTATACGTTGGAATTAGCACTCAGAACTCGTTACGCTGTGACCATTGTCTTGAGTGCGAAGAGCCCCTGAATTCGCTGCTACACTTTCTAGGCTTTAGTTGAGGACATACGCAATAGGATTGCTCAAGAAACTAGGAATGGGCATGAAATACGAGGGAAAAGACCACGGTTCTTTGCTTTGTAACGGTATCTATGGAGTTTCGTTCATTTCAGAGACGGGGAGTAAAAGTGACTTATGATCTGTATCACATCTTGATATCTAGATTGAATGACGTACAGGAAAGTCAAAGTGTTTTAATGTGGTGTTGATACAAAATACGGAATGCCCAGAACACTGCAGAGTGGAATCCGCCCTCTCAATCCTCGATTGAACTTGCACGCGGTATCCTGCAGCTGTGTAAGAAACTCCGATAAGGCTCTTGCTCAATCTAATCAGGCAAATCAAATTATCTAATGATGCCAACATTGGCATGTGGTGCTTGATAAGAGAGCAACCAACCATCTAAGGTTTAGCCAGGACACCCAGCACCTTTCAACGTAGCCCGGTACGGCTGCTAGTCGTCTCAAGAGTCTATTCTCAAGTCGTTCTCGTCATCATCAAAATCACAAACTGAACAGCAAGCGTCAAATCACAGAATTAGCACGCATTGTCTCCAACTCTACCCCAGGCGCGAAGACGACATGCAAAGTCCCCCGAACCAATACCCTGTTGACACCTCCTTCTTGAAACTTAGGAGTTGAGTCCGCCGGGGAATTGACTTTCCAATTCACGAGTCACATCAGATACGCACATGCAGCACTCCCATCAAGTCGCCAAGCGGAACACCCACCCACACCCACACACATGCAACACGCGCAAGCCAAAAGTGTAAAAAAAAAAAAAAAAAAAAAGAAGAGAGTCAGCATGACCCCTCAACCATCTCAAACCAGAAGCCATCGTTCCTCGACAACATGCCCCCATCTTGACTCTTCGCACCCTGTCTCCGACCATGTGGGAGAGCGAAGTCGTCATAGGATGACACCGATTCGACCCATTTAGCCTTTTTTCTGCCCATCTCGAAATCTTACTCATCCCATGCTCTGCCTTCCTCGCGGGAAGGTAAAGGATAGCCTGCCATCATCGCCCAACTACACTCACCGCCTGGTAGTCTCATCTCGTCTCAGCGTAGAAACTCAGCGCGAACTTCACTCAAACCCTATTGCATGTTCCGCGCGCTTATCCCACAGATTGCATGTGTATTGTCGTGAAGACAACCTAGATACCGACAACAGCCTACTTCAGCTAATAAACCAGCAAACGATGCCCGCCCACACTAGCCACAAGCAACAGACACTTGGTGTAAGGAGCCGACATATGCGCAGAAAAGGAAGAATCTACATCTTGAGTTTCAAATGGCTTCGTTTTGCGACGCTGTTGACGCCGTTCGGAGGTGGGAAGATCGTTGCCCAGAACAATCGGAGAGTTTTGTTCTGCATATTGGGGGGTTAGCTGGGAATTGGCCGGAGCTAGAGAAGGAGAATCATCCAAGGGACCACCTGGACGAAATCCTCCGAGAGAATACTATCCAGCATCCAGTAATAGACCTGCGTGTCATTGCAGATTTGGAGAAATTGCTAAATTGCTTATTTCCTTCACCCACCTATTGGGCTTAGCTGAGTCAAGCTTTTCGACCGAGTACCACGTTGAGTACCGTTCGACGTTGCACTTACAACTGGACAACCACTCGACACCAGATTTTTCCTTATTCACATGCCGGAATGATCCATACGACTGGTGGCAGAACTTGCAATAAAGTTTCATTGCCCGGAGCACAGAGGGACTGTTAGTAATTGGATATGGGAAAACCCGGAAGTTGAGGGGCTAATTGCCATTTGGATTCGAAGCTGGGATTCGAAATCTTGGCTTGCCGATACCCCCCAATTCCTGGAAATCCACGTGGGGTCGTAGGATTTTAGTTGAGAAATTTCCCAGTTTCTGTTCCCAGTTTCTGTGTACTCTTTGTACGCGGAGTCGACGCAGATCACAACCCGTCACGTTACGCCAAACCCCCCTTCCCCAACGCGTTCTTTGGATCCATTCCTAGCAATAATGGATCTCTGCAACAGGAATTTCTGTGGTCCGGTTCAGCACCCGGACGACCCCCGAGGACCAGCGCTGCACGTGAGGTACAGATGATGCCTCTTGCCCGAACGCCGAGAAAGGATCCGACGAGGTAACGCTCAGAGCGGAAGCGGCGACCAGATACATGGAGTTGGTGCGGAGTTGGTCGCCATCCGAGGTGGCACTGGGACGTCCCTTGACGGGCAGAAACGCAAACCTGCTCCAATCGCCTCGTGGCAATGGAAGAAAAGCGCCGAAGAAAGCTGAGCAAAACGCACAAGGCCCCATGGTACCGGATGGCCAAAGACCGTCGATGGGCGACGACAGTAACACGATAAACGGGGACTTGCGAAATTGCCGGCGCCGCCTCCGTCGGCGACGGCAGCGAGTCTGGAACCAACTCGCAAACTGGGCTTTGGTCCCCGGGAAGAACCAAGAAACGAGTAGATTGCGCGTCTACGGCCATAGGAAGTCGCCGTCCGGTCTCACCTGACCCGCTCCGTGGCCCCGGCTTTCATGCCGTCCGGGGCGTGCTTGTGTATGTGTGGTATGTGCTGCACCCAATCTCAACACGCAGGACGAGGAATAGCCAGGTACCACGGATGCCTATTTAGGGTGATTGTAAGTCTGAGAGCCTGAGAAAGAAGAAGGGGATATAATGAATAGAAGCGTGTGATAAGGGGACCTGCGCGGGGTACGAGACATGGCACACGAAAATGCAGGGAAGCAGTTGACACAGGTGGGCGGCCAGAGGAACGGCCATGATCCCACCGCCATGTTGCCGTCGTCGGTGGCCCACAGGATATCCGTAGTCTCTCCCCGGCTTGGGGGCGGGGCAGAGCGGCGTGTAGTACGGTGCTATTCTGGCGGCCGAACATGCGAGTGGAAGGCAATAGGAGCTCATCTATTCCAAGGTCGTAAAGGAGTGAGAGAAAGGAGACGTGCTGTCCCTGATATGCCCTGCTGATGAGATGTGAGCAGGCTTCGTGATAGGGTATGGCAGCACGAGCGAGGTTCTAGCGTTGCGACAGCATTCTCCCGGAACCTGAACCGTCCTGTTCCGTCCACGCAGTGAACAGCACTGACATGGCCCCCTGGGATTTCCCGTTTGATGACGATCCCCATGCCGGGAATGCCATTGGTCGGAGACGATCGGCTGAGTCGGGCGTATTGTGGGATCGTCGCCCTGCTGTTCTGAGTGCCGAGCGCTGCTCTTCATGTTGGGTACCGCCGATCGCTTGTGTCATTACCTCGTTGGGAATCTGAGGAGGGGGGAGAGGGAGACAGATTTGGCAAAAGGCTGAATTCGCTGGAAGGGGTCCTCTCCAGATGACAGGGAAGGCGGAAACATTGCGACTGTGACAAACTGGCGCGCTACGAGCCCGGAAGATGGTGGAAATTTTTGGAGACCCTGGGCTTTTGCGAAATGCCATGCTCGCATTCCTGCTTTTTGGAGGCTTCGCCGGGTTGCTTGCGGGACTTTGAAATGGGCACATCCTTGTTCTTCCCAGTCGCAGAAGATGTTAATTTCGAACGCTGACACGGGAGAGATGTTGGAGTCTGGACAAGAATGGATGGATGGAGAACGCTCAAAGGTTGTGCGTTGGATAAGTGGATTTGGATTGAGATTCTGCGGTGGAGCGGTCGTTCGTCCAACCATTGGCGACCCATCGCCAACACACGATGCAGCGAGAGTCAGACCGCCTGACGATATGCACGGCACGCCATGATGATCCGTCCGTTCACCTTGCCCGTTGTACGTGACTGTTTGAGACGCGAGTATCGAAAAACAACGGAGAACCGGGGGGGAGGGTGGGTGGTGGTGAACGACGATGATCAGCTCCTTACCAGCGGTGTCACCTGAGCGAGTACGAAGATCTACTGTTAGCTTCAACGAACGGAGCATATCGACCGCAGACCTAAGAGAAGCATATTCGCAGTAATACAATTGGGTGAAGCCTTTCCCATCCAGTCAGTTACGAGCAAGGCGTTCAGCTTGCCTCGAGTGCAAGGTTGAACCATGGGAGAGAAGCCTATGGAAGTATCTGTAGCGATTGAGAAATAGGATCGTTTGTTGCTCTCATGCGGGGAGTTGACGAGGGCTCCCATGTTGATACTGCGTATTGCCCACTGCTTCCTCTGTCCAAGAGCGTTAACCTGTGGTTGAAGTTGTGAAACGGCGCCGGTGACAGGCGGGCAGAAGGATTGACTCGTGGTTTGTCGGGGCCAGGGAGACAGGCTGCCATCTGCTGCATGGCGAGAGGCAAAGTTGAGGGAATGAAGCAAACGATATGAAATGAGAGACGAGTATCGGCCGCTGATCCGATGACATCACTCGGCCGATGTCAGGGGCTCCGGGGGTACCTTGTCCGAGACCACTCTCGGTGTGTCAGGTTTCCTGGTGCTGGAGGAGAGTTCACAGCCTGTGAGATGCGACGGTTGTGGCGCTGGGATCACTCTTGGAGGCGCAGACAGGCTGCGGGGGCAGTCGTAGACTGGAAGGAAGAAAGGCAAAAAGTTTGGATTTGAGGCCTGGCAGCCTGGACTGAACCGGGAGGAGAATAGAGGGGGGGCAGAGGTAGTAGCCCTTGACCCTGAATAAAGCGAAGCGAGAGAGAAAAGAAAAAGGCTTCCGAGATCTCAGTCCGTCTTCCGGGGTCCCTGCATCAGAGACACACACAATCGATATGCCTCTTTCTCCCTCGACTATCTATATTGGGATTTTCCATTGTGGTCAGCGTATGCTAGTGCAGCAAACAAACAGGCAAGCAAACAGCTTGCTCTCGGTTACCTGGCCGGTGAGCCTTTCCTTGCCTGTTCTGCCTTGAGCTGCCTTCTTCGTCCCTGTTACGCGGTGCTCCCCACCACCTGTCCTAGTCGGACCCGTGGCGCTGGCCAAGCTAATGTAGTGTGCAACAAGTAATCCGTACATCCTGTACAACGTCGCGTTGAATAGAACTTGGGTCCGGCGGTTGTTCTAATGTAGGAACGGGGCCGAGAGGGTCCTGTGTGGGTGGGGAGTCACTGGAGAACTGAGTTTTGGGGGCCTGCCGTACCGATACACAGTACTCCATAGTGGGAGGGGGAAGGAAGGGATCCATCCTATCCTTTTTCGCGGAAAGCGGTATCCCGAGATGTGACAGAATCAAGAACGGGATCGTGGCTGCTGGCTGCTGGCGGATGCTGATGTTCGTCGGTGTCTTGGAATAAGCATCGTGGATGCCCAAAGCCGCGCAATTTGGGTTTCCGGTCCTGTAGGATAATGACGTGAGGAGAGTTTTGCTGGCGGTGAAAATAGTTTTTCCCCTCGTCATGTAATTGTCACGACACATTGGCGCTGGAGCAAGTCTCTCTCATCGTCTTGGGAGGATGAAGGCGAAACGGGTGAGAGCGGGACGGTGGCTCCATCGCGAAAAGAAAAGGGTACGGAAACCCCCACCTCGCCAACAACCTGTCGTCGCCCTCGATGCCCCGCACGATTCGTAGCGTGGTGTATAGTATTGCGGATAGCATGGTCCGCTGTAACGCCTGTTGGAACAAGAGAAAGGCTCTTGGCTGACAGAGCAGTCGAGCAGCGACGCCTCATCGGCCTAACTGGCGGGTAGTCGTAGGAGAATCAGAATCCGCTCTTTTGCTGGACACTTTTCTCCTGGCAGAGAAGACTCAGGTGAGGACGGAGAGGGGTGGAGGGCGCCAACGCCGCCAAATCGGCTGCTGTCTGCCGGGAGTGGACAGCAGGGAGGTTCGCGCGCCAGTGAAAGGTCAAGCGTCGAGCTTGGCGGCAGACATAATAACTGTGTGGATACGTAGCCCAAGCCCCGAAGGGATGCAGCTCAGTTCTGAACTTCTGTCATGGATGGCGAAGATCGGGGGTTGTCAGTCTTGACTTTGGAGGGTATGGCGTCACAGGCGCTGATCAGCCAGTGTGGTCCAGCAGGGATTTGATAGCGAAGAGTTAAAAGTATCTGTACTTGTGTAGACATGCTTGGCAGTGTAGAAATGGGTAGATGCTAGAGGTATCCGTACTGCTTCTACAGATATTTGATCTCAGGAGACGCAGGCGGCGGGTGTAGATACTGCCATAGTAGAGCGTAGGCGCAGACGCAGACGCAGACGCAGACGCACGCAGGCGCACGCAGGCGCAGAGCAGACACAAAGGGTCCTATTACTTCTCAGCCCGACTCCTTGTAAATTGTCGCTGGGTTGATTAGAGATCCAGGGGTCCTTGCGGTATGATGGGGAGGTCCTGATACCTATGTCTACCATCCGAATAAGGGGATGTCAGTGGTGACATTGACGCTGAACTGGAGAAGTCTCTTTGCAGGTTGCCTCTGTTCCTACTACGTACACTGGGCGTTTCTTTGCAGACGGGAAAAGAGAGCAGGACAAGGGGAAATGCTGAACAGAAAACAAGACCATTCTCAATCTCAGCTCGGCGCATGCCACATGGAGCGACATCGGCAAAACTCCGCGCCACCTGCCTTGGTGTCTTGTTGCACCCTAATAGTGTGAGCAGGAGGAATTGCAAATAGCAGGGACGGGCTACGGAGTCGTGGAAGTATCGTGAAAGGTTCAGATCAGGGAGACACTGGAGGATGGAAGGAGAGGCCGAGAATGAGGACGAGAAGCCGCCCGGTGAGACAGCAATTGGTTACGGGACGGGAGGTGGAAGCCGGGAAAGAGAGCGGAAGGAGTAGGAGACGGAGGCCTGATCGTGGGATTGAGCTTCTACTAGGTATCCTATCCGTACGTAGTATGTACTGTAAAGACCCGTTTTCCCCTGTTGTCAAATTCCCCAGTACGTACCGAGACGCTGACATGTCCGCTCAGCGTCACAAAGTGTGGGGAAAGTCAGCGTGACATGTGGGCAGAAGAAAGGTGCCTCAGGTCGCTTGGCCAATTATTCAAATTTGCCTTGGTGCGCAGGGCCAGGGACACCGAATTAAAGGACCCGCCGGTGCGGTACGGGGATACTTACCTCGGCCGAGGTACGTACCCGCTCCCATCTTTTCCACGGCGAGGTAGGATCCCTGTCTCGGTGAAAGCGGTAGCCTCCCTGTTTTTTTCCCACGTCTGGTCTTTCCTTGCTTTCCCCATCTTTGCGCCGTTCCTTGCCTCATCGTTCCAAGCCCCAAGGCTTTGCACCTTCCCTTCTGACTGCGCACTTGGACGCTTTTAGCAACCAACGACTTTCAGTGCCTCCCAGCAATGGAAGTAGCCGTAATGGTATCCGTACGGTACAAAGTAAGCTACCTAGGTCCAGTGACCGCAGACATGCGGCACGTACCGCCCCTCCCCCTCTCTGGCATCCGTCCGTCTCAGGCGCAAACAATCACAAACGCACCGTCGCCCTCCGAGGTTGTCGTCAATTTCGAATTCCAACCAGGCCGTGCCACCGTGCCACCGTGCCACCCTGCTGTAATTCTGCTCGGCACGTTTCTGTTTCCATGGCTGCTTCCTGGCTAGGGGCATCATCTGTTTTCGCTCCAAACCATCAACATCCCGTGCTTTCCCTGTATTCACTTCCACTTCCTATTCAACATTATCAGATTGCATGGTTCAGGACCACAACCATCATCTTTCCTGCTTGCATATGGCGGCGGAGTGCGAGTGAGGTAGAATCTTTCTCCGGGTCGCCAACCAGCCACCCTAACGTCCGACACTTGAGAAGCAACCGCGTGGATTACGTCAGCATCAACAAATGGTCAACACAACATCAATCGTCGGCACCACTGGTCGGTCTGTGATACCGGAGCAGCCTTGGCTTCACGATCTCCGATTCGACCCTCCGGTATCCGTAATTCCTCTGGGACTCGGCGGTCAATCATTTGTCACACGGGAGCCGTCCATGCCGCCGCAAACGCAAGCGTTAGTGCGAGCTCATGGCATTCCATTCCTACATGGCTGGCATAATCCACACCGTGCCTCGACACACAGCAACCCACTGGATCACGGCCCTCGCCCTCAGCTGGATCTCCCAACTCTCAGCTTGCCAACGCCAACTCATTAGCATGCTCCAGAGTCTTTGCAGCTCGCACGCACCGTCCAGCTCAATCTAACATCCTCCAGCCCGGGCGGTGTACGGATACACCCAGCTCCGCAATAACTCTCGGAAAACAAGCAAACCCAGCTCCCCTCAGAGACCGAGTTGCAGAGGCAAAACAGCCGACGACACACGCACGGCAACAAAACGGTTGCGATAACATCATCCTTCTCCACACCGCTTCAGCCTGACCGGGCCACTCTACGAATAACATCCAGTCACGGATTCTCTTACTGTCCCGTCCCTGTCGCTGCGTCCCCCTCCCACCCACCCCTGTCGTGTCCATCGTCACTCAACTCGCCCGCGCATACCACGCTCTGTGGCTCCCAAACCCCCGACACCCCCGTTCTGCCTTTGCCGCAGTCCTACGACATTGGGTGGGAGTCTTGCAAGGGCCCCAACCCGATCGACACCACAAAGTCCAACAACGAAGGCCAAAGAAGGCATCCCAGTCTTTGCAACTTGTCCTGAGTACCGCAGATCGCGACAACCTGGCCGCCTGTAAACGTCAACGTCGAACCAAACCCACCCAAGCCAAGCCATCCATTTGCGACCCTTTCACCTCTCTCTACCAATCCCACTCGTCGCATTCCATTGTACACCTACCAGGACCGTCGACGCATCCGCATGCTACCGAGTGCATGCTCCGTTCTCTCGCTCAGTCTTCCCTACCGTCGCAATCCCGTATTACTCCCACGACATTCCCACTCTCAGTCACCTATTCTCTGGGTCTCTATTCTCTTTTCTCCTGCTCCTCAAATTCCGATTGCCATTCGACCCCCACCTCCAAGGAGCAGCAAAAGAGGAGGAATCGGCGCGAGACCTCTTCTTCCAAGAACGCCCCCTAATAAGACGAAGTGACAAGGAAGAGGGAAAATTGAGCGCGAAAAAAAAAAAAAGAAGAGGCTGCCCAAAAACCCACCCACACCCACGAGACCTCTTCTCCCCCGTTCATAGTCATACACTACCCGTTGCGGCCCACCGCGCCTTTTTTTTCCCCTTCCCCTTTGCACGACTCGGCTTGTTCCTTTTCATCTGCTCTTCTTCCCTCTTCCCGCCGCCGGCTCTGTCCCTGCCTACGAGACCGGTAGGACCCTACTTGCTTTCGGAATACAACCACCAATACCCCTACATTCCATAATAATCCACGCCCCATATACACCACCACCAGCCGCCATCACCGCTACTAACACCACCTGTGCAACCACCTGACTCTTCTACCGCCATCCTCGACTCCTCCGCCACCCTGAGCCAGCACCAAAGAGCCTTGACCCTGCTTTACAAGGTGGCAAGACCCCGTTTCTCAAATCGAGCCTGGTGACGGAGTTGCATTCATTCCAACCATATTTGCCTTTGGAGCTGCCCTCTTCGCTCCTCTGCAGCCAGTTTTCTCAGCACCCAGGCAGTCGAATCAACTCACCTCGTCCTAAATCGCCAGCAGTTGCACCCACTCTTCTCACCGACAGTCAATATTTCACATTACCACAGTAGCCGACTGGACCAAGTTCTCAACATGGACAACGAACATCAAGCGCAGTTCAGCGAACAATCGCATCTCCCTCCTCACATCGAGCGGTCTCAATCGAGCTCGTCATCCTCCTCGGTCGATCACGAACACGACGAGCACCAGATTCACCAGCCGACTCCGATCCGACCTCGACTGCCCAGTCGCAAGAGCAGTGGGCCTCTAGTGGTGCCCCGGGACAGCTCAGCGGTTGGTCCAAACGATGCCGAGTTCGGGCCCGACGACGTGAGGGCTATGAGCCCACGAAGGACCAGCGAGGATATCGAAGCACTTGGAAGGGAAGCGCGGGAAGAGCTCAAGAGGTAAGAACAGCACTGCTCCTTGGACGATTGATCCATGGCTTACGAAAGGACTCTACAGACACGCAAAGGCTCTGCAAGACTCCCTCTTGACCATATTTAACCGCATCGAGGCGGTCAGAGAAGAACACGACAAGCTTGATAACAACAACAAATTCCTCCAGAAATACATCGGCGACCTCATGACTACGAGCAAAATCACCGCCGCTCCGAGCAAGGGCAAGAAATAAGAAGTCTACGAGCGAATCCAGACTAAAGAGGAGGATACTGATCGCATCGCAATGCCCTCGTCGAATCGCTTTTACAATCGAGGACTCAAAAGTTGGCTTGCGACAGCACGACAACCCATGCTAGGTCACTCGCAACCCTATTTGCTGGGTGACGCACACCCTGACGCCATTCAGGGATAAACATCCCTAGGAAATGCTCTTTGGGCATTCACTACACTACCTAATCGGACACCGCCCGCGAAGGGCATGATACCCCCCTTGTGGCCGAACTGGTCTACAGCGTTATACTAAACTCGTTTATGGCTTACGGCACGGACACGGTATTTGGAGAGGAAAAAAAACTTGCATCGGCTCGCGACTTGTACACTAACGATCATCATCACTGGGGGTTTCGACACACCATCAAATGAAACATTGGGCATAGGACAGCATCAGGCGTTTCGGTTTTTGGGTATAGGCCTACGGTTTTGGGAATCATATTCGCATATTGTTTATACATCTCGCCATAGGCGGAGGAGAGGCATCGACCTTGAATTGACCAAAAGGAACATTTTTCAAATGCGTTCGCATCGGTTTAGCTTCAACAATCACGTCGGAGTCATTTCAGTGACAACGTCTTAACTTCAAACATACTTCCAAGATTGACGATGCGCAACAGCCTGCGGCAGCGAATGAATTGCAGCACGCGAAAAGTGTGGTAGTCGTCCTGCGCCACACGATGATCCCTGCCCATCTTCCGAAGAGAACGAAAGTACGCCGACGTCATTTGCCACCGACTACCAATGTTGCTCGAAACACCCACCATCGACTCGCATTACGGGAGTGGCTGCACGACGCAAGATATTCGCCGAATGAGGCTCGGGCCCGGACAATGCCATCCACGCATCACAAGCTCTATACAGGTCAAAGGATCTGCGATGTGTACGAGGTGCCTCTCAAGCGCGACGTTTTGCGATGGTGGTTACACGAGACTCCCACCGAGCTTATGGATCGGCACTGTTTTGTCAAAGGCACATTTTTCGGTTGGATGATTGGGGCCCCGACAGCAATACGTTAAAAGTTGAAGAGAGGTGTTCGAAGAAGGTTCCTATTGGCGGTCCTAGACGCCAGATGACCGAATGAGGATGAAGCTGAGGCGAAGAGGGGTTCATTTCTGTGCGGCGTGATTATGAGAGCTGACGACATGTTGGGAATCATCGGCCTGACGGAAGCGGTGATCGGCTCCGGCGCGCGGGGTTGTGACAGAGGCGCGCCGTGTCTGCTGATGGGACACCTGGAGCCGGGCGCAACATTTGATCTGGGAGAGCTTGTCACCAACGAAGGATGAGAGGGTGAGGTTTCGGTTTGCTAAGCACCTGAACTGACGGTCCGTCGTCAGAGGAGTATTTGTGCGGACCTGGGCTGACAGACTTCGCCGATTTGAACAACACAACAAGCCTTCAGGCGAGATGGTGGCGGATCACACTGATGGGTAAAATGAGTTGCGCGGCCAACATATTTCCACCCTTCCACCCTTCCAATTCTGGTCGGGTTGTTTAAATCACTCAGTTGCTGCAAATCTTATACATCGAGTGTAATATCCATTCAACTCCAATCAAGTTCCATCTTTCCATTGTTTCTCCTGTTGATGCTTCTATACTCGCCGATCCTCAATCACCATGTTGCGTAATTCGGCCTGAGGGTGCCCCCATGCAGATGTCTCGGCCGGAGCATCTCCAGCACCCTTCCGGCCCAATGACGCAGCTTGTCACCCGAAAGAGAGAACTTGGCTGCATTTGCGTTGGCGCCAGTCGAGAAATGCGATTGAGAGGTTTCCCTGTCCCCTTGTTGACTGGCAATTTATCCATACTAGACCAGTGTACGTTGGAAATCACACCGATGCTGCCAGGCGAGGCACCGCCGTCTCTGCCCAACGACTCTTCAGTGTTGAGACTTGGCATGGTACCGATCAAACTCATAGAACTTGCAATGCACTTTGAGCATCGCTCACAATGATACTCTTATCCGCGTTGCCAGACAGTCAGTCTTTCCAGCTTGCGTACTCGATGCGTAATCCAGCCATTCCTGCTTTTTGATTGGGATGACTTGCTGCATGGTATGCTGTCTGGAAACAAGAGCCATCCATCGTTTCCTTAGGGACGGCGCTTCAAAATCCAGTCGTAATTCGTTCGTATGATATTTGTTCTTGCTTAGGCATCAAGTTATCTAGAAGGTTATAAATACTTAACCATGTCTGCAAGACTACAATCAGCTACAGTGCATCCCACGAAAGATGCTGCGTTTAGCACTAATCAAATCAAAGCTCTATGATATTTTCGATACAATGCGCCTTCGTGAATGATATCCCAGAGAGTATTATACCTATTGATTATTGACAATTGACAACGCCTTGCTGGTGGCGTTGGTAGCGCAAGAATCACATGCAAATTGCCAGATCTGGCATTATGTCCATGCTCTCCAACCGCTGTGTTCTTAGTTAATTTCCCGTACATTTCAAGTCACAACCCGAGTAGTAGTAATGAATTCCTATCCATGGAAGTGAAGAATAAAAGTCTGAGTGAGAAGAACAAAACTTTCGAACTCTTGAGTTGATGATTTGTGGGATGGAGTGCAACCTTGTGTCCTCTAATTTGCTTGGCTGCTTGGCGTTGTTGACTGCATGGCTTACTTGCCGTATTAGGTAGGAAACAACCACATGGTCCTCTTGCAGCTTCTTCGATATCGAACAACAACCATTGTCCAGAGAAGATAGATTGAAATGAGATTTTGATGCATCTTTGCAGCTAATGGCAACAATAGCCGACAGCGAGCTAGACGGGCCCGCTACGTCGTTGTCTTGTGATTAGTCATGACTTTTTTTAGTAGCCGGTTAGCCGACAACCCTAGATTTAACGACAACGCGGTAATGAAGTCATTCACGTGGGCTCCTTCACATTGCTGCAGTGATTGGGAAACAGCGACACCATGAATCGTCCGTCTCGCACAGATGAACCCTATGAAGGGGAGGGTTACAACCAGAGCCCGAACGCTCTGTCAAATGATCTAACTACCAACGAGGACCTCAACGGAATTGTGAATGCCAGGGCCCTGGAGCCGGGGGAGGACGACAAGGGGCTCTCGCTCGGGGATTCGGGGACGGGCGACGGGGATATATCACAGTCTTCCCACACGGACTGGGTCAAAGGCGGCTCCGGTCCTGCGGCTGCGGCCGCGACGGCCAAGTCTGATGGGCTTGGTCTACCCGAGGGAGAGGAGGTCCACACGACCCCTCTCCCTACTCTTCCCTCACATCAACTCCCTCTCGGAGAAGGAGGCAACTCGCCCAGGATTCTTGAGGCCTTATTCAACCGGGTGAAAAAGGCCGTTGTGAAGTTTGGCTCATTCATAGGACCGGGTTTCATGATTGCCGTTGCGTATAGTGAGATATCCCTCCCGAAAACCCCCCCCCACGAAAAAAAGTGGATTCGACTAATGTACCATCTTGTCTCGAATAGTTGACCCGGGAAATTATTCCACAGATGTCGCAGCAGGAGCAAGCTACCGCTTCAGGCTGCTCTTTGTGGTACTCTTGTCCAACCTTTTTGCAATCTTCCTCCAGAGCCTCTGTATCAAGCTCGGCACCGTCACTGGGCTCAACCTGGCCGAGGCATGCCGGGCTTTCCTGCCGCGATGGATGAACTTCGTTCTCTACGTGTTTGCAGAGGTTGCCATCATTGCAACTGATATTGCCGAGGTGAGCTTCTTCGACTGCCAGGTCTTTGTTCGAGTTTCCTGGTGCTAATCGTTGCAATTGTAGGTGATTGGCTTCGCGATTGGCCTGAACCTCCTTGTGCCGGCCATACCTCTCGTGGCAGGATGCGCAATCTCAATCTTGGACGTCATGATCATTCTCATCTTTTACCGGCCACACGGTTCTATGAGAGGTTTACGAATCTTTGAGTACTTCATCATTGGCCTGGTGCTGGCAGTGGTCGTTTGCTTCTGTATCCAGCTCTCACTCATCAAGGATACGCCTGTTGGAGAAGTTTTTCAGGGTTATCTGCCATCGCATGCCGTAGTTGAATCGCAAGGGTATCTATCTCCTCACCTTTTCTCCATTATCCCGGCAGGTGAACATTTCTAACTCTACACAGTTTATATCAAGCCTGCGGCATTCTGGGCGCGACAGTCATGCCGCACAGCCTCTATCTCGGCTCCGGGATCGTCCAAGCCCGTCTCCGCGAGTACGACACGAAGCACAACCTTCTGCCTCCGGAAATGGACGAAATCGATCTGAACGGCGACAGCATCGACAAGGGATACTACGTACCCTCAGCCAAAGCAATCAAGCACTCCCTCAAGACCTCGACCGCCGAGCTGAGCATCTCGCTCTTCACCTTCGCCCTGTTTGTCAACTCGGCCATCCTCATCGTCGCGGGCGTTTCGTTGTACGGCAACCCAGAGGCGCCCGACGCGGACATTTTTAGCATCCACCAGCTCCTTACGGACTCGATTTCCAAAGCAGCGGGTACCATTTTCGCCCTCGCATTGCTTCTTTCTGGCGTATCAGCTGGTATCGTGTGCACAATCGCCGGGCAGATGGTCAGCGAGGGAGCCCTGAACTGGAAGGTCCGTCCATGGCTGCGACGTCTGGCGACGCGGAGTATCAGCGTCACGCCGAGCATCATCATTGCAGGTGCCGTCGGCCAAAAAGGCGTCAGCGACGCGCTGAATGCTTCGCAGGTGGTGCTCAGCGTCGTCTTGCCGTTTGTCACGGCGCCGTTGATCTACTTCACCTGCCGGAACAAGTTCATGACGGTTCGGGACGGCGGTGCTCGCTTCAGGATGAGCACCGATGAGGAAGAGTCAACGCCCGGCGGGGGAGATGCTGTTGGGACGGTCAAGATGGCGAATTCGTGGTACACTGCCGGCCTTGCGGTCTTGGTTTGGGTCATTATGGCGGCGATGAATGTAGCTAATCTGGTCCTGCTTGGGAAGGGTGGCTAAGTGAGTGAGTGATGTGAGTGGACGGGAAGTAGTAGAGTGTCCGGTGAGGGGCATTTCTGCTTTGAAAGTGCCGACGATGTAGGGACGGAGACCCCAAAGTCGTCTGTCCTTGATTTAGTTTGTCTTGGTCCGCTCTGTTTTGATGCTTGACCTGCCTTTGACTATTGGTTCTTTTTTTTTTCTTCTTTTTTTCTCCGCCCGTCATCAATTCTGTCTGACCTGGCCACATTTTTCAACCAGTGTGCTCAGGTCAAGTCGTATCTAGTCGAGGTTCAACCCTCACGTCACAAATGTTCGTATCAGTAAAAAGAAAGGAAGGGAAATTCTATTGTTTTATAAGAAATTGGGTTCAAGTAGAGATGCTTGCAAATTTTCAGTGAGATTACGCCGTCTTTGACGTCCACGCAGAATTCTTCAGTTCGTGCAGAGGATGGCCTAGTACTACTACTTGCGCTTAGTGTCATCAAATGGATAATATACCATCACCACCACGATAGTGAAAATGGCCTTGGGGAGAGACTAATCAAAGCTGCCGAAGAAAACAAATTCCAAATTTGGGTTTCGTCTCTTCCATATCTAAGGTGCTCTGCATGGAAAGGAATACAGTTTCCGCCATGCATACACGACGTTGGAGTTCATCGTCTATAAAAAAAAAGCCTGCCCACTCTGCGTATACTTAAAAGTTTATTGGTGAGAGTCAAGTAGATCGAGACCGCTCATTGTCTACGGTGAGCTCTTTTCATCACGATATTATTGTGAAAGGTTCCTAACTCTGAGACGGCCCAAGAAGTACTTCCGAGTAGGGCCATTTACCGCGCAACATTTCTTACCTCAAGTCTTATTTTTAAGAAGTCGTAGACCAGAGAAACCTTGCGACTTTCAGCTATGATCAGGCAGTGCGGATAGGCGACTGCATCGAATGCTCTGGTCAAGATAGGCTGTGTAGCATCATGTCAACCTTTGCCCACATACTGGCACGCAACTCGGGTGGGTGGGGCCTGAAGATGGGGAATTTTACATGGGGATTAATGCCCAAATCGAGCAAGCATTCGATAATGTTGGGCTAAATTTGAAGGAAGCCGGCGGGTCAGGCTGGGAACAGATGGTGGGAGTCACCTCGTGACATGTGCCAATCAGTAACGCAGCTCTGGAGGCTATGATTGGGAACTTGAAAAAGTGGATGCCAAACCAGAAGCTAATATGGGCATGTGTGAGAGTGCTAAGGTGTGGTGAGGATGGTATACCAGTGGGATAGAGGTTGTAGCTCATGTCCCGGGAGGGGCCGCAAAGGCTTGAACCCTGATGTAGACAACATTACGAATCGAAGAAGAGCTCCGCTAAGTCACTTATTCAAGCAAAGGTATCATGCGTGAGTTGAAAGCTTGTATTAGACAGAACTGAGGGCAACATCACATGCAATGCAAGTTTAGTATCCCAAATTATCAATTTCCCATTACTGTAAAAAGGTAACCTTGGCACAAGATCCCAATGTCCGTTGAACGCCTATCATACCGAGCCGCTTCCAATGGCGATGAAGTCAACCAGTGGGGTATCGTCGCTTAATACATCCTTTATGCCTTGCCGGCCTGGACCAGGAGGGCAGCGTGCTGCTCGGGGTGGGTCTTTTCGACGTTGCCCTTGGCCATCTTCTTCATGAGCATGTTGGCCTCAATGTCGACCTCCTCGCGAAGAATGAGACCGGCAGCCTCGTTGACAATACGCCACTTGCCGGTGATGATGAGGGTTCCGACGGGGGGCTTGGCGTTAACGAGGGTGTCGACACCGTCCTCGAGATTGGTGATGGTGAGCTGGTAAGTGGTCTGGCCAATGGGCTTCTTGTCGGTGACGGAGTAGGTGGCGGACTGGCCGACACCGACGGAGCCGGACTCGAGGTTGTAGGAGATGAGAGCCGGGCAGAGGGTCTTGACCATCAGGTCGTGGTTGTGGATGGCGGAGAGGACGGCATTGCGGTCAACGCCGGCAGGGACGGGAGTGGAGACAACGGTGGAAGGCATTTTGGCAGGGTTTTGCAGATTGGGTATCTTGAAGAGAAGACTTTTGGAGTGTGGTTAGTCGCTAGATATTGTGTGTAGTGGGAAGTGAAGCTGTCGACGCACGATGACCACAGACCAGCCGGCACCTTCTTATAGATGTCTCTCTTTCCCTTCGCTCAGGCCAGCAAACTCAACTATTTCGGACGGTTGGAGGTTCCCGTCCCTACCTCCATCCCCGTAAGCCCCCCTTATCCCCTATACTTTCTTCATCCTTAACTCTGAATTTCCACAACGGGCGCCCCCAAGTGGGTGACCGACCGTTGCGCCGCTGACGGTTCAGGGAGGTATGGTTCGCGGGGGGCAAGTAGCAGGAGACGCAGGCAGGGAGGCTAAGTGGCACCGGGCCGGCCGTGCCCCGACCGTGCTCCCGCCGAGCCGGACGTTGGAGCATGACGCTAGGAGAACACGGTGCAGCGCGCTAGCGGGCTCGGTTTTGTTGGTTCTTTCAGGGGCCAGGGGAAGAGGGAGGCGGGGGTCCGTGGAGAAGTCCGTGGGGGGCGCTGCTTCACGTCGGTGAGATTGAACGGATCCTCGATAGTGGCATGGAAAACAGAGTGATTAGGCATCAGTGTAGATAGTGTGGGGAGAAGGAAAGAGTGACCAGTTGGGTGGAGGAACATGTTTTCTTGGAAATGTTTCAGCTAATAAACACCATTCTCTTTAACCTTTGCTGTTGGCTGTCGCTATTTGTGTTTGGTCCCGAAGCCTTGGGCGCGAGGCACCACTCTGTGAATGTTGCGACATGCCATTCACCCAGGTATTCGTCCGAGACATGCGTCTTGTCGCATGAGAGTCGTAGCTACGCGTGTCTCTGCAGACTACTCTCCGCATTCCAACCACACGGCCTGCACACTTGAGCGGGAGCTTGCTTGGCACCTGCGCAAGCTTGGAGATTGCCGGAGGCCTTCAAACCCCTACTTTCGTCCCAACCAAACTTAGAGAGACCTGCGCTTGCTAGATCGACCATGATAGACTAGCTTGACTTCCAGGGGACGCTCAAAATATCTTCCAGCCTATTTGAGCGTCAAAGAAGCGCATATCAAGTGAGAAGGTTGGGTAGCATGACAAGTTGCCTTGCGGCGTAAGCCGCTGACAGCCAATGAGGAGGGATCATCGGCGGCCGACATTACGCGTATCAAGCCTCTGCATGTAAGCGTAGACTTCCCCCCCGAAAACACAGAGAATACCCAATCACTTGCCCCCTGATCCAGCCTTCAAAACAGCCGTCTGAGTGTCCATGTAGGGCCAGACTTGTTATGATCGACACTATGGCTAATTCTCTGCGCCGGAGGTGCGCTTGGTGTGTCGTCGGTGCGTTCGACGCGCGCTAAAACGCAGACCCGCTGTCTGTCCGTGTCTCTCGGTCAAGGCGCTGACGGTCGCAGCTTGTTACCGTGAAAGCGAATGTTGATTAAGGAGGGTTGAGATTGAGTATCAATTTCTCTGGCTGAACCGCGTCAATATGCGACTCCAATTTCAGGATCTAGGTGGTGGACTTGTGCGCCCCGTCCTGAAGGATCAAGGGAGCGATAGAGAGGTTCGTCAGAGCTCTGTGGTAATCCTAGACTTCATTTCATCCACCGTTCATGCGTACTGCGAATTTGAAAATTCGGGACAAATCAGAGCATCAGATAACAGCATACGCATTGCAATCCTTCACCCGCGAGACAAGATTGATCAAGTCGGTGGCCCGGCATAAGATGAACCGGCACGGCGTTGATCCGCACGGGGATCCTCTCTGAATTCTATTTTGGGTTTCCAGCGGTCTGATCTCCGGGCCAAGGCCAGACGTGGTCTTATTCTCGGACTACATACTACGTGTTTCTTGACTGGGCATGCCACGTATTGTTGTTGTTCACCCAATTCTCTTGATATTGCAGCACCTCTTTAAAACACTGTCGTTGAAAAGGTCAGTGATCAGGTTGCATCATGGCTACTGCCAAAGTTATGCCGTCAATAGACGTGCCCATGGCGGCAGTTGGAGAGTTGATCAGGGCGCACGTAAGCGAACCATGAATAATTGACAGCATACATAGCCTTTGGAGACGACTCATGATCGCCATCAAAGAGCGAATGCTCTTTTTTCTTCGAAATCTTCGAAATATCTGGGAAGCATTGTAATCCGGCACTTGACAAGGTAATGAGTACTCAATAGTCGAGGAAATATATTCGTGCCATGACGCAGAGGGCGGAATATGAATTCCTCCCCCGCTGCTTAGTAAGCCACCGGTTCAGGTCCATGTGATTGGCCCCGCCCTGCCGGCCATCTCAGTCTTGGTGTTGTCAGACGGGAGAGCAAGACTGCGAATTCCAACTGCTATGCTTCGACTTTCCACATTGAACCATAATTGCTCGGAAACCGCGGGCTTCAGAGAGGATTATATCAGCCGTGTGGATAGACCCTTGCATCCTTGAACCCCTCCGCTGCGATGCTCCAAGCGTCATCGGAGCGGGCCGCAAGCCAACCGAGGCGCAGGTACACGTCAAAGGCCTGCGAGGAGTGTCGGCGCCGAAGGGCCAAGGTGGGTGGAACATGTTTTCCTTCGTCCACCAGCCCACACCTTTTGCAGGCCATGCACACATGGAACAGAATTTGCTGGTCTGTTCAGATGCTTATAGTGATACTGACTGAAGGCCGCCTTTAGTGTGACGGACAGCGGCCCATTTGCGGCCGGTGTTCCGAACGTTCTATCAACTGTCTCTATAGGAGTGAGGAGGATGGCCGCAAACCTGCTTCCAAGACGTACGTGCAACTTTTGAGAAACCGAATCAACTTGCTGGAAGCCGTGCTGCAATCCCACACCATCGATGTCGAGGCAGCCGTTGCCCAGCTCTCAGCCACCGGGACAGCACCCCAGCTACCGTCCATCGCGAGCACGCTGGCAACTGGTAGCGATGCTGCCCTCAGCGTCTCTGCCTTTGACGATCTTTGTGCCACTTTCGAGGGCGCTCTTTCTCTTGATGAGTCGGTGAATTATGACCAAGATGGCGAAATGCGATATTTCGGCCCATCGAGCGGCCGCTTGGAGTTCCAGAGCGGTAAATACTGTTGTTTCCTTGCACTGTCTTTTTTTTCCTGGGTGAAGCTCGTGTTGATCAGCCTGTAGAATCTACACCAGACTCCGACGATCATGGTACTTCATTAACCACAAAATCTCCCGAAACAAATCGCTATATTCTACCTTTGGAAGCCGAAGTCTATCCAGAAGATCTCACGACAGAGCTCATTGACTTATTCTTTGAGTACCAAAACCCCTGGTGCCAGGTAGTCGATGAAAAGCTATTCAGGGAAAGCATGAAGACTCAAGGCCGCTTCTTCAGTCCTCTGTTACTCAACTGCATACTTGCTCTGGGGTCACGCTATTCTGACAGGACAGATATTCGTTCGGTCCCGGATGATCAAAATACAGCCGGAAAAATCTTTCTTCAAAAAGCCGAAATCCTCTTGCGTTATGACATGAAGCGTCCGACAATCACGACGCTTCAGTCAATGTCAATCCTGGTTGGCGTCTATGTGGTACGTCCAAGTGAGACTGCTTCACAGTCCCTCTGCTGACCATGTCAAGTCCTACGGATGCGATGCCGCTGGATGGCTACACCAAGGGATGGCGAATCGACTGGCTCTCGATATGGGTCTCAACCTCGACGCAACCTCGTTATCTGGCACATGCCGCATGTCCAATGATGAGATAGAGCTGAGACGGCAGATTTACTGGGCTCTGTATTGTGATGACAAACTCGCAGCCATCTACACGGGGCGAGTCTGCAACCTTTTGGTAAGCTCTGCCACTATTCCACGTATGTATATGGTTGGGTGTATTTACTCAACCATGTAGGATGTTCAAGGGGCTGTCAATCTGCCATCAACACACACAGAAGAGCAGATGAGAGCAGGAGCAAACAACTCGAATGAAGCAAATCGATGTAACAAAAAGGTCCTCGTACACCGTGGTCTGATTGGACTCTGTCGTATCCTGGAAAATATCCTGTTGGCCCTGTTCGTCTCACTCCTACAACCGTCTCACCCTCACCCCAGGCTGACCCGTTAAATTCAGATACGCCCCAAAACCACTCTACAAGGGCCCGCAGAGGATATCATTCCTCCATTCCTGCACCCTAGAGCTCAAGACCTGGTTCTACGAGCTCCCCGCCGAGCTCCGCATCGACAAGCATAACGACGTGCCGCAGGTGTACACCCTGCATATGGTCTACCACACCTGCTGCATCCTCCTGTTCAAGCCTTTCCTCCTCAAATTCAAAGACACCCCCGCGGCCCTCAAGACCGACACCGCCAAGCGCGCCGAGGTACTCTGCATCGAGGCGGCCAAGCGGATCTGCCACGCGGGCAAAAAGTACCGCCAGGTCTACGGCTCGTTTCGAAAGAGTCCCATCACGGCGACGCACTGCACGCTCACTGCGGCGTTGGTGCTGATTCAGTACGCCAGTCCGGATCCCGATTTTGCGAATACCGGCAGGCCGTGCTGTACGGTGTACATTGAAGCGTGTTTGGAGGTTTTGGCAGAGTTGGGTATCTCGTGGAACCCCGCGCGTAGGATGAGGTGCGATCTCATCAAGTATCTGTACCAAAAGTATCCGGAAAGGATGCCGAATTCGCTTCTGCAACAAAGCTACAGGGATCCAACGACGATGGTTGAAAAGGACGCCACAACGACCCAGCCGCAACAGACTCTGGAACAGAACTTGTGCCCCTTGATGACAATGATTGACCAGGATTTCACATGGGATGAGGAATTTGAACAAGGACTTCAGGGGACCTTGCAGAATGGTGGATCGGAGTCGGCTTTCAATACGCAGTTCGCCTTGGCAGATTCAATCGGCAACATGGGCGAGCAGAATGGATCGAGTTTCATGGACGATACATTTTGGGCTGGGGTGAATTTTGACATCAATTTCGAGGCGCAATCTTGGGAGTAGAGGCTGGGGACTTGCGTACGTGGTGGTTTGTCCTACTAGGCATAGATCTGTCTCACAAGTTAGAGCGCCCAATGGCACATAAAAGTATAAAAGAGAGATGCCAAATTCTGGGGAAAAGAGAGAAAGGGAAAAGAGTCTGCTTGAATACACATCTGGTGTACTGATTTACAACAGTTGCGCGTGACGAGGCCTAGGTAGAGAGCCCCTGAGGACAAGTCTATCGCGACAATGCGATATTATCAGTCCAGTAGCTTAAAACACTTCAAAAGAGTGAAGGCTCGTTCATTTATGCACGTGGATCTCGCAGGCAATACTCTTCTAGAGCCACTCGCTTGATGGAACAAAACTGCCCAGGCAATTAATTCTTGAGAGCTACATCACCAAGAGACTCGGTGCCTAGGGCTTACAAATCCTTTGCTGCAGATGTCCTTGCCACACTATTGTAACGCCGAGTCAGACCTAAAGTGGCACGAGGAAGTCTATTCCTAGGAAAGGTTGTAGAGCAAGGTATGTGTCCGCGGGTGCCGTAGCCCAGGCGACTACTTAAATCATTTCCAGACACTCCGTTCTTGAGTTGGTTACACCATTTCACAGGGCGAGCGAAACACTCTGCCTGTTTTTTTGACGCGCAATTAGAAGCAAGCTCTGAAATCTCAACGTCTCTTTGTTTCGTTTTTCATTTTTATTCAAACAAAAACTGTTGTTGGCATTGCAAGTGGCGATGACTGGGAAGTAATAGCTATTTCGAGATTGGTCAACACAGGAGATGGTGCTACTGAGTATATGAGGCCATATAGAACATAATCCTGAGTGAACGATACTCTACCATCTCCAATCACCCAGCCGTTTTCCGGTGTAGATTTAACATTGTAAAAGCAACATTCTTACTTAGTTCAATCACAAAAACCTCGTGATATAACGTGCGGTCTGAAAGGACCTCTCCACAAGGATCTCTCTGCAATCACCCCGCTCTATCCTTCATTTGCTCGGAGATCAGAACCCCAAAACGCCCATCAACTACGCATAAACGTATTCGTACTTCTACTCAGGCTCTTTACCCCAAAAAGCCTGATTAATCTAGCTGTAGCGAACATGAGACGAATCAGCATGATTTATTGCCTGCTAATTTGCTTACTGTTTGCAGTTCGAGCAATGGTTGTCTACAGCAATCCGCAGGCTCCATTAATTTGCTTGCGCCAGCTTCCGCTTCCCATCGATTGAGTGCAAACCATGGTTTGTCACGATCGTCTGGCTTTGAGCATCATATTTCATGGGTATAAATGGATTTCCCTACATAAGACGATTCCTATGAGCATTGCACGACAAAATATTAAGCCAACGCATGTAAGCGGCTGCGACTTGACTGAGACCTCCATCAATCCACCTTCCATGACCTATGAGAAGCATTACCCCTCCCACCGTTAAAGAACTACCCTCCAAGGAACTTTTCCAAATCAAGGCTACCCTGATAGGTGTATGCAATGCGCCTAGCTCCCTTGCTTCTGTCACTAGACCCGCACCTCCCTCTGTCTTCCTCCGAGATGACGATAAGTACAACTTTCCAAACAGTTTTACAAGCCGTTGCTAGGCCCGGCGCCACCGATGTGTCCGTGATCTCCCTCATGGCTGCCGACGGGGCGGTTCTTGGGCTGTCCGGGCTCGCGAATGTGCAATCCCAGGGCAGAAGGGTCAATGTTCCTGTGTCCCCACAACAACAGGAATCCGAACAGAGGCTTCGCGAGAACGTCCAGGATACCGTAGAAGACGGCCTCAGAGTCAGGGTGAATGAGGTTGCCGCCCTCGCTCACGCCCCACGCAATGGGGTACAAGAACCAGAGGAAGATAGTGAGAATGCCGCAGTTGCGATACGTGGAGCTAACCTGCCCCCCAAGCGCGGCAGCGTGCTTTCGGCCATCGATGACGAGCGCGTACACCACGTAAAAGAAGGCAAACATGCCAAACACCCAGTATCCCCACTTGTAGCTCGTGCTTGTAAGAGCTCCGACCAGACCAGTGACAATCATGATCTCGTCTGCGAGAAGGGCGATCATGATGCTAGGCCACGGCAGACCGGCGGTGAGAAGCAGATCCAGCAGCAGTAGCGGCGTGGTGATGAACCAATCGATGTATCGTACATAGTAGATCTCGCGTGTGCCGGCTCCTCCAACCTGGCTGTTGTCACGAGGAAATTCGACCTGGATGGGTACCTGGCCCAGCCCGGCACCCATGGAGAAGTATGCTATGCAGGCAACAAAAGTAATGCTGGCGGTGATGTAGTGGAAGAGGCGGTGCGTCTCTCGCTTGGTGAAACCCATTCCCAGGAAGACAAGGGTGGAAATCGCCATAATGGCACAAACGGCAAAGTACCAGTCCGAAGCACGGGTTGAGATGCCTAGGTCGGCTCGCTGGCCGACGCGGGCATTGGTGTTGAGAGCTTGGTTCGACATTGTGAAATTGCTCAGATCTCGGTTTTCAGTGACGATTGCAAAATGATGGGGGGGGATTTGTGCCAGGCGATGCTGATTATGTATGCCCAAGTATGTGGCAGCCGACGCTTCTGAGTTCTCCTCAAACCTTTCTTAGACAGTGGAGGGGGGGACTATTACTTGCCATATATCTTCATCTGTTGTCCACCGTCCAACATCAGATTTAGGTCCGAGCTAACGCGATCACAAAAGCCCCTGCCGGTTGATCCGTATCTAGCCATGTCGGATGACTTCATCCAGGTGAAGAGGGGACAGGTTGTAGTGTTGAGATTTCCATGAGCTCTGGATGACGTTTAGACTCGAAACACCAACCCACCGCAAATTGCAGACGATAGGCTAGCGACGCGAGGACACCATCGCGATGGAGGAGTAGCTTCACCGTAGCCCAAACAGCGCGACACCCTCGCAGGTGAGACTAGGCCAGCACCGGTCATTGGGCCAAGACGGGCGCTATGGTATTCCAAGCTCGAGCCGTCCCTGTCAACCGTGTCAACCGTCCAGAAACGTCTGCAACGCAAGGGGATTCTGCTACTCGTCCTTGAGCCTGGAAGCGGGGTCAGGCGAATAAGATCAGATGAGTTGTGAACTATCTCCCCGCGCAAATCCTTGACGAGTCCATGACGGCAGGAGGCTGGAACCCTGGTCGTCCAGCTTGCGACGGAGAAATTCTCCGCGCCAGAACCAAAACAACCCATCTGCAAAGCCGTTCACTCAGTGCGACTAGGTAACGATCTGGTAATAGCTTTCGAAATAGGGCGACGGTGACAAAGCTCCGGCGTAGGGCGGTCGGCGCAACAATAAAGGATTCAATGTCGATGAAGTCACCACTTTTGCCGGCTTCTAGACCGGAAGCTACCGAGTGGTATTCCCGGCCCCACTCAGCCGGAGCTAGCGCCGGCAAGTGATTTCATATCTGCAGCGCAAAGCCCGAAAGACTTGGCAACAGACAGGACAGCAGGTCTAGGCCGTCCAGCTTTTCTTCGACCTAACGCTCCAACGGCTGGCAAGGCATGGCTAGTTCTCTTCTAGGGGCCGCCATAGGCAAGAAAACAAATTTGGCGTCTGCATGGTTTGCCGATCGCCAGGCTGTGTGCGCGATCTGTCTCATGTCCACGATTTCTGCCACCCTTGTGTCAAAACAGGTCTGGTGATCATGTGCTGCACAGCCGTGGTTCGCACTAAGTTGCAGATCTCTTCAAGCCGAACTTACACCCGAAGTCTCTTTGCTGAATTGGCGCCCGCAGTACGTTGTGCAGTTATTGGCAAATCGCATTCCGCAGAGCGATTGCCATGGTTGTAGCTAGGCACGATCATAGCTAAGCTTACCACCTGTCTCCACGCATCCAACCGAACACGGATCCGACTTTGTTTGCGTGGGCGAGCTGGACCGTACACTAGGTGAGAAAAGCGTCCTGAGCACTTCCGAACCTCCGAGTCGCTCGTCGTCTGATGTCATTGAACCAGAATCAATTGATGGACCGTACGTCGGCAGTTAATTGAGCTCAGGTGGGGATGGTGGTCCAATGTTCGAGCGTAACCATGAAATCATTCCGGCCAACGTCGGGCCAGATATTACAACCCACCTTCAACTCTGCATAGACTCCCGAGGTCTGACCAGATATCCCTGAATTTGAGCCAGCTTTGCAACAGATTAATTAGACCTGCTGTGCTGCCCCTGACGTCTCGTAAATAGGTTACCGTGAGACTAATCTCAGCCTTCATCGTCAAAGTTAAGAGCCGGATGTCGTGTGAGATAATATTTCACGTTGTCAGGCAACGTCTGCTCCACTGCGAAGATGACAGATGAATGTCGGGAAAAGTTGGAGGCTCGCCATCCGTGAGTTTACTTCCCGCGACCCTTTGGCTCATAACCGATCTCTAACCACTCCTCATGGCAGCTACCTTTCAGGGAACTTTGCACCGATTCAATCATGTCTCCCCTTGACACCCTGCAGTCACGAGGGCACGATACCTTTTGATCTCGCAGGAGGCCAATATGTTCGCAACGGCGGCAACCCGGTGACGAACGATGATACGAGTCGAGCAGCGCACTGGTTCGATGGTGATGGCATGTTGAGTGGTGTTCTCTTCCGCCGCGCAGGTGAGAAGAACACCTCGATCCAGCCAGAATTCGTCAATCAATACCTGCTCACTGACGTCTACTGCCACGCGAAGACCAATAAATACCTGAGCCGACCAGTGGTACCAAGTATTGCGACACTGGTAGACCCGGCCGTGAGCCTGTTTCGCATCATCTCCGAGGTTTTCCGAACCGTGTTTCTGGTATTCCTCTCGCGGCTCCCAGGATTTGGTCGTCCTATCAAGAAAATCAGCGTTGCCAACACCAGCGTCTTGTTCCATAATGGCAGGGCTTTGGCCACGTGCGAAAGCGGCCCTCCCCTCAGATTCGCTTTGCCAAGTTTGGAGACTATTGGCTGGTTCAACGGAAGGACAGCAGAAAACGAGCCGCGACAAAGCGGTGAGAGCGGATTCGGGGGCACAGGCATTGTATCCTTTATGAGAGAATGGACAACTGCCCATCCTCGAGTCGATCCGGTGACAAAGGAGCTCATTACGTTCCACGCGACATTTGTCCAGCCGTTTGTGCGTTACTCTGTGGTGCCGCCGACAGCAAAGTGCGGTACTGGCCGCCCTGCGATGTTCGACCTACCGGTTCCTGGAGTCGAGTCGCCCAAGATGATGCACGACTTTGGGGTGTCAAGGCACCACACTGTTATTATGGACCTTCCGTTATCGCTGGACACCATGAATTTGATTCGAGGAGTTCCCAGTTTGTCGTATGATTCGGCCGGAAGGTCACGCTTTGGAGTCTTCCCAAGGCACCAGCCATATGCCGTTCAATGGTTCGAGACCAATCCGTGCACCATCTTCCACACTGCCAACTGCTGGGACTCGTTTTCATGGCAGACAGACTCCAATGGCCCTCGTGTGTCAGTCAATCTCGTGGCCTGCCGACTCACTTCCGCATCTATGGTATTCAGCGCCGGCAATCTTCCCACGCCAGAGGTGAAGCCAGTGCCTCCCGAGTACGCCGAGGAGGAGCAGTGCCGATTGTACTACTACAACTTCCCACTGTCGGACGTCGCCGGTATACAGTACAACATCAGACACCAGTGGGCTTTGTCGGCCATTTCCTTGGAATTTCCGTCCGTCGCACCGGCATACTCAATGCAGGAAGCCCGCTACGTCTATGGATGCTCGACAGGCGAAGATTCTTACACAGTCGCCCTTGGAAAAGCCGCAAAAATTGATCACTTGGCCAAGTTCGACGTTCGAACGCTCATAGCGCGAGGTATTGCCAAACCGCCACAACCAGTCAAAGGTTGCGTCGATACGCGCAACATTGTTCAGGTCATGGAGAGTCAGGATCCCGAAGATCCCATAAAGCTCTTCCGAATGCCTATGGGGTGGTATGCGCAAGAGCCACGGTTTGTACCTCGCATTGAACCGGACTCTGAGGACGACGGATGGTTGTTGACATACGTATTCAACGAAGATCAGCTCGACGACCAGGGTGCATGTGTGCCTGGAGCCGTGAGTGAGTTATGGGTAATCGACGCGAAAGAAATGAGGGAGGTCGTAGCTCGGATCAAGCTGCCGCAGCGTGTTCCATATGGATTGCATGGCACCTGGTTTAGTGAAGAGGAGATCCATGAGCAAAAGCCGTTTGAAAAGGTGAGGACCTTGGCTTCTTAAGAACGTGGAAAAAAAAATCTGGATTTGGGTTTAGTCGAAGCGATTCTGGGCTTGACTTATTCGTAAGGGGAAGTTTTGTCCATGATACCACATTATTTCTGGCGAATAGAGCGGTTTGAAAGAGAGATTAATATAGTACTTGATTCATTGCATGACGTGTCATTCTGCGGGTTCAACGGCCGACCTTTTCTACCATGGTCAGTTCATCGAAGACCAGGCGCTGCTCCGATCCAAAGACGTACAATATATCGGACACGGCGGAGTCCATGTTGACCAACGTTTAACGGGCCCGCAGTCTTCTTACAGGTAGTGAAGATCCACTCCGGTACGACAGCTGATGAGTGCGGGAAGTCGCTGGTCGGGAACGCGAGCATAACGTCTTTTACACAGGCTGTCTTTTGCGTCTCTAATGCATCGTGGGCCAGGCTAATCAGACGACACACCGTTTCCTCCATAGAATTGACCAAATACGCGTCAAAACGGGCGTGACGTGGTGTGGCGGTTGCGTCAGGTCCGACGATTGTGCGCTTCAGTGATTGACAAGACCAGGGACTTGGTGCTTCTAGGTTGGTTGTAATATTATCCATCCGCCACTGGCAATGTCAACAGCGACCAAAGGGCAACTCCTGTGGCTGTCTGGCAGATGCAAAGTCAGCAAGACTCAGGTTGCCTTACCCAGCGGCCGCTTGGTAGTAACACCGACGCTATCTGTCCTCCGTGGGGGCTCGACGCTTTCGGCACAAACGCCCGGGACTGAAAACTGCGTCGGTGGCACTGGCGGCCATTGGGGCTTGTGGGCTGGACCTTGCTCCTCAACGCTTACGCACTAGGGGCGCGTTGCGCCTTGTGCCCCCTGCTGCGGGTTCGCCGCCCAGCGCCCCGGAACCCGCTTGCCCCTCTCCGCTTCTCTCCCTTGCCGTGGACTGCAAAACCCCTATCATCAGAACGTAGAGGCTCATGGCCAGAAAACCGTCAATCTCAACGACATCCGTTTCCGTAGCCGCCAACGATCCTTGCGTTACGACATCTTCCGGTTGCACTTCTTGGACTCTAGTATAATCTGGCGATGCCCAGGCTTTTGGTGAGTGCCGAGAAATGACCCCACAGGGCAGTGCTGGACGGCGTCGACAGCCAGTCATGGGATGGCGAGGATTCGGCGGCCAAAATCCATCTTTTGGGCTCCGAGACTGCGAAGCATCAAAGAGCCCAAGGCCATCTCAGGCCATCGTGTGTGGTGAAGCGTGCGCCGTGGACACTACTCCCCCGCGTCCTCTAAGTTCTTGGGCGAGAACCATTTCCCCTCTTCTTCCCCCAGGTTTCGCGGGATTTTGATGGGCCCCTCGCTTGTATTGGTGCAGCGTATGCGATCCCGTCCGGGTACGCCTTTATTTGGGACCTCTTCTCATGTTTCCATTCCCATGTTTCCAAGACTTTCAGTGAGGGTTGCCCAAGGTTGGCAACATGGAGAGCCCCACACTTGCATCTAGCGGCAGACAGATCTAAGGTCCGTACCGGGGACAAGGCCATCGGATTGGTGCAAACGTTTGGGGCAATTAAGCTTAGCAAATGCCAAACGGGACTGCTGCAAGGTGTGGTGGATTGGTTATCCACAGATGATAATCCAGAGCGAACTGGTCGGTAACGTGGCAGCAATGGCAGGGTGTTTGCGACTGGTGTTCCACCCATGGCATGCACTCGCTGGAACTTGACCGTTGCCCGTTCCTTGATAAGTTGATGCTATCCGTAGAGCTGAGTGGCTGCTCGCGCTCTCATGTAAACTTTGTAGCGCATGAGGATTGAGTATTGCTATGCTGGATCGTGTCGGCGAAACACATGCGTCATGCCGAGATCCATAGAATCGACAATGTCCGGGCTGCTGTCGCTGCTGTCGACGAGAAAGTTCCTATGAACAAATGGGGCAACTGGACTCGGATAGACACAGACTCCTCGGCTCTGATGGAAACGATTGGAGCAGAAAAGATGCATATTTCTCAGCGTCTGGGATTCAGCATTTGGAGGTTCGGAGGGCAAGTCGACGTGGGAGTTGTAGACGCCCACACGTGACGGTGCAGACCCAGTCCCCACTTCAGATTACTAGGTACAGAGCTGTAGACCTTGGAAGAGATCGGAAGAAGACAAAGTGTTCTTACATTCCAGCGACAGCTGGGAACGCAAGGTCAGCAATCAATCCCGCCGGCGTAGTTCCATAGGGTTTGGGGGCATGGAGTGTATCGGGACAAGGCTTGCCATACTCACCTACCATTTTGGGAGGGCAAGTGGACGCGGGATTGCGCGCTAGGCCGTCGGTGTCGGTACACCTTCAGAAAAATGCTGAAGTCAATCCATCCATCCGTCATCTGGGTCTTCCCTCCATGACTTTGGCCCGCAGAACACACGGTTATCTTGGGGCATTGGTATTTGTTGCGGAGTTTCTGGATAATTGTTGTGTTGGGCGTGGGCCATCTTTGTTAGAAACAACCCAGTGGCGATGGTGATGAAAGCCATCGAACAGCTTGGGTGGATGAAAGCACGGTGAGGCAAGGCGAGGCGAGGCGGGGCGAGGTGAGGCGGTGCGGTGCGGTTGGTGTATCTGTACCTGGATGTCGGAGACGAAAAGCAAGACGTGGACTTCTTGGTATGATGTAGGCGTCGGTCTGTGGCTGTTTCTCAGAGGATACGCTAAGGAAAGGTGAGCTTGGCGGAACACGCTGCAAGGTGGCTGTCGCAAGGTTTCGCAAGGTTTGCAAGGGTGGCCCTCCGTCTGTCCATTCATGTTTGGCCAGGTAGGGGAGGGTCGAATGTCATCTGATGTACAGCTTTGAGCAGGGTAACTTTGGAGGTCCAACAGAGCGCGCAAAGGAGGTGAAAGAAAAAAAGGTACATGAGTCGGAGGGAGGAGGAAAACCCGTAGATAAGCGCCCCTCGCATCAGGTTTCTAAGGTACCTTACGGTAGGTATACGGACAGAGCAACTACCAACACTACCAATAACAGCGCCAGCAGCCATATGCAGTGCAGCAGTTCAAGTTGCCAGGCATTGCTTCCTTCCTTCTCGAACGGAATCAGGCTGGTGGGGCTGGGTGGGGTTGGTGGCACTAGCGCAGGTTGCCAAGAGCCGCGTGCCATCTGACCAATCGAATGATTCAGATGTGCAAGGATGGTTTTGGCATTGAACATGACCCTGGAAAACAACGGCGGACGCAGATGAGCCGTAGCATTGCGTGCTTGCATGCCTAAGGCTACTCTAGGTCCTTGAGTAAAAAGTGTCTATGTAATTTGTGATTGACAGATTGACAAGCAAAGTCTCTGACTGAAAGTCTGGACGACCGTGACGAACAAGAGTTCGGTGCTCTTGGCCTTACGTATAGCAGAGGAGAGCGTACAAACACAACCTAAGCCGACGGTTTGCACAGCCACTCAGCTATCAGCTGGCCAGAAACGGCCCCGACCCCAGCCACTTGCCGGAGCCATGATTGGACGGCGGGTTTCCCTCCTTCCCTGATGACGACGACCAGCCCGCGCTGGGCGGACATCGGTGCTCCTTGGCGGCGCCGCTGCATCGCTTCTCCACCCCGGTCCTGCGCATCTCCATCATTAAGCACCTTTTCTCATCTTACCTTACGGAAACGCACCTCATGCTCATGCTCATGCTCATGCTCAAGATTGTGCCTTGTCTGACCTGACGCCATAGCGCTATAGCGGGACATGTAGCGATTGATGCGGTGCTCGTAGGCCCTGCGACCGACGGCGATGCGTTGCACATCGTCGTTACGGATTGCGCAGCCGTTTAGTCATGTTGGTCGGACCAGTTGGCCGGATTGCACCGTTTCCACAATTTGGTAGGCACGGGACCGCTGGAGCACACGGGGGCGCTGACGGCGACTGGAGGAGGCTCTTCTTGGCAACTGCTCACTTGTCGTCGTTTCCGCCGCCTCAAGTCTTGGTGCTTTCCACTCTTGTTCAGTTTGGCTCAACAGTCCCATCAGTCCTGTCAGCCGGTTTCTCTTGTGGTGGCACTTGGGCAGTTGCCAATGAAAATTGGAGATGAGAAATGGAAACAGACATCCTAACGAACAGCTTGCCTTCCCGTTGCTTGCAGCTCCATCACAACCATGGAAGGCAAGAGCAAGCAACCTGAAAGGGAGCAGGTAGGTAGGTACCTTTTATTCCCCTTTGGTTTGCCGCATCCACGTCTGTCTCTCGATACCTATACTCAGCCATCCCCCGCATCACCTTGGCTCCTCTCGTTACTGACGCTTTTACCGTTTATCGTTTCTTCGGTCAAGCTCAACCTTGAGGTCTGCAATCCAAGACCACCCGCCCTGAATACGCCCAACCCTGCCAGCAACTCAAACCCCTGCGGTTTGCCAAGCTTCCCGCCCACTTTGACACTCCAAATCCAACATGCCATTGCCTACTTACCTCGAAGTCCCCCTCCCACCACACTCTGTTGCATTCCTTCGTTCCGTCACTAACAATTGCGGTTCCAGTCCGGTACAGAGACTGTAGGTACCTTACAGAGTACCTGCCCTCCCATCTCCCCAGATCACGTCCAAGACAGACAGACAGTCGCCCAACGGATGCGCTTCGGTCCTCACTTCTTCGGCCCATCCACTCCTGGCCCCGTTCGGTCGGAGCTATTTTCCCACCACCGTCCCGCGCCCGCGTTGCATCCCTCCTCCCACCCCAGTCTTCGGACGGTCAACTCAACTGGTACCTCGCCCTCTCTCACTCTCCCTCTCTCATTCTTTGCGGAGATACGTCCAGAACCCGTCCTCCCATCCATCCTCTTGGCTTGATCGTCTTGCCGGAACACAGTTCCACGCTCCCCTCCCTTGGCACACATTTCGTCCGCCACAAAAGTATAACTAAACGCCATCTCCTACCACACACCTCTGTTATTCTTCTCCCCTCTTTTTCCCCTTCTTCTCTTCATCACCACCCCAAGCTCTAAGCTTGACCGTTCTCTATTAACAAACTTCTTTACAGATTCATATCTGCCGGGCTTTACCAAAAGCACCAACACACCATTCAACCCCCAAGCGCGCGTTTTGAGCAGTAACCTACCGATATCCGATGGGAGAACCCGAAGCCGTCAGGCATGGTGAACACAACACAGCTGCCGCGGAAGTCAACCCCGAGCAGGACGAGCCGCCGTCTATACCGCGGCCCCCGCCCATTCCCAACCCGGTCCCTCAGCGGCCTGCCCATTCGGTTCCTGTCACGGACATAGGTCTCCTCTGGCAAACCAATCTTGATCATGGCCTCTCAAAGGCCGATGCTGCGGCCCGTCTTGAACGGGACGGGCCTAATCGTATCGAGGGCGCAAAGGGCCTATCCATTTGGGAGATTGTCATGAGACAAATCTCCAACAGTCTGACGTTGGTTCTCGTCATCGTCATGATTCTGTCCTTTGCCATCCAAGATTATATTGAAGGAGGTGTCATCACTGCCGTCATCCTTCTTAACATCGTCGTGGGGTAAGTAACTAGCCCTCCCTTCACCCTGTTCCCCTTGATATCTTCTTCCGATACTTTGCCCAAACCGTGTCATGCCTCATACTGCAACTTCTTCGCTCCCTGCTGCCTCCTCGTGCCTTGCCCGCTGATCCTATAATTTCATTGACTCGCTGCAATGCATAATTGGTCACTACCTTACCCTAGCTGACACACCCGGTTGGGGAGACCGCTGACCGCTTTCGTGGCACCGCATCCGAGATACCCTACCTGCAAGGATCTTGGCGTTGTGGCTCATCCCCTACCCCTGTCACCGACTTAACCCGCCGCACACACCCAAATCGCACGCTTCTCTACCTCAGCACTACATTCGCCTGGTACTCCTGGCTAACCTCTTTCCAGCTTTGTCCAGGACTACAATGCCGAACAGACCATTCAGAGTTTGTACGCGCTGTCCGCCCCGACATGCAAAGTCGTCCGCGACGGAATCGCGGAGACCATCAAGGCTGAGACCCTCGTCAAGGGCGATCTAGTAATGATCGCTGTCGGCGATGTCGTTCCAGCAGACCTTCGTCTCCTCGAGGGAATTAACCTCTCCATCGACGAGGCCCTTCTGACCGGAGAGTCGCTGCCCATCAGCAAGCACCCCGAGGCACTCTTCGAGGAGGCTGATATTCCCCTCGGAGACCGCATCAACATGGTTTACTCGGCCACCACCGTCACTCGAGGACGCGCTCGCGGTATCGTCACCACCACTGGTATGGAAACCGAGGTGGGCAAAATTGCAATGATGCTTCGCACCACTCGTAAGAGGGACGAGAATGCCTCGCTTCCAGCCCGCGCTCTCGCGCGCGCCAAGGCTGCCCTGAAGAGTATCCTGGGTCTTGAGGGCACCCCTCTTCAGGTCAAGCTTAGCAAGTTCGCTCTTCTACTGTTCGGTCTGGCTATCCTGCTTGCCATTATCGTCTTCGCAGTGAGCAAGTTCGACATTGATGACCAGGTTCTCATCTACGGTATCTGCGTCGGTGTCGCCGTCATTCCCGAATCACTCATTGCCGTCCTGACCATCACTATGGCTGTTGGTACCAAGGCAATGGCGTCTGGAAACGTCATTGTTCGCAAGCTATCTTCTCTCGAGGCTGTTGGAGGTGTCACCAACATCTGCTCTGACAAGACAGGTACGCTCACACAGGGACGAATGATTACCAGAAAGATCTGGCTGGCCGAAGATACGACCGCCATCATTGAGGGTACCACAGACCCCTACGACCCTACTAGCGGTAAAGTGCGTTGGCCAGGATCTACCGCGTCGAGCTCGGGCTCTAGTGGAACATCGACTCCAACGGTTGAGAAGACAGACGACACGATCATCTCTTCTTCCTTCGGCGGCTTTCTCAAGGCCATCGCTCTTTGCAATAATTCCGCTGTTACCGATGGCAAGGCCTCGACCGATACCGAGTCGATGACCACCGCCACCGAGGTGCCGGTTTCATGGACGGCTATCGGCGAACCTACCGAGATTGCCCTTCAGGTCTTCGCTATGCGGTATGGAAAAGGAAAGACTGAACTCATCTCGTCTGAAAAGACCAAGATGTTGTATGAGTTTCCCTTTGATTCCACTTGCAAGCTTATGAGTGTCGTCTACGAATTTCCCGGCGCTCCCCGCCAGGTGTTTACCAAGGGCGCCGTGGAAGTCATGGTCGAGAGATTGGCCGAGTCTGACGCTGTCAAGGAGAGGATCGCGGCCAAGGCTGATGAGCTAGCCTCCGAGGGTCTCAGAGTCCTTTGTGTTGCTCAAAGATTCCTCGATGATACTGATAACGCTAGCGAGAGGAACGATGCGGAGTGCAAGCTCCGCTTTCTGGGTCTCGCTGGCCTATACGACCCTCCCCGAGTGGAGACTCTCGGGGCCGTCAAGAAGTGTAACACGGCTGGTATCTCGGTCCACATGGTTACCGGGGATCACATTAAGACTGCCACTGCCATTGCTCATGAGGTTGGTATCTTGCGTGGCGGTGAGCCGGCCACTGCTGTCATGGCCGCTGGTCAATTCGACGCTATGACCGACGCCGAAGTTGACGCTCTTGAGGCCCTCCCTCTTGTGGTCGCTCGATGCAGCCCCATGACCAAGGTCAGAATGCTCGAGGCTATGCATCGTCGCAAGGCCTACTGCATAATGACTGGTGACGGTGTCAACGATTCGCCTGCCCTCAAGAAAGCCGATGTTGGTATTGCCATGGGTAAGAGAGGCAGTGACGTTTCCAAAGAGGCAGCAGACATGGTTCTCACCGATGACAACTTCGCTTCCATCGTTACGGCCATCAAGGAAGGCCGCCGTTTGTTTGACAACATTCAGAAGGTACACTTTCCGCCCCCTCGTTTCATCTAGGCGTAACTCTAATCGCCCTTACAGTTCCTGCTCCACCTCTTAATTTCCAACATCTCTCAGGTCATCCTTCTCCTTATTGGCCTCTCTTTCAAGGACAGAAGTGGTACCTCTATCTTCCCACTGTCTCCTCTGGAGATTCTCTGGGTCAACCTCATCACTTCCTCATTCCTGGCTATCGGTCTTGGTCTTGAGGAGGCGCAACCCGATATTCTCCTGCGTGCACCTCACAGTCTCCGCGTCGGTGTTTTCACCTGGGACTTGATCCGAGACAAGATGATTTACGGTTTCTTTATGGGCTCGCTCTGCTTGGCCGCATTTACTTCCGTTGCGTACGGACCGGGTGCGGGCGATCTCGGCAGTCACTGCAACGACGGCTGGAACGATACCTGTGACGTTGTCTTCAGGGCCCGATCCACCGTTTACGCCACCCTGAGCTTCCTGCTCTTGGTCACTGCCTGGGAGGTGAAGCACTTCCAACGCAGCTTGTTCAACATGAACCCAGAATTGTGGACCGGCCCTACGGCCGTATTCAAGACCATTTTCAAGAATCGTTTCCTGTTCTGGGCCGTCGCCGGCGGCTTCATCATGACCTTCCCCGTAATTTATCTCCCTGTCGTCAACCGCGCAGTCTTCAAGCACGGCATGATCACCTGGGAGTGGGGCATCGTTATTGCCTGTTTGATCGTCTACATTGCTCTCATTGAGACCTGGAAAGCTGTGAAGCGTCACATGGGCCTCGGCATGATTGCACGCACTCCCGAGGGACAGGTTTAGTCTCGCGCTCAGAACGGCGACAATTCTGCTGCAAAGCGGATGCCTCAACACAAGCTTAACTAAAACGGACAGTACGTCCCATGGTAATCGGCGCCTTGGTGCGAAGAAATCTGGGATGGATATCGGATCCAACATCGGTAATGGAAATCAGGCAGACAGTATGGGGCTATTCAACATCAGCCTGGCAGGCCTTCAGGCTTGGGTGATAATTTGCTTTCGCCACACTCATTTAGTATTTATATCTATCATGCTTTGGCTGTTGAGTATTTACTCCGGCCCACACATGATACAGAGTAAAATAAGCTCGACACATCGAGTTTAACCCACACTTTTGACTTTCCGCTATCCCAGAACGTGATGCTTCGATTAAGTACTTATTTGGTCTGAGTAGCACCAGCCTCCTTCCTATCCCTCTCAACTTTCTTCTTATACTCAACCCAATCGTCACTCCTCGGAAACGGCACATCCGGTACTTTGACCCCTAAAATCGCACAAAGAGGCTCCCATCCATCTCCAGGCCTAAACTCGAGAAAACCACGCTCACCAGTCTTCAAAGCCCTCACTTCCTCGTGATGCCTCTCAAAGTACGCTCTTCCATTCTTTTCAAAGTCGTTGTCCCAGCAGAAGGCGTGGTAGGCGTTGGCCAGCGACTCCATGGGCGATTTCGGGTGGAGATCCCGGTTAAGGTGGGCATGAATTAATGTGTCACGCATCGACGTCTCCCAGGACTCGAAGGAGCGGGTGGTGAGGATGATGGGCGTCGAGGGGTACGCTGTTGCCAGGGAGGCCGGGAAGAGAGCTGGTGGGAAGTCGGAAACTGCTGAGTAAGGGGAGAGGAGGGTGTCCCATTGGAATTTGGACCAGGGGTTCCGTGGGGAGTTTGCTGTGGAGGTGGTGAAGGGGGTGAGGTTTTCATTTAAGGCGGAGATCCAGAGATCTTGGTGGGCGTTTTTGGCGACTTCGCGCATGTGGTATACGGGGCTTATGCCGAGGATTATGAGGGCGTCAGCGAGGGCTGCAGAGGGGGGATGTTAGAATAGGATTGTTGGTCATGGTGAGAAGTATGGTGCGCGGCAAGGGGGGTTTTAAGGTACACTGGGTGCCTGTTCGGGGTAGACCCAAGACGAGGACTTTCATTTCGGGCATTGTTCGTAAGTCAATCAGGACGTCGGGTTCTTCAATGGTGGTGAGAATGGATGGGTCTTTAGTGGGAGAGATGACGACGGCGATTGAAAGCATTTGAAACATGAGAGGGATAGAGGATTTTGTTGCGGGCTTTGACTTTGTGATTCATATGTCACATCAATCATCGTGATGGACTGGGTGGTCCGAGATGTTCCGCGACGTAGAGTCACGGGGCTGTCCCGGTTAGGAAGCTGACTCGGAGCGGGTCGGGTCGGGGTTGCCGTGGGATTCGGGGCCCGGTCGTGTCCCTACCTTACGGGATTGCGCCCGGCGTACCCGCTGCCCTGCCCGTGACTGGAATCTTGTGCCAAGGAAGCACGCCGAAATTTGCAGAGACAAGTACTGAAAGACATTGGGTCATCGCCATCAGAAGGATTGCCTAGGAAGTTTCGCGAGACCGCAAAGAGCCGAGGTATTTGGCGCTCGTTACTTGACGGGTTCCCTGTGTCTTAGAAAGTTGGCATCTTCCACTACGTATGCTCGGTCTTGGGCCGACTACCAAAACACGCTTATTCTAAGTACGTGTAACGTACCATATATAAGTAAGCCCATGTTGTAGCTTCCAGAAATTTTGAGGCAAGCAGGTGTGCAAGCAACAGCAGCCTGGATTGTGCTCGTCCGAGTGATCGTTTAAACCAGAGCCGCAAGGTGGACAGACGAGGTTAGGAGTGTTGCGGCAGCTCATCCGAGCCTTCATCGATTAAGTGTCTTCGTTTACCATCACCGCTCCTGAAGTATTCAGGCGCTAATACGGATGAGAAGATAAGTATGGGTAGCGTATGGGAGAGTATTCTGTTCTAATATTTGAATTACGGCTTGAAAAGGAGAGCTATGATGACCTTTCAAGCGTCAAAAAGGGCATGAATGTTGAACGCATGAATTATGAGACACGAATAGTACTAGTGAAAAGTTCAATCAAATTGCAGGGCTACCTCCGTGTACAATTTATATTCTTGACTGAAAGAGCCTGAAATATCTACGCTGTTTCTAATTAGAAATACGCAATATTATAATTTCAGTGAAACAACATATTATAGGTGCATTCCTAGATTTCACAGAATAAAAATGAAGCCGGAGTTACCCTAATTAGCTCTAGTCTTGCAGGAACTTGACGTTAGTCCATGATTAAGTACGATTCAGGCCAGCCATGTCTTTTCATTGGGAGCTTGCGTGAAGGGACTATAGTGATATTAGTGAATTGGCGTTTCCTCATCAGACAAAACAACAATTTATTCAGTGACTGTACAGGCTATCGATGGGGCTCTTGGCAGGACTGGACACATCGATACCTAGGTTTTGAGCATACTCCAGAGCAGTTTTCCCACAGCCATCGACTCGCGTCAAATCTAGCTTCGGGAACTTGTACAGTCTTTTTAGCGTCCCATCATTTCTATTGGACGCTGCAAGTGACAGTGCGGTAGAATCATTCTCGTCTACGCCATTGTCATCGACTCCAGGCGTCACGCTCAATAAGTCGACAATGTCACAATGGCCCTTTTGGGCTGCCAACATCAAGGATGTTTGATCAGCCTTATCGGTGGCATTGATATCGGCACCTCTCTCCAGTAAAAGCTCGGCAATCTCAACCAGGCCACTGACAGCTGCGTACATCAGAGGCGTTCTTCCAGCGCTGTCTGGAGAGTTAGGCTTCGACCCATAGTCTAAGAGAAGTTCAACTGCCTCGATCCCCCCATGTTCAACTGCATAGGACAATGCAGTTCTCTGATGAGGCTCTTTGCTGTGATGACGTGGCGAAATCGGTTTCTCGGATTCGCCAATGCTGCTTGGCGACGGTGGGGCCGGTGTAAGGCCTTGTTGGTCAGACTTATTGTCTTGAATTTCGTCTTGAACTCCATAATCGAGCAGAAACTTGAGGACACCGAGATAGCCCTTTTCTGCGGCTCGATGAAGGGGTGTGAGACCGCCATGATCGACCAGTTCGAGGGATGCGCCTGCCTCAGCGAGCATCCGAGCGCATTTGATATTTCCCCTTTCTACTGCAATAAAGAGAGGGGTCTTTCCGGCCTCATCCCGAGTGTCTGGATTTGCGCACAGCTCGTGAAGCAACAAGTGTATGACGTCGACCTGATCATGCCTGGCGGCATAATGTAAGGCGGTCGTTCCATGCCCCTTCAGATCAACCTTGGCTCCGTTTTCAAAAAGCCACGCTACGGCTTCAACGGCACCTTGTGATGCTGCCTGGATGAAGGCCTCGTCGAGATTCTTCCTGTATCCCCCGGCAAGCAGGAGCTCAACCACGTCGAAATGCCCACCTAATGCCGCTAGGCGTATAGCATCTTTGGAATCACCGACCAGTTTACGTTCGAGCAACATCTCGACAATCTCGCCATGTCCTCGCTCGGCTACAACATCCAAGATAGGACCTGAATCAGCGACTCCCAAGCTACCGCCACGTCTCATCAAAAATTGAGCCAAGGTTTTGTAACCATACATCAACGCCAGATAAAGTGGCGTCCGACGCTTCAAATCCTTTGCGTTGATATTGGCGTTTGCGGCAATGAGCTTCTCGCATGAACTCATGTGATTTTTGGCGCAGGCAACATGAAGAGCGGTCCTTCCCCAAGAGTCCTTGACTTCAACATTACTGACATTTTGGAATTTGAGTTTCCCAGCAAGAATGCTCTGGATCATTTCGGCCATGTTGAAGTAAGCTGCCATGTGAAGAGGTGTAAAGTTCTCTGGACCTGGGTTAGAGTCAATACTTTCCGAACCCACGTCTGAGAGCAACTCCGTCCCATCGAACGCATGCATTATGTCTGCTATTGATCGCAATCGGAGCGATTCACTCAGCATATCGCGAACGACCGCGCTTAGATCATCCTGCATAGTATCGTCGAAATGATAGCCCCAGTTTGCAGCCGCGTATAAATAGAAGGAGTTGATGGAAAGCTGTGCCTCTTGTGCCCTCTCTTCTTCAGCCATGCCGGTTGCAGACTGAGCACTCATCAGGATTGCTAAGCAGCATCGTGCGACGTAGCTCTGGCCGGATGGAAATAGCTCTTGACGTAAGTCAACCAACCACTCTGCGACAGACTGGTGGGACAATCGAACACTGTTGTTGTCGCTGTCTACAATCACAAGTCCCATGCAGACCTCTTGTATGGCCCATGGTGGAGGCATTCGATCTGCGTCGACTACCCATTCTTCGGGTGATGTTGACTCTTGGCCAACAGACAAAGCTCCTTGAAGTTCCGATAGCGTCAGAGGGCGGGCGCTGAACGAAAGCCATGTTAGGGTTCTATGTGCAAGATCCGTTCTGCTGGTATGCTGCTCCTTCAAACGATTCAGCAGCAATTGGTAGATGTCATAGAGGCTGATCGCCTCGGAATCAACCATGGATTGCAAATGAATCCGTATGTCGCGTCTCGTAGCAAATTTGAGAAGTTCGTCGACTTGCAGCTTTACCCATAGGAAACTGGTATGATGGTTGAGTTGCATGTCCCGGCCAAGGGTTGAGTGGTGGCTTACCTGCCTGCTGACAATTTCAGCAACACGCTCTCTGATTCCTGCAGAAGAATCCCGCCCATCAGTTCAGACAACTTCAGGTTCTGGGTTAGGAGGTGTTCTGTGTATAATCGAATGTCATCGACGGTTCTTTCACCGATGTTGATTTGGAATGAGTCTCCACAAAGATCTTCGAATTCCACCCAATTCCTCGAAGACACTACGAATCGGCATGAGGGCGTAACAAGCCGGGCTAGAATGGGCTTGATGTTGTGGAAATCTTCGCACTCATCGAGAGCATCGAGGCAAATTGTGACGTGATGAAACTCTCGGATAAGGTCCAAAAGAAAAGTTGTGGCCTGGTTGAAGTCCAAGAGCCGGGGCCCTGGAATACTTGTGTCCCGCTGGAGGGGCTGTTATTGAAGAAGTTTCCATTTTTCCTTGATTGCCTCAGGGAGAGACACCTCATAATGACACAGTTGGCCAAGGATACTGGAGACAACTTGATGTAGGGTTGTCTTCGCGTCGCTGTCGAAGTAGAAATACGCAACGGCAAACCGTCGTGGTCGCTTTGGCGAGCTGACTCTTTGCAGAAGATGCTCTATAATTTGTGACCTACGAATGTTAGAGTTTGGGAGAGGTAGAAAGAACGTCTTTCTTACATGAGAATAGTCTTTCCACTGCCTGGGTCTCCTCTGACCCAGAGCAGGGATGGCATCTTGCCCATGTCGTCTGAAATCCATTGATTGAATTTCGGGTCTTCAAATAACCACTCAGAAGTGTTTTTGAGATGTTCATTCGCGAACATGGATTGTTTATGTTCATGTTGGCGGCCTCCAAGCCAACCTAGGATCTTCTTCTTTTCAGTCACCCCTTGATGACTAGTCAAGAGATTGTTGAGGAGTTTCTGCGTGTGGCTCATCCGCCTTGTTGTAGTCTGAAGTAGCTGGCTTCAACCAAGAATCAGGAATAATTACAAATAAGATTCAAGGAACATTAATCCGTCGAAATTCCCCTGTACTTACCTAGCTACCAATTGCAACTTATCCTGTACCACGTTCAAGAAATCGGTCACTTCTTGAAGCTGAAGATCTGTGTGTCTTCGACGTCGGAGTAGATCCCATTTGGACCGGTACTGCAACCGTAACGTCGCTTCCATCAAGGGTTTGACGCTTTTCACGAGATCTTTAAAAAGGTCTGGGTGTTCTGCTGGCTCTTCAGTCTGCAGCAGCGTTTCGATCTTTTCCTTCAAGCTGTTGACCTCGTCGATGACATCTTTGGTGACCTGAGGAGTCTTTTTGCTTCGAATGAACTCCTGAATTTGAAAGGACTGGCCAATTAAGCCAACAACCATCACAGAGATGCTCAATGGGTCCATAACTGCGAGAAGCCTAATACGTTCCTCAAGACAGAAATTGTGGTTGGTCACACAAGTGAGAAGATGGCATTATCCAAGAGGAAGCAGGGGTCTGAAATGATTTGAACAAAGGAGGGGAGAAGAAGATGTGAAGCCAAGTCTCTGGAAATCAGGATGGTTGGCGTGTTCGCATTGCTGTTCACCTGCCGGCGAGCGCTAAGACATCTAAAGACCATTTTTAGCCAAGGTGGCGCTGTGCAATTAGTGCAATGACGAAGGTCCAACCACCCAAAGGGTTTATGTGTCTTCAAGTACGGATAGCGTGAACCGCAAACATCGCGCCCCTCAGCCACCAAATGAGCGAGCGCTTCTGCAGTTTTGAGACGTTTTCGACCATTTACATTCACTTGGCCAGCCACTAAAACCTAGCCCGGCCTCGCAACCCAAGGGCTGGGGTAAATGAATCCTTTTCTACGTATCCTGACTACCTTAGTGGAATGAAGTAGGTATTTTCATCTTGCTTGTGTCATATGATTTGTTTATCCACCTTAAAATGTGACAAAAGCACACATATGGCGTGAATTCGGGGTAGAATTCTTATGTACTAACTGGATATTGCATGTGGTCATCTTCTGGCAGTCTGAGGGTTGGAATAGGCCACTCTCACTAATCCGCTACTTAATTTTCTTCGTGTTAAAATTAGACGTATTCAATTCGTTCTTAGAAACTCGTCCAAAATTTTGGCGAGAAAGTTCAATAATAGGACTGCCATTGAATCAGTTTTCCATACCAATATCGATGCCCCAGATCCAAGCGTATCTTGCGCTAATGCCCTCGCTAGTTGCCAAACTGCCGAGATTGTTTGACACCACAGCTGCCTCATCCCAGCTCGGAAGCACAGGGTCAGCCCGGGGGTCGAAATGGATGGGATCGTTAACGTTTGCTCGTCCTATGAACGTTTTCCAAGTGTCCGACATGTTGTATCTCCATCCGCCATTAAATTCTGGAATCTCGAGAATGGCGTCGAACGGTGCTTGGCTTTCTCTTTTCAGGACAAGTGCGAGTTGAAATGCAGGTGTTATTCCTGCGTTCTGCGACTTGTTCTCCAAGAATCTCCACCACACCGTGTCATGACGGTTTTCATCGTCGTTATAATCTGTTCCAGATGTCACTTTTTCGAAATATTTCTGTGTGTGACTGATGACATGTTTTCTGTTCAACTTGATGGCAGCCTTCGTCCCAGATGCTTCAGCGCCCAATTCACCTCCGTTCTCAGTCTCCTCATTCTCTTCTGCTGTAGTTTTGTTGTACGATCGGAAATAAGGGCCTCGAGAGACAACATTCGGGTTCGATGGAATATCGTTGCTTGTATTCACATTGGTGAACTTTAATGATATCCGTATGGATTTCAACTGGTGTTGTTCCCGGAAGCTGGAAAACTCGCACCGTAATACAATAAACGTAGTGGGAGTCGAGTCGGTTGGGCTCCATTGTCCGTGAATGCAAGTCTCCAGAGCGATAGACTTAGAGAAAGACGTGTCGCGCCAATTGGTTAAGCTCTGCCTTTGAATCTGGCTTGGGGGGTTATTCCGAGTCTTGCATTCACCATCTTCAGGCGGCAAAACAAAGATTTGGGCAGGAGTCAAGATTGTAGCTGGATCTGACTGTGAAGACATCATATAGATCACCAATCTGAAATGAGACAGAGATAGTTGATGGGAAAATTTGAACAGTGGAACAAAGTGCGTAAGGCTAACCAAGTCAGGGCACTCATTGATATATCAAGGGTTTTCGGCTTTCACAGTCGAAACGCAACCGTCCCACTGTGCTGGCAGCCACCGAATGCATCTCAGTCATGTTATGAGCCACAAGTCATCTGAAGCCAGCTGGGTGCTTCAGCACAACGCTTCCGGAAATCGAGAAGAAGTAAAAGCTGAGAGGTGGACAAGAAACAAAGCCCTCGCCGATAATATTAGTTCAAAGCTGATGCACGGACAAAGGATCACCAACAGCCAAACCATCTTACACCTAGAGGGCAATGAATCGAAGCCAGGACGCAAATTGAAAGATTCATCCTCCAGATTCCATCTCTTATATCACACCTGCAGCTTCGCAAGACAGGATTTCATCTCATCGACCAGCATATAAGCGTATCAATGCCAAGGAGAATGCTTCATGTCTCCGCCGAGCTCAAAGCAGAAGACTACTGGCGCCATGCGACGCGGAAATCTCACCCGCCCTACCAGGAAAACCAATCGTGTTGAAGAGTTAGAAGGCCTTGTGGATGAAGGAAACTTTTTAGCCTTCAATAAAGCCATCTCTCAGGCTCAACTCACAGTACAAAGTCTGTATGATCTTTTTATGAAGATTTTGAGTTCCAAACATATTCATTTGGACACGAGGGAAAGTTGGTTGCAAGCTGTCGCGCAGATTCATTTCAGCGCTCAAATCCGACGAAAAGTACTCGACAGTGGTATTGAAATGCTGAGAGGCCTTTCTCTAGGAAGCGACCCTCGTGATCGGCAAAAGTCGCTGGATATAGAGGAAATGTGTTTTGCTCTTGTGAAGGCAGATTCATCACTCCTTGGCCCGCAACACAACCCGAACAGACGGAATGTCTTCCATGTGGCTGCTGAAGCGAACGCCTATTCGCTTATTCGAGCGGCGAGAAGACTAATGCCGGCCAAGACGTTTTATGACATGGTGCTAGAAGTCGATTCGAAAGGGCAAGATGCTTTGACTTTGGCAGTCGAAAAGAAGAGCAACAGAGCTCTGAAGGCGATGCTCTGCAACTCAACCATAGTTGTAGACGATGGCTGCAGACGAAAGGCAGCCATCATGGCCGCAATACAACAGGGACACATACAAGGACTCAAAATTATACTGGAAGGGGCCAGCATCAGCACTTGTATCCAACCTGGAATGTTGTCCGAAAGTATCAAGTACGGCCAATCCGAGACGCTCATGTTTCTCATCTCCAAGCAACCTCAACTGTTAGAAGGGGATGAGTGCTACCTTTTACATGAAGCTGTGCGGCAAAACATGCTGGCTATTGCAAAGAGGTTGCTTGATCAAGCGCCTCATTTGGCGACAAAATTGAAAATCGAGCAGAATGAACAAGAATCTGTGGTTTCGCGCTCCGTCATGTCATACATCAACAAAGATTCGGAAGATTGGATGGAAATCCATAACGTACTTCTACCCATCATTGTCAGAGACAGCCCTATAACATTGATTCGACAGCATTTGGACGGAGTGTCTGGTACGTTTGGAATCTTCCTCCATGTCCTTCAAAAGCCCTTTCAACTTCATCGTGTTACTCTGCCGGTCGAAAGTGGCGCCGGGTGCTGAGATTATTGATCGATCTGCTGACTGTGAAAGATAAGGAAATTTGTCTCGATATGTCACCTTGGGCAGGCGACAATGAGATGCTAAAGATCTTTCTAGCCTCTGTCCATCTACAGCTCCACGAAAAGAAGGTCCCGAACGAGGACAACAGACGCAAACCTTATGGAAATCAGTCAAGCAATGCCAC